CTCAGATTCCTCATTTCCAAAACCAAAAACTGGCAGTCAGCTACCGCCTTCCGCTCTTCACGAGCATCACAAGTCCACGTAGCGCACCTCCCTCGCGCCTTTACTTTCATCTTCTCCGCCCGTACACCCATCAATCCCGATCCGGCGTCCTACCTCAGATTCCTCATTTCCAAAACCAAAAACCGGCAGTCAGCCACCTGCCCCACGTCCAGTCTCGGGGATTTCGAAGCCGCAGCTCATGCGACCAAGAGGTTGCGGATCGCCACAGTAAAGAAGAAAATGCTAATGGAAATGGAGATGCGAAAGAAGAACCAGGGGAGCTGCCGAAGACAAGATTAACGAAAAGGGTCCGGAATCGCGCTTGTGAAGTGTTGTCGTATCTAAACCTAGTGTTAATTTGTCTTTCTTTTGGGGGTAGGGAGAAGGAAAAGGGAGAGGGAGAAGGGGAGGGGGAAGGAGAAGGAGAAGGAGAGGGAAAGGGAGAGGGAAAAGGAGAGAGAGAAGGAGAGGGAGAAGGAGAGGGAGAAGGAGAGGGAGAAGGAGAGGGAGAAGGAGAGGGAGAAGGAGAGGGAGAGGTAGCAGGTACCAACGATGTAGATTGAGCTTTCCTAGGAAAGAGCGAAGTACACAACGGCGGCAATGGGATAAATTGAGCAACTCTCCCTCCTCTTCTTTTCTCTCTACCCCAAAATTTCGACAGCGTCCGAATATCCTTAGTTTTCTCAGCGTTCAAAACATTTTTATTCTCGATATGCGGGGCTTCAATCCTTTCCGCTCCTACATCCGCATCAGTCGATCCCCAGAATTGCGTGACCGATTCCTGTCTCACCTCAAGGTTATGGGGGGTCTAGGCGTTTCCTACTCTTGGTTGGAAACGAATAGAGACTCCATAGCCTTGAATTGTGAAGCAGCCAAGCGCAAGGTCTCGGGACTGATGCGGAAGTAGCTGGAATGCGGTGTGACAATCCTCGAGTGTTGAGCAGCACAGTGGTTAGTCAACTTCCGCGTATTTGGTAAATAGAATCAAGTGACTGGCATTTTGCAGCTCCACTCGCCCTAGGGCACAACCGCCTCAAAAAATCTATGCCTCCCTCCCTCGGAAGTCGAGCCTTCGATCAAGTCCTATCTCTGTCCTGTCGTTCACTACTCCAGAACTCATTCTCGACATCCTGTCTGTTCTTGTTCGAACGGCAACTGTCACCACTTCGAGTTCTCGGAAGAATGAAAGGAACGAGACACATGGAAAAGCCATCTCCGTTTCGCTGCTGTGAGAATGGCGGATAATCTCGACCACACGAATGGACACTGTTACCCAAGGAGTGTTCTGGTCAGTACTGGACAGCAATAACACTGGCATTTCAACGATAAAACATCATCGACAACGCTACAGCAAAGCTCTAGCCAGCAGGAAATCGACCAACTAGCCCTCGAATGAATTGGATCTCATATGCCTAGAAGGACTGTCTCAGAGCACAGAGTTTCCGAAGGGCACAACCGCCTCATTGCTGTGGTTGCTGCGCTGCTTTTACAACACATCATCAGAAATCCAACACCAAGAACGTATGCAGTCTGGTTCTTTCTTGCACCCTGCATGGATCAGTGCTTGGAACAATGCTACACCCACACATCCTCCCTCAAAACTTCAAAAGGTCCAACGCTACGGAAGGAACATCGAATACATTATCTGCTTCTACATCTCAGCAACTAGCTGCCCGTTGGCTGATCAACATCATCGCAGGCTTCGCTGGAAGCGGCGATTGGCTCAATTGAGGTCGAAATCGTCATACTGGCCAGCTTGAGTCGATGGGAGGAATGATGAGAGATTGATGAGCTTCTCAGCAAAGGGTTCAGGAAGATCAGCGTGGTGCAGTGCAGTGATAAGGGATGCTTTGGGAAAGATGACGGTGCGATGGATGACAATGCTGGTCTGTGAATAGTGATGAGGAAGGGAAAGAAGATGAAGGGAAAGAAGATGAAGGGAAAGAAGATGAAGGGAAAGAAGATGAAGGGAAAGAAGATGAAGGGGAAGAAGATATATGGGAACTATATCATAGGAGGAGTAGAGGAGATTTCCTGATTCAAGGCTCAGTTGTCTAAATAGACGGAGGCGGAGTTTAGTCTGTAGCATGTGAAAGATATGGCATAGGTACATATGATGAGAGTCAATAGAAGAAAAAGTCACCCCACCTCTTTTGTCCTCCGGGTCCACTGTTCTTAGGGTAGCAACTGTTGCTTCTTTGCCTGTTTAATGTGTGCGAGTGGGAGTCTACGTTCGACCTTATCTGATTTCGGTTGGACCCTGATTTCTGGATCACGTGTAGATCCTTGGCGCAAAGATTACTCCGTATACTCAGCCGCCCGGCCACGCCGGCTTTCTCTCCTTCCAACAAGTCTGAGTTCATCAACCTCCACAGATTCGACGCTGCGATCCTCAAGATGGCCATCATACCGCGATGGCTGCGGATTCCGCGCCCGAAGGTACGCGGCCCTCCTCCCCCTATCTCCTCCTCAACGTGAAGTCCTGTGAAACGACCAACAGGAGACTAACCAGTATGCAGAGTTTCCTCTACATCATGAGCTTGCGTACCGGGGCTGAGATGATCTCGCTGAGCATGATATTTAACAAAATCACTGGGTTCTACGGACTGCTCGCCATCCTCACCGGCTTCCACCTGTCGCCGTTACAACTCTGCATGTACCTGTATTCGCTGGGCGCACTCGTTCTCATTGCCTTCCTTATGCCACACATCCGAAAACAAAGCCCGTTTCAATGCCTCGCGCTGGCATGGTTCTACCTCATCGATACTGTCGTCAACACGGCCTTCACCTCCGCATTTGCGGTAACGTGGTTCCTTGCCGTCAGCGCGGACGAGTCACATACCCATATTCCTAGCAGTGCTCCCGGCAGCGGCACAATCGACGACACAGCCGGCTTCACGAACCCCAAGAACAATCTCAGCAAGTCAGCGGGTGCTGCCCGTGATGCTGTGGCAGCCGCAGCCGCAGCTGGAACGCCCAGTGTTGGACATGGAGTAGGGATTGAAGAGAGCATACCCAGTCTGATAGTGGTGGTGCTCCTGACCCTGATCCGGGTCTACTTCATCCTCGTCATGATGGCGTTTGCGAGACAGGTTCTACGACAACATATGTATACGTCGCCGTCGTCCAAGTTACAGGTCCATATGGATGGGAGCAGCGATGCGCCGGCCGATGACCCATTTGCGATTGGCAAATCAGGAGGCCAAGGGTGGAAGGGGAAGCTGGGGAGAATCATGGTGAAGGTTGGACGGAGCTATTGGCTTGGCGGCCAGGCTGATGATGACTGGGCTCGAGGCCTGCACGGAAGATTTAGGAGTAGGAAACTGGTCTCTGGGCCTCCGGGCACGCTGGAGAGAGAACGGAGGGCCCGTAGCGGCACAGGGCCTCCCGTCCCGCCGCCAAACCTGGTGAAGGGGTGAGAGAGATGCTAGTGGGGGGATGAAGGGGGTTGTATATACGTGGCGCTACGGGATTTCAGGGAGCGGCCATACGAGTGATGGATGATTGTTGCTGCATCAGCGGTCGAAGGCGTTCTTTGGGTCGTGGCCGCGGGGGGGGGGATCTGATTTGGAGAGGGGCCAGCATCTTCTAATAATACCTACTGTTCGGTCCGTTTTGGGGGGGGGGGGGGAAAGAGGGCATTTCCTGTATGTAATGAAGCGGGCGGCTACCTACTGTACCTGATAGTTACCTTAATGATGGGGGAGACGGAAGCCAAGGACCTAGCAGCACGTGATGACCGAACACAGCTTATTCGCTGGGATGGCCTCAACTTTGCGTGCTCTTCTTGGCTCATTTTGCCTCCTGCTGTTGCCTCCTTTGAGTCAGTTTTTGCCCCCCTCCTCTGGCATCATCCTTCTGGCATCATCCTCTCTACTCCGTAGCTATCACCGTCTCCTCCGTAGCCCGACCTCATCGCATCACCCCATCCCCCCCAATCCGCCGAGGTTCGTTGACATATAGTATTTCCGTCCTGGGCATGTTCTTTGTCATCCGTTCCAAGCATCGCGTCTCGACTCTCCAGACATCTCGCAGACTCAAAAAGCTTTTCAAACCCCGCGAGTTGACCAGGTGACTCTGGAAATTGCGTGCTCGGCGCTGAGTCAGCCCCAGCCCGCGCTCGCACCAATCAGCACCCCCCGCCATCTCCGCGCGGTGCGTAATGGATCGCAAACACGGCGTCGCTCTTTGGCTGGAAGGATGGGCCCCTCGCTTGTAGCCATCTCGTAGCCATTCTGCCCCAAACCCCCTGCTGCTCAAACTCCGAATACCGCCCGGGGCTCAGAACAGGAGGAGCCCAGGTTCGAAAGTTCCCTTACTAACGTGACGTCCCAAACGGCTGAGTCTCTCTTTGCCCATGGGCCCCATATTGCCCCATTGACACTAAGGCACTCCGTATTAGATTAGACTCGAGAGACGAGAGAAAGAGAGAAAAAAATGGTGTTCCTCTTCCGTCGTCTTGAGCAAGACTCTCTCTCCTCCTCTTCTCCTCGTTCGCTGCGGACGAGTTCTCACCACTCTGTCAATATGGCGTCGCCTTCGTTGAAGATCCGCACGCCTGAAGAGGCTGGTATGTTCCTGTCCCATGCACTGCTCTCCCCCCCCCGCTGGTTCTGTTCTCTGTGCTGTTTGTTCTCTGCTGCTGTCTCCGTCATGCTGTGACCCAACCCCGCGTTATGTCCGCCATGTTACTGACCACTTGATGCTGCAACAGTCGCTCGAATTGCCTACTTATCCAGCGACGTGATCATCTCTGTTCAGGCCGCTCAATCACTCGAATCCGAGTTCTCATCCCATCTGCGCCGCTATGCCGCTCGCAAAGACAGGAGTCTTGTTGCTGCCAGCGAGGGTGGCGTTCCAGACGTAAGTCCTCGGCAACAACTTCAACAACATCCCCCCACGAGGCTGACCTGATGCACGACAATAGATTCAAACCATCAGACACAATGCCGACCCCTTGCTATCCGTATTCACCCCCATCCGCAACGGCAAACTCGTCTCCGTGACCACCAATTCCTCTATCCTCCTCTCCTCCGTCCCCCACCTCTACCGACTCGCAAATTTGCCCGTTGTGATCCATGTCTCCCTGCAGCCCGCGCGCTACCCCGACTACTCCTCCATCACTGCCATCCGCAACACCGGCTTCACATTCCTGCAATCCGAGACCTTGCAGGAGGCGCAGGATATCGCCCTGACGGCCCACGCGCTTGCCATCAAGTCGGGCAAGGGTGTGATCCATTTCTTCGATGCCGGATCGTCGGCCGAGGATGAGCACATCCCTTTCGAGGATGTGGACGTCGTCAAGGACATCCTCAACCTCGAGGCTGTGAGACTATTCCAGGGCGCCAGAATTGGTGGCACCAACATCTATGCCGACGACGGAAGTGTCGCTACCATTGCCGAGCACCCTATCCCTCCAACCGATGCCGCGGGAGCCATTGAAGGCGTCGAGGCTGTAGCTACGCTCCCAGTCGAGCCCAGCGCGGAAATCCCGTCAAAGGCTTCGTCAGTGGCATCCTCAACCTCGGGTCGCAAGGGTAGCGTGGACAGCAACAGCAAGGAGAGCGTCTCCTCGGCTACGACGGTTGAATCTGCCGCCCTCCGATCCGTCACATCAAAGGACGTCTACGATTTTGTGTCGGCAATCTGGGCCCAGCTGAAGCAGAGCGTCGGCCGTGAATACTCCCCCTTCCAATACACGGGCCCATCTAATGCCGAAGATGCGGTCTTCATCTTTGGCTCTGATGTTGGAGCCTTCGCTCAGGCCATCGATTCCGCAAAGCCCAATGATATCTATGCGAAGACGGGCATTGTTACTGCCCGTTTATACCGACCTTGGTTGGGAGCAAAACTCATTGAGACCATCCCCAGATCAATCAAGCGATTGGCAGTCCTTGAGCAAATCCGAAGAAAGACAACGAGATGGGGTCCCTTACTTCTGGATTTACTCAGCACTCTCAAGGCTGGCCCCGGGGGCGGTGTTGAGACGATTGTTGGACATCAATTGGGTTACATCGCACCCGACACCGTTCAACAAGCTCTTCGTGGCATCCTCCAGAACTTGAAGTCCGAGAAGCCCATCCAAAATCTCGATGTCGGCAACGCCGACGGACCGACCGAGTCGCTCCAGGCCTACAACCTCGAGCAACCAAAGGTTGAGAGTGCTTACATGAAGATCCTGGACCAGATCTTTGGTTCAAGATTATACCTTGCCAACGCGCTCAACTCGCAGCATGCCGGTATCTCTGCCACGGTCTCCTCAACCCCTGAATTCGGGTTTGGATCCCTCTTGGCTCGGAAGGAGCACCGCGAACGATTCGTCAGCGAGATTGTGAAGGCCTCGACCTCCAAGGAGTTCATTACGGAGGCCCCAAAGACCTGGCTTGCAAAGTGGGTTGCAGCTGCTAATGATGAGAAGAAGGCTACCGAGTTGGCTGACGAGGTCATCTCCCGTCTTGAGATTGATGGCTCTTCATTGGCCACTCGTCTGCTGTCCAACAAAGGCCTCTTCCGAAAGGAGTCGCAATGGCTTGTCGGATCTGATGCTTGGGCTTATGATCTTGGCAACTCTGGTGTTCACCACGTCATTGCATCTGGCGAGAACGTCAACATGCTCATTATCGATTCGACACCATACTCCGAACGAGCAGCTGCCGATGCCGCCCGAAGAAAGAAGGATATTGGACTTTACGCTATGAACTACGGAAATGCCTACGTCGCCTCCGTGGCCGTCTACAGCTCGTACACCCAAGTCCTGCAAGCAATGATCGAAGCAGACCAGTTCAATGGCCCCTCGGTTGTCGTTGCCTACCTGCCATACTTCAAGGAGGACGATTCGCCTCTGACCGTTCTTCAAGAGACGAAGAAGGCTGTCGATCTCGGATACTGGCCGCTGTACAGATGGAACCCGACCAACGAGGAGCGTGGCGAGCCCAACTTCTCATTGGATTCCGAGCGTATCAAGAAGGAGCTCAAGGACTTCTTGGCACGTGACAACCACCTCACCCAACTGATGAAGAAGCACCCCGAATTCTCCCCCAGCTTGTCTGAGGATTATGGCTCTGAAGTCCGCGCCCTGCAAAAGAGAAAAGCCAAGGACGCCTACAACCAACTGCTTGAAGGTCTCTTTGGTGCGCCTTTGACAATTCTCTTCGCCTCAGACAACGGAAACGCTGAGTCGCTTGCTAAGCGTCTCGGAAACAGAGGCAAGGCTCGGGGACTGAAGACGCTCGTTATGGCTATGGAAGATTATCCTCTTGAGGATCTGCCAGGCGAGGAGAACATCGTCTTTGTTACCTCCACCGCTGGTCAGGGAGAATTCCCCCAGAACGGCCGTGCATTCTGGGATGCCATTAAGGACAACACTGAGCTGGATCTCGCCAACGTCAACTACTCTATCTTCGGCCTTGGTGATAGCCACTACTGGCCTCGCAAGGAGGACAAGCACTACTACAACAAGCCAGGAAAGGACCTCGACCGTGTCCTGGCCAACCTTGGTGGTAAGCGCCTTGCAGCTATCGGGCTTGGTGATGATCAAGACCCAGACGGATACCAGACTGGCTACCAGAACTGGGAGCCTCTCATCTGGCAAGCTCTCGGTGTTGATAAGGTTGAGGGTCTCCCAGAAGAGCCGGCGCCAATCACCAACGAAGACATCAAGCTTGCATCCAACTTCCTTCGCGGCACGATCAAGGAGGGTCTTGAGGACAAGACTACCGGTGCCATCTCCGCTTCGGATTCGCAGCTGACCAAGTTCCACGGCACCTACATGCAAGATGACCGTGATCTCCGGGACGAGCGTAAAGCACAAGGTCTCGAACCCGCCTACTCCTTCATGATCCGATGCAGACTGCCAGGTGGTGTCGCAACCCCTCAACAGTGGATCCAGATGGATGATGTCAGCAACAGCTTCGGTAACGAGACGATGAAGCTGACCACCCGTCAAACATTCCAGTTCCACGGTGTCGTCAAGGGCAAGCTCAAGGCGGCCATGCGTGGTATCAACAAGGCTTTGATGACCACGATCGCTGCTTGCGGTGATGTCAACCGAAACGTCATGTGCAGCAGTTTGCCAACAGCATCAAAGCTTCACCGTGAGGTCTGGTCATACGCAAAGAAGATCTCCGATCACCTCCTCCCTCAGACCACGGCGTATCACGAGATCTGGCTCAAGGATGATAACGACAACAAGACCCAGGTTGCCGGTGATGCCGTTCAAGATTACGAACCCTTGTATGGCCCAACCTACCTGCCGAGAAAGTTCAAGATCACCATTGCCATCCCACCCCACAACGATACCGATGTCTACGCACACGATATTGGTCTCATCGCGATCAAGGACAAGGATGGTCAGTTGGCAGGGTTCAACGTCCTCGCTGGTGGAGGTATGGGTGTCACCCACAACAACAAGAAGACGTACCCGCGAACCGGAAGCATGTTCGGCTTTGTGACACCGGACCAAATCCACACTGTCTGCGAGAAGATCATGCTTGTACAGCGTGACCACGGTGACCGCAAGAACCGCAAGCACGCTCGTCTAAAGTACACCATCGACGACATGGGCGTTGATGTCTTCCGCGGCAAGGTCGAAGAGCTATGGGGCAAGAAGTTCGATAAGCCAAGACCATTCAAGTTCGTCAGCAACATCGACACCTTCGGATGGCAGAAGGATGAGAATGGATTGAACCACTTCACATTCTTCATCGAGAACGGTCGTATTGAGGACACTGCCGAGTTCCCCATGAAGACTGGTCTGCGTGAGATTGCCAAGGTTCTCAAGGGCGAGTTCCGATTGACTGGAAACCAGCACTTGATCGCAAGCAACATCACCGACGAGCAGGTGCCCCAGATCAAGGAATTGATGGCCAAGTACAAGCTCGACAACCTCCAATACTCGGGCCTGCGTCTCTCGTCGTCGTCTTGTGTTGCTTTCCCCACCTGTGGTCTTGCCATGGCGGAGAGTGAGAGATACCTGCCACAACTGATCACCAAGCTCGAGGGCGTCATTGAGGAGAACGGCATGCGCCAGGATTCCATCGTCATGCGTATGACTGGATGTCCCAACGGTTGCGCCCGACCTTGGTTGGCCGAGGTTGCCTTTGTTGGAAAGGCGTACGGTGCATACAACATGTACCTGGGTGGTGGTTACCACGGCCAACGTCTGAACAAGTTGTACAGGAGCAGCATCAAGGAGGACGAGATCTTGGCTATCATGAAGCCGTTACTGAAGCGGTACTCTTTGGAGCGTCTGGAGGGCGAGCATTTTGGAGATTTCTGCATCCGCGCCGGTCTGATCAAGGAGACGACCGAGGGCAAGACCTTCCATGATGATGTAAGTCAGATGCTCTCTCTTGTTGATGCGTACTAACAGGTGTAGGTTGCCGAGGAGGAGTCGGATGAGGAATAATGGCAAGGTGGTGGATAACTTGCATAGTCTTACGGCGTTCTGGTCATGGTCTTAGCGGCTCAGTCGCCTCATTACTTGTGACCTTGCGGTATGAGTGTGATATAGCCAAAAGTGTATTCTGCAATCTAGCGTATTCATGAGATTGGTGTGGATGCACGTGTCGTCGTCGCTCTGGTCTGTCGCTTCTGATCCCGTCGCTTCTGGTCACCTCGTCGCCCGTCGCTTCTGATCATCCCGTCGCTTCTGATCATCCCATCGCTTCTGATCATCCCATCGCTTCTCGTCCCCATCGCTTCTGATCACGACCTCGCTTCACCCCTTTCTCATTCACTCTCCCATCCCCCATCCCCCCATCCCCCGCACAACCCTCTATATAATCCCAAATTCCCCCAATTCACCCACCAAACAAGCCAACCAACCTCGTCTCGTCTCAGCTCACCTATCTAGCTCAGCGGTATCCCCGCTGTCTTTCTAATTAAAAGCTAACATCTTACAGATCCCTCCCTTGCCAAACGCGCCTCGCCTCCCCTCCCTCCCCTCCCTTGCCAAAAGACTAAGCCATACGCGACCTACTAACACTAACATTTCTAGGTGTGATGTGATGTGATGTGTGAGAGAGTGTGTTGTGTGAGAGTGTGTTGTTGTGGTGTTGTGATAATTTGAAGGTTAGTAAATTCCCTTGAGCCCCTGAGCTGAGATGAGGTGTGGTTTGGTACTACTTTTTTTTTTTTTGTTATTGTTTTTTTTCGGGGGGGGAGGGTGGTGGTGGTTTGGATTTGTTGGATTTGTTGTTGTTGTTGTTTTAGGGGAGGGAGGATTAGGGATAGGGGATAGGGGGAATTGGTTTGGATTTGTTGTTTCTTCCCTTCCCTTCCCTAGGTACTCTATAGATCTTTCTCGATCTCTATCTCTATCTCCTTCTCCCCCTTCTCCGCCTTCTCCCTCTTCGTTTCTAATCATCATCTTCTTTCTGTCTTTCTCTTGTAAGGAGGAGGGAGGTAGGTTTGGATTTTGGGATTTTGAGATTTTGAGATAAGGGCATGCATGATAGAGTCAAAAGAGAGAGAGATCAAATCAAATCAAGGATCCAACCAACAACCGCCTACCTTACCCAAAGCCAACACCACCAACAACAACACCCACCCAGCCTCACCTCATCTCACCTCATCCCGATTACCCTTCCCCTTTCAAAACGTCACCACATCACTCAACACAGCTCAGTTCAGATCACTCAACACAACAGCAGAACAATCAATCTCAGTCAGATATTTATTTATTTATTACGTTTTCATACAAGTCAGTCAATCTTAGCTAGTACCTAATTCACATATTTATATATAACCATCCCCGACCCACCGACGCCAACAGAATGAATGACCTTGCCCACGACTATATCGATATCGCTACACCGAAATCCAGACTGATGATGCTAACTAATTTTGATTTCTACCTCGGGACTCCAATACAAACAAAGCAAGCAAGCAAGCCGTTTAACTACAGTTGCCCAGAGAGCAGTGCTTCGGTTGCTGTGTTGTTGCGTTAGTGAAGATGTTCAGAGAGATGGAGAGAAACAAAAGACTTACCAGAGTTGATGTAGGCACGGCGAACATCTAGCTGCACGCCGAATCTCCGCTCTAATTCCGTCTTGATGCTCTTCTTCGTCACCGTCATCAGATCCGCCGTCTTCAGGATGTCCCGGATCTCCGCTAGGATCGCATCATCACTAGGGACACCCGACAGGTTGGCCATCTCGACCTCCTGCTGCCCGAAGAATTGGCTCCCTCCGAACTGGCTCTGGCGGTTGCCAAGCATCTCTGATGGCGCCAGGGACATGCGCGAGTTGTAGAGGTACGGGTTCTTCGACTCGTAAGGGTAGTTGCCAGCCATCTGGGATAGCGGACGGGAAGGAGGGTAGTTGTACTCGGACGCATGGTGGTAGGATTTAGTCCCGTATGAGATGCCCGACATCTCAGATCGGTCATCTTGCATCGTTTGAGCCTCCCAAAGCTCGGCTTGGTATTCTTCCCACTTCTTGTGAGGGATGGATTCAGGGTCGAATTTGCCCTCGTCGGTAATAACAATCTTCCGTCCCTTCTCTCCCGTGACAACACGTGTGTTACCCCAACTGAAATCATCCATGTGCCAGAAACTGTACAGAGGTAGCCCAAAGGAGAAGACCGGAATGGCAAGGATATAGAGGAACATCCAGCCAACCATCTCCCACTTCCGACGAAGGATGAAAATGATAGCCTGCAGACCGTAGATCGCACCGAGCAGGATGAATGCCGTGATGGGAATGACAGTGGCATGCAGAGCGAGAACGACGATCAGGTAGACGATGTAGGCGACAGTAACAGGCTGGACGAGGGTGGAGAGCAGGTCGATGAAGACGATGAAGCGCATACTGAAGCAGCAGAAACCGCAGAGCTCTGTCAATGGCATCAGCTCAATCAGGTTATGCACCGTAGAGTTGATCCAGCGACGACGTTGCGAAAGGAAGACCTTCCAGGAATCAGGAGCAATGGTCCAAGCGTGAGCGTTGAAGATATACTTGGTCTTGTACTTGGCGTGATGCTTTATGAGGAGTGTCGTCAGGTAACGATCCTCTCCCAGGTGAAGCAGGTTCTTCGTATGAAGCGTGTCCACGCGGATGGTCGCATAGGCCTCGATAACCTCACGGCTCACGAAGAGCGGCTTCCCGGAATCCGCTGCTCGGATGCGATACATGGTGAAACAACCTGGCAAACAGGTGACACTGCCAAACAAACTCTCGAACGCCTTGGAGAGGTTGTGAGAGATGTAGTATTCGTAGACTTGAATCATCGTGACGAAGGATGATTTGGCATTCGAAAGAGCCGTCTCACCACAAACTCCGATGAGTCTCGTGTCGTCCAGGAAGGCCGAGACCATGCGAGACGCTGAATCGGGAGCAACTACCGTATCCGCATCGATCTGTAACATGAACTCGTAGAAGGTGGGATTGACCCCGATGATATTCCGAATCTGGTGGTACATCTCGAGTTCGAGTGGACTCATAGGAGCGTTGTAGTGAACCCGGTTCAAGAATCGCATCATGATCATTTGAGAATCACGCTTTCCTCTGTTCCCTGGTCTGGAGACCTCGGAGGGTTTGCCAACCTTGACGATGACCATGAATGGTACGATGTGACCTTGAACCTCATAGAGACCGGAGTAGACCTTGCCCATGTTGTGCTGCTTCATGCCTTCGCCCAACGATTCGAAGCTCAGGGGCTCGGGGTCCACGGTCTCGGAAACCCCCAGGACGTCCAGCACAATGCGTGGGGTTGGTTTATCATTGCCCTGACCGATGATCATACCGTCACAGACGATCACGAGGAGTTTACGTTTGTCATCGTACTTCATCCTGGCGGCCGAGTCGATAGCACGACGGACGGAGTCCTCGTCTTCTGTGTACACGGGCACTTGACAAATGATGAACTTGTCGAGGTTTTCCGGGATGTTCTTGCTCCCAAATTGGAGAGCGGCGAAGAACTTGAACCCGATGACACTGCAAAGGAGGATGGAAACGGCCAGGACCATATACCGTGCAAACTGGCACCTGGTAGAATTTCTCGTATCAACATCCCCGACATAGAACAGATTGTCGAGGCAGAGTTGCATACGACTGCGCATCCCGCTATCGATGTCCAGAGCGTTCCAGTATTTGGTCACATCAGAACCCGCCTTCTGTTGGAACAGGTCTATAACCAATGGATCCATGAAATTGGTATTAATATCAGTAGGAGCTGTCTGACCAGCCGGGGGCACCACTCGGCGTCCTCCCTGGACATACTTCGTTAGGTCATAGACCCGACTGTTCATGATAGCAATCGAGTTCTGCTTATTAGCCAGGGTGTGGACATACTGAGGCGTGTAGCCGATGTTTCCCTTCTTGTAGCTAGCTTTGAGCATCATCATCTGCTCAAAAAACCAGTCAGGGCGGCTGTCGTTGGTGAATGCCCTGAAGTCGTGGTATTTCATGTTGGGATCCGTGCTACTGATCACGGAAGCCGAGCCGGTCACATTCGTGGGTGAATAATCGAGTTGAACAAGGGGGTCGATGCTCCCATTGACCCCCTGGCAGAGAGCAGACACCTGGACCGGGAAGAGACCCGTCGCATCAAGGCCAGCGTACTTGAGGAGGGACTTCTCAGGAATGATGTACGGGTAGTGATTTGGCGCGAATTCCGATAGATCAAAAACCAGTCCACGAATGGCAACATAGGCAGGAGAACCTTTGCCGTCATAGGACGTCAGCTCTGCGGCACTGTAGACATGTTGCTTGGGGCAAATGACGATAGGGAAGCCGACGATGAAGAACGCGACGGCGAGACAGCTCCACCAAATCATCATGTTGATGGCAAACTTCTCCCTCCATGCCAAGCGGACATCTTTGCGGGGCATCCGGCCAACCCACCGGATCATGAAATCCGGTATCATCCAGGTCATGGCCCAGACTGCAAAGAGCCACCTCTTCCGGCTGCTGCTGGTTGTAACCTCTTCAACCTCCACCATCGTTTTCTCATTGCCCTTCTCGGCCAATTGCTCTTTCGTATCGAGATTCCGGAACATGTCGCCTTGCCCAAGCGCAGATGCCCCGGCATCAGATCGTGAATCGACATCGTGGCTACCAAAATAGCCCGCCTTCTTGTCTCCATAACCGTAGGATGGAGAGGGCAGGAGGCGTTCCTTCGACGCTCCATAAGCGCCGTGTACGTCGTGCGGGGAGAGCATGTGTTCTCCTCCATCGTCAGAGGGCACAGGGTAGCGGCCTTGGGTGAACCCACGCTCGCTGAGTCGGGCGACCTCAGCCCAGCATCGCTCACTCAAGAAGACACCGGTAGCGCCGATCCGGGCTTCGTTCGCGGGCCATTTCTTCTCCTCAACAACCATCTCGGCTTTCTCACGTTCGCTACCAACCAAGATTGTCTCGGCATCTGCAAGGCCAAGGAATTCTCCAAACGGCAGGAAGAGACTGAAGTCAGCATTTCGGAGGCGCTGGCTGATTTCTGCGATGCCGAACGTCTGGATCTGTGTCCGCACGCACTTGCTGTCAAACTGGTTGGCAATGCGTCGATCGTTGGGCTTGAGACAGAAGACAAAGTAGGGGTTTGTATTCGGCGCGGTAAGAGCCTTTGTGACGTTGTCCAGAGACGACAGGAACTGAGCTGCTGCGCCTTGGTCAATGTTACGAACTCTCCGGCCCTTTGTGGATCCCACGTCGGAGAGGTCGTCGATAGATTCGGTAGGCTGCTTCATGTCGTGAGCCTCCAATCTCGCGGGTCTTTCGCCCTTCCGTCGCATGACACTTGGCTGTCGTAGAGGCTTCGAGCTCACTTGAGCCTGCACGATGGTCTTCTTCTCCTGTGGATGCACAACAGTCTGCAAGGCTTCTTGTCCGAAGAGTTGGCTGACAAAGTCACTCTTCGTGGACGAGATCAGGTTCATCAAGTCCGCAGAGATGACTTCCCCGTTCTCCTCCACCAGGCCCGACACTGGATAGTCCACCTCTCCTGCGAAGTGTTTAACCGTGAATGTTGCTGCGGTATTGACGGTTGCGAAATTGCTTCCCGGGAGCTTGGCAGTGGCGCTCCCGACGGCAATTGCTGGGTTCTTGCCCTCAAACCGCTTCCGGAGACTCTCCAGCAACTGCATGTCCGTCCTGTTCCGTTTCGTTTGGTCATCGATGATACTCAAAAGGCCGTTTCCATGCTTGAGGAGTCCCTTGACAGCGTCGGAATTATCAAAGTAGCTGGTCGCCGCCACACTCACTTCCTCCGACTCGAGCATCTCGGCCTTTCTTTCAAAAAAGTTCTGGAGAGTGAAGTTGTACAGGGCCTCGGTGGCGGCATTGCTAAGGAGCTGGTCCAGTGTGGAATAAGTAGAAGGTTGCTGAGCAAACCCTGGGAAATCAACGATGGATATCGTATTGGCGACCGACTCCTCGGCGGCACAAACTCTTTGGTTGATGTTCTCGATCACGTATGCTACGAGCAAAGAGTAGAGGGTCCTCGCGAGTTCATCTGCATTACTCCTTGCCCCCTTGGGGTCCAGCATGACCGTTACTCGCTCCCGGTGAAGCATCTTGGTCTTGTAACCAAGAGTGGTTTGCAGGTCCTGCGCGGAGACTCCGAGGAAGGCGGCCACTATGGCAAGGACATCCTTATTCTTGACCACTGTGACGCTCTGGCCCCCTTCATGCGAGAAGCCACCACTGTCATCTGCGGTCGGAGTCGTATCCTCACTCGTCTCAAACTCAAGCTGGCCAATATGAAGGATGCTGGCCAGGACCTGACAGATCTCGGCAATCTCACTCCGAGGAAATTCCAGCTTTCTCAAGGCGGTCTTGAACAACTGGAACCCCTCGGCATCATTGATGCCAACCTTGAGCTGCGTTGGATGGCCCAGGTATCGCCATCTCTTCTGCGCTCCTCCTGTGGAGTGTCTGTGGGCATGGCCCCCCACGGCTGCTGGCACCGCTCCAGGTGAGTCGAATCCAAGATGCGCCTTCTCTGCGGGACTCGTGCCAGCCAGTAGATAATACAGGACGTGGAAACTCCGTTCTCCGGTTGGTACCGCTGCCACTCTACTCCGCTCCAACCGGTGATCGAGCAACTTCCCACCGATCAGGGTTGGATTCACAGTCGAAGATGTATCATACTGAAGTTCGTAGAACAGACCAGCTTTGGAAGCTGTTGGCGTTGTGGCGGTCTTGGTTGTGGTCAAGGTATCGAAAACGTAGGCAGCAAGGGATAGCTTCGTAGATAGTGGGGTCGAAGACCTGGCGAGAAGAGCGGAGAGCAAATGTGAACGGACCGTTGTCTTTCCAGAACCCGACTCGCCGCTGGGGAAGTTAGTAACGATCAGAAGAGGTTCCAAATTCTCGCCAAGCGATAAACGTACAGAAATACAATGGCTTGATTCTCAGAGCGTGCTCCAAGTCTTGTGAAGGCCTTGTCTGCCAGGTCTTCGGCTCCGCCCATGGCACTCCCCTCCTTGGTTCCATCGGGGCCCTTGGTGGAGGAGGAATATGTATTCAGAGAGATCAATGCGTGGGAAGACAGCTGTGCGGTCGGCAGGGAGACATGGAATCGGCTTGCGAGGTGAGCCGTGAGATGTGTATCTGATTGCAGATGTGCTGGAAGGGCGGGCAACGAGGGCTGCGAATGGGCCCCCGAACCGCCGTTGACGTTCAAGGCCATGGTGTACGAGGGATTGGGGTCGAAACCCCGGAGGGATGGTGCGAGTTATCCTCTGGAGATGACGGGTATCGAATGCTCGTCTCTGTCGTTCGGGGTGGTTTTTATTCAAGAAGTCCCTGCGTCCCAGTGCCTGTGCTAGAATGCTTGGGCGAAAGGGATGATGGGGTCGAACGAAGGGATGGGGAATAGGCTGGAATAGCCTCCCAAGGCGAAAGCGAGTGACGAGGAACGAACGGCAAGGAGGAGGAGAACGAGAGAGAGGGAGAGAGGGAGAGAGAGAGAAGCTGAAGCCGTATTACTTGCTACGGAATATACAGTCAGTACAGGATGGAAGTGTTGTCGGGGTGGAAAGTTGGGGACGTCGGGACGGTGGGAACTTTTCGGGCGCCGTAACTCGTAAGTTCGTAACAAGCCCCCTTGTTTGTCCTAAGCACATACCACACAGACTACCTTACACTACACGGTCATGTCCAAAAGAATGCTCCGTCACTCGTGGGCAGGTCATTATTAATCCAGTAATGAATTAATATAATATAATATATTCCTAATTAATATATATCAAAACACTACTCCTCGACTACTTTTTGCAACTCTTCCTACTTCTGACATAAGGGGACATAGGAACAGTACAAGCAGACAGGTACGGGCCAGGGGGAGGCTGGGCTTAAAGCGCCGCTGGATTCCTGACGTGTCAGGCACAGCGAGGCTAGAGCACGTCAGAAGCGGCCAGACACACGCGCCGCCCCCAGCAATTCTTCGACGGGAGTCCATCGCTATGATGCACATGTATCGCCACCGGTTTTTTCTCCTTTCGATACGAAGGGGCGCGCTTCTATTCTTGTCCGCGGATGGATGGGCCATGGATATGGACATGCACATTGACATGCACATTGACATTGTTCTCCAGCCACAGCGAGGGCATCATGGCCAAAACACCTGTCTCTGGCGGCGGCCCTGCATAGCGCATCTCTCTCCAATAGTCTGTGTCCGCTGCACGGTACTTACTAGCCAGAGCAGATCGCGAGGACGTGTTGCTGTGTTTACCCAACAGAGCCCGCGAGACGAGGATGGGATCTGTGTGTTTGCAGCACCCTCTGCCCCGCAAAGATATAACTTTGCTTTTTCTTCCAGTCCCTTTTTTTCCAGTCCCTTTCTTTTTTATTCTTTTTTTTTCTCCCCGTCCCTTTTCTTTTTGATTCCCTTTTTTCCCCCATCGGAATCCCTCCCCCTGCGACATCCCTGCATTGTTGACGGAGCCGGGCTGGTGCGGCTGGTGGAGCCGATGACATACTCTATAAATAGCGCACCCGTCCCTCTGGGCTGGTTCTGCTGGCGAAGACGGGGCGCCGCTCTTGTGGTTCGCCCAGTTGAGCCTCGTCTGGTTCTGTGGTAGCGCTCGTAGGTCATCGTAAGCGTGACTCCCTCCTCGTAAAAGCGGCCACGGCGGGTGGTTCAGATGCAGCTTAGCCCGGCATCCAGGGGCCAGCCCGTGTGGCCGGCGATCGTCGATTCGTCGATTCGCCTGTCCTTCGTATCCCGTATCCTCACGTCGTGAGGAATTCCCCGTCGAGAGAGACAGAGAGAGAGGAACATTCCACCACAAACCTCCACCTCCACTCCACCTCCACAACCTCTGCTCCTCCGTCTCTCGCTGAACACACTTCTCTCCCATCTCTTGCCTCTCGGGCATATCCAACGAGTCTTTCGTTCCTCTTCTCTTGCACCGCTTTCGTTTTGGTGCTCTCTCGTAGTTTTCCCCCTGCCTTTCGTTTTGCACCCTCGCTGCCGAACCGAAACATCTGTTGATTGCTTCCCCGGAGCCCCTAACGATAGCCACACCTTGCCTCACTTCTCCCCGACACTCGACTCACGACTTCTTTCGCTGGCCCTCAACCCAACCCTTCCATACACCCGACATCGTCCATCCCCAGAGCACAGCAACGTTCGATACTGCGTGATCCGGGGGCACCAGGCAGATCAACAAAAGGCCGCAGAAGCCCGGAGGGAGGGAAGGACGCCTCGTCTCCCACACCATGGCGGCCAACAATCGAATGTCCATGTACTCGCTGGCCTCCTCTCATGGGGCCCCGAGGATCGTGAATTCGGCCATCCAGCAGTCAACGCAGGTCTCAACCACCACCCTTCTGAATGCCGTCCACACCATCTACACCTCCGGTCAACCTTACCAGCTGGATGCCAGCACCAGCTTGGTGGTCAACACCTGGCTGACGGCCTCACAACCAGATCATGAGGGCAGGACTGGAGGGACGGTGGACGCCGCATTGGCTGTCCGAGCCTGGGAGCATGCGAGGCGCCGTGCGGAGGATGGCTGTATCGTCTTAGGGTATGATGAGCATTCCCCATCTTGGTCTTCATTACATATCTAACCGTCTCCTTAGCTCTCTGCACCCCTCGACACCTTCAGTTCTGGCCCCTTTCCTTCAGACGCTTCCCCTCTCTATTCCAGAATCACTATATACCGCTCTCTCAGCGCTTCGACCCTTCATCCACACCGTTTCTCCCCAAAACCATTCCACTCCTCGACAGTCCGCTCTTGGTGTGACCCTCACCCTTACACTCGCCGGAAATCTGTCCGCTGCATCATTGGCCTTGTCCCAGGGCGGCATTGACACCTCCCGGGGACTGCTGAACATCCCAGCAGAGGCAGGCTACCGAGCTTTCGACGTCTTCTACTACCTCCTTACGTCCGCTTCGACCCCCGCCGAACGAGAGTTCTTGGGGCTGAAACATGCCTCCAACTATTCCCTCCTTTCAAAATCAGGCACGTATGATCCACCATCGTATCTCCCAACTGGAGATGATGCTGCGAATGCCGATGACTTCCGTGCCTCCCTGAAGGCAATTGGGATCAAGGGAGCGGCCCACCGTAATTTAATATCCGTGTTGGCTGGATTGTTGAAGCTGGGTGACACGCTAAGCTTTATCATGGACCAGGATGCTCTCGAGGAAGTCTGCGAGGATGTGGGTGGGCTACTAGGACTCGAGCCCGAGGTCCTAGCGAGCCAGTGCTCGACATCCGAGCGGGAGACCCTGATCGGCGGACTCTACGAGGCACTAGTAGACTGGGTTATCCTCAAGGCTAATGAAGCAATTGCTAGTGAGATGCTCAAAATCAGAGACGGCGACTCCTCGAGCGAAGGCGGACCTGGTGCAAGGACTCCAAACACCGAGGAAGATGATGCGGATACCGTCTGCATAACGGTTCTAGAAATCCCCGATCCGACACTGGGCAAGGCGGCAGCCATGCGTGGTGTCTTTGATGATACCCAGGGCATCAACTCGGAGATGAAGGAAGATGGCGTTGACGTTGTCGCCGCTGGCTCTTCCGTCCTGCGCGAGATGCAAAATGCCGTGGCCGAAGTGGCCCCTGATCTTGGTATCATGACTGGCCCTTCCGGACGGGACCGTGAGCACGAGCGCGAACGGCGTGAGGCTGTCTTGGAGAAGGTCGGACGAGAAGGGGAGGACGAGGGTTTCTTGAAGCAGATCCTCTTCCCTGTCGAGGGGCAAGGGGTGAACTTGGGACGTGAGGGACGCATCGACCTGCCACATGTTCTCGGGAGCAGCCGTGTATGGTACCATTTATCAATTCACCCCACGGATGACTCGCCTGCTAGCCTAGCTGCGCTCCCGTCGACGACCTCGGCATGGTCCGCAGGCACAGTCTCGCGGCAACTCCGCGCATGGCGATTGCCTGAATGGGCGAATCGCCGCAACAAGCACCTAGACTTCACCGCCGACTTCGACCACGATGAGTTCTGCCAGCGCTACGCCCCGCTCGGCTGTAAAGATGGCAGAGACGGCATCGAGAGTTGGCTCATGGAACGGGGTTGGAGCAATGGTGAGGTGGTCGTTGGTACGGAACGCATATGGATGCGTGAGAATGCGTGGTGGGAGGCGGAGAGGATGCTTGATCTGAAGCCCTCAAACGATGCATTTGTCGGTCTGGGAAGCATGATTGGAGGCGAAAACAACATGGAGACGTCGGGCTATCCTGCCGCTGCGCCGGCTCCGAATGCAAGTGGCTTCTTCGTCCCCCCGAACGATTTGACACCTCAGGGAAGCAGAGATAATCTCCTTCCGCGCCAGAGCACCATGGGCCGTAGTGCGCTGGGTGCTCGGTCAACCGCTCCGTCCAGAATTATCAGTAATGGGGATTACGGCCTTGGTTTCAAAGGCGACGATATGAAGGGCCGCGGATATTACAGTGAGATGGATGAGATCATCGCCAGCATGGATCCTGAGATGGCCGAGCCGAAGACGATCACCACGGAGAAAGTTACTCCTAGTCGTCGTATCTGGGTGGCGGTCGTGTGGGCATTGACTTGGTGGATCCCTTCGTTCGTTCTCCGCTATGTTGGCCGCATGAAGCGTCCAGACGTTCGAATGGCGTGGAGAGAGAAGATCGTTCTAGTTTTCATCATCGCTCTGATCAACGCTATCGTTATCTTCTGGATCGTCGAATTCGGTAGGTTATTATGCCCAAATTCTGACAAGGCCTGGGATCAAAACCAGGTGGCCACTCATCAGGGAGATGCCGATTTCTGGGTCAGCATCCGCGGAAAGGTTTACGACATTTCAAAGTTCTGGAAGTTGCAACACAGCGACACGGTCATCCAGACGACGAAGGAAAACATGCAGCCTTTCGCTGGGATGAATCTCGACGAGTACTTTGTCCCGCCTCTTACTGTATCCTGTCCTGGCCTGGTTACCGATGATACTTTGACTCTTCTTGCCAATACATCTGTCCTCTACCCCGAGGGGGTCCATACTTCAGGGCCTCTGCAACCGTACAAGAACAGTAAGCTACACAACATCAACTGGTACGCCCAAGACTTCCTCCCCCGGATCAAAGAGTACTATCATGGAGAGCTTGTGACCAAGGCGGGCACCGTCAAGGCCGACGGCCAGAACAATAATCATCCTTGGTTCATCCTGAATGGCAAGATCTACGACCTCACCGACTACTTCTACACATTGAAGACCGAGGGAAACCTAGCCAGGTACAATTTTATCGACAGTTCGGTCCAGACAATGATCCAGAACAACCCCGGCCTTGATATCACGGATACGTGGAACTCGAATTACTTGGCCGCCAATGGAAGCCAGCAGGTTGTTCTTGACAATACATTGAACTGTTTCAACAATGCTTTCTACATTGGTATTCCCGACTTCCGAGACTCTGCCAGGTGCCAGGTCAACAATTACATCCTGCTCGCCTTCACAATTCTCCTGTGTGCCGTCATCGGGACCAAGTTCGTCGCGGCTCTGCAATTCGGCTCCAAGCGCCGTCCAGCCCCCCAGGACAAGTTCGTCATCTGTCAAGTCCCTGCCTATACCGAGGGCGAAGATTCACTACGGAAAGCACTGGATTCCTTGACGGCTCTCCAATACGACAACAAGAGGAAGCTGATCTGCGTTATTTGCGACGGCATGATCGTCGGAGGTGGCAATGACCGGCCCACCCCAAAGATCGTTCTGGATATTCTTGGGGTCGACCCGAAGATTGACCCTCCGGCGTTGCCCTTCAAGTCGGTTGGAGAGAGTAGCGACCAGCTGAACTATGGCAAAGTCTACTCTGGTCTCTATGAATTCGAAGGAAACGTCGTGCCATACATTGTGGTAGTAAAGGTTGGCAAGGAATCCGAACAGTCGAAGTCTAAGCCTGGAAATCGTGGAAAACGAGACTCCCAGGTCTTGCTCCTGAACTTCCTTAACCGTGTCCACCACCGAGCACCCATGTCGCCACTCGAGCTGGAGATGTTCCACCAGATCAACAACATCATTGGTGTTGACCCCGAACTCTATGAATACCTTCTCATGGTCGACGCCGATACTAGCGTCAGAGAGGACTCTCTGAATCGTCTCGTGGCTGCTTGTGCAAATAATGCCAAGATTGCTGGTATCTGCGGTGAAACCAGTCTGGAGAACGAGGAGCGGTCTTGGTGGACCATGATCCAGGTTTACGAATACTTCATTTCCCATCATCTAGCAAAGGCTTTCGAGTCGCTCTTCGGCAGTGTTACCTGTTTGCCTGGTTGGTAAGTTTGAACATGGCTCCCCCTGCGGCGGGCAAATCTGACATGCAACTAGTTTCTCCATGTATCGTCTGCGCACTGCTGACAAAGGCAAACCCTTGATCATCTCGGACGCTCTGATCAATGAATACAGCGATTGTGTTGTCGATACTCTGCACAAGAAGAACCTCCTGTCCTTGGGTGAAGATCGATACCTCACGACGCTAATGACCAAGCACTTCCCCTACATGTCCTACAAATTCATTCCTGATGCGTACGCAAAGACTGCCGCACCTGAGGAGTGGAACGTTCTCCTGTCCCAGAGAAGAAGATGGATCAACTCCACCATCCATAACCTGGCCGAGTTGGTCTGGTTGAAAGAGATGTGCGGATTCTGCTGTTTTAGTATGAGATTTGTCGTCTTCATTGATCTTTTCGGAACCCTCATCCTCCCGGCGACTTGCGGATATCTTGGGTACCTCATCTACCGGGTTGCGACCCACTCAGGCCAATTCCCCTTGATCTCAATTATCATGATCGCCGCCGTATATGGTCTTCAGGCGGCTATCTTTATACTCAAGCGGCAGTGGCAGCACGTTGGATGGATGATCATCTATCTCATAGCCTTCCCCATCTACTCGTTCGTCCTCCCTATCTACTCCTTCTGGAATCAAGACAACTTCACGTGGGGTAACACCCGTATCGTTATTGGCGAGAAGGGGAACAAGCAAGTCGTCGCCGTCGATGATGAAGGCTTCGACCCTCGCAGCATCCCTCTCCAACGCTGGGACGACTACGCTCTAGCCAACAACCTCCCAGGCCGCCGTGGCGTCCCGATCGAGAAGGCCTACGATAGCTTTGACGACACCTACGAGATGGACGACATGAAGTCCATGTACTCGTCTGTGAAGCCTGCCTCCACAATCCTCACCGGTTTCCCCGGTCGGGGGTCCTACATGCCACCCAACTCCCCCGGCTTTGGCGGACCACGGCAATCCGGTGTCTCGCCGTATGGCCAGTACAATGACTCTCCAGGAACCCGTCACCAATCCTTCATGTCCCTCGGTGCCGGACAGCAAGATCGCTCTGCGTCGCCGTACCAAGACCACCCACAATCGCACCGTCCAAGCATGGTCATGGCGCCATCCAGCGAGAACCTCTTGGGGCCGAACTCTCCAAATCCATTCCACTCGCGATCGCAGAGCCAGATCGGCTACACGGGCGGTGCACGCACGCCTATTGGATTCGGGGCAGCTTCCCGTCCTGTGAGCCAGTTTGATTTCCAGCGCGGCAACAGCGGACCAGACGACATGATGATCGTCGAGGCCATCCAGAGCTGTCTCCGCGAGGTTGATCTGGACACGGTGACGAAGAAGCAAGTGCGCGCGTTAGTGGAACAAAGATTGCAGACGGAGCTGGTGGGCGAGCGCCGCACATTCCTCGACCGGATGATCGACCAGGAGCTAGCCAATATGTAGAATGTGTGTATTTTAAAAGGAAAAAAATGGAATGGAAAGTAGAAGAGAAGAAGAAACAAAAGAATTTGCGCCAAACACGATAATGGACCAAGGATCATCAATACAATTACAAATACAATACAATCAAGGGCGGGGTCGGTGTTTTTCCTTTTAATCTCATGAGGCGCTATCTATCGGAGGAGCATACATGCATTGCTGGTTCAGGGATTCTTTTGTCTTGCTTTCCTTTTTGTTTTCCTTTCCTTTTAGGTATAGTAACTAAGTAAAGTAGTTAGCTAGGTAGATCAAAAGATAACATAAGTAAAGAATAAAGAATATGTAATTAAGTATATACAGTCAGTCAGTCCCTCACTTATTTTCTCTTTTTTTGGTGTATTTGGGTGGGTGGGTGAGAGGGTGAAGGGGGAGGAGATAGGGGATAGGGGGGGTTTAAATGGGAATTATGATGAGGATTTTACCCCTTTTCTTTTCCTTGCCTAGGTATCTATCTATATAATCCGAAGAATGAAATCTAGAGGAAGACTCATTTACACATGTAGAGTTTGTATACCACGCATACTTCATGATAGATGAAAAATTCAAGTCTTATTCTCGTTCTTCTTATTCTATAATCTTCAGCTAGCTAAATTCCCAATCCTAATCCTAATCCCAATTTCCATTTCGATTCCATATTAGAAGGGGATCCAATCAATCAATCAATCAATCATCTAGTAACTACTACTACTGCTGCTGCTGTTGCTATGATAGATAATGAATAAAAAAATAATTGTATGAATCATGAATCATGATGCATCAAGGATTTCTTTCTTCTTTCTTCCCCACAAACCCCCAACCCCTCAAACCCCCTAACCCCCTGAACCCCCTGGTACAGGAATTTAACCCCGCACCCCACGAACTGAGTCCCACCCCCGCGCTACTACAGCTTCTGCCACCCTCTCACGACGCGATCGACGGCGCGCGCAAAGTATTCCAGATTATGCGTATTCAGACCGGCCATGCTGATGCGCCCGTTCTTGGTCATGTAGACGTGGGCCACGTCGCGCAGCTCGCGCACCTGCGTCTCGCTCAGCCCCGTGAACGAGAACATGCCGATCTGGTCCGTGATGTGGTTCCAGGTGCCCGGGGTGCCGAGCTCTTCGAGCCGCGCGCGGAGAGCTTGCCGCATCGAGATGATGCGCCCCGACATCTCGCGGAGGTTGGCTTCCCACTCGGCGAAGAGCGTGGCGTCGTTGAGGATCAGGCTCGCGATGCGCGCGCCGTATGCCGGCGGGTTGGAGATCTCGGACCGTTGCAGCTGTTGCAGTTGTGACCCGATGCGGGAGATGGTCTTGGCGGCGTCGGGGCTAGGACCCGTGACGAAATGGAAGGCCCCGGCGCGCTCGCCGTACAGGCCGAAGTTCTTGGCGAAGGATTGCGCGATGCACAGCTCGAAGCCTTGGGAGACGAAGTAGCGGATGGCCCAGGCGTCGCGGGCGAGGTCGCCCGATGCGAAGCCTTGGTAGGCACAGTCGAAGAAGGGGAAGTGGGATTTCTGCTTCAGCAGCGCGGCCAGCTCGCGCCACTGGTCTTGTGTCGGGTCGACGCCCGTGGGGTTGTGCGCGCAGGCGTGGAGGAGGATGATGCTGCGGTCGGGAGCGGCAGCGATGGCTTGCTTCATGCCATCAAAGTCAAGGCCCTTGGTGGCCTTTGAGAAGTAGGGGTAGGTTTGTATGGGGATGCCGATATTCGAGAAGATCTGGTTGTGGTTGGCCCATGTCGGGCTGCTGAAGTAGACGCTGGGCTGGCCGGGGTAGAAGCGCTTGAGGAAGAGGGCTCCGAGATGTACCGCTCCTGTGCCCGAGATGGTCTGTATTGAGTGTGCGCGTTTCTCGAGCAGTGCAGGGGAATCGGCGCCCAGGATGAGTTTTGCAGCGGCAGAGGTGAAGCTTTCGAGGCCCGAGATGGGCAGATATTCGTGATTTAAGGCGGGGTCGTTACGGAGGATCTCGTCTGCCTATGTAAGCACGACTGTTAGCAGCAGCAGAGATGCGAGGTGGGATGTCAGAGCGACGATTACTTTCTTGACAACGGGGAGAACCCAGGGCTTTGCGTCGTTATCTCTGTAGGCGCCAATGCCCAGGTCGACCTTCTTGTCGAAGGGGTCGGCCCTGTACGCGGCCATCAAGCCAAAGAGGGGATCCTCTGGAGCTTGGGGGACGACATCTGGGGGAAAACTGGTGGCGGGGAGTGAGGACGACATGTGTGCGGCGATGATCTGGAGACGAGAACTGGGAGGAGAAGAAAAGGGGAGAGGAGATGGAGAAGATGAAGATGTTGATGTCGTCGTGGAGAGAGAAGATTGAGGGGATTGAGAAGATGGAGAGGACTGAGGAGGCATCTTCCGATTAGGAGGGATTTATCACGCGGGGGGCTTCGCTTGGGCGATAAAAATGGAAAATCCGGGGGGAGCACGAGATGCGGGCAATGGATGGATGATGGATAATCACTCAAGGGGAAGTCTTTTGCTTTCTGCTTTCTGCCCGTTCTGTTCGCACTGCTCTGATGGTTGATTGACACTGATGATTGCGAAATAAAAAGGAAAGATATATTATTCTTCATATGAACTCACAATCCCTTCGATACAGACCTGACGGTGCCTAGGTAATGCGCGGCTTCTGTATGGTCAGTCACTGTCGGGCGTAAGATGGGCCGAGGCTCTTCTCATACGATCATCACGATATGTCGACCAGGGACAGCTTCATGTGTCTCACTCACGATGCAGGGCAGCTCTTGGCTCTTGATTGACAGTCACATTCATGATTTGACTTTTTCTTTACTTTTTTCTTTCGTTTTCGTTTTCGTTTTCATCTCCATTTCCATTTTCATCCCCATCTTCGCTTTCACATGCAATCCACATGCCAATCACTTTCACTCATATCGCCAGGTCCCACACCACTAAGAACAGACTCAGGCCACAGGACGCATAGAACACATATTTCGCCGTGCTCTTCCGCTCGGCCGCCTTCTTCAACTGCTTATTCCCGCCCCCGACATTCTCGGCCGTGGTAACCGAATCCGCCACCAGCTGATCGATGTGCGCCGACTGTGTCGCCAGGTTGTTCACGAGCTGCGTCTGCAGCTCCGAGATCTCGACCAGGGATTTCTCGGCGGTCCTGCAAGTTACGAATGTCAGCGTCCATCACTCTCCCTCCATCAAGAGGCGGCTTCCACATACCTGACTTGGTCCAGCGTGCTCTCGTAATGCTTCAGCATATCTTGGTTCTCCTTCTCAAACATCTGGATCTGTTCCGGGGTCAACTCCTGCTCCGGGTTGTACTGCGGCGTCTCCATGTGTGCCGCCGCCGCCCCGGGGTATGTCGCTGGAGGCACGGGGGCATCACTCAACCCGCTCAGCTCAGGCACGGGCCCTCTTCGAGATTTCGCCAGGACGCTCCTGTTCTTTTCCACCTCGCGCATGATCCGCTTCTCCATCATCGAGGCCTGGAAGCTCCCGCATTCTTGTAGCTTCTGTCGTAGATACCATAGCACGCTCTCCCGGTGCATACTGATCGCGCTGGCTTTAGCTTCGTCCAGCTCCTGCTCATGTGACTTTGTATGCCCAACACCGCCCGCTGCCCATGACCCAAGGGCTCCCAAGCCTAGCCGTGCATATTTCTTTCGCGTGAGGGTGGTCTCGGTATTCTGCCGTAGCTGTTCCGCATCTGCCAGGTTCCTGATACTGGCATTCAACTCTCGTAGTAACTGCTTCGTCTCGGCGTCAATCTCCTCCTTCTGGCGATCTGTCAGATGCGTCGACTGTGGCCCTTTCGCGGCGCTATATGTTCGTCGGGGAGGGGGCGCGGTCGAGAGGTAGGCCTGCCGTATGCCTCTCAGGTAGGTATTGAGTGATGCGATATGTGAGTTCTACAGAGCTCGTCAGCATCCCTTGCGGCAGGTCAGGTGCATGCGAACTCACAATGCGGTATGCCTCGGTCAGGAAAGCATCGATATGCTGGAGGGAGAGAGATGGATTGGCGGTCGGGCGAGCATCGTGGCTCTTCAGCAGCTCATTGAGGACGGGTGTTAAGTCCGTCATGGCTGCAACGCAAGGCGAGAGTTAAGCTGCGTGGGAGCAGAAAGGAGAAGTGCAATTAACGCGGACCAAGGGCGCAGGTAGCTTTATGCGATATACAGCATTTCGTTATGATTTCGGTCTCCTGCCGAGCTGGCTGGCGGGCTGTTCCTTGGATGCGGTTCTCGCTTGGAGGACAAGGTACTACGAAGCGGAATGCACTGGGTACCGGGTACAATCGAAGTGGCCAAGGGATGCAGCGGATGAAGGGTTCTCTGTACCTGTTGAGACCTCTAAGTCTCCAAGAGCATCGCAGCATTTAGCTGTCCTTTGCCTGAGGCAGTACAATTGTGTAAGGCATCACAACCAGCTATTTGAATGCTATCCACACTGCTCCCTTTCCTGCCTGCTGAATGTATTCTTATTCGCATCCGTATAAAGAAAATAAATCATAAGAGCCCCTTGATATTGTTTTCTCTTTTCTCACCCATGCCGCTGTACCTACATATCAAAATCATCTCTGACTATCGACGCAACAGAACACCGGAATACCGTAATACCAGAATGCTGGAATTCTCTGTGCCTCACCTTCCTTATAGGGAGTCACGCCTTGTGGAGCACGGAGCACGGAGGCCCGCTGTTCCGTTGGCCTTGTCTGGAAGGGGCTTAGTTGCCCGCTCTGTGAAGCTGGAATTTGTGGGTTGGGGGAAGTCCGTCTGGGTATTCTCTGTATTTACAGTATTCACAAAGTCCTATTTATTTCCCCATCTTACCCTTTCGGGATTTCTTTTCTTGATTCCTTATCAGTTCTTCCACCATGCCATCTTCCTCTCTTTCAAAACTGATCTCTTCTCTGTGCATGAAACAAATTCATTGATCATAGGTAGGTAATTGATATCATCATGTGTCTCTCAGCCTCGACAGTGATAAGCCTGATACGGAACGCCTCCGATGCTCGGCCTGCCGCTCGGCCTTGAGCGCTGCCCAACAACAAAAAAAACGGACGGGTCGGACGGCGGATCTGCTTGCGCCTTGTCAATTTGACAACGGTAGGTTCGATATCTCTCTGCTTCATAGCTCGGTGCTTTTCCATGCCCTTGCTATCTTTTCCTGTTTTTCTCTTTTCTTTTTTCCTTTCTTCCTTCTTTTCCATCCATGTCTCTCTTTCTCTCCCTCTCCCCTTCTCTCTGCTCTCCTCCCCAGTTCTTGGGCATGATCTCCCCGCTGTTCCGCCCTCATGTCTCCAGATAACCCCATCCAAGATGCAGACGAGGCAGACAAGGCCAACAAGGCCGGCAAGGCTGGCAAGGCAGAGGAAGCTGGAGCCGCGACCCACGGAACCGTCCAGGTATCCGAATCCACAGAACACAAAGGCCCAGACGACGAGCCGGCCCTCGAGGAACTGGCTCCCGTCGTCAGTGGGCCACCTTACTCCGCCTTTGGCAAATGGAAGAAGAGGTACATCGTGACCATGGTGACTTTGGCCGCCTTCATCTCGCCCACGTCGGCCAACATCTACTTCCCGGCCCTGAATCCCCTGCGCGTCGACCTCAATGTCTCGAGCACCCTCATCAACCTGACCCTCACCTCCTACATGATCTTCCAGGGCTTGGCGCCGACCGTCTTTGGCGACTTGGCGGATATGGCGGGGAGGAGGCCCGCCTACATCCTGGCCTTCATCATCTATCTTGGCGCCAATATCGGCCTGGCATTGCAGAACAGTTATGCTGCGCTCTTCGTTCTCCGATGTCTGCAGAGCACGGGGAGCAGCGGCGCCATTGCCCTGGGCTACGGGGTGGTTGCAGACGTCTCGACAAGTTCGGAACGTGGGAAATACATGGGCATCGTGGGCGCGGGAACTATGCTGGGGCCGGCGCTGGGGCCCGTCATCGGTGGTATCCTCGCGCAGTTCCTGGGGTGGCGCTCTATCTTCTGGTTCCTCGTCATCATCGCGGGGTGTTTCGTGGTCCCCTACGCCCTGACGGTGCCAGAGACCGGCAGGAATGTCGTTGGTAATGGTTCCATCCCGCCCCAGGGCTGGAACATGACTTTCATCGAGTGGTATAAGCTGCGGAAGCAAGAGAAGGCCGGGAACAATGGCCTCTCGAGATCGGAGACGGCTGAGGGCCGACGCCTTGCGCAGGAAGAGTTGGCCAAGAGTCGAAAATTACGATTTCCGAACCCGCTCAAGACGCTCCGTATCGTGGTGCAGAAGGACATGGCCGTAGTATTGTTCTATAACGCTCTCATCTACACCGCATTCTACGACATCACCGCCTCGATGCCCGTCCTCTTCCAAGAAATCTACCACTTCAACGACCTGCAAATCGGCATCTGCTACATCCCCTTTGGCTGCGGCTGCGCCCTCGCCAGTTTCGTCAACGGCCGCATGTTGGACCGCAACTACAAGAAAGTCGCTCGCCAAGTCGGCTTCACCATCGACCGCAAGCGCGGCGACGACCTCCGCTACTTCCCCATCGAACGCGCCCGTCTCGAGATCATCTGGCCGATCCTCAGCCTCGGGCTCGCCTGCGTGCTCTGCTACGGCTGGGTTCTCGAGAAGAACGCCAACCTGGCCGCGCCGCTCATCCTGCAATTCCTCATCGGCCTCTGCGTCAACGGCTCCTTCAACATCCTCAGCACGCTGGTCGTCGATCTCTACCCGCAGAGCCCGTCCACCGCGACCGCCGCCAACAATCTCGTGCGCTGCTTCATGGGCGCTGCTGGGACCGGCATCATCAATATCATGATCGACCATATGGGTCGTGGCTGGTGCTTCACGTTCATCGCGCTGGTCTGCATAGTCGCGATGCCTCTCCTCTGGGTCGAGTTGAAATGGGGCCCGAAATGGCGGGAGGAGCGCATGGTAAGGATCGAGAAACAGGCCGAGAAGAAGAAGAGATTGCGCGATCATTCTCACGATCCCGTGCAGGAAACGAATGAAAAATCTTAGAATAAAAAGAATATATCAAAATACAAAAAAACATCTTAATATAACATGAAGATAGATTCTTGATTTTTTTGCGCGTGAGATGCATAGACGGACGGACCTTTCGGAAAACACAGAGGCGGCTGGCTGGCTGGCTGGGCGTTTTAGGGATGGGATACAGGTTAGATTAATATATAGAGATATAAACTTATTTATTCATTTGATTTATTTAATTCATTCAAATACCCCTCCTTTTTTCCTAACCCATTTCCATCCCTCCTCCCCCCGGCTCCCCGCCTCACCCACCCGAGAACCAGTCTGCGCACTACCTAAACCGAACTTTTTACACTCATAGGACATGGAAATATTTGGGGTGTGAATCGGAGTGGATTGAATTGGATTGGAAGTGATGATTGATGAGGATTGGATGGTGGATGGTGGATGGTGGATGGTGGATGGATGGGGGACGGGGATGAAAAAGGGGGGGGGGGTTAAGCGAGAAGATAGGGGAGGGGAGGGGGGAAAGGTCACGGGATCAGGGGGTTTGGGTCCAAGTCAAATGAATGGCTTGCGATATTACTTTTTATGTTTTTTTATCTTTTTTTTATTTTTTTATTCGATGGGGAAGATAGACTGACTGATCTACCTAGACAAGCGCTCTCGGACATCCCTCATAGCAGCCAGATACTATCTATATCTACGCCTTTGAAGATTTCAGACCGAGGCTAGCAGCTTCGGCAGCCACCGTGGCCGGGATCTCAGCTTCCAGGGGAGCTCCCTTGGGCGCCCAGCCCAAGAACTTCCTCGCTCTCTTAGCATACCCCTTGGAGTTCAAGCCCCATGACAGCGCCTGGAAGCCGGCGATCCTCAGCGCCTCCTCGCCCGACAGCGGTTCCACCTCGGGGCTCTTGAGGAAGCCCTGCTTGTACGCCTCCTCGGCGATCTGCTTGGCCACCTGGCCCCACACGTGGTGCGTGCTCTCGAGGAGGAAGTAGCCGTTGGGGCCCCAGAGCTCGGCATCGAGCTCCGGCTTGTGCGCGATGGCGGCTTCGACCAGCAGGATGAAGAACTGGCTCACGTCGTAGATGTGCACGTTGTCCCACTCGGTGAGGCCGCGCCCTACTTGTGGCGCCTTGCCTCGCTCTAATGTCGCCCGGGCAAGGCCAGGTACCTGCTTGCTCCGTGTGTTGCCGGGACCGCGACCGGCGCCATAGATGGTCGAGGGGCAGACGATGGCGGTCTTTACGACGTCGGAGCTGGCGGCGAGCACGAGCTTGTCGACATCGCGGTGGAAAGCCTTGTCGGGCAGGGAGGTAAGGTCGCCGACGGCGTCCAGGTCATCGTAGGCTGGCTGGGAGGGAGGCTCGCCGAAGGTCTTGGTCTCCTCGTCCTTCCAGCACAGGATACCGGTGCCGGAAGTATGCAGCCAGAATCCGGGCTTCTCCTTCGAGTGACCCTTGGCAATTCCTTTGGCGATGGCAGTTGCGGCTGGGACGTGGTCGGAGGCATCTGCGGTGTCTGCACGATGCAAGTTGGTTAGTATTTGGGCTGCCAGGGGGAGGGATAAGGGGTATTACGAACGGATAACTATGTCTGCCTTTGCACTCTCCTCCTCCAGCACAGCGGCATCGTCAAGGGTGCCATACACGAGACGGACTTTAGGGTACGCAGCAGCTACTGGCGCTCCCTTCTCTGCGTTGCGGACGATTGCCGTGTATTCATACTCTGGGTGAGCCTTGTGGAGGGCATAGAGGGCATCCCCGCCAATGTACCCTGTTACACCGGTGCTCGAAGCTTGTCAGCCAATGATTGAATTGCAATGGAGAGACAAATAGATTCCTACATGAAGATCTTTGGAGCCATGATTGCAGTAAGTAAATAAACAAAGAAACAAGCGTATAGTTTCGTTATTCGTCGCGTGGGTTTGTATATAGAGAAAAGGCTGGCAGAAGGCTGAGGGGTTAAATACTCCCCCTCGGCGGGGCAGATCTACAATACGCAATACGGAGATACGACTGATTACAAATCTTAAAGTCCGGGAGTCCACTGTATTGGGAGCTGACTGCCGCTTTTGGTTCCCGCCCTGTGTAACCATGGATCACGTGTAGCCTGCCACGTGCGCCCTGAGCTCCCTTTCAGGTCGGCCAGGTAACTTCGTGTGTACCTCAGGTAGCAACGCAACAACACCAAGCCAAGTATCGTGATATTAGTTGGCAAGTCTGCCTTCCAATTATCTTCCAATAGAGGCCTGACTTTACACAAGATCTCTCTCGCTTTACTGCCATTTATTACATGTAACAAACAGTTCTATTCAAGATAGCCAAAACACGTTGTTTGCTTCTCACCGCTTTCAATCCAATACTGTGTGCATAGTACAAGCCCAAAGCCAAGATGTGGCAAGTTCCCATCTTCAGCTGGCCTTCTCTATCTTCATTTCTGTGCCCTTTTCGCGCTTTGATTTTTGGTTCCGTGTCCAGATTCTGCTCTTTGTTGAAGACGTGTCTCTTATTCCCCCTGACTGCCACTGGTCTCGTGACCTCATTCATGACCACCAATCTCTACGTCTCTTCATACATTGGGACCATCACCTCGCTCCAATTGACTCGGCATCCCGATGCTTCTTATTCCCTCACCCAAGTCGCTGTCAATGACGGATCGTACCCGAACCCCTCGTGGTTGACCAGAGACGAGCATAACGGCGTGGTGTACTGTCTCGACGAAGGACTCACAGTCCTCGATGGCTCTCTGGCATCTTACAAGACCTCTGCATCCGGCGTGCTCACCCAAATCGACCGCCACAGCACGATCAATGGGCCCGTAAGCTCCGTCGTCTACAACGGCGGGAAGGCTCTCGCGGTAGCCCACTAGTGAGTTTCCCTTTCCCCTTCCCCTTCCCCTTCTCATACCTGATCCCCGGATCTAACACAGACATATGATAGCACCGGCTCTGCCGTCACATCTTGGGCCATCCTTCCCTCAGGCGGTGTTCAACTCCTCCAAGAATTCCCCTTCACCCTGTCCAAACCAGGCCCCGACCCCTCCCGACAAGAAGCCCCGCACCCTCACCAAGCCGTCGTCGACCCCACCGATTCTTTCATCGTCGTCCCCGACCTAGGCGCCGACCTCGTGCGTATCTTCCGCATCGACCACAGCACCAGCCTTCTCACCGAGCTCGTGCCCTTTAAGGCCTCGCTCGGCTCTGGCCCGCGTCACGGCGCCTTCCTAGCTTCTGGAGACGCGACCTATTTCTTCCTCGTCTCGGAGCTGGGTAATACCGTCACTTCATATAGAGTACTGTATGGATCTGATTCATTATCATTCGAGGAGTTATCCTCTAGCGGTATTTACGGGGATAGGAAAACGCCCGAGGGCGCCGCTGCCGCTGCGGCTCTCTTGACTGTAAGTATTTCACCGTCCATCCATCAAAGCATACATAAAATCCAGGGCACTAATCAAGGAAAACGCCAAAATTTCCAGCCTGACGATAAATACCTCCTCACCTCCTCCCGCAACGCAACGCTCTTCCAGATCCCATCCTTCGAACCGGACTCGAGCACGCTGATCCCGTCCGACACGCTACAGAGTTGGAAGATCGACCACGGAACCGGGAGACTGGAATTTCACCAGCTGGCGCCCGCGGGCGGGAGATTCCCGAGACAGTTCTCTGTAAATAGGGATGGGACGCTGGCGGCGGTGGGGTTGCAGCATGATGGTCGAGTGGTGATTGTGCAGAGGGATGTTGAGAATGGGACGTTTGGAAGGTTCGTCGCTGAGATCGATGTTCCGGGTAATGTGACGTGTGTTATTTGGGATGATTAAATGGACTGGCTAGATCGTGATGGGTTCCGGCGTGGGTGGGTGAGTCGGGAGGGGAGGAGGCGTTCTGGTCAAAAAGTTTGGACGGGTCAAGAGTCAAGACAAATGATAGACAATGGTGATTGTCATTGATAGATATTACCTAGCGCGAAGTTATATCAAAGCACAGGATTACCGATCCTCCAATTCCACCCCAGCATCTAGGATATCTTCCGTCCCATCAATCACGTCAAGGCTCGGATTCCTATGGCTGATAGCCGCTCGTCTTGACTCCTCTTGCGTTGGAGTTCCTAATCTGATCTTACCACGAGACACGAGATTGACTTGATCCGACAGCCACAAAGCCGATTTCCGGAAAACACCCCACAGTCTTTCCTGGCCTTCAACCAGGTGCCTATCATCCCTGGGATTCTCACTCGCCTCCACCGTGAACTGGTATTTCAAGCAATCCTTGACTGTTACGAGACCGGTGAGTTTCCCATGGTATTCAATGAGGATCACCCGCGGCCCGATCTTCCGGAACAGTTCCATGACGGTTTCGAGAGGAAGTCGAGGATGCACCGTGACTGGGGTTGGGTCGATGAAGCGGCTGAAGTCGATGGAGTCGGATGCCATGGTGGCGAGTGGAGTAGCTGGCATAGCTGGCGTAGTCGGCATTGTAGCATTATTTGATGCTGGGGAACTGAAATAACATCTTGCCGTGGGGCTGACGGGGTGTTCTCTCTTGACCCGAGCGACGGCGTAACGCAACTCCGTGCGTCCTATATACCCGATGAGGATTTTGGAAGCCAGATCCTCAACGACTGGAAACCCTTGATATTTGTCTTCCTTGAGTAATTCTTCGATGTCCTTCATGCTGAGGCCACTTGCTGGCAGGACAGTAACTTCACTTGTCATGACGCGTGAGACGGGGACCCCGAACGTATGATCTTCCTTATTGTCCAGGAATGGAAAGCCACTGAACCAGATCATCCTATCCGCGATCCCACCTTTACCAAAGAGCTCGCTGACGGCCTTGGTGACGCCCACAACAATCATTGTCGGTAATATGTACGTGAGAGCGCCCGTAAGCTCGAACATTATAACGACGACAGAGACTGTGATGTGCATGATGCCACTCAGAGCTGCGGCAGCTCCAAGAAAAGCGTAGGTTCCCGGTGTAATACATGGAACGTCCGGTTCGCACGCAGCGAAGAATACGGCCCCTGGATAAGCTTCATGGAGCGCTTGTACAAGAATCCCAACTGTTCTTCCAAAGGATGCTCCGATAGCCATGGAAGGCACGAAGATGCCTGCCGGTACCTTGCAACCGTATGAGATTATTACCAGAAATATGCGTAGAATTGTCGCCAGCGTCAATGAGAGGACCATATGCCACCGGTTCTCTCGATCGCACAGCCCATTATAATCTTCTGCGCCCTCGCACTCCAAAAATAGAATTTCCATGCTCTCAGTCATGTCAATTCGGAGGAACATGTTGGGATAGCAGATAATGGCAGTTCCTGCTGCCAGCAATGTAGCTTCAAGGACAGCGTATTTCGTAAGATACTTCTTCCGAAAAGCTTGGGCTCTTAGATTCCACTTTATAACAAAGGCTCCATACAGCCCTCCGAATATACCGATGATGATGAAGAACACGATTTCAAAAAAGTGCCAAGATCTATCGTAATGTACCTGGAACATGACCAGCTGACCGGTCCGGAAGGGATTCATTGCTGCTAGGACGGCTGTTGCGACCAAAGCACAAAAATAACTTCGCCACATTGTCTTCAATGGGAAGTAAGACGACATCTCCTCCAGGGAGAACAGTACACCACCTATGGGGCTTCCAAAGGCTACAGCAACACCAGCGGCAGCACAAGCACTCAAGATCTCGCGAGTCTTTGAGGCATTCCTTCTGTACTTTTGGAATAGCCGCGAAATGACATTTCCGGTACAGACGGCGTAGTGAACACTCGGTCCTTCTTTTCCTACTGATAAACCTGATGCAATGGCCAAAGGTAATGCTATTGATTTAATAGCCAAGGTCCAGAAGCCAAGAAAGCCTTTCATGACAAAGCCGGCTATAATGCATTTGATCTCGGAGATCCCTGATCCGGCCGCATAGGGTGCGAAGGCCCTTACCAGACTTGCGGCGGTCAGAGCAAGTATTGTCTATAGAGGTAAGCCTAGGTACAGTACGAGAGCAGAAGACAAACCATACAGCAACAAAAATATAGAGGATGTAGTTGATGGAAGCATGAGAGCTCCACCGATGCCAGTCATCACATCCTTCTCATTGTCAGCAAAAGAATCCAAAATCCAGAATTTAGGCATACCGTTGTCCTCTCCCCAGCAACAAAATTGCTCGTTCAGATAGAATGCGGTTTTGCAATACCCAAGCTTCACATCTGAAAGCCATTCTGTAATAATATTGAGAAAGGCCGCATTCAGTCCAATGGCAGCACCTATCTCGCCGTAAACATATATTCTCCAAACCATCTTCCTTCATTGCTCACCAATCAGTGTCAACACGATCCAGCCTTGCGCCGCCTCATACGATTCCCAAAGTTTGTATCTCCATCCTGCTCGCCCACCCCTCTCGAAGAACCCCGCAGTCTCTTTCCGTCGGACCTTTCGCCGTAATTGCTCTTTCGCAGCGTCTTGAACCCAATCTGATGTTGTTAGTCAACTTGCTGTGGGATTTTCATAGCAGCTGTACATACCTATCGTCGTAAAGTCCTATCAACTGATTAGTTGAGAGCTTGCAAGGATACATTCTTCATAGTAGTCGCATACCTCATATCTTTTGATCTCCTCAATTTCTTCATTTATCTGATGTTCGGCGACATTTGGCGCGGGATTGGCCTCGCCCTGCTCGGCATTCGAGAGCGCGAAAGACAGTCGGGACGAGACTGAAGGGCGTTGAAGAAGGCGCGGCGAGGGAGCCGCAGAGAAGGAGGACGATTGGGAGTTCATGGCCCTATTCGTAACGGAGTCATAGTTTTAGAGCTTTCTAAGCTGGTACTATATGGTGCTCTTCGTCGATGTTGCGGTCATTGCTCCCTTTCAGCCTCCTTTGGTGGAGGCGGGATCTCCTCCGCTAGCGTCAAAACGCAAACGACCGCCCCCTTTTCCTCTTTTGACCTACGTGATTGCTTTGAGTATATATACTTTTATTTATAATGTTTCAATATAGCAGACAAATTTGTTTCTTCTTGTTTTCCTCCTTCTCACATTGGTTGCATCAAGTGGCAGATCATACCATACGGAGTATGCAAAAGCCTGCATAGGGTTCGATTCCTCTATCTCGGGTTTCTAAAATCTCCTAATGCGGCCAATCAGGCATTCCTTCATTCTCCGAAGGAACAGGACGCGTGAGATCATTAATTCACATCTAGCGATTCAACTAAGTGGTCTTTTTTAATGTGTTGATTTCCCTTCTTAGGTCCTTCTGGTTCATGCATTGCTGAAATTTAATTCTGATATTGTTTCCTGTTTCTACGAATTGAGGGGGGTTCGGGCAAGATTTCGAGGCTTGATGGGCTATACGTGAGGATTGTTTTGCGTATATGCCTCACATCCACAGATATAATTCCAGAGGCATAATATCCTCCAGCTCACCCATTTCCATATCTCTTGATCGGCGCAGGACTGGCCAGATGTGGTCGGTCCCCCCTTAAACCAGGCTGGAACATCTCGGCCCGTGGGCAGAATGGGAAACCAGACTCTTGTGATCTTGTGAATCAGCTTTTTAACTAGAAATTCAGCATCTGATACGACGTGTGAGCATGATATCCTATGCGGCTATGCCCGTCTTGAATTGGAAATGCGCACTCCACCCTAACCCCGTTGGGCCCACACGGAGTGACTGGCCCATGTGATGGGAAGTGAACTCGATTTTGGAAGAGCTGCTGCAGCGACGACATTCAGTTCAACCCGGTCGTTCTCTGGTTCTGGTAGCATTTCTTCCGACGCCGTCCAAGTCCTTTGGATACCAAGAATGGTCATTCCAAGAGCCGGGTGCATGTCAATAAAACCTCCATAGCGGATTATAGCATCCATGATGGCATCCCACCTAGCCAGTCACTCTTAGTACCACCACATGACGATTCATCCTTCTGGGTTTTCAGGAAGAATCGAATTCGTCGCCTGTCAGATAAATCTGCGTCCATTCTTGAATAGAAACATGAAAAGACATGAGGAATCCCACGACAGGACTTATAACTTAGTTCAAAACAATGAGAATTCTAATGATTGATTGCCCTCCGAGAGTTCCAAGGAATGATGCAACCGAATTTTATCTGCCCGAGAACAATCTTTGAATAGGTAGGTTGTTCTAGCTCCATCCCAACTCCCACGACCCTGTCTATCTCTATGTTGGGGTTCGAACAGCCGTTGGATGAAAATATGTCCGACGATTTATAATCACTTGATAATAGAATCGATAAAGATAGACGATAGACATGAAATAAGGAACGAGCAGTTTTCTAGAGAGAGTCGACGTCGACGACGGGGTCGACCTCGGTCAGCTGATCCGACGGAACGGGAAAGGCGGTCGACGAATCGCGTCTCCTCGCGCCTCCCGCCTCGTAGGTCGAATAGTCCGTGGATAGATCCTGAATCTTCTCCCAACTTTTGATACTCACTCACTCTCAACACCATCACCCAGACACCGGTACGCGTCGTTTGTTCTTGTGAAATCATTGGAAGCGCGTATTTGACTGAGTTCGGTACTGACTGCGTCTAACTATAGGAGGCCCTGGACAACGCTTACGGTCGAATGAGCAGAGCAAACGTTTTGCTGGAACCAGAGCAATAAAATACGAGAAGTGGAAGCTGGTCGTCATACGTAAGGCAAGAATCAGGTACGATTCCTTTCTCTGAAAACTCAGATATCATATACCTGGTTTTATCAGCGAACATTGCTTCCCCCTTTCAAACCACGTGATATTCATCTCCTACCTACCTACCGTACCCAAGTACCTCCGAGTAGAGGTACTTTGTATGCCTTTAGCCCTCGCCAAGTGTCGAGGGACTGGATATCACATCTGTTAGATCTCATGTGGCAATCATTAAATATTTCCCCCAGAGACAAGTCTCGACATAAGCAATTTCCCATCAATCACCCGCTCACTGGGATTTCAGCTTCATAGCCATCCAATCCGTCCGAATCCTCCTTTTTGAGATACAAGCAGTTCACACTTCTCCCTTTTTATCTCAAGATGCCTTACAACACAGCTCCCATAATCCCACGGAGGGAGCCATTAGGCCAAGCGCAACTTCCCCGTAAGTCCCATGACATCCCCCTGAAGAGCAAGTCAATTCCTGACCCCCACAGTATCGCGCGTGAAGAAGATCATCGCCCTCGACAACGATGTCAGCATGTGCTCCAACAACGCAGCCTTCGTTATTACTCTAGCTACTGTAAGATCCCAGACCCGGAAAAACGACACCTGCCACCCAGCATACTGATTCCGCAATAGGAGATGTTTATCCAATACCTCGCCGAGCAAGGCCACAACGTCGTGAAATCCGAGCGGAAACCACGCCGGAATATCCAATACCGCGATCTCTGTACCTCCCCCTCCCCCCTTAAACCAACCCACTCTAACGCACCCCAGCAAACGCAGTAGCACATCTCGACAACCTGGAGTTCCTGGTTGACGTCGTGCCGCGCACCGTGCCTTTCAAGCAAGTCAAAGAGCGCAAGGCTCCACAAGGTCCTAAAGCCCTGCTGAATGGCGGGAACGCTGTGGTGCCCGGCCAGACTACGCTCGATGGCCGCTCGCATCTTGCGAATGGCGCCGCCAATGGGTTCACGCACGCGCACGAGGCTGAGGAGGCCGCGGCCCTCGACCCCAACGCGCAGCTGGAGATGGAGAACCGGAGGGCGAGGATGAGCGCGGGGCAGGATGGGCAGCATGCTTACCAGGATGTGGAGATGAGTTAGTAGGGCATGGAGCAATGAGCATATCAGCATTGTATTACTAGCATTGGTCAGCGCGGCGTTCCATGGAATGTTAAAAAAACCATATGTTTTTTCTTTCCCCTTGTCATCACTTCCAGACCAAGCAAGCATCTATGATCAATTTTTTTTTATTCCCGTTTCTTGGAGAGCAGCGTCTCTATACCCATATTGAGCTCTCGACACTTTGTCTAACGCCAGGACTTTTTTCTGAACCCAATCCGCAAAACGCAAAACTCCCCGCCTCACAGAGGACGTAGCTTAACAATCTTCATGCCCCATATGACAGTACTTGTATTACTCCTCCATCATATCATCCGCGCCCTGCGCACCCGCGGGAATCCGTCCCTCATTCAGCTCCTTCTCCAAGCGGATGATCTCCTGCAAGCTCTTCGCGTTCCTAATCAGCTCCTCCACCTTCTTGCGCTCCTTGTCCGTGAGCTTGACTCGGTAGTTCTTTGACGCCGGGGCGGCGGACGGGCCGTTTACTGAAGGGATATCGAATGTCCGGGATTTCACACCCATTATCTAGAGATGTCAATAATGATCAAATCTCTAAGACGAAGCAGCATCGAGTGCCCTTACCTTCGAGGCAAGCGCTGAAGGCTCCGCAGCCGTGCCGAAGAGCTCAACCGCCTTCTTCCGCTCCACATCCTTAACCTTCTTATAATCGAGAAACCTAACACTGGGACATCTCCACAGGATCCAATATCGGTAATGCTGCCCATCCACAATCAGCAACATGATTCTGCATAGATTCCCCCCCCGAGCCCGACCTACCTCCTTAGCCACCACCGGATTCCCCAACAGCACCAGGTGCGTCAGGTTGCGGAAAAGACCCAGCGCATCGAGATCCGCCAGCTCCACAAAGTTGTTCTCCGTCAGCACCAGCGTCGTCAGGTTCGGCAGCGCGTTCGCCAGCGATGGCTGGATGCCCGATATGCGATTGCGCGCCAGCAGCAGCGTGCGCAGCCGCGGCGACAGCGGGAAGTTCCCTAGCACCTGGATATCATTATCCGTGAAATCGATAGCATCGTGCGGCTATTTCCCATTTTCCAGTCAGCAGCTGATTTAATACCTTTTCTCTTGATTCCCCAGGACTGGGGGTCTGCGTGCGTGCGTTTGTGTGTGTGTGCGCGCGGGCACAGGAGAGCAAGAGGGGAAACTCACCCCCGCAACACCGAGGTTCTCAATCGCCGGTATCTTGTGTCCTGTAGATCCAAAGATTCGATATCAACGCAGCTCGCCTCAAAGTGTAGTATCATGTTCTTTTCAGCAGGTACGCACCTCGGAGATCTAGCTCCCGCTCTTTGAGCGGGTTGAGGTAGGAGAGGGAGGATTGGATAAGGTCTGCCGTGAGCCTCATGGTGATCGCGCTTTTACCTGTCGATGTGCCTGTGTGTTGTCCTGAAGAGAAGAACGACGCGCATATGTGGGCGGGAATGTTCGTAAATCGTGGGGAAGGACGAGGCTGAAAATGTTCGTTCCCCTCCACCAGTTTGGAGGTTGTATTTCCTGGGCTATGGGCTAGTCCTAAACGGGCTAGATGGCACGCGAGGGGCTGATTGGTCGGGGACGAGTTGTACGGAGCTCCAGCCCTCGATGTTGACTTTCAGGGGAAATAAGTGTGCCGCCTTGTACACCAAAACGTATTTTCAATATGCTGGTTTCAATAAGAATTATATTCAATGGTATCGATTGGAAACATTATCAGATTTCATATCTACCCATGCCGCCCCCTGAATACTCCGTAATCATAGCGCCGCCATATGACCTGCGTGAGCTTCCGACACCTTATAAATGTATCCCCTGTGTCTACTGAAAGACAAATATAACGCCTGATCTGTCCACCGACACCGTCATGCCATACGGTGATTCTAATAAAGCAATATCGAGAATGGAATCCAGATGCGACTTCAGCAATTGTTGCTGCTGAAGGGAGATTACTGTGGACCTCGGTGGTCTCCCACTGGCCGCTCTGTTCGTGCTTGGAGACTTCGATCCTGCCCCGGCATTAGGAGCTGTCGGACCAGGACGTGGGATTCGCTCGGTGTTCAGTGTCAAAGAGGCCGTGGGATGTGTAGACGTGAATGTCGGCTTCAACTCGTCGATATCAAGGCCGCTGACCACCATCGAGTTCTCTACTCGAGCGAGATCCCAAAACCGAATCTTTCTATCAGAACCGCCTGTAATTATAAAACCGTATTTAGAGTCTCGCCCATCATCGTAGGCGTCTGTGCCAACAATCATAGCTCGAGCACCACGGTCAGCGTTGCTAGAGCCAGTTGGCTCTAATGCTGTTGCAAACCGGCCAAGCATGCCCTCGGGCCGGTCTTCATCAACTGGCCAAGGCTCATACCCTCTCGGGCCATCTCTGCTACCTCCAGGCCTATATACTTCCCTGCACTGGGTCTTCTCAACATCCCACACGGTGACCTCGCCTTGCGCACTACCACCTGCAACGCAAACCCATCTACCTCGACCCTTGGTCGGGTGGATACAAATGCGATGGATAGACGAAGATCCAGGCACACCCCAAGCCTTCAGGCGGACCTTAAAGCGAAGGTCCCAAAGATCTAAAACGCCGTGAGAGGTCCCTAGTAACAGCCAGTGCCGTTTCTTATCAACACAGAAGCATGTTGGTGTGCCATGATGCACTGGGTTTTCCAGAGTGTACAAGACTTTCATTTGTCGCAAATCGATCGCGAGTACTCGAGAACGATTCGTTGCAAGAAGTAGGACCGAGCTAGTTTCAATCTTGAAATGTTCTGACCAAGTGGCAACTTCATTTTTTGGAAGCTGATACTCACGAAGTAGTCGTAGCTTGCCATACCTGACTGATCCACCGCTTTGGGCACATTCGACCCTAACCACATTAACACTACCATCACTTGCACAACTTATGAAAGAATGGGTGTGTTCAACAAAGCACAAAGCCGTAACCTGGGAGCCATTTGCATGCCTATGCGTTTGTCGAGACCGGTGTGTGATATTTCGCTCAAGTCTACCTGTGTCCCAAACTTTGACACAACCATCATCGCCACCTGTGAGGAAGAAGGCATGATCTGGAGCGACTGCGATGTGCTTAATAGGACCAACATGTTCAGAGAAGGTGGCTACGAGAATGCCCTCGGGTTTCCAAGGTCTATCGCCCGCATGGCTGCTGCTTCTGCTGATAACTTTTCGTCGACTTGAAGGTGCGATCATGGGGCCAAATTCGGCAATATCGTTGGGATAATTGTCCACATACATTGCATCAAGCATCTTCAATATACTTGGATCATTGCCTGAATAAGTGTGAGCCGCTCTAAATCGAATCCGATCTTGTGTGACCCCCGCGTTCTCTTTTGCCAACGCGATGGCTGAACGCTCCCCTGTACTGCGCGAGAGAGGACCTTCAACTTGCCCGAAGGCACTGGTCGTAGTCATGCCGGTTTCAGGGAAGGACTTTGTTTGGTCTTTGCGGTTCAGAAGATTCATGGCGCTACCTTGATGGCGAATTCCACTGTTTGGATCTTTGGGGGGCATACTTGGGCTAGTATCCGGTAGGGAACCCCTTTCTTCGTCGTTGAGCTTGCCATTACCATTACCATTTGGTATAGCAGAGCCACGCTTCGGCGGAATCGATTCATCAATTGCCATAGAGGCGTCGAGGAGCGCATCTTTAATGGTGTGTGAAGCGATCGGACGGAGTGGCTCATCCATAACTTGCTGGTCGTCGAACATGACTGTTTGTGGCGTAATATTGATATTGCGCAAATTAATGATACCGTTGAGATATGTCGGTTGCTGTTCGGATTCCCTAGCCTTCGAGCGTGCCAGCCGCCAAATGTACCCTCTCAGCGCAAGTAGTTTGAAATCATCATCATGACCGAGGCCCATATTCCTCAGCTTTGCTAGCCATTGTTCATCTTCTTCATTTTTAGGTATTCTTTGTAGAGCGTTTTGCGCAAGATCCTTGGCAGATATCGTCGGTATCAAGGTATTTGAGTCGAAGGAGAAGGTCCGTGATTGATTCACTGGTTTCCAGAATATACCCTTGTCAACCTTAGTAGCCCACGTTATTGACAAATCAAGGACGGCCCTTGATAATGGCTTCTTTAAGTTATCAAGCAAGCCCAACTCAGATAAGTCCTTTGTCGGCGTTTTTAGATACGGTCTGATGAGAGGAAGAATAATACACTGGTTGTCGGCGGCTGACAAGAAAATTGTCGCCGAAGAGAGAAAGTTTGTCGCAGCTTCACGAATCCAGATATTGGGATGGGCCGTGAAGCGCGCGACAACGTCGACAAGTTCCCAAGTCTTCGATCTCTGGAAGAGGCCCAGTTCTGACATGCTAGCGAGCGAATGCAGCACCTTTTGCACTACAAACTCTTCTGGATCCGTCAAGGCTTGTACCATTAACGGCAAGATGAACTCCTCTAAACTGGTACCACCAAGAAATGTGGCAACGCCGACAATAGTTTCGAAGAAGGCACATTTGAGCATCCAGTTTCGATCATTGAGGTAGGTGTTCAAATGGCTCAAGATAATATCGTTCGACGCCGCTGTGCCGAAGAACAAACATAATTCAGGCACAGAGCCAAGAAAGGCTCGTTTGACAGCGGAATCGTTGTCGGTGATCAAGGCTTTGGTGTGGCCTTCAAAAACCTCGATCAGCTCTGCTCGAGCATTGTCAAAAAGACCTTGCAATGCCGCCTCGGCATTGATCCCATCCTCAGTCTCTGGATCGGCGGTTGGAAGGGACCCGTCCGCTCTCAGAGTTGCTACCATGTCAAGAAACCGAGAGGCAGACGTCGCGAGACTACCTAGGCAAGCAGCATACGTTGCTCGAACCAGGGGACCAGGATCTGATGAAGACCCTGGAAGGAATGTCTGCATACGAGGTAGAAGATACTCTGGGAACACATGGGCATTTACAGGGGAGACCACCGTAACAAGAGCCATGAGTTGAGTTACGGTACGGATCGCTGCCACTTTGACTATGTCAGCCTTGTCGTTGAGCATTGATACCAAATATGGTAGGATCCGGTCAAGCTTCGCTTCGTCCGTTAACCGCTCAGCGAAGGCAAGGAGTAAGTCGCAAGCCCGAACTCTGGCTGTTGCGCGAGCAGTGTTTCGGAGCGAAGAAACGACAAGTGCTAGGAATATCAGAGTCCCATCATCTGTTGGCCTCCTTCCGATAGCCGAGGCCTGGTGTTCATTGTTCGGTATGTTAAGATGGACAGGAAACAGCTCCAGCCCGTACCCTTTATACGAGGCTTGCGCGGAAACCTGCTTCTCATTTCCGTAGCCCAAAAAGTATGAGATCTTGTCGAAGTCATAGTAGATTCTGTCTATTCGTTCATCGGCCTCCCCAAGGTTAGCCGTAGCACCTGAGATTGGCGATCTTCCGGAAGAGGGATCTGTGATCAATCCCATGTACTGATGGAGAAAGCTGTAGAAGTAATCCGGGAAGACTTTCTTCCTCCAGAAGTCAAGATACTCCTCCGCCGAATATCTAGACTCTGGATCGACTTGTATCATGTGCGCTACCATTTCGCGCACATCTTTGTCGGCAATACGATTCAGGTGGGTAATAACAGGATCGTACTCCCCTCTCCGATATTTGTAAAGCTGGCTCAGGTTGAAAATGGAGGTTTCCAGGAACAGCTCAGCTATCACACATCCGGCACTGAACACATCCATGGCCCATGTAATTTGGGCCGCAGGATCGGGTGTCTCACCTGCAGCCAAAAATCGCTCTGGTGCAAGGTAGCATGTTCGTCTTCCGGCTGTGTCAAAGAAATACGAAAAGTCGGCAGGATTATCCTCGGGCAAGGTTGTCGGTTTGAATGAGGACGAGAAATCTGACAGATACAGCCAGTTCCACGACGTAACCAGGGTATTCTCAGTCTTGATATCTCCGTGGAATATACCTCGAGCATGACAATCGCGGAGGGCGCACAGAAGCTGAAATGCAAGCCATTTCTTCTCGATATCTTCCAAGAATGGTCGGGTGCTCATGCGATCGTATAAGGAGCTATAGAGGTACTGTCGAACAAGGTATCCGTTCGTCTCGGTTTCCACGATTCGCTCGTAGGCCAGCGCATTCGGTACATCTATCAGAGCTTTGCGTTCTCCTATATTGGAAAATAAGTATACATCCTAGAATGTTCTGGTGTCCGAACATACGTATAATGCTGAGTTTGTACTTCTCTAGCTTCATGGCATAGGGCTTGATAATGACCTTGACCAATACGACGCCATCTTGATGCCGAGCGCGAATGCTTTTCATGAAACGGGCAGTCCCCATGGACTTTTCATAGACCAAATCCGCGAGCTCCGGCACATCAATGCCTGCAGAGCCCGCGGAGAGCGTTGTGAGGGAGAAGCCTTGTCCCATTGTTGCGGTGCTTGGGATGTCATCTGGAGGGAGTCATCGATGTCACCGGTCGGCACTACGAAAAAAGACCCTGGGTCAGCCAAAATGCCATCAAGCTGTAGCGCCGTCTTCCGAGGCCGGTGGAAGGCTGATGAGAAGCTGTTCTGAGGATCTTGAATGGAGGATACGAAGATCAGGTCCGGCGAGGCAGGCAAGGCAGGCGAGGCAGGCTGCGGAGTCCGTCTTACAATAAGAATACGGCAAGGCAGAGAGGCTAATGTAGCAATATTCAACCCCACGGGCCTCATAACTACCAAACTACTTGCAGCCAGTATTTACCTGATGGCTTTCATGATAAATAATTCAAATACATCTAGACAACTTAGACTAAGCATACGAACACCCTTTTTCGGAGCGAGAGAAAAACCACGGTACTCCATTCCTTTTTTTCCATTCTTATTTACATACTATCTTATATGAAGCTCACATGCAGCCTTGTAACGTCATCATGATAGGCCCCTAGGTCATAATTATGCGGCCGTAGGCCCATACCATATCCAGATATTATTCAAGCTTTCCCTTTCTTCTTTAATGTTTCCTTTTCCTCTTCTTCAATCTCGGCGTCGATTTTAGCACCTTTGCTGGGCTCGTTGCCATGCATTGTGGCCTGCCAGATTATCAGCTCTGGCCAAGTCTATGCCCATATATACAAAAAGTAATGGAAGAGTCGAGTGAATGATGCCCTTGATTTAAGATGTGATAATGAAGGTGAATGAGGAGGAATCCTGTGCATGACTTACTGGCAACCTGGGATCTGTTTTCGTTTGCTTTGTTTCTTCACTCTCATCATCGTCCTCTTTCCGACGCTATAGGAGTAACTGTCAGCAAGGCTCGACATCCTATGCCCGTGTCCTATCCCCCGGATTCTGCTACTAATCATCGTAGTATCGGGGTTAACTGACCTTCTCCTCTCGCGCTAGCTTGTTGGCAATAGACCTCTCATCCTCTGCCATGAAGTTAGAACACTGGCCAGGAAGATATAGAGCTTGAGAGGTCCTTACTTGAATCGTTGGCTTTATGACTGTGACTTTGACCCTCGTGGAAACGCTTGTCCTTCTTCGATTCCTCAAGCACGGAATTGGGAACGTTCTTTTGGTCCCCATCCTCATAGATCTGGGAGCTGCCGACGTTGGAGTGAAGACTCATTTTGAAAGTAATTTGATATGATTTCTTTGCAGGAAGGTAACGATGAAAGAGAATGATTATAGAACGATCAACTGGGAGAAATTCCCTGTTTATGTACAGCAGTTCTGCTCTCTATGACGACCATGGTGATCATACGTCATAACGAGCCAAGACCTCTCCACATGTCTATGGGATTGATGCCTCGTCAGTCAACAAAACTATTTGTACTGTACTGCATCTGTATGGGCAAATGTGTTTGGATGAAGTAAGGTATATGTGGTCCTCTAAGAAAATGGATGTGTGTTGATGCTCGGGGGGGCGGATTCGATGTCGGGTGATGCGTGCTAGAAGACACAAAAGGAACCGATACCACGCTCGCCGTGTGTATGTATACACCTAAGTAGAGAAATACCTACAGGGCCTACCTAAATTATTTGCAAGCTAGATCTTCCTCGCAGCTGTGCATGATGATGATAGATAGGATCTGTCGAACAGAGCACGGTAGCCAGTTGTCTCTTGCTTCTCCACATTGTGATCTGTCGTACGGTGCAGAAAGAACCTTCCGAAAGAACTTTCCGAGAGAACCTTCCCAAAGAAGCTTCTGAAGCTCCGAGAAAAGGTCCGTTAGCTCAATGCATTCAAGAATAGAAGAAGCCTTCTCATAAGCTCCGATTCTAGTCGCATATCAACGGCGGAGGTTGGGTCGCCCATCGTGACATTTCCTGGAGAGGCATACTTGAAGAAGGGTCGTGATTGGACGAGAAGTCGAAAGGGAAAAAGGCTGGTATCCACGGGCAGATAATACGTAGATATTACATAAGTACGACGTATAATTACTAGATCGGGAATCAGACTCGGCTGGCCCGCCCTCTCATTTCCCACGCATGCGATGCCTGCGTGGAGGGCCTCGCTTCCCGCCTCTGGAGAAGTCCCCGCCAATGAGCAGCGAGTATTTGCGACGATCAGGAACAAACTCACTCTTCGGGACTAGAACAACGGGCCTTCCCTGGGCTAGGGGAATTTAAAATTTAGGACTACGGTGGGAACCAATGAGTCTCAGAGTCCGGATGATAATATACTGTATATTATACAGCGTATCTTGAGTTACAAAGGACATTATACAGAGGATATTATGCAGCCGGTAAGACAAGGTACCTTATGCGTGCGGTGTCGGATACCAGCTCATCAGCGCAGCACGATGGAGAGTGAAGAGCGGTTTTGACGGCGGTCACCACGACCAGAATAATCATATAATTCATCACAACAAAACCCGCACGGACAACGATCGTCCATTGAGTATATTTAGATGGTGTCTCAATATATGAGAACAATATTCCGTGCGTCTTTGCTCCGCTGCACCCTGCCGCTCTGCCCCGGGCGCATCTTCCCGCTTGGGGTGGTTGGTCAGGGTACCTCAGTCCCAGACTGCCAGTCCCTGACACCCTGAGTCTTCCCTTCCCCCATCCACCACTCACCACCACTCAACACCACTCACGCCCTCGCCTTTTCCTGCCTCCCCCTTCTATGCTCTGTCTCCCTCCCTCTTTTACACCTCACGCCTCGCACCGTCCCAGAGTCACTCGTTTACTTCCCCAATCTCTTTCTTTTCGTCAGTCTCCCTTCTTCAGTCGTGGGTGAACCCGACCTACCTCTTTTCTCTCTCCGTGCATCCAGGTCGCCCAGATCCGGCTTGCTTACGCCGTTGCTAGGACAAGATCCCGCGCTCGACCTGCGCAGCGCGGGCTCACCAAGCCGTGTCTAGATGTAATTGGCAGAAGGACATTGGCATCGAAATATGGGTCGGGGACTTCGGGATCAGGGCGACGACAACACCGTTCAATCAGCGCCCATGCAAAATGAGGCCGTTTTCGAGATAGGCGGTCGTACAGCTTCAACTCAATACCAGGCAATGGCATCAAAAAGGGGACATCGGAGGGGTTCGCGCAACCGGTCAATGGGAGCCAACACAGCTACGGCAGCGCTGGCTCTTCTGGCGGCTGCGCCGGTAACGATGGCGCAGAATTGCATACCCCTTACTGGTTCAACACAATGTCCAGCTTTCACATCGGCATCGATTTCAACGGACAGTACGCTCGTCGGCTTCTTGTATGTTCTCTATCGCTCACCGTGTCGCTCGCACATCTGCTGATCGTATTCGTGTAGCCCGTTCCTGCAGTTTGTTTCGAGTACAGCGACCTTTGATGAACAACTGAGTGCATACGTTTCGACGAGCTATGTACGGGATAAGTATGTCGCCTTTCATTTCCTGACTCCTAACACTGCTAATGCGTATGCAGATACCAAAATCTCCTCGGCTGTGGAAATGTTGACCTCACAAACACCACCAACTTGTACGCCCGCTTCACGACCACTGTAATATGTAATGCCATAATACAAAATTCGAAGACAGTGTGTGGTTTATCTGATGCAGACTCGCCTCCGGTCTGTGCAGATACTTGTGTAAGTTTTGGGTTTTCAATCCATGTTATATCCCTTAACTGATGAATGACTAGGCTCAACAAGCCGAGAGCGAAGCTCTTATCATCGCCGATACTTCCCTGTGTTCAAATCCTGGAAGCAATGCCGACGCTCAAATTAGAGCTGATTTCACAAATTGTGCCTTGCCCGCCGATTCATTATCCGGCGGCTGCATCGAGGGCGCGCAGAACGAGCCCGATAACTGCGGATTTGGAAATAGTACAATCGGCTTCTGTCAGTATTGCGGGTCGGGGGGAGTGAACAGCACAGACACATGCTGTTATAACTCAGGAGCGGAGGAGAGGTGTGCTGGGGTAGTGCTACCAACCATCACCCCCTTCATGACCTTTTCGACAAGCCCGCCAACAGCGTCTGCAACGTCTTCACCTTCAGCAACATCGTCACCGTTGGCATCATCGAAAAGCTCAAAGAAAGGGCTATCCGGGGGAGCAATCGCAGGAATTGTCGTTGGTTCGGTTGTTGGAGCGGCACTACTGGCTGGTTTGATCATACTCTTTGTGCTCTGCCTGCGCCGCAGACGTGGGAGCCAGAGTGGCAGCGTGCTCAACCAACCAACACCTGCCAGGAGAGGCCAACGTGGCATGACATATAATCCAGTTGGAGCAACGACCACTCCCGAAGGATATGAGGTGCTCCCCGGGGGTCGGATTGCGCGAATGTCAGCATTGGAAGGTCATTCGGGAGACTCCCCGAGAGATGGCTTAGAAACCGGTGGAGCAGTTGCGGGGGCTGCCGCAGGATACGCGGCGGGAAGACGAAGACTTCACGACAATTCTTCCTCTGATGAATATGGTGATAGTCCACTTTCGAACATTCAGGCCGGAGTCCTGCGGCCGCCGCCGGCTGGACGACGACAGGGATCTCTTTCCAGCAGTTCAGCCCTTGGAGGCGAAGATCCGCAGTCTCCCCATTCAGGAAGTGGTGGTGATATGTCATCCCCTCAAGGTATGACAAGTCAACAGTCCGAGCAGTTACCATTCTTCAAGGACTATTACTCCAACGATGAAATCCACCCTGGAGACAAGGTCTCGACACTTTGGGCGTACCAACCGCGAGCCGGGGACGAGTTTGCCTTGGAGCGAGGTGATATGCTCAAAGTCGTCGGAATCTGGGATGATGGTTGGGCGACGGGTGTAATGATGGATTCACGAGCGGACGAGTGGGAAGCAAAACGAAAAGCGCAACGTGACAGCGGTGTTTCAAACACCTCAGGTCGGAGAGAATCATCCCCAACTACCAGTGGTGAGATTAAGGCTTTCCCTCTGGTCTGCGTGTGCCTCCCGCAACACTGGAGAAAGACGATCGAGGGTGATGGGTCCACGGAGACGGGTTCCGACCCACGTGGGGTAAACTCGTGATCCCGGACGTTTAACTATATTCCATATTCGACGGCTTCATGGCGGTGTTAACTTGTTCGGTGTTGGCGTTCCCGGCTCACGGATTCTTTCTTCGTACTCGACATACCTTGACTTCGTTCACACCTCCTGCATTGCCCGTGCCTGCTTGAGGATGCAGCGAACTCTCTCAAAACATCATACCGCACATCCCAACCTCATATTCCAACAGCTGTTATGTTCTAGATCTTCGTGCTGCATCGAATCGCATTTCTTTAACGCACACATCGTTGAAGATCGTATCTCCGGCTCATTAGCCGCTTGAGCTGGGGCCATGACAATATCACGAAAGCGTGCGCCTTGTTTGTTACCTGCTATGAATTTATTGGTACGCAGAGTACTCTTGTTTTCTTCTTCGTTTCTATATACCCAGATTCTTGTATTGAGTTGGATGGAGAGAGGAAGGCTTCTGTGATAGCATTTTGGTGGGCTGTGGATGCTTATAACAAAGGGGTTATATTCATATAGGGGTTCTCAGGCCTCGTATCGTCGAAAGTAGGATAATCAAGTGAAGGTATGATAGGCCAGAAGCATAAGTTCATAGAAGAAGTGGTGTGAAGAATACAGATATCGAAATACGACAGAAGTGCCTATCGACTGTTGATTGAAAGCGTGTTTGTAATGATATCTTCTCAATAACCTCTGTCAGACAGCAGGGCAACCCGGAATCTAAGGCGAGCATAGTATTTAAGGTTGATGTGGCTTGTGTAAGAGACCTCTGGTAATTCTTATGTCGTAGATTTAAAGCAGCGACCAGAAAATGAGGACCGAAAGGTCCGTTGCGGATAAAGAACAGAGGATGAGGGGAAGAGATGTTGGTGGGGTTAGGGGGGAATTTTCACCTCGCGAAACCTTATCGCACGTGATGATAAGGGATCCCACGTCAATGGAAGATCCCCACGGAATTTTTGTGTCCAACCTGGTACAGCCCAAGTAAAAGCGCCACAATGGTTAAGAAGAGAGTACGCGACCCCGAGGTGCTGGAGGATGCGCCTCCAGCGCAGGATGAGGGTAGTGACAGTGACACCGTGAGTTAGCCCGCCGAACTCGGCCATTTCCCGTGGTCTTGCATTTTCTTTCTGACCTACTCTGCAGAGCATGGACGTGGTGGATGTCGAGTTCGAATGGTTCAATTTCAAGCCCGACATCGACTTCCACGGGCTCAAGAGCCTCTTGCGGCAACTGCTCGACGTGGACCATCAGCTCTTCGACCTCTCGGCGCTGGCCGATCTCATCCTCTCGCAGCCGACGGTCGGGTCGACGGTCAAGGTGGACGGGGAAGAGACGGACGCGTATGCCTTCCTGACGATCCTGAACATGCACGAGCACCGCGACAAGAAGGTCATGCAGGACCTGACGCAGTATGTGGTGGAGAAGGCGAAGACCAACCCGGCGCTCGCGGCGCTGGGCAGCGTGCTCGCGAACCCCGCGGCCCAGGTGGGCCTGCTCCTTACGGAACGCCTGATCAACTGCCCGTCGGAGATCTCGCCGCCCATGTATAGCATGCTGATTGACGAGCTGGAGGCCGCTGTTGAGGATAAGGAACCGTACGAGTTCACGCACTACTTGATCATCTCGAAGACGTATCATGAGATAGCGTCGACGCTGGATCAGGAGGATGCGCCCAAGCAGAAGAAGAATAAGGCGATTAAGGGTGCGAAGGAAACCTTCTTTTTCCACCCAGAGGATGAGGTGTTGCAGCGGCATGCGCTGGCGGCGGGATCGTACGAATATACGAAGGATATGGGCGATGGGATGGCGGATAGCAAGAGAGCGTTCCAGGAGATGGGGATCAAGCCACAAGGATCTATGATCTTGATAGAAGCGAGCAAGTTTGAGGGTGCAGTTAAAGCCATTAGTGATTATCTAAATCCCCAGCAATAATCATAAAATATGCAGCTGGTCAAAGCCGTACCACGTCCCTCTCTCTTATTCGGGTTCTAGTCTTTGCATCAAGTATTCAACCTCCACCTCCTTTGTAAGTGGGATTACAAAGTCCTTGTACATCGCCACCACGGCATCGACGTTGATCTTCTCGGGGCCCTCTGCACCTATGCTGGGATCCGTGCCGTACGTCCTAGCCTTCAGTCGTAACCGCTCCAGCACCTTCTTCTCCACCGCCTCGTTCGTGATCGCCGCGCCAATGCCCTCTCTGTCCTCCGCCTTTATCAACTGTGTGAACCTTTCCGGCTCCGCCCTGAACTTCGACTCGGCGACAAACTTGCCAAAATGGATTCGTCGTGAGAGCGCCTGTAGACAAGCAATATCGGCCGTGGCTGCCGAGCCATAGTTCTCCTCCGTCTCGCCCCTGTCTCCCCGGCCGAAATCCGCACAGGCCTTGGGCAGGAAGTCTTCGATGTACCGTTTCTTGATCTTCTCGTTGACATTGACGTCGTTCTTGTGCAGGATCTTAGGGTAGTGTAGCGGCTGCAGGATCGGTGTCTGCACGGCGTCGGGGAAGAAGGGGTACTCGTCGGGAGACTGGAAGCGGCGGATCAGAGAGTCAAGCTTCTCTCGCTCGCGCAACGTCCAGTCAAGGAAGCTGAGTGTGCTGTTTGGGATCTGCACAGCGCCGGGTTTGTAGATTGTCCCGTTGAGAGGGAACTGCACTCGCTCGATGAGGTGAAATGTGATTGTATCTTCCAATCGACTGTATTGATGTATCTTATTAGCATCTTAATGATGTATAGAGTAATAGGAGGCCTTACATGAGCTGGAACCGAATATTGGAGAGATCCAGAGCCTTGTTGGCATCTGAAAGATCAATTGCGGCGTCCATACTGCCTGTTGAACGGGAATTGGACGATTGATTGGTACCAGAGTTTTGTTTCGTGGTCAGGAGATCCCACCAGCCAGATTCAGGAGCAGAATTTCTCTATCGGAGTCGCAGGCTTGTCTTTACGTCTTCTCTCCAGAAGAGGGGAGTCACAGAGGTCAGTGGAAACCCCTGTCAATTCCTGTTCCTGGCGGCCGCACACCAAGCCACACGTGTGGCGTTCACGCGAGCATCATCGGCTTCACAAGACCAAGAGAGATAAACACGGCAAAACAGCTTCGCAACAATATCTCACTTCACAACCGTCTCCCCGACCAGAAAACCCCGGCCTCGAATAGCTTCAACCATTATATGTTCGTTGTACGGTGAATGAAAACGTATGGCTGGGTCGAGCAGCCGCAATGCGTCTCCGTTCAGAGATCCCGAGGACGATGATTCCGCCATAATCTCTGTAGGTGTCGGCCACCTTCCAGCGGGAGGGAGATACTGACATAAAACAGACACGGGGGCTGGAGGCATTCGGGAGAAAGGTTACCACCACGGCGGGACACCTGATGGGGCCTATAACGGATCCTTCTTCGAGCGCCCACTACCAAAATGCGATGAGCGACCTACATAGACAATTAAGGCGGCCAAACATACAACGAAGCGTCTTCTCTCTTGCGAGGACGAGCCCTACAGATCTGGTGCGCTCGAAACTGTCTACCTCGGAGATCCAATACCGTGCCCTCTCATACCTACCCGACGAGCTTTTGAACAACATCCCAGACGACGATAATGCCTACTCATTATTCCAAGGCTTCCAAGCCACCTTGCCGGAGAATAGTCCGGATGGCAAGCGGCATCGAAGACGCACGTCGAGGGGGAGGAAGTTGATAGAGGATGGGAAATCGGAATCAGATACACCTCCTACGCTGGCGAAACTCCAGAAGGACCAGGCTACCTTAAATCACCAATTAGAGATGATGAGCATCCGCAAGAATATGGCGAGCAGCGAGATTCGTGAAATTGACAACAAGATTGCCAACCTTAATGGCATGAGGAAGATAGTGCTGGAACGGTTAGCCGGGCTGGAACAAGAAGAGGCATTATTAGAGCATGACAGTTCGTATCTTTTAAGCATTACAGGCTGGATAGAAGACTGATTTTTCAACAGTACTGGACGTAGAGAATAGACTGGAAGAAGCGCAGGAGCAGCTCGCTGAGGCTGAGGCGCTAGCCCAAACGAAAACGGCTGAGGAGTCCGGGGAAGCAGAGGATTCTGCGATGGATGCTTCGTTCATGTCTGAATCGATATATGAGAAGTTGCCTTCAGCAAATACCACCCCTACACGGACGAAGCGGCATAAGACGATTCGTAGGAAATCTATGCCTATTTTACATGAGCATTTCGAGCCCGGGTCTAACATCCGAGAGCTCCAAGCTCACACTGATATGATCACGGCACTGGATTTCGATGTTCCATTTGGCACAATGGTTACATCGGCTCTAGATGACACTGTCAGGGTGTGGGACATGAGTGCAGGACGGTGTATAGGCTTTCTTGAAGGTCACACTGCATCTGTACGGACCCTACAAGTAGAGGACAATATTGTAGCCACGGGATCCATGGATGCTACCGTTCGATTATGGGATCTCAGCAAAGCCCGCTACGAACCCCAAAGTAACCGAATCAACAAGGAGACCGACGAAGATGAGGACCCATTAGCGTTCGGGAGTCCAGATGACGAGCAGGTTCTCCCATCTCCTGGGAGCATGGTGGATTGTCCTCTCTTCACATTAGAAGCACATGTGGACGAGATCACAGCGTTGCATTTCACGGGCGACACTCTTATCTCAGGATCAGCAGACAAGACACTCCGGCAATGGGATCTCGTGAAGGGCCGATGTGTTCAGACTCTGGATGTCATGTGGGCAGCAGCCCAAGCCTCAGCCACAATAGGCTCAAATGAAGGCGCATGGCGGCAAACCAATCGATTACCAGACGCTTCAGCGGATTTCGTCGGCGCAGTGCAGGTCTTCGACGCCGCCCTGGCCTGTGGTACAGCTGATGGGATGGTTCGCTTATGGGATCTGAGGAGCGGGCAGGTTCATCGGAGTCTCGTAGGACACACGGGACCCGTGACATGTCTACAGTTTGACGATGTGCATCTAGTTACTGGGAGTTTGGACCGAAGTATCCGAGTAAGTTTATCTTTTTTTCCAATTTGAAAAACCAAAATCCAACCTCTTCCTCGATGAAAAAACAAAGCCGCTGACAAAGAACTAGATCTGGGATCTCAGAACAGGAGCCATCCACGACGCCTACGCCTACGACTCCCCGATCACAAGCATGATGTTCGACAGCCGGCGCATCGTGGCCGCCGCCGGCGAAGACGTGGCTAAAGTGTACGATAAGACAGATGGGAGGCATTGGGATTGCGGGGCGGGCGTCGAGGAGAACAGCAAAGCGGCCATTGTCGAGCGCGTTCGTATCAAGGATGGCTACTTGACCGAGGGCCGCAGAGATGGTGTCGTGGGTATCTGGACATGTTAAGATCCTCGAGTCCTAGCAAGCAAGAGGTGGGGGGAAGGGAATGATGACGGTAACCCTGCGGCCATGGGTCATGGTCTGGCGTGGTCTGGGCTGCCGTGGATCATTTATTGTACATACTGTTTAAATATACGTCCCCGGCGTCGGATTGTTCACTCTAGACTCCCCAGAACCTGTCCCTATTTCTTTCTTATACAGTAATTGAAAATGGTAAGCTCCTTTTGGTAAGCGTATCTAAGTACGGGAAAATGTTAGGAGGATGGGACTAGGGGCTCCAATCACACGAATAGTTCCGATATTGGGCGGGAGTGAAGTTTGGATTGACGAACTGATACTTTTGCGCATCGCCGATGGAGAAGGTATATCGATCAAATGAAAGAATGAAAACGTTGTCTTATTTTTCTATGTAGAGACTGTCTGGCTATATATATGTATAAGGTATATATGTGTGTGTGTTTATGTAAGGTACGTATGGATAGATGTATGTGTGTGTGTATGTTTCAATCATATAACCAAATTGACAAACGAATTGACAGTTAAATTGGCAGTTCACGCAATCAGAAAAGATACTCAACCAGAATTTAAGTACGACCCCTACATCCACCACCTCAAATGAGTGGGCTTTCTTTTAATTTTGTCCCTCCTCTTCATACGGAGACCTCGATCATCTGAGTCGGTCAGCTGTTCAGTAGACGGTAGTAACCTTCCATCCCACGGCCAGGACCCTAGCAGCGATGAGGCAAAGCCCAGCCGCGGTATAAGATATGCCCGCAAAGACGATGACGCCCCAATAGTTGTACTCAGTAGCGATCAAGACCTGTCCCGCGATCGGGAGCGCGGTTAGAGTACCGAACGCGACGAACATCCAGCAGGTAGCGTAGTAGCGGCCGTAGTTCTCCGTCTTGCACATCTGGCCGACGCACACGGGGCTTAGACTCAGGTTGCTGCCGCTGACGAAGCCGAAGATGACCGAGAAGACGATGATCATAGCCATGGAGCCGCTGGCGGGGAGCCACAGCGCGAAGCAGCCGACGACGCATAAGCCGATGCTGAGGATCAGCGTATTCATCCGGCCTATCATGTCGGCGACTAGGCCGGCAAAAAACCGACCAAAGAAGGAGCCAGCGTTGAAGACGGCGAGGATGGAGAAGCTGAAGGAAGTGCTGTGGCCGTAGGCTACGACGTAGGAGGTGATGTAGGTCAGGGGGACGAAAAGACCCCATTCCATTAGGAAGATTCCCAGGGCCACTAGTGCGAAGGGGATGTCTTTGAAGACCGTGAGATCAGGGGACACGCTTCGGAGACTTTCTATGGGCTTGCGGGGTAGGCGGCTCCGGAGTAGGAGATTGGTGAGCACAAGCAGGAAGAGAAGGATGAATCCCAGAATACGTGTTGCCCATGCAAACCCTACCATGGGGAAGAGCCTCTCCAGCATGAGCGGAAAGATGATGCCGCCGATGGAGCCGGACGTCATGGCGATCCCCGTAGCATTTCCGCGTTTCTTCAGGAAGAAGTGCCCTATGGAGGCGATGCAGGGGGTGTTGATCAGGCAGCCCCCAATGCCGTTCAAGACACTGTAAACGAGGAAGAAGTGCCAGTATTCTGTGCTTGTGAGTGATACGTGCGAAATGCAGTTAGGGAATAACTTACTGGTACAAACTCCTAGAAGGAACATTGAAGCGAGTAGAAGGATGCTCCCAGCAAACACCAAGGCCCTAGGGCCATAGGCATCAAAGATTGGCCCGACTGGCGCTCCACAGAAGAAGGTCAGGAAGAGTGAGAGGCCGAAGATCCATCCTATTTGGCTTGTGCTGTAGTCCTTCAGCTGGTGATCCTTGAAGTATGCCAACAGGACGCCTGTGCTGTTGATGATCCCAAAAACTGAGAAGGAGCCACAGAAGGCCCCAACAACAACAGTCCAGGCCCTCAGACCCCCCTCGGGGAAATCATCCGCATCATCATAGTCGCTGACCGTCGATCGGTCAGAATTCAAGCTTCTGGGCCGGTGAGGTTCCTCAGGGCCCCCGTCTCCCTTCTCGTTCAAGAAGGGGGGTCCATGGGTCTCAGATTGAACCTTAGCCACAGTCACCAGTTCCCCAGCGGCTGGACGGTCCAGGATGTTTACCCCGGTCTTTTCGAAATCGTGGGGGCCGGCAATTGTGCTGACAAGAGCATCGTCATTTTGAGAGTGGTGTTTTATAAAGCAGCTGTCCTCTGCTAAATAGGTCCCAACTCTGTGCATTCGCCGCACCAACACGGGAAAAGGGGTGTACAACAATGCGTTTTGTGCTGGATTTGTGAGACAGATGAGAACGATGTGATATATATTTTCTCATATATATGAAAAGAGAGAGAGAGAGAGAGAAAAATTAAAGAGCAGCGGTGAAAAGTTGAAAGTGGGAGAGAAATCTGGAAGTGGGGCCCCCGGCCGGGGCCGCCCACGTGATCCAGGGGGGGTGATTCGCTATAGGTGAGGCAAGGTAAGGTAAGGTAAGGTATAGGTACTTTTCAGTGATGAGATTGGCCATCACCAAGCGCCACAGAAGACCGCGTGGGGTCTGGGGTAAGATGGTGCAAGATAGGATCTCATCTGTCTATCTATCTGCTGTCAGTAGCATCCAGCCCTGCTCTCCTGCTCTCCTGCTTTGTATTGTAACAAGCAGCAGGAGTAGGCTGGTCTGATAGAGCAAACTGGTGAGTAGCATCCTCGCCATCATCCAGAGAAGCCGAGATTCTCACGAGGGTCTTGACTGGTAGATGCAAGGTTGAAGAAGCAATATGCTCATGCAAAGGGGACACAGGTGGTGTATCCCTGCGTATCACCCAGTAGCCGGCCGACACGCTGAGACAGATTCTCAGGTTCTAGGCCGAAGAATGATAGAGAGGTCAAGTGCCAACTCTCAGCGCACGAGGATGTAGATTCTGTATGATGGTCAACGGCAACGTGCCAGGAGATATGGTTGTGGAAGAAGTCAAGAGTGAAGGGAGGTCGAGAGAAGCTCTATGGGGCTACAAGGTACGGTATATCCGGAGACGATTATGGACCTTACTTCTTCCGGAGTAGCTGCTCGACTAGTCTCCCTTGGGCCTGGCTTTACTTCCCGGCTCCGGCGGTATGTTTCTCCGGCGGAGAGACGGCGGACTGTGCCCAGGCTCTAAGGAAGCTCTGCCCGGAGTTAATGCTTCAGGGACGTCACCATGGACCTGGTCCACACATCCCCACACGCGCTTGCTGACCGAGACAGAGCCGCCATGCAGCCTGACGGATGTAGCTATTTTATCTCCGAATGATCTCAGTATAAATATCTGAGTATAACGGTGTTCTGTTCCATTTCCTCTTTCTCAATCAGCTTCTCTGCTTCTCTGCTTCTCCCTTCGCTCTTCAATCAATCACCTCTACCCATCAACTCTTTCCAATCCTCTCCATAGACCTCCAACATGCCCTTCCCACCTCCAACCCCGCAGCCCAAGACGCCCCTGGGCCGCTACAGACTGTTGGCTCCAACGGCATCTGTTCGAGTCAGCCCATTGTGTCTTGGGACAATGAACTTCGGTAACGATTGGTGAGCTTCCACATCTCCTGCTCTGACCAATCCTGACGGGTACCCCTTAGGAAGGACTTCATGGGCGAGTGTGATCAGAAGACTACCGAAGCCATTCTTGACTACTTCTATGGTTTGTACTAGCTGCCATCCTCCTCCTTCTACCTTCTACTTTCTTCAAGCTCTAAACTTACAACTTACCCCTCCAGAATCCGGCGGGAACTTCATCGACACAGCCAATAACTACCAGGTAAGGCCGACTGCCCAGCCGAAGACAATGCCTTTCATCCTGACACAATCATAGGCCGAGGAGTCCGAGAAATGGCTTGGAGAATGGATGAAGAAGAGGGGAAACAGAGACCAAATGGTCATCGCCACCAAGTTCACAACATGTTACCGCGCTGGCAAAGGCGACAAGGAGATCATCATCAACGCCACCGGCAATGGCACCAAGTCTCTTCACCTCTCATTGGAGGCCAGCTTGAAGAAGCTGCAAACCACCTATATTGATCTGGTACGTGATCCCACCTCCGGCTTCCTTTCTTTCAGTCTCTGACACGATATCCTCAGCTCTACGTTCATTGGTGGGATTTCACCTGCTCCATTCCCGAGCTGATGCAATCCCTCAACGCCATGGTCCTCGCTGGCAAGGTCCTGTACCTCGGTATCTCTGACACCCCAGCCTGGATCGTCAGCAAGTGCAACGAATACGCCCGCCAAAACGGAATGCGTCAATTTTCCGTCTACCAAGGCCGCTGGAGCGCGGAGCACCGCGACTTCGAGCGTGACATCCTCCCAATGTGCGCTGCTGAAGGCATGGGCTTGGCCCCGTGGGGAGCTCTCGGAGGCGGTAACTTCAAGTCCGACGAGCAGCGGAAGAGCCAGGAACAAGGCAGGCGCAGCGAGGCCAGCGAGGCGGCAATCAAGATCAGCAAAGTGCTCGAGAAGATCGCCAATGCCAAGAAGACACAGATCACCAGCGTTGCTCTGGCATACGTTATGCAGAAGGCGCCCTACGTCTTCCCGATCGTTGGAGGGCGCAAGATTGAGCACCTGAAGGGCAACATCGAGGGCCTGACGCTTGAGCTGAGCGAGCAGGAGATCAGTGAAATCGAGGGCGCTACTCCCTTCGATATCGGCTTCCCGCAAAACTTCCTGGGCGGTCCTAAGGGCGTCAAGTCGCCCGGTGATGTCTGGTTGATGTCCATGGCTGGCGTCCAAGACTACGTCCCAGGGCCCAAGCCTATCCCACCAAGACCCAACTAGGGTAGTAGAATTACTAGAATGTATATACTGAGTATATAGAAAACGGAAAGTCAAAAACCTAGGTATTCATGAATAAGCTATCCCCTTACTAAGATGAAGTTGCCTCTTTGGAAAAACACTGAAATGCGAAGCGCTGAAATGAATCGATTCTCGCTTGAGCCCCCTTTTCTTTTATGCTCGGCTCCCTTCTCGGGTTATTTTGCATGTTGGATTAAGAATGCACAGCACAAAATTCCCACACCTAACCTAGGTAGGTAGCAATTAGGTAGGTGACGGAGTTACGACAGTCTTCAGGACTACGACTAGTGATGTAGAAAATAGTGTGCTATAACGATATTTTTTGCAAAAAAAAAGAGAGGGAGGGAAGGAAGGAAGGACTATCAAATCAATCAAACCGCCATTCAAAACAGAGCTAAGAGCACTTTCGCGCCTCTCATCCATCACCCGACGCCTCACTCTCCCAAGCAAAGAAAGGGGCTAACAGGATCACGACAGCGCGTAGACTTTATAAGAAGTTTCGTTTCATTTCGGTATCTAGATAATCTCTCCTCGTGAGAAACCCTAGGTAGATAGATGCTCCCGATCTACCTGGAGCGCTAAGACGACAACAACACAATCTCACTGGGTATGGCCAAGGGAAAAAGCGAGAGGAGCCCTTTTTTTAAAAAAAGAATAAGATACTTCTATTCCCATCGATTCGTCATCCCGTGCTATTTTGGAAAAATTCCAGAAAACCAACCGCTTCCTTTGATTTGACATGACAGTGAGTGGTCGCTACGCAGAAGAAACAGTGCTGTGCTTATTCCGAGGCGAAGAAAGAAGGATGGAATCGTAATCCGATCAACCACATGCCGCATCTATGCCTCCCTGATCCCTCAGAGATCGTGCTGAAAGAAAAATGTTTCAATGCTGGGTTGAGTGTTGTAATGAGATCATATCGATCGTTCATGCAAGCAATTCGACATCCAATCCGATAGAACGCATGAAGAGGTTGACATTTGCCAATCGCTGACTAGACATTTCCGGGGGAAGGGTCTTCGCAAGAGCCACGGTCTCCATGACGCGGTCCTTTACAGCCACAACAAGTCTTTGTTGCTGATCAGGGCTAGCGCCAATACCGATCGCGGCAAGGAATTGCCAGACGTAGACATCCTCGCCAGTGTTGACCGTGCCCGGGAATATAGTGGGGAGACTCGGCTCTAAAGCATCGAAGAACTGGTTGTAGGTAGAGACCCTATAATAGTCAACGTTATTGTCCAGTATGCAAACGCAGATGAAAACTTACCATTGCTCCCATTCCTGCTCTTTGGCATTTCCGGCCTGCTTGATGAGCTCAGCCCTGCTGAGAATCATGGTCAACATGCTAACACCGATTCTTGTTCGAGAAATGACATCAATGTTGATATTGAGGATCAGACCCAAAACACCACTGACGATATCCAACTCAGCCTCACTAAGATATGCGAAAAGACTTGGCATCACCGCCAATGAGAACAATTCCACGTTCTCGCGGATACCAGCCGTCAATAGAGTTTCACCAGAATGAAGTTGGGCTTGACGCACAACATCAAGCTGATCAAGGTGAATTACTATCATGGTCAAGATGGTAGTTCGCTGCTCTTGGGTAATGTGACGGAAGACGCGAGGAATTGCCTTCTTCCCTTTGCTAAATGAGAGGAAAGCAATGAAAGGATGAACTGCTGTAGCGCCGATGGGCTCGTGAACTTTCAATTGTCGCCACAACTGTTGGTTGAGCTTCTGTGCTTTCTCTCGCCAGTCCATGTGCCGTCCAACAAGCTCTGGGTCAATGTCATCATGCGGAGGCGGTGGAAGTTGACGGTCGTGGTCTTCCATCTGCATCAGTGTATTGTACACATTCTCGATGTCAGTAAGGACCGTCTTCCTGTCACTACCGCTAACCGCTGCTTGATGAGCTTTACGGTCGCGAGCCGCATTATTAGGTCGGTGTGCATCAGCTCCGTTGTCACCACGCTTAATGTTGAGCAATGGCTTTGGAGTCTTGGCGTTGCTGAAGGAGATCTTGCCCAGGCTGCCCTCAATAACCAATTGCTTATTCTTTGGTTTGTTCTTTGCGGCCTCGACTGCACGTTGAACCTGTTGCTCCATACGCTGCATATGGTTGTCACCTCCTCGAGCCTGTCTACGCATACCACCATGGCGACCACCTGTCTGGAATAAATAGGTCTGTGCAAAGTTGCTTAAAGGCTGGCCAGGATGTTGACGAGGACCCCCTCGGATCTGATTGTGAACCTGATAGTAGAAATCTTCTGACAAAGCTGAGTCTGTCCCATGCTCATTGGGGTTCCCCGTGGCAGTCACAAGTTGCTGCAACTGGATGCGAGTAATGAAATTCTTGTCCTGGGGTGTCATGAGCCCGTTATCCTTCGACAATAAAAATATCTTATGGTTTCGCTTAGCCCGCTTTGCATCCTCCATGAGGAAGGCAGCCCTCTCTTCTTCAGAAAGATTGGCGAGTTGGTGCGGATGAGTGATGATATGGCGTGAGCCGGAATGACGTTGCTGATGGCCAGGATGTTGCACCGCTGGTGCGGGTCTTTGCTGCTCGGTTGCATAGCGGTTTGGATTTTGCAAAATATGAGTTGGTTGGGAGGGAGCTGGTGGCGGAGTAGGTTGACTTGGGGCAGGCTGTGACCGCTGCAAAATTTGAACGTGTTGTTGATTTGGCTGTCCCGCATGCGCCGGCCGAGGCTCTTCTCTTGATGGACTACTAGCCTGAACTGGAAATTGCTGATGAGGTTGTTGAGAGTAATTCTGCTGGTATTGCTGGGGAGGTGGGTGAAGATATTGGTGTTGTGGAGGGGCCTGGTACTGCTGCTGAGGCGGCACCTGTGGCTGAGCCTGAGCCGGCTTCTTTACTTGGGCGCGCATAGCAGCCTCAACTTCCTCCAAACTCATCATCTTTCGACCACCGGCTTGCGTACCAGATGCGCTTGAAGCGGCTGGAGCGGGAGCGGGAGCAGGCTGCTTTGGCGTAACCCCCCATAAGTTGGGATCAACCCGCATATCAGGGATAGATTCCGGCTCCTTGTATTTCTCATATCCACTCCTTGCAGGCTTTGAAGCAGGCTGGGAAAGGGTGGAGGTAGGCGGAGGAGCCTTGGAAGCTGGCTGCTGGCGAGAAAAGCGGAGTTGTTCTTCACTGATCGCACCCGAAACTTTGGCAGTCTGTCCGAAGAAATCAAAGTCCTTGCCTACAGACTTCCCGTTGGCAGCCGTGGAATCATCACCCCCAAAGGTATCATCATTAAACACATCATCCGTCTCATCCAACTGGTCACCTAGACCATCGTAGGTATCTTCAAAATCAAGTCTGAGAAGGGCGACATGTCAGCTCACGCATAGAACTAAACCAGTCTAAACTCACGCATCATCGCCATCATCATCACCATGGCGTGAGAGGCCAGTGAAAGGGTCTGCCGCCTGGGAGAAGCCGGGGGCGGAAGTATTGTGGCCACGATCGCGGGGAAGAGTCGCGTCGAAGCCAAAGAACGACATGGTCAGGATATCTCTTGGATCAGACAGTGAAACTTAGATTGACGCGGGCTCCATGAAGGCAGGATAGATGGCAAGGAAAGGCGGCGTTAGGGATATCAGACTGTTTCTCGGTGTTGGGTTGTACTGTGGATGAGATGATATCGTCTCCAGGAACTTGGTCAGAATGAAAGTGAAGGCTCCTTTCTGGTGAGCACCGTAAAGGAAGGCGGAAATCTGCTCCAATTGTCTATCGCTCTGATGTTGATTGGAATAGGAAGAGTTGTACGTCGAATATTATATCTTGGATTCTTCAAACCGTGGAAGGTCAAGTAGTAGTGGGTAGGTGAATTTGACGATGCTCCTCTCTCGCTTCGGCGACGCGCGACTACTGGGGTGCATTATATAATGTACCCTGTGCTGTGACATGTTAAATACAAATTACGTCCTGTAATACTGACTATATTTGCCTCTCTCAGTAAAGCCAACAGACCCTTACCCAGATAGGAATGTTACTAGTATGCTTTAGGAACTATTCTATCCCCACACCACATGTTCGTTAGGATATTTAGTAAATCGCAGATAAATCCTTGCAGAAAAGGCCAGAATTGACCTCCTATTATTATCCTCCCCTAAGGGACGCCTCACCTCCACGTAAGGTACTGCGCGTGTCCGAATCTTTTGACCTTTTCTTCCCCTATTCATTACCTTATCTTCTTTCTCCAGCCTCTTCTTCTCGCTCTTCTTCTCCATCGCACTGACTGGAATGCCATTTGTTTCTTCCCCTCTTTAGAGCCCTTCTCTAGAGCTCCTTTGGCACAGCCGCGCATGATCCTGGTCTATGGGATCACCAGATAATAAACATCAACAATCAGCCAATTCGTCCACAATGGCTTCCGGCACGGCAAGGTACTTGAGATATATTCTCTTTGCCTTCTTCGTACGTCTCCAGATCTCTTCTTCTCAACACCTCGAACGAGGCTGAAATTGATCAACGTCTAGGGACTTGCAGTGGTGTACTTCATCTCTTCTTCCTCTTCGACCCAACGATTAGGGAACCTGAGCGAATTCACCAAGAGTGGCATATTATCACAGGCTGGAAAGAACCCACAGGCTGGACAGAAGCCAGCAGATGGAGACACAAACCTCTCGACTGAGACGACGCCCAACACACCCGCGGGACTTCCGCCTGCCACTGCAGATGGCCCGAGAATGAACGCGACCTTCGTAACATTAGCAAGAAACTCGGACTTGTGGGAGATTGCACGGTCTATTCGTCAAGTGGAAGATCGATTCAATCGGAAGTTCCATTACGATTGGGTCTTTTTGAACGACAAGCCCTTCGATGAGACCTTCAAGAAGGTTACCACTTCTCTCGTATCTGGCAAAACTCACTATGGTCAGATTCCCGTAGAGCATTGGTCCTTCCCGGATCATATTGATCAGGACAGGGCCCGCAAGGTTCGTGAAGACATGGCCCAGAGGAAGATTATCTACGGAGACTCCGTCAGCTACCGTCACATGTGTCGATTCGAATCTGGATTCTTCTTCCGTCAAGAGTTGATGCTGAACTACGAATGGTACTGGCGAGTTGAGCCTAGCATTGAGCTGTTTTGCGACATTGATTACGACCCATTCAAATTTATGGCCGACAACAAGAAGAAGTACAGCTTTGTGCTGAGCCTTTACGAGTATGTCGAGACGATCCCTACTCTGTGGGATAGCACAAAGAAATTCATGAAGGCCCATCCCGAGCATATTGCTGAGGGGAACTCTATGGGTTTCTTGAGTGATGATGGTGGAGAAACTTACAACCATTGCCATATGGTGAGTGCTGATAACGAACCTTTAGAACAGAATACTTACAAAATCGTGCAGTGGTCTAATTTTGAAATCGGCAACCTTGATTGGCTCCGATCGAAAGCTTACTTAGATTACTTTGAAGCTCTCGACCAGGATGGAGGGTTCTTCTACGAACGTTGGGGTGATGCCCCTGTTCATTCGATCGCTGCCGGTCTTCTCTTGAAGAAAGAAGAGATCCATTTCTTCAACGATATCGCGTATTACCACGTCCCGTTCACGCACTGCCCTACTGGCGAGAAGACAAGGCTGGATCTGAAGTGCCATTGCAATCCAAAGGACAACTTTGATTGGAAGGGATATTCCTGTAAGAGCGAGAAACATTTCCTCCAGAATTATTGCTAACAGTCAATAGGCACTTCTCGATTTTTCGATATTAACGGTTTATCAAAGCCAGAGGGATATGAGAACCAGCAGGACTAAAAACCCGAATAAACATCCTTCTTTCTAAAGGGACTGCATTTTTGTAAATAAAACATGATGATCTACTACTTATCCGGAACGGTAGGGCGGCGTTGGAGCGAGACATAATGGCACCGTTGTAGATTTCTTCATTGGATTGGGACCTGGAGACGACAAAAAATGCCAGGAATACGAACGACACTCCGGATTTGCCATGTGCGAAATAGAGGCTTTTTACCAGTGATCGGCTTTCATTACCAGCTGGGAACCGTCTCTGTCTGTTCCCTGAGGCTATAGTACATTGTATCGACGTATGAAACGTATTTGAGCATGCCTGAACGCCATAATACTTATAGACATACTATCTTCATCCAAACCGAGTGACCATTTTATGAGCAGCTGTGCTCAGTTCTAGGTAGCGGCAGCCTTCTTAGGCTTCTTCGTTCCGTATTTCGATCGACTTGTTGCTCTATTTCCCACACCACCCTAGAACAGCATATATTAGCCATCTCCTTCTGCTAGAAATGTGTTGTTCCGATATTATTCGCAAACACCATCATCTATTCCGAGTAAAAGAATATTGAACTCACCAGATCCATGGCCCCTCTAACCAAATGGTATCTCACACCAGGACAATCCTGGCTTCTCCCTCCTCTCACAAGAACCACACTATGCTGCTGGACATTGTGTCCCTCTCCCGGGATATATGCCGTTATGACCCTTCCCGTCGACAACCTGACTCTTGCCGTCTTCCGCTCTGCCGAATTGGGCTTCTTGGGCTTGGTGATCCCGACCTTGACGCACACCCCTTTGAGCTGAGAAGCTTTGACATCGTGTAATGCTGGACTGACAGCTTTACGCGCGCGTTGTGCTTTCCGGCATCCCTACGTATAGCGCGCGCGTTAGAAAGACATGGTCAGGGAGAGGAGAAAGCCGATATGTGGAAAGAGAGGCAGTACCTTTGCGACCTGGTTGTAGGTTGCGAAGGGGGTAGGCGTGCTGGAGAAGTTGCGTCGCAATTGAGGAGCAGATGCAGGTTGACTAGTAATCCGAAGGGGCATCCGCACGGATGGCATGAGGAACCGTCGTAGCATAGAGGCGGCCATTGTGGCGGTCGTCGACTTTGATACCTGGTATACCAAGTAGGGGTCGGAGGTTGAACTTTGAAGCCTTCGGGATTTCGCCAACCGAAAGGCCTTTTGCACGTGACTCTGATTCGCGGAGTAAGTCAAGGTGCTTGAGTCCTTCTCATGAACAAGGTTATATGTTCCTGGTACCTTTACAAATGTTGTAAATTGCATTATTGCAACCTTCTTAACAGTCCAGTTACTGATCTGGTTTTGATAATTAATTTCTCACTTGATACTCTGATCTGTACGCTCACAAGCAGGGGGTGTAGTTGCTCCAAGCGAGAAGTCATCAGAAAGGTTCTTTACCTTCCCACTTACACAGACTGCCTGCATTATTTATTATATGTATTCTACCGGATAGAAATTGCAGACCTTCTTCTCCTCCATGCCTAGGAGTAGTACTCCCATATGCAACCAAAATGCTGTATTCTGGGTTAACTCCATCGGGATACGTCGCCATGTCTGGTAAGCTGGAAGTCGACAAGTGTTGCCAATTCCTTCATCTCCATGATCTTCTCTGTTGCAATCCTCACTACGATTGTGGATCCTCAATAACGATGCAATGCACTGGTTTTCGCGGGTGCCACTGCCGCTGGAGAGTGCCTTTGCTCGCTGAATGCTGTTGAAAAGGCCCGAGAGTGCACCGATTCGTGCGTTAATAACCCCTTGAACAGTTGAACTTCCCCCGCCTTTTGACAGGGACCTTAATGCCGGAGGACAAGGCACAACGTTGTACCATTCCGCGTAAAGCCAGCCCGACGATCGTCAAGATCTCCTCGAAAGTTGAATAGTCTATTCTGCCGTAACCTTCTGACGGAGCATATAGCCCCGAAATTCCAAGCATGGATGAGAGGGGGTATTCGTGCAAGTCGCTGGCTATTGTACTTAGTCGCTGCTCGTATTCTCGCATGGTGCGTAGCATAAGAAGGGATCTCCCTCGGTGGATTCTTGAAGGTTACCTATGCTGGCACAGGAAATCCGACAATCTGCCAGAATGAGGATCTCACGTGCTCTCACGATTGTTACACTTGCCGCGCAGGCGGTTGCTTTGTCAGTTGGAGGGAGACAGATGCTCATCGAAAGAGAGAGTGATGGCCTTCAGAATATTGTAAATGCTCTCCAAGCCTTGAATCGCCCAGGCTGGCCTTCGACCTGAAGGCAGAATGCTTCCGATACAACGTATGTAGCTAACCCCTCGAGCAGGTTACTTATGACGAGCATTCCTTGACGGTTTATGGTGAACGGATTTTTATATTCAGTGGAGAGTTCCACCCGTATCGTCTACCTGTACCGGATCTATGGCTCGATATCCTTCAAAAGACCAAGGCTTTGGGGTTTAATGCTGTATCCTTCTACATCGATTGGGCTTTGCTAGAAGGGGAGCCAGGGACTTATCGTGCAGACGGCATATTTGCTTTGGAGCCATTCTTTGAAGCTGCAAAGCAAGCTGGTATATATCTCATTGCTCGTCCTGGTCCATACATCAATGCCGAATCAAGTGGAGGCGGTTTCCCTGGGTGGTTGCAAAGAGTCAAAGGGCAACTTCGAACCCGAGCACCCGACTATTTAGCTGCTACAGACAATTACGTTGCGAATGCTGGTGCAGCGATTGCGAAAGCCCAGATTACCAATGGGGGTCCCGTCATCCTGGTCCAGCCAGAAAACGAGTATACAGGATCAACCGGAAATGTTACGGGAGGTTTCCCTGACCCAGTTTACTTTGCGTACGTCAAGAAACAGTTAAGAGATGCTGGAATAGTGGTTCCTTTCATTAGCAATGATGCCTGTAAGTACCTAGACATATATGATGATGCCGACACTCAGATACTGATGATTGCTAGCTCCGAAAGGGTATTTCGCCCCTGGATATGTTGTGGATGGAACCACAGAAGGAGATGTAGATATATATGGCTTCGATAGCTATCCTTTGGGGTTTGACTGTGCAAATCCCTATACTTGGCCGTCTGGGAACCTCCCAACGTACTTTCATGCTACTCATGAGAGAGAAAGCCCATCGACCTTTGAATCTATTGATGAATTCCAAGGCGGCTCCTTTGATCCTTGGGGTGGCCCGGTGAGCTCCAATCATACGGTTTAAGAATCTGGTCAGGAACTAACTATGTTCAGGGGTTTGAAAAATGCTCCGTTCTCTTGAATATGGAATTTGAACGGGTGTTCTATAAGAACAATTTTGCTTCCGGAGTTAGTCTATTGAACATTTATATGATATGTATGATAGATTCATTACTCTACAAAGTATAAATGCTGACTCTTCATAGATGGGGGGACGAACTGGGGCAACCTAGGCCATTCGGGTGGTTATACCTCATACGACTACGGAGCCTCGATCGCTGAGAACCGCGAGTTATATCGTGAGAAATACAGCGAGCTGAAGCTGGAGGCAAACTTTCTCAAAGTCAGGTAAAGGATCTATCTATAAACTCTTCCCTCAATAGTCTGCTTGGGTGAAATAAACGCTGACCTTGGAAGCCCTGCGTACCTCACTGCATCTGTGGGCGACGCAGTTAGTGGTACTTATACTGACACATCAGCAATCATCACCACTCCTCTCTTTGGAAATGGATCCTCTACGAACTTCTACATCGTGAGACACGCAGACTATCAACAAGAAAGTTCAGCCAGCTACACATTGAGTCTCAAAACAAGCAGAGGCACTTTATCTATCCCACAATTAGGTGGAAGTTTGACATTGAGTGGCAGGGATTCAAAATGGCATGTAACTGATTATGATCTCGGAGGCACAACCTTATTATATTCAACAGCAGAGATCTTCACCTGGAAGAAATTTGAGAAGAGCACGGTCTTGGTTGTGTACGGTGGACCTGGAGAATTGCATGAATTGTCGGTCATTACCTCAAGTCCAGCAACTTGTGTCGAGGGTTCTGGTGTCATCACAAAGTCTGCCAACGGGACGACGACGATTAACTGGCAAACTGAATCTGCACGCCGCGTTGTCCAAATTGGCGGTCTTCTAGTCTACATTCTGGACCGAAACACGGCTTATAACTACTGGGTCCCTGATTTTGCACGGAACGATCAGTGGGGTGCGTACACTTCGAACATTGGCAACACGACCTCCGTTATTGTCCAAGCAGGGTATCTGGTCCGATCAGTCTTTGTCGAGGGGACAGCCTTGCATATAAATGGGGACCTCAACGCCACGGTGCCAATTAAGGTTCTCGGAGCACCTACAGGCACGAAAGACCTACATTTTAACGGCGAGAAACTGAGTTTCACCACTGATCCAGTCACCGGAGAATGGTCTTCTACTCTCCAGTATGAATCACCCGAAATAAATCTGCCCGACTTATCTTCTCTCTCCTGGAAATACCTTGAGGATCTTCCCGAAATTCAATCCACCTACGACGATTCAGCTTGGACCCTTGCTGACCACACCACTTCAAACAACACGGCGTACGCTCTTCAAACCCCAACCTCTCTCTTTGGTTCCGACTATGGCTACAATACTGGTATTCTGATCTTCCGGGGCTGGTTCGTCGCTCAGGGAAGCGAATCAAGCATATCTCTCTATACGCAGGGAGGCTTGGCCTTTGGGTCTAGCGTGTTCTTGAATTCCACATACATTGGATCGTGGCCTGGAAGTGCTGGCGCAGAGAGCAGTAATAATACGTACGCCCTTCCTAACTTGGTCGCTGGTAAAACATATGTCTTCACTGTTATCGTGGACAATAATGGCCTCGATGAGAACAACTCAGTTGGACCGTCCGAGATGAAGAACCCGCGGGGGATTCTCAATTATGACCTCAGTGGAAGGAACCAATCAGCAATCACCTGGAAACTGACTGGCAACCTTGGTGGAGAAGCATATATTGACAAAGTCCGTGGACCGTTGAACGAGGGCGGTTTATACGCGGAACGTCAAGGTTTTACGCAGCCTTTCCCGCCGAACCACGATTGGGCTACGGGGAGTCCAGAAGAAGGAATCAGCACGGCAGGTATCGCGTTCTATCAAGCCAGCTTTCACTTGGATCTTCCGAAAGGCTACGATATTCCGCTGACCTTCAACTTTGGAAGCACTGTTATCAACGGTACCGTGGCGGATTATCGGGCTCAGTTATGGATTAATGGCTATCAGTTTGGGAAGTATATTAATAACGTGGGACCACAGGAAGCCTATCCCGTCCCCGCAGGGATCCTGGATTACTATGGTCAGAATTGGCTGGCTGTAGAGCTTTGGGCTCAGCAGGACACAGGTGCTCACTTGACAAACTTCACGCTGGAAGCAGGGACGCCAGTTTTGACCTCTATGAATGCACCAAATTTGGCTCCTATGCCGAGTTACAGCAAGAGGCCTGGTGCTTATTAGGGAGTAATCTAATATACCCAAATACCCTCGTTTTGTACATATCTACAGAAATATAACCGGCCTATGAAAGGCGGAAGATCAGAGTTGCGATGATACTGACTATCGCAGCTCCTGTGGCAGCACCCTCCAATGCGACTAATGTTACATCTTGCTTCCGCATAGATATAATTTTGTCACTGAATAAATCTTCCGCTGCGGCTTGCCAATCCTGCACTGCGGTTTTCCACGTCTCTGGCTTCGTCAGTGATACAACCGTTGGCAGATGCATTTCTGCCGTATCCATAGAAGCCGCCTCGTCCTGTTGAGCTGGATGACCATGTATGAGAGATACCACCGTATCTACTGCTGGGGTCGACCCATCAGAACCATCAACCACCTCTTCTGCCAACTCTTGAACACCTGCGTTCACAATACCATCCGACGGTATCTGGTCCACTGTCTCGTCATGTCTCGCGGCCTGGGCCTCCTTCTCCTTCTCCAAAGCTTCCCTGACCTTTTCCTCAAATCCATGAACCAATCTCCTCCGTCTATAGGGTTCAAATCCCAATTGGAACACCAAAAACAAAAGCACGTTGACCCCCATCAGGCCCCAAGTACCCCAGGTACTCATCCTCCTAATCTTGTCGCTCCAAATCTGCTCCTCATGATACCGACTCAGTATACTACTACTCAGTTGGCTGGCAGCATGTTCCGCCTCCCTCTCCGCCTCAGCCAACTTGGTCGCCGCTTCCTGGACTGCTTGTTCATTACTATGATCCATCCTATACAGACTCGTAAACCGCTCAAGATCTGTCGGCGTCCAAGTATCCTTCCTCGCCAATAACGTCGTGACCTCCCGTTGGGTGGAAGCTCTGTCGGCCACCATGGTCTTATAGGTGAGGCGTGAAGAACGAACCGCATCTTGCGCCTCCTGCAAGCGCTTTTCGAGGGAGACAATGCGTTCCTTCAAAGCCTCGATGCCCGAGTAGCCGGTCAAGTCGTTGATGCGTTGGGAGGCTATGAAGATGTTGCCCTGGAGGTGGTCCATGATGTTGGAGAAGCGTTTCGTGATGGCGCTCCGCCGGCTTTCCTCCGCGGACGGGAGCTCTCCCGCGTCATTCTCTGGTAGTGGCGGCGGTGGGGGAGAGGCGGATTCAGGGGTTGGTGAGGGCTCTTGCTCTTGGGGAGCGGGAGGTTTGGACTGGTCGGCAAATCGCCGGACTTGGGAGCGGATTCTACATTGTAGACAGGTGGATGCGCGGACGGAGGGGCGGTTGGAGAGGCGTAGTGGTCGTGATGCTGGGGAGGAGGCAATTGGATCGAAGATGAGCCTTGGGGCGAGCCGGGCCAAGGGCCTCATGACGAGTCTATCTCGCGGGAGACGGCGAGGTTGGTTGTGGTTGTTGTGGTTGAGGTTCTGGTTCTGGTTCCTGTCCCTGGATCGAATCTCTAAATACCTCCAGCCAGCTCGGCTGAACTGAAGTACCGAAAATACCAGTTAAATACCGGAACGCGGCGAAATGGGGAAGGTTACTCGGTAAATTCCATAAATACGGTAAGAATAGCGATAATAAGGACAAATAATAGACTCTCCCCGCCTCACCGCTTTGGTGGGGCACGGAAGGCTTTTACGGAATATCCTGTTAAAAGGAGTCGGTCAGGAACCCCCACCATGGCTCTCGCTGGAGAACCTCCTTTCATTTCAGGTCGGATTCTACTCTTCTGTAGATAGAGTTCAATCAATACACCCGTTGCATACAATATAGAACCTCCTGTCTTGACACTCTTTGATACTTTGCTCTTCTTTTTCCTAGATCTGTGTCCCTTGCTCTGCCCTGCCTCTGCAATTGCACCCAGGTAAAACTCTCAATGGCTGCTGTTCCCCTCCCCGCCCTTCTTCCCTTGGATCTCCCGTTGACCTTTGAATTCTTGAAGCCTCCCTTCTCCAAACCAGACCCTCTGCCACCGCCATCATGTCGGCAACTACCCTCCCTGCCATGAAGACTGCCCCCAAGTTCATCTTCTTCAGCGACTTCGACGGCACCATCACCCAGCGAGACTCCAACGACTTCATGACCGACAACATAGGCTTTGGACAGAAGCTGCGGAAGCAAGGCAATCAAGATGTGCTTGATGGCAGATCCTCTTTCCGGGATGCTTTCCGGGAGATGATGGACTCGATCAAGACTCCCTACGATGAATGTATAAAGATCCTCCTTGAGAATATCAAGTTGGATCCCTATTTCAAGGAATTCTATGACTGGGCGAGGAGCAACAACATACCCGTCGTGATCCTGAGTGGCGGGATGGTGCCGATCATTCGAGCGCTGTTGGTCCACTTGGTAGGAAAGGACGCAGACGATATCCAGATCGTTGCTAACGACGTTGCACCGAGGGATGGCAAGAGCATCAATGAGGAAGGGGGCTGGCAAATTGTGTTCCATGATGAGAGGCGAGTGATACTCCAGGATCTGCATCGTCGTCCTGAAGCCAGGACTTGTGCTTTCGACAGAGCTTGGTTCTAATGCCTTTGACAGCCATTTCGGTCACGACAAGTCACGGGAGATCAGACCGTACGCAAATCTACCTGATGCAGAACGGCCCACCCTGTTCTATGCTGGAGATGGGGTGTCCGATCTCTCTGCAGCAAAAGAGACCGATCTCCTGTTTGCGAAGAAGGGACATGGTAAGAGGTCCAGCCCGAGGGGGGTGAAGACATCCTAACAAATTGCAGATCTTGTCACCTACTGTGTCAGGGAGAAAGTCCCCTTCACACTCTTTGAAGATTGGTCAACAATTCTAGCGACGGTGAAAGATATTGTGGCTGGGAAGACCACAGTCAAGAAGGTCTCAGAAGAAGGTGTGGAATCCTTTGAGCGCCTGGGAAACGAGAAGAACTAGAGGTTTGATAGAAGGATTGATACATTGTTTAGAGAGACCGGTGTAGTAGGGCCCATTTATAGAGCCATAGACGCCTCGACTAGACTCGCTCTGCAGTATTTGAAGTATAAATCAAAAGATCGGATCGAGGTATCAATTGCCGGCCGAAATGGGTTGAGTAATCGACAAGATTCCGTTGAAGAAATAGCCCCGATGGCTCTCCATCGTTGACCTTGTTGATCCTCAGGGAGCAGCTTTTGTTCACAAGAGGGCTGTAAGAGATAGGACATATATAAGTGAAGGGAGAGGAATTCGTAATCGAAGGAGGCCGAAAGAAGTGCGGTCGAGGGGATCTGACTAAGAGCCTGTTGATCGTAGCCAAGTGATATGTAAAAGCCGTGCTGCAAGGGTTTGACAACCCCCTAATAAAGTCTATATCGTAACATATCCGTTAACCGCATCGTATCTTTCAATCTGTCCGATATACACATCTCTCTCTCCCCCCAAGAAGTGAGTTGTGTGAGTGAAGCTTCATTTTCGTCGCACGAAAAGCTCCGGCGCAACCGACCAATCAGCCGCCAGCCAAACCAATCGCTCGTTCCTTGCCGACGAACCTCAAAATCCTCAGCTCATAACCTACCGTCACCTCCCATCCATCAATTGCCTACACCACACCGCCGCTCACCATGGCCTCTCTCACCTCCACCTCTCGCACGCTGCTGCGCGCTCTGCCACGCACCTCTCTGTCCTCTCTCCCCGTTCGCGCCCTCTCCACCTCGTCCAGCAAATGCGGACCCGGCGCGGCGGACACCAGCTCTTTCGACTCGCCCTTCCGCGGCTTTGGCGGCAGCAAGACCGCCAAGATCCCCGATTTCAGCCATTACAAGAGCAACAAGAGCCAGACCAGCAACCAGATGTTCCAGTACTTCATGGTCGGCACAATGGGTGCTCTCACAGCCGCGGGTGCCAAGAACACCGTTCAAGGTACGTTCCGGGATTTCTACATCGGCAATGGGGTGGCGAAAATACAATGCATTGGAATCATGGCTTGAATATTGGTTAGGATGTGATTAGAGTGGTCTGCTGATACCGGTGTGAATATAGACTTCCTGGTGAACATGTCCGCCTCTGCGGATGTTTTGGCCATGGCCAAGGTCGAGGTTGACCTGTCGGCCATTCCCGAGGGCAAGAACGTACGTGATAACATCAATTGGGACCGGACTTTCAGCGTACTGATGGATACAGGTCATTATCAAATGGCGAGGCAAGCCAGTCTTCATCCGCCACCGAACCCCCGATGAAATCAAGGAGGCCGAGAGCGTCAAGGTCGAGTCGTTGCGGGATCCTCAAAAGGATGAGGACCGTGTCAAGAAGCCTGAATGGTTGGTCATGATCGGTATGAGCACATTCCAGTCCTCGTCTTGAGTCGGTACTGATTAATGAATTAGGTGTCTGCACACACTTGGGATGCGTACCCATCGGCGAAGCCGGCGACTTCGGAGGATGGTTCTGCCCCTGCCACGGTTCTCACTACGATATTTCCGGACGTATACGAAAGGGACCCGCGCCTCTTAACCTCGAGATCCCAGAATACGACTTCCCTGAAGAGACGTCGCTGGTTATTGGTTAATTTAGATTGTATAAAGCATACGGCGTGTCAGTGTTGTTAGACGGGGGACATGGGGTAGACGACGAGATGGCGATTTGCGGCTTTGTAGAAGGGAATGATGCCGTTGTACAAAATATCATCGAAACCTATTGCAAAAAGTCATATTCTTGGTGCCCTTTGCAACGTGACGTATGTGTAAAGACTCGGGTAGTTGGGATGGACGGGCGTGATCATTCCTGTAGACCCTTCTTCCTTCGAGCAGGATTGTCCTCTATTCATTTGCAGCACAATGTCACATCGGTCTGGGTCACAGCTCCCGCTCCCCTTATAGCCAACCACCCCTGTCACTAATCTGGATCATATGGTCAACTACACCGTCAATGCTTTACATATCTAATCTGTAATATTACAAGCATCAGCTCTTCATTCCGTATTCCCTCATCAATGACCATGTCCATCGTCACCACCAGCCTCTGGCTTATCCAACGTGATAAGCGTATCGATCCTCATTATAGATATACAAGCCTCGACCGCCGACTTCAACTGGCGAACCTTGCTCATGCTGGGCTCCAGAACACCGGCCTTGATCTCATCCACCACCTTCCCTTTCATCAGGTCCAGACCGTAGTTCTTGTAATTCTTCTTCTTGGCTATGGTCTTCTCGTCCTCGTTGGCATCACCGTCCTGGATCCGCTGCGATAGAGCGTGTCTGGATCGGAGTTGGGCCACGAGCTCAGATGAGTCCTTGGCAGCGTTGACGGCGAGCGTCTTGGGAATGGTCAGGAGTGCTTGAGCAAACTCGCCAATGGCAAGTTGCTCTCGGGAGCCGACGGTGCCGGCGAATTCTTCGAGATAGATGTGCAGAGCGGTCTCGACAGCACCACCTCCAGGAACGATGCTTCCACTCTCCAGTGTTCGCTTGACCGCACAGAGCGAGTCGTGGACCGATCTCTCCATCTCATCGAGCTGGTAGTCATTGGGTCCCCGGAGGATGATAGATGCTGAGGTGTGAGCCTTAGTACCCTTGATCAATATACACTCGTCGTCGGAAATCCGCTCCTGGACAACTTCCTCAGCATGACCTAATGAGGATGCCTCGAATTTCTCGTCGCCATTAAGATCAGACAATGAGCTGATCAATGTTGCTCCGGTCGCCTTGGCTATCCGTCGAAGGTCTTCCTTCTTGCATCTCCGAACAGCCATAGCTCCCTTCTCGATGAAGAGCTTAAGACACAGATCATCGATACCCTTTGTAGTCAACACAACATTTGCTCCTGACTTAAGAATCATCTCTACTCGGTCCATGACTATTCCCGCCTCACGTTCTCTGATTTGCTCCAACTGCTGCGGGTCATCAATCGTGATGTGGACTCCGAGCTTCATCCTCTCCTTTTGCAGATTCATATCGAGAATGGCGATTTTTGCATCGGTGATTCTGGTCTTCATCATTTGCGAGGCAACCGTGCAATTTAATGCATATCCCTTCACCAATACCGACTCTAATGCTCCCTTCCCGTGCGCTTTCAGGATATTGACTGCCTTGACCGGGTACTTGGTCTCTTGTCGGTTGTTCGTTGACTTGACTGCCTGCATAGCATCAACAACCATGTTTGCGAAGAAATCTGAATCCGCCCCAATAATTTTGCTCGACATGGAGGTTTTGGCGATGCTGAGCAGGGAGTCCCGGCCCAGTTGATCCACCTTCACGCTGATGTTCTCGTGCATGTACTTGACAGCTTCGCGAAGAGCTAGACGGTAGCCAGTGATGATGGTTGTAGGATGTATTCGGTTCTTCATGAGTTCGTTGGCTCTTCGGAGAAGTTCTGCTGCAATTATGACAACGGATGTCGTCCCATCTCCAACCTCCTTATCTTGCTGTTGTGCCAGGTCGACCAGAATCTTGCCTGCGGGATGCTCTACATCCAGTAGACTGAGGATGGTTGCGCCATCATTCGTGACAGTGACATCCTGTCGGAAGTTAGTATATTGATATATGGCAGATAGGTGGACGGGTATAGCTTACTCCAATGTCATCCACCATCATCTTGTCTAAACCGCTGGGGCCAAATGAGCTCTTGACTACATTTGCGATGGCCTGAGTAGCAAGAACTGTCCCGGCTATCAGCGTCTACCTTTTTATGAGGATATAAACAATCATACCATTCTGGTCTCGGATGTCTGAACCACTAATCTTCTGGCCACCAAGGACTGTGTGATGTTAGCCGACTTGAAGTCAAACGGTCTCCAAACATATCTTACACAGAGTTCCAGCATTGCGCGGTTGTTCGAAGAGGGATCCCATGTTGGTTGATTTGGCTCGACAGTGCTACTCCTTACTGCCCAGATCTTTACTCGAGGTTCACAATTTCTTCCGCGCCCTGCTTGGAGACGCGATGCGAGCTTTGTGCCCTAGCTGTGATAGGCTAGCTTCGTTCTGATATATGAGGCATGCACAGCCTTGTCTGCCTGGAGAATGAGGCCGAAACCTCCCCCCCTATCTTGCCGCGGAGAGAACACAGCAAAGGGACGGGAGATCAAAGGATCTGGATCTAGATGGCATGAAATATAGGTAAAGTAGTCAAGGATATTGGAGGTTGAGAGACCCTGGGGGAAGAGCACTCATACATGCTATATCATGTACCGTAAATGCACTCTGATCCTCTCTCCTATTCCTCTACAGATACATATAGCATTTTGAAAGGGCTTTGTAGCAGCAAGTCTTCAGACAACACACCTTCAACTACTTCTCAAAGCCGGAAGATATGCTCTAAACACATATCTCATCTGGAATCCCAAGAATACATTGCCAAACCGCCGTCGTCGTCTTCAACTTCCCACGGCAACGAGGCTGAGATCCGTTGTATCTAAGCGAGGCCACTAAATAGCGGGGGAGTCACAAATTTGGCCTTTGATCGATTTCGAGGTGCAAGACTTTGGAATCTCTCTATCCCCCCACCCTCTCAACGAGACGCTGCACGACCCAAACAACATCATGGCCGAACCCCCAGCAGAACAGTCCAAGAGCGCCCTCAAAAAGGCCGAGAAGCAGGCAAAGATGGCTGCTGAGAAGGCCGCCAAAGCAGCGAAGCAATCCCTTGCGGTGGTGGGCGGAAAGAAGACGGACGATATAATTGGAATCACGGTCTCGAAATCTCAGAACTTCTCGGCATGGTACCAGGAGGTCGTCCTCAAGGCCGAGATGATCGACTACTACAATGAGATCTCGGGCTTCTTCATCTTGCGTCCTGCCTCGATGTATATCTGGAACACCATCAGGAAGTGGTTCCAGGAGCGCATCGAGGCCATGGAAGTTGAGGAGGCCAGTTTCCCCATGTTCTTGTCTTCAAAGTCGCTCGAGAAGGAGAAGGACCATGTTGAGGGATTCGCTCCCGAACTTGCCTGGGTCACTAAAGCGTTTGTTCCCAACCCTTATCTTCTCGCTGTCCAATGCTAATTGTACTTAGCGGAGACAAAGATCTCGAGGTTCCCGTCGCGGTTCGTCCAACTTCCGAAGCCGTCATGTACCCCTACTTCTCGAAGTGGATTCGGAGTCACCGAGATCTCCCCCTGCGACTCAACCAGTGGAACAGCGTGGTTCGGTGGGAGGCCAAGCAAACCACCCCATTCCTCCGAGCTCGGGAGTTCTTGTGGCAGGAGGGACATACTGCGCATTTGACTGAAGAGCTGGCCGGTGAAGAAGTGCTCCAAATCCTCGAACTATATGCTGGAGTTTACGAACAATTACTCGCCGTCCCAGTCGTCCGGGGCAGAAAGACAGAGAAGGAGAAATTTGCCGGCGGATACTACACTACAACCGTAGAAGGATACATCCCTTCCAATGGGCGAGGTATCCAAGGCGCAACGTCCCATTGTTTGGGCCAAAACTTCAGTAAGATGTTTGATATCACTGTCGAAGACCCTGCTCCCAAGGCTGGCGAGGGAGCCAAACACATCCACGTCTGGCAAAACTCCTGGGGTCTCTCTACTCGTGTCATCGGTGTCATGGTCATGATCCACGGCGATGATAAGGGTCTGGTTCTCCCTCCCCGCATCGCCCGGCTCCAGGTCATCATCATCCCCGTCGGTATCAACAAGAACACATCCCCAGAAGATAAGACCAAGCACTACGACAAGCTCCAAGAACTGAAGGACTCCCTCAAGAAAGCCGGTGTGCGAGTCGACTACGACACCCGCGAGGGCTACACCCCAGCGTGGAAGTTCAACGACTGGGAACTCAAGGGCGTGCCCCTGCGTCTGGAATACGGGCCCAAGGACGCCGCGCAATCCGTCGTATCGTTCGCGCGCCGCGACACCGGCGAGAAGGGCACCATCGCCATCTCCTCCATCGCGACCGAGGTCCCCGCCCTCCTCGAGAAGATCCAGAGCGACATGTACAACAAAGCCGACGCGGCCTTCCGCTCGCACCGCCTGGTGATCACGAACTGGGACGAGGTCGTCCCCGCCCTGGACTCCAAGAACGTGGTTCTGATCCCCCACTGTCTGGAGGAGAAGTGCGAGGATAGGATTAAGGAGATCACGAAGGGGGCGCCGGATGAGACGGATGGTCCTGCGGACCAGAAGGCACCAAGCATGGGCATGAAGAGCTTGTGTATCCCCTTCGAGCAGCCGGAGGGTATCGTCAAGGGGGAGACGAAATGTCTAAACCCCGAGTGCACGGCGTTCGCTGAGAAGTGGTGTATGTTCGGAAGGAGTTATTAGATGGTGAACGATGAAGGAGTTGGAGTTGGGAGAGGAAAGAAAGCCCGGCAGGCTAGTGTTGTGGGAAAAGGAAATGAAGTGTTAGCTACCTTAGCTATCTATGATCATGAATGGGTTGTCAGGGTTTCATTTCATGTATTCCTGCGGCTATGCTGGACGCTTTCACTGAGCACGAGTCTACAAATCTCGCATTTCCGAGATGGGTACAGAGATAAAGAGAGGTGCCGTAGCTAGCTAGCAGAAGATAAAGGAATCAATACTTGAAATGTCACAAAACGGAAGTTGAAAGTGTCATGATCTAGTATTACGTATGGGCCTGAGGCTGCTAGTAAGAAGTTTGAGACGTCCGCCCCAGGATGTTTGTTTGTCTAGAACTGAATGAGAATCCTCCATTTTGACCCATTTCCCGTTTCTAGTGAAGCCATGTTCTTCGCCTTCGTACATTCCAGTCCCGATTGGTCCAATTCTCTTTGTGGTCCATCATCTGTTGGGTGAGGAGATTTGCATTCCATGCTCATACAAGCAGGTGTTGCCAAATCACGAGGCATGCGATAACGTCAAGGGGTATCGTGTGGCGGACAAAAAAGTCTTGACTTTTAACGCAGACTCCTTCACACAAAGTCGGCACAATAGGAGAAGCCTCTGAACTCTTCTTGCATAGCTTGCGATAGCACTTTTGAACATATTAGTTGAGATCATTTAAAGACACCAAGAGAACTTACCAGACTGAACAGGCGTCAAAACCGGTGTAACACTCGTAAACTCGGAATCGAAGTTGCTGGTATCTGTAGCACTGGAGATTGTAGGTTGGAAAGGCGGTTGGATCCGCTTGTGGTAAACATCATCCCAATTGATGTTCCTAAAGAAGGGCTGGCTCATGATCTCTTGCGCATCAGTCGGCCCGCTTCCAAGACGTTGATCAGGCTCTCGGGTGAGGAGCTTCTGTAAGATTGAGACTGAATCCCGAGGCATATGAATTGGATAGAGGGGCTCGTCAGCAAGAATAGCATCGTAGATTTCATCCTCGTCTTCGCCTCGGAAGGGCGATTGCTGCAGGAGCATTTGATAGATCAGAACACCAAACGCCCACCAGTCGACAGCTCGACCATATTTCTTGTCAAGTAAAATCTACTCGCGTCAGTTCTGATCCAGAATCCGCACTATCCGGAAAGCTTACCTCAGGAGCCATGAATTCAGGAGTACCGCAGAAGGTGCTGGTTGTTGAACCATACCACATGTCTTCCTTGCAAAGACCATAATCAGCAACCTTGATATGGCCATCAAGGGTCAACATGATATTGTCCAATTTCAAGTCACGGTAGATGACTCCATTTTCGTGGAAGTATTTCAATGCCAAGCAGACCTCAGCAGCATAAAATCTAGAACTGTTTAGTAAACTGCGAGGTTGAGCTTGAATTGGGGTTGACTTACTGGGCTCTCTTTGTCCCGAATTGACCACGCTGAATGTGCAACATAAGATCACCTCCACTGATATACTCCATGACGAAGTAAACTCTTGTCTCTGTCTGGAAACAAGCGTGAAGATTAAGCAGGAAAGGATGACGCTCCTTATTTGCGATCAAAAACACTCTCTTCTCTGACCGAGTGCTTTCGACCTCGTCATTTTCAATAATGAACTCCTTTTTCAACACCTTGATAGCGTACAGCTGCTTCGTTTGTTTGGTCTCGGCAAGCATAACCTTACCGAAGTTGCCTTTACCAAGAACAGCAAGGAAGTTGAAGTGATCCAGGCCAATACGACGACCAGTTCCAGCTTCAGTTGCCGGGGGCGCGGGTTTACGCACGACGGCAGTTGGAGAAGCAGCTACTGGTTCTGGTGCAGACGGGGGTGCGCCATAGACTGCTTGTGTTGGCGGTATTTGAGGGGGCATTTGAGGCTGGGCCTGAGGGAAAGGCTGAGTTGGATAGCCACTGACTTGAGCATATGCAGCAGGGTTGTAACTCGGTGTTGTGGGAACTTGAGACTTTGGAGGCATACCGTAGCCACCGTCTTCCGCGTGAGTATCGAGCCGATTCGGATACCCACCCGGGTTACGACCAGCTGCAGTTTGGCTAGCATAATCCGAAGAAGCTCTTTGATGGTACTGATCTTTTTGTGAAGGAGTTCTTTGACCAGTCATTGCCGCTGCTGCCGCCGCTGCTGCCGATGAGGAAGAAGTACGATCGGGGCCGGATGGTCTACCCGGCGAGGTCTGACCTTGGGCATACATTGCCTTGGCGGCTTCTGTAGCCTCCACGGATGAAGCAGAGGACGCTCCATATGACTGAGTTCGAGATGTACGAGAGGGGTCAGACGAACCATAAGATGAGCGTGGGTCAGCGGAAACCTGGGTTTGATCTGTTGAAGCAGTTTTACCAGACTGGGGTCGTAATGTCCGGCCGCTCAAGGAGGATTGCGTTGTCTGCCGCTGCTTTTGAGTTCGAATGCCATCCAGAATCACATTGGCCACAGCCATGGACATCCCACAGAAATCAGGTACAAGATGTACACATTGGGCGTGACAGGTAAGACCACATTCTACGATACGTTAATTTAGACTTTTCCTTTTTAACGTTTGATGAAAACTTACCGGAACATTTCCGACAATTCTTCTTTCCGAAAGGCAAGATATAACCACAGTGGCAACACCAGTTCGCACTCATATTGGAGAATTTCTCGAAGCGATGAGGAATACGATGGTTGATCTTCTCCTCGTCCGGATCCGTTTCGGCATTGGACTTGCTGATACACTTGGTGACGACACTCGTGTAGCACTTGGTGTGGCAGGTATATTTGCAGTCTTCGCACTGCATTCCGGCGGAATACTTGAGGAAATCGCCGCACAGAGCACATCGCATGATGTTGTAGAATTGCTGCGATACGAACTTATGGCCGTACATCTCGTGGACCTCTTCCTTCCGTTGTCGGATGGCACCTTTTCGGTTGAGTCCAACATCGAACGGCCGCCGGTCCTTGGTTTGTTTTGTAAAGCTGATGGTCAGGTGGACTGCACCCGCAGGCTCGAGTGCGAACCATGCATCAATCGGTGGGGGGGCCACGATGGCATTATTGCCGTCTGGGCCAGCAGTTCCAGTACCAGTGCCGCCAGTGCTTTGAGGAGGGGTACCAAACTTTGGTTGTTGTGCAGGATTCATGTTGAACTGTGGAGGTGGCGCGCCCCCTCCTATAGCCATTCTATCAGCAGAAACCCATCCGGAGTTGTTAATCTCAGCCTCAATCCTCTTCCTCCGCATTTCTTCCACGATATCCGATATCCGGATCCATAATAGACCTATTGGCAACGGGTGGTCACTGGGCTTATCGTAGACCGTGAGTTCGATTTCATTTGCCTTTTCGACCATCAAATTGTGGTACTCAGCCTCCCACTTGTCCGTACGTGATGACTTGGTGCGAGCTACCACGTTGTCTTCGACCTTCACTGCTACAAATGTCTCGGGGCCGCGTGTAAATCTACCCGTAGTTGCGTGGTCGACATCCTTGACTGCAAGTATCCGAATCGAGAGTTGTCCAGTCAGGGGCTTTCGCATGTTTGGTGTATTGATGCTGTCATCTTTTCAGGGTGTAAGCTTTCTAATCCCGAATCACTGTAAGCAGTAGATCTTACCATCTGGAGCGTCTGCAGCACTTTCCATGTCAATGTGTAGATCCTCGTATCGTTTCAGGGCTTGTTTAAGGATCTGGATTTTCTGGGTGCTCTCAATCCGGCGTCCCGCAGCATCAGCTTTACTCTTCCTATCGCCCTCCATCTGGTACAGCTGGACCATTTTCTCGATGCCCTTGAGATACTGCTTCTCGACATTGAGCTTGAATTCTAATTGCGACAGCATGAGCTGGATCCGAGGTCCTAGGTGTGGTGTATCGTACTTGATAAGATCTGCAGATTTAAATATCAGTATTGGAAGCACTCTGGGCGATGGGATACCTACCAAGCTTTGTAAAGTTGGGACGTGATTTTGGGATGCCAGAATTGGGCCCCGGCGGTGCGTATGGGTGTCGAGGCGGCATCATATCACCATGGCCGCCGATCTGGCTGTAGTCCTGTGTGCCATAGCCTCCAAGGTCCGAGCCAGCTTCAGTATATCCTCCTCTGGAGTCCTTCGGAGGCGGGGTGGGCGGACCATCCCTGTCGTTGTGAAGGCCAGAGCTGAGCGGTCTTCCATTGCTAGCCGTCCCCAGATTCAGATTGTCCATGCCCTGGCCCATCCGCCGCATCTGCAGCTCTCGCATGCGCTCTTCTAAGTATTGGATGTTGCGGCGCCCTTCTCTGATCTGGGTATCTATTCGACTTCTGACCGTCTCGTTCTGGGTCTGCTGCCGCATTTGATTCGCCGCATTGAGGAGGGCGCGTTCCCGCTCGATCTTCTTGAAGACCGAGCTGAGGGCTTCATCGTCATTGTTCATGATTGCGTCGGTCGGGGTGGGAGCGCGTCTCAACCGCGGCGAGATGGGGGATTTGTTCTTGGAGCGAGCGTTTCGTTCCAGGTGTCGGGTGCTTGGTCGAGCGAGGTGGAGTGGGGTAGCCTCGAGATCTGCCGTTGCTACCTAAGCCTAAGGTAGGGCGCGCGGTGCACAGCGACTTGCCAGATAACGAGCGTTCGCTGGGCCGCGAGGGGGGAACAACGGGACGCACTGAGAACAGTGGCACAGACAGCGTCGGGATATACGACGCGGTGCTCTCGGGGCAGGGATCGGATCGCTCGCGGGGTGTTGCGAAGTCTTGGGGAAGAAATAATTGTTTTGTTTCCGCCAGACACACGTGAGAAGATAATGGAGATGCCCTTCTTTTCTTTTACTCCGCCACAATAGGGTACAGGACGTCGAGCAAGGTTCCTCGACCCCTCCCTGGCAGGCCGCGAAGAAGGTCTGGAGGCTCTGAATCCGAACAAAGGTTGATATTGATATCGATGTGCACGATCGTTCGAGGCAGACCCGGCGGCTTTCTTGCGCGGCTGGGATGGGGAGTGAGGGTTGGACGGGTTGTTGGACCTCGCTCTTGTTGATGCCAAAGAGAGTTGAGGGGCCGTCTCGGTTGTTCTCGTACGGCTCCGTCATAGTCTCCCTACAAAGCACATAATGCTGTGTATATGGTATCATCGCACGCAAGGTTCCCTGGTCGCAGTAGCTATATTGTAATTATGATAAATTATATCCCCTCCTTCATGCGGCATCAGCCCCCTCATCTATCTATTATGCTTGGTATCCTGCACACGGAGTTTTGCATAAGAGGGGGCGTCTTCCCATACGGAGTACCTATATACCGTAAGGGATAGGAGGCAGTAACTCCAGGGTCAGCCACTTCTAATCAATTGTGGGAATCCTTATTGTTGGTTTATTGTTGGTCTATTGGTTCTTTTCTCTCTGCAATGCACCAAGGGTTTTAGTACGAAAAGACCAGGCTTATGAAGCATCGGCGGCCCCGGCGTATAGGTACTTGCTGTATTCCGAGCTACTCACTCCGGCATCTACCTACTCACATACACATGCTTTGCCGTCGGGGCCTAATAATAATATACTACTTTTGTATTTTCTCTCAAGGTAGCTGCTCATTTGGTATACTGAGCCTTGAGCAGCTTGGCGATCGTTGTCAGCTGGATGTTGCTCGTGCCCTCGTAGATGGCCCCTATCTTGCTATCTCTCCACATCTTCTCCGCAATGCCTTCTCGCACAAATCCCATGCCTCCCATGAGCTCAATACCAAGACCGCTAACCTTCTGGGCAACTTGCGAAGCATACAACTTGGCCATCGCAGCATCCTGAACAAAGTTCTCGCCCGCCTCCTTCTTTCGCGAGGCGTTGAACACTAACGCCCTGGCAGCAGAAAGCTCAGTGTACGCCTGCGCAATTTGATGCTGCACACCCTGGAAATCACCGACCAATTGGCCAAATTGTTTTCGGTCGTTCCATACATACCTAGAACCATGTTAGTAGACGGAGTGTCTAATTGGTGATCAATGCTTACTTCACCGCGTTGTCGAAGGCACCGCGGGCGAGACCGGTCATTTGAGCGGCAATTCCAATACGGCCTTCGTTCAACAGTCCTATGGCATATTTATAGCCTTGACCCTCTACACCAAGAAGGTTTTCCTTGGGAACCTCGACATCGTCGAAGTTGAGCACACACGTGCTACTAGCTCTGATACCAAGCTTCTTCTCCTTCTTGGCGATGGAGAATCCCTTCATGCCCTTCTCAACGATGAATGCTGTGATTCCTTTGTAGCCCTTGCTTGGGTCGAGGTTTGCGAAGACAATGAAGAAATCGGCTTCCATCGAGTTGGTGATCCACATCTTGCCTCCTGTGATCTTGTATCCCGAGTCGGTTCTGGTCGCCTTGGTGGCAAGGGCAAAGGCATCTGACCCTGAAACAGGTTCGGAAAGACAGAAAGACCCTGAAATGTCAGCGACTAAACTTCGCTCTTATGCTGTGGTCATCTTACCAACGGTGTTGGTTGCCAGTTTTGGCAGCCACTTCTTCTTCATCTCGGTGCTCCCCCAGTTCAGGATAGCCGTGTTCACCAGAGTGTTGTGCACATCGCACATAACACTGACACTAGGGTCAACTCTGGCCAGCTCCTCGATTCCAATAATGGCAGAAGTGAAGTTCATGCCCGCGCCACCGTATTCCTCGGGGATCTCGACGCCCATCAATCCCTGCTCAAAGAGCTGCTCCACAATCGCGGGGTCCATCATCTCGTTCTCATCCATCTCTCTGACCTTAGGCGCAATAACTTCATTTGCAAATTTGGCCACTGACTCTTGCATGGCACTCTCTATCTCGGACAGGTGCGTAATAGGCGTGGGGGGAATTTCGGTGATGTCGATCGCTTCACTGCGTCGTCGGGCAGTAACAGATAAAGGCCTCGCACTGTATACATTGTCAGATTGAAAAGGTAATCAGGTATGAGAGGGGCTTACTGTTGGTATATCCTCGTAGGTCTCGCAGTTCTCAGAGCTGGCCGTGCCGCCAAGGCTGTGGCTCTTTGGGCCACAGGCCGCAACGCTCTCATGACGGAGGTCATTTTTTGCAATCTGAATGGCTGGTACCTGAGCGCTCTCGGTATGAAATGGAGCGAGGTCAAGAATTGAATCTGCAGGTGAAAGAGAGAAGTAGGATGTCAGAAGTGTGCGAATCTCCAAGGTGGTAGCTCCTCCAATAGCCTCGGCCCAGGGTCGTCGGCCACCACAGCGAGGCCGGTTTTCCTGGAGAAGCCGGGGTTGGAATCGCTTATCAGCGGTAATACTTGTAAGTTGCCTAGGCTCAAAGCTGCTTTTGCGGAGAAATGCCGAATACCCAGACAAAAGATATTCAGGATTGTTTGTTTTGTGAATAACAGAAGAGAACCCCGCTCCTGTATTGAATTGATATTCATACGACGATACATATGAGTAGTAGGTATTCTGACCTGGGTGGCAATCTTCCGAATCGGCCTCACATGTGTTAATCACATGATGTCAGTGTACCCTTTGCCCGGATTATGTAAGAATCGAGCATACCCCAGTGATGATGGTCAAGTATCTGCAGTAAGGTACCGCACCGGTAAACACATATTTTTAAGTTGTAGTCACAGTCGGACCCTTTGTGACTTTCCAAAGACATCAAGTGATGCACAGATGAGAGAACCAAGAAAGCGAACATGCACAATGCGGGTTTGGTGGCTGGTGATTATCTTTCATCAGTACAGCCTAATTCTATGATGGTGTTCAATCATTAGACGACCAGAGATAAGTCCACTGGCGTTGTGGCGGAGTGGTTATCGCGACAGCCTAGAAAGCTGTTTCCTTCGGGAGCACAAGTTCGAATCTTGTCAACGTCGTTTGTTATTTTGCTTTTCTATTCACTTTTATTTCGTTTTTATTTTGGATTTTTTTGCAACCGCCCTGCTTCGTTTTCTCTTTCCAAGGGAAACTTTGAAAATTGATAAAAATAAACCAAATCTGTCTTCTTATCGCAATCCTGATTCTTGGGAACCGCTTTATGCCTTGCTTCAAGCCCTCCTTGTGGATTATATCGATATTGCTTTCAGGATTACCATGCCATATCTCCAAATAACGTCTTGTGACTGTAGTTCTACGGTCTGGCCCTTTGCTTTGAATTTCACATCCACCCCCCGGGGGGAGCCCTAGGAGATCCTTGGGACAGGTATTCAGGGGATTCCAGCGAAACAACACCGCTGGATTGAGTGTCAACTTCCTCCAGTAGAGATGCTGCATCATGACTTGATTGGCCATAGAGTTCGTTGCTTATGGCTCTGAAAGTCAGAATTGGCCTTGCTCAGTTTGGTGGAAACCAGAAGTTGGTGCATGTCCGCATTTCCTTGATATCCTGCGCTATGAAGCCAAACATATAGATCAAGTGATACTTGAAGGTCGTCGTCTTCTTTTGATATTTCCGTCGATTGTACCTCCTAACCCCTGAGCCTCATTTACACGGACAATCCATTCACGTGATGTAAGTCGGACCTCATTTTACCCCGCAATGGCAGCTTTCTCCCTTTTCTCATACCTCATGAATATCATCGTGCAATCCACCCCATCTCAGCCGTAATGTCATCGTATCCTTTCAGCGTCTTGAATGCAGATGTCGATGCTCCATCACCAACTTCCACCTCCTTCACACTGACCCCAACCTCCCACTTTCCAACCGACATCTGGCGCAAGCCCATCCGCCCCTATCAGGGGGAAAGCATCAACAGCTTCAACGCACCCATCATCTACAAACGCATTGGGCTTCCCTCCTTCCAACGCGCTCGCGTCACCGTCTCTGCCCCATGGTCAAAGCTCTACGACCAAGGTGGCCTCATCTTTATCCTCCCGTCCGCGTGCGCCGCTGAAGACGGAGGCAATGGTGGGAGTAGGCTGGAGGTAGCGAAAGGGGGGAAATGGATTAAGACGGGGATTGAGTTTTATGAGGGCGAGGCGTATGTCAGTACGGTTGCGTGCGATCGGTGGTCTGATTGGTCACTTGTGCAGAATGGGATCGTCACCCTTGCGAACGGGGAGAAGCAGGTTACGCTGGAGATGGAGCGGAAGGACGACGATGATACGTTGTGGATTTACGTGATCCATCAAGATGGCGATGGCGGAGAGGAGAAGAGAATTCCGGTTAGAGAGGTCACGTGGGCCTTGAGTGAAGAGGGGAAGATGGATGGAGTGGAACAGATGATGAGGGAGGTTTGGGTGGGGGTTTATGCTGCTACGCCGACGGTGGAGGAGGGGAGGACGCTTGAGGTCAAATTTAGTGGGTTTGAGCTGGTGGTTATGAGCCCTGAGCAGATGGAGAGACGAGCTGGAGCTGGAGCTTGAGCGACACTTCCAAATGTCGCCGTGCAGGCATGAACATTTTACCTTGTGCTCCAGAAATTGGTCACCCTGCTGTTATCTAACTTCAAAGCACATGGCTGCGGCGTCGTATATGCACTTGATACGTACGGTTGACCTTGGAGCCTCAGACCACGAATACAGGCACATAAACGACAATGCTCCCAACATCAGTGGAACTGGATTCATTCTCTGATTCATTATTCATTACCCTATGGACAATACCTTAATACTCTGTTTATACGTAAAGAAAAACTTCGAGCTCCCTTCGAAGGTTCAAGATAGGAAAACACCTAATAATAGAATGAACTCCCAAAAGACACCCGCTACAATGAATACCTTGAAGGAAAAAGTGATTATCATCTCCCAAACAACATCTCGACCGTCTAGGCTCTCGCTATATGTCCACGCCTTTCCAGTCCTCTGTCCAATTGGCTTGAGCCCAGAAACCCATTATGAGTCCTTGCGAAGCACACCTATTCCGTCCTCTTTCTGACATTAGGCAAACAGAACCAGCAAATAAGCATGATCACAAACAACCCAATTGCAATAGGGTGCAACACGAAAGTTCCTACCGCCTGTGCCAAGATACCCGTAGTAAACGGAGCAACCGCACCTCCCGAGCTTCCAAAAGCACTGATGACGCTCAAGCTACTGACCTGATCCTTGCGGCCAATAGCTCTTGAGAAGACCGCCGTAGCACAAGGATACACCGGGCCCAGCAGAAGGCCCACGATAGAAACGGCCACGGCATCACCGATGATGTTGGGCACTTGCCAGACGAGAAGTTCGAATACAGCGGCGCCAATTACCATACCGTAGACGAATCTCTTCTCGCCGATTTTGTGGGCCGGGTGAGTGAGTATAAAGCGTCCGAAGGTGATGCCGCCCCAGAATCCAGCGGTGACATATCCCACGGCTGAAGGATTCCCGTGACGAGTGCCGATGAGGAAGGAGATGACCCAGCCGGAAATGGACACCTCGGCTCCTTGGTACGCGAAGATAAAGAGCGAGCCCAGGATTACTGTTTTGGACTTGAAGGCCTTCTTCATATTTGCCAGCTGGCTCAGTTGCTTGGGTTCATTCCGGACATTGGGAGAGGAGTTTTGCCGTGAGGCAGTTCGTTCCATTGGCGTGAGCAGTGCATGGCTTGATTCTGCCTCGTAATACCAGAATGACCAGCCAGCAAACGCGAGGTTGAAAACCGTCATTGATAGAGTCAGCAGATAGTAGCGGCTCCAAATTAGACCGCCTCTTGTAACCATAGCTGTGGCCACTGCAAGGTCTCGAAGTCAGCAACATTTGATCAAGAGTTGACTAGAATAATAAACCAAGGTTCATGAGCAGCAGAACATGCTCCATAATGCATCTTAGGTGAATTTACGGAACGAGTTGCTTTGAAAATATACATACTTATGGGCCCAATAGTCCCGCCAACGCCGTACGATCCGTGCATTGCTCCTAACATCTTTGTTCCATTTTGGAGGTTGGCGGCAAAAACGTTGCCCAAAGCCAAATTCATAGCCATTCCAACACCCAGGAAGAAAAAGGAGACAATGACAACTGGGTACGGCGGCGTACAGATGACTGGGATGTATCCACAAATCATCATAGTCTGCGCAAACATGAGAGTCTTGGCTATCATCAAGATTATTATAAATACTAGTTCAGAACATAAATATAAAACAAATATTTCATCATCTTACCTCTCCCAAATCGGCCGCGCAACGCATCGACGAAGAAGGCGGCTAGAATGAATCCAATTGCGTTGGTCACAAAGATGAGTGATACAACCGCGTAGCCAATGTCGTAATGTCTGAGACGATGTAAGTAACTCAAATATCACGGATACAATCTAGAAACATACTTCTCTATGTAAGGAATCAACGCACCAGGCGCCGAATCAGACAAGCCGTTGCAGAAGTTCAACAAACAGACAGAAAGCATCCTAAACCTATTGATTGGCGGGTTCGAGAAACTCTGCATTGCCTCTACAACATCCTGGTCAGTAAGGATTGGACTCGCAGGCCTGCTCATCTCCAGATCATGTGGGAGTCGTGGAGTTTGCGCGCCAGAAGGCGTAGTAGCACTCCTGGGTTCTCTCGAGGGGCCATCGAGTCTCGCACCCCACTGGATATTGTCGAGCTCAAGGGCATCTGGTGCTCGAGGAAGTGGGATTGAATGGTAATTCTTCGCTAATGCTTTCCGGGGCGCACTTGGGATTGCATAGGTTTCTGAATTGCTGGGAGACAGTGCAACGTCAATGAATGCGAGCGCGTGGGTAGTCATTCTGAGCGACAGCTACTGTTACACATAAGTGGAGGGGCAGAGACGAAGATGATAGGAGCACTCTCGAATAGCCTTCAGGAACAAGACACCGATGTGGTAAAAGAAAAGGATTCAGCGGCCCAAATGAAATAAATTTCAAGAATATCTGCGACAGAAGCTGGACGGTGTAGGGACGGGTGTGCGTTTAGGGGCTAGTCATAATACTTTAGCCTTTGACCCACGGTTGATATCAGATCGACAAGGAAGATCAATTCCAGGTTCGCAAGGTAAGGTACTCATCTCAGTCCTGAGGGATTCTTATAGCAGCCTCCAAGACATGCGGATAATTACCTTCCGTGGCAGGTCTCCTTCAGACCAGAGAAACTCGCCATCGAACAACAGTGCGACACGTTGTGCACCAAAAGTCGAGTAACACTGCATCATCAGAGCTGCTGAAAAATCAAAATATTGTACTGTAAGTCTCAATGCTGCCCGATTTTGCGTTGGCGGGGAACGAGTGGAGGGGCAGGCGGGGAGAAGGGCCGGATACGGATAATCTGATACGGATAAGCTATCCCGTCGGTAAGAGTTTATCCGTTCCGAAAATATTCGAAGAAAAGAATTCGTTGTTTTGTTGTTGACGGCACAAACAGCGGAGTGCCAAACGCAGTAGGTGAACTTCCAATAGCAGATCCACAAGAAAACCGTGTTCTTGGGTTTATTTCTTACATCATACTCGCACATCACAGCCATGGGCCGACCAAAGCGAAATATTGTCGCTGCAGCCGAAGAAACCTCTACCCCACCATCAGCTTTAACACCTACCCAATCCATCGCTCGAGTTATCAAAGCCGAAGGAAACAGCCTGTACTCCTGCTCTCTGCCAAACCAAAAAACCGTCTTAGTCGAGTTACCGTCGCGATTTCGAAATACAATTTGGATCAAACGCGGAGGATACGTTTTGATCGACACGAAAGATGCCGATGTGAGGCAGAATAAGATCAATGGTGAGATCGTGAATGTCGTCCGTGATGAGCACGTATGGAGAAAGGAGTCATATTGGTAAGCTTGGTATTAGCCCCGTTGGGATCCGTTGTCTGATACTTGCGGTTCCAGGCCCAAGGAATTCCCTAAAAGCTCTGCATACCCTGAAGACTCGGACGAGGAAGAATCAACGGTTGGCAAGATGCCCCCATCAGACTCGGAAGACGAAGACGAATAAATTGGGGTTCGAAAACATATATGGCTGGCCTCAAGTCGTCTTCTTGATTGCGCCACCCTCCCCTTTCATATGTGTGAAGTCCTTCCTCGTACCCCACCAGACGCTCGCAACAGTCGTAAACAAGACTCCGACAACGACCTTTGAACTAGCATTGGTGCTGGGATATACGTTCCAGGCCCATTCTTGAGCTGCCCACAAGCCATACTGAAGGACCGGATGCAGCCCGCTTCGCCAGAGAAGAAATGGTGTCGCCCAGGCAATATAGGCGTAGAATTGGTAATGCAGGGACCTTGCAAAGAGCATGCCAATAGCATTAGCTGTAAGGATGAGCGTTAAAATGTAGTTCGGCGAGACTCGAATTGAAACAGCATGCTGCATCTTCCCTAGTGGTTCCTCCCATCTTAGCGCATTTCGCACCAATTCCGTGATTGGCTTCTCTGCAGGTCTCAACCACCTGGTAGTTAGGAAAAGCGCCAAAGCGCTCACATGCCCTACCAACAAAAAGATGGAGAATTCCCTGCTCAAAAACGTATCCTCCCCAACAAATCTCCAATTGACTGTCCATTTGAACAAGAATTGCCTGGATAACTCAAAAGCTCTACTCACGTATCCCCTTGCATTGGCTGGCAAGAATGGGAAGGCAAGAAGAATTTGAAGCTGTGCCATTAGCCATAGTTGCTTAAGACTGGCATGAACACCCCTTGCAAGAAATAGGATAGCGCCAATAGCTGGAAGGGGGAGAAGTAAAGACATCTTGATTCCCAATCCGAAGCTGTATGCCAGGCTCCCTAACGTCCATAACCGGCGCTGGTATATGTATATTGCAACCCAGAGGAAGAAAACGGCGAAACAGTCGTTAAAGAGGCGGAGGAGGAAGATGCTGTGGAGACGTTTCGACAATATGAGCATTGGAAAGATGTATGAAGGGGCCTAGAAGTAACAATTGCAATTGTCAGCCATTTCCGTCTCGAGTAGTATGATGATGCACGGAATACCTTTGCCCTTCTATAACACGCCATGACAACTGCCAACGTAGCCAGATACAACACTCCAAATATGCGCTGTGCCATCAAGATATTCGTCCCTTTATTCGTTATGTGGTAAAGCACCCAGTAGATATACACATGGGCGGCAGGGTAGACCAAGGGTCCTGTGCCGCCCTTGATGACGGTATAATCTCGTGCTCCCGCCACATACTGTTCGATTTGTTCCATGTAAGCCTTCCAATCGATTTCCGTATCTATACGAGGCCATCATAATCAGAATTGACACGATCAGAGAGACAATTGGGCATGGAACGTACAAGGAACCTTTGAGATTATCAAGGAGCAGAGCAGGGCGTCAAAAAGTAGGAGTAAAGGAGAGATGTATTTAGACGACCGGTGCTCGCCCATGGCAAGGTGTCGTGCCTCTCGATAGAGAGTGGAGTACCATGGTGTATCCTCCCCACCGGCGCGTTGGAGCTCTTGTTCATCAGCCATGTTGAAATTCTGTGTGCTGATGTGGTTCCCCGGTGCTGGGATCGGAGTGCAAGGTAAAGCAAGCTACGACATGTTCTGTGAGGATCCCCCGGGAAAGTGGCTGAATAATAGGGGTAGCTTTCCTGTGGCTGATAAAGCTTCCCAACGTCATCAACCGCTTTTCGCTTTTCGAGAGGTGAAAGTATATTCCCGTAGCCCCGTACAACGTTCCAAAACTCCAATCATCCACAATGGTCATACTCAGAAGCCTCCCCGCCCGTGCGGCCCGCTCCAACATCTGTGCCCAGTGCATGCGCAGCAGCATCACCTCCTTCCGACCCCTCACAACCAGCTCCCAATCCACGACCCGCTTGGCCCGGCGCTCAACCTTCAAGCCTCTGTCCTCTCCAGTATTCTCATGCGCGCCCCAATTGCGATCCTACGCGACCAAAAGCACCGCCGATGACCTGATCGAAGAAATCCAAGAACAGTACGCCACGGCGCGCGACGAGTTCGAGATCGCGGCGGAGGAGACGGAGAAGAAATCCGTGTACGCCGAGGAAGACAGGGCGGCGGCCAGAGAAGAGTTGGATAATCTGAAGGCTTTGTACGAGAAGGCGTTGGAGAGCGCGGATGCGGAAGAGGTGAAGAGACGTGTGGGCCAGAGGATTAGGGAGTTGGATAATGCGGTTGAGGCGTTGGAGAAGAGTGCTTTGGAGGAATAATCGCTGAAGATGCTGATGAGAAGAATGCTCTGGGATTATGTTGACCAGCCATAATTGGTCTCGTGGGCATGATGTTGACAGCTGGAGATGGATCTGTACATTGGTATGCCATTCAAAGGGCACTGTTTATCACTCTAAATCACGAAGAACAGACCAGAACGAAAGAAAAGCCTACAGGCTGATTGAAGATCATGTTCGAATGTAACACGCGTATGCATCTGGTATCATATCATACAAATTGTCATAGTGTACTGAGTAGAGCTTGTAGCTGCTCTTGGGGTATTTCAGGAACAAACGTGAAAGTCGTGAAGGAATGCATCTCTTCTTTTCCGCTCCCAGAACGCACTCGAAACCGAACAAACTCCATACCCCATGTGAAAAGAGACCCTCTCATTAAATCCGTCCCGTAATCGCTTTCAGCGTATGTGCTCACGTGCTCATGCATCTGGATCACTGGTGCACTCATCATCAACTTCGAGCTCGTCCTTGATTGACATCAAGTAGTTCCGGGCCACAATGACGATAATTGCGACGGCTAGTCCGTTCCAGACATCCACACCCTTCTCTTTGAAGTCAAAGTGTGCAAGATGTCGGATTTTTGCCTCCGGGTTTGAAGAATCCAGAGTAACGAAGATTGTCATAGTCTGGGCGACGATAATTCCGTAAAGGAGAGGAGGCTTTCTCGAGTATATCTCAACTTCGCCGAGCTCGTTGGTCTGCGGTTCATCCAGAATGAGATTCTCGCGGTGCTTCTCGGCAAGGAACTCCATCTGGTCGGTGATGGATTTACTGATTGAGGAGATAGCCTCCTTCTGACGAGCAGCAACGACAGTCAGAACTGGAATAAAGCGTAGATTGCTGAAGCCCCCATCCATTTCAGACCACTTGATGTAATTTTCAATCTCCTTTGCCATCAATCTCTCACAAGGTCTGCCAGCCTCGACCTTGTCCTTGACACGACCGCCAAGACTCAAGAGTGACTGCAATGCTTTCACACCTGATATGCCCCATTAGCTACGCTCAAATTGACTATACCACGACGACGTACCTCGGGAGCTAGAGCCACAGTTGAAATTGATGAAAGCTTTCTCCTGAGCGACAGTAAAGACGGCCTCTGGAAGAGTAGGAAAATCAACCTGCCATGTCGCCGGTAAGAGCTCCTCGAAGCTACGCATCGAGAGCCTCTCAAAGAGAAAAATCTCCTCCGAGTGCCACGTCCCTTGCGCCTTGACTTCCTTGATAGCTTCCTTTCGTAACGCGAGTTCAGCTTGTCTATCGAGGTATTCCTGCACCTTTTCTTCGGCCGAAACCTCTTCGGCGTCACCTATGCTCTCATCGTCGTCACTCTGTTTATCAACCTCGAAGGCAGTGCTGTTGACTGATCCTTGGCTACTCTTTTCCGCTGGACTAATCTGGGAGATCGACTCGTCTGGAGAAACCTCAGAGCTCTCATCGTCGTTATATTCATCGTCTTCGCGGGGTCTCTTGCGCGATCCTTTCGCAAATCTCGTATCGGAAGGCGAGAGGTACTTTTGGTTGACTTGGCCATTGATAGCAGCCTGGGCTTTCTTATCTTTCGGCTCGGAGGTGGGTACGTAGGAGTGTTGAGCTGTGGGGGTCGCGGGGGATGTTGCAGGGCCGACGGTGCGACGGCGCTTGGGGGAGAGGTATTCGATGAAGGTGTTTTTGAGTTTGAAGAGCTGATTCATTGCTGCTGTCTTTGCTCCACCGGGGAGGGCGTTTTGCGTGCGAAAAAGAGGGTTTTGGGGTTCTGGTACGTGGTAAGGGAGAGACCAAGCTTCCTGTCTCTTAGGCTGAAATTCAATATTGACCGATCGCGAGTTTCGGAGAGAGTTTTTTTGTTCGGATGGGTTTCGGTGGGAAGAAAAGGAAGGAAAAGGAGAAAAGTGGAGGGGGAGCGACGGATGTAAGAAGCTCCAGCAAGGGTTATTGGGTTATTTCGTTAGTTATGGGGGTTGGTATTGGCGGTATTATTGTTCCCATTGTCTGGAGGGAAGTCAATGGCTATTGTTACTTGGTTGGTTGATTGATATTGTCATTGGGGTTAGCTCACCGCCTCGCCGCTAAAGTTAAGGTTTTGTTGCTCCGTATTGATTTATGGGGTGGTATTAGTAACTCCACCGCAGGGCCGCAGTACCCGCTAAAATAGCGGCCGTGGTCCCGAATCTGGAGCGAGACGCCAAAGAGGGAGCGGGATGCTCCACCCGCAAATAGTCGACCTTTTTATCTGTTTCCTTCTCGAGTTCTGGTGAGTGCAGACAAAGCATGTTATCGATTTCTCTGTGTCTTGGCTTTTATCCTTATTACTGTGAAATACTTGCTATGGTCATCTACCCCTCTTACCGTCTGCACGTCTTTGGTAGTATCTGCTGTCTGCATGTGGCTATGTGGCTATGACGTCTGCGACCTTTTCTGCACATATAACACTTAACATCGGTGTTTCCAGCTTCCACCGATATCATTCTTCTATTCAAATCAATCATTTTCTGCACCTAGCCACCTTATGCAAGATACTGTGGCTGCTCATCTCCCTTGGTTCATCAGGCTCAATCATCCCTCGACAGCTCTGTAAGGCACTGTAAAAGAAAATTCAACTATGGCCCTACCCCATCTTCTTATTGATCCCACCACCAATGACCCTCCGACACGAGACCACCAACAGGATGCTTCCTCCCTTCTGCCAAAGAGACCAAGACTTCCCCTCCAAATCCGGCACGGGGAAATCTTCTTAGTCGGTACTGCAACTACAATCTTCGAATTGGGGGGATGAGATTGATGACCGACCCCAACTTTCTCCATGCCATACATCTTCGCCGCTTGTCCAATTCATTGGCCCTGATGTAACAATACCCCATCCATTATGATGACTGGTGTTTTCTTGTCGCCCTTGGATGCTTTTAGGAAGGCAATGGAGGGAGCAGGGTTGGGTGATAAGGTTGTCTATCTTGACCGACAAGATAAGTACAGATTCGAGGTGAAGAACTAACTGCGGGCTCAGGAAAGTATCAAGAGATCTTAAAGGGTGTTCACACTGACCCCTCTGAGAACTCTGGACCCGCCTCGAGCATATAGCCGCAGACGACGTCGTATCGGCCGTGAGACCATAGTACAAGGGTTATTAATTACTTACATAATCATATACCTACCTACCTTACCGACATTTTGCCGAAAACGGTCTGGCTGCAATCTACAGTCTCAATGGATGGTCATCTCATCTTCCCGTCTTCTCCCCGGGTCTTTCTCCATGCATAGAGAAAGCCATAGTTTGGCAGCTGTCAATGTTCCATCCGAACTGTTGTTCATTAAGGCATTGACTAAAGGGCCGCCCTGACATCCTAGCAAGGCTAGCATCGTCTGGCCTTTATCCATGATCGGCTCAGTCCACATTCGGCCTCATGCGATGAAACACGCACCTAGATCAACTCATAGAGGCCGGGTTTTGGAGTGCAAATTCCAATGCTTACCTGGAACATGAAGCAAACCTGTCTGGCTCCTGCTTGTATGTCAATGCCCCTTGGTTGAGATTAGTCTGGTCTCGAACCCTGGAGGGTCGAATGAGATCACGTGTGAGTCTCAACTCAGGCCATGGCCAGGCAAGCTCGCCTAGACTCCTAGAAACACGGGGGGTCTACATGGGACGATAAACGTCCCACGGCATAAATGCTATTGTGGAACGTGGGCCAGTAAGAATCTTCTATCTTCGACCCTTGCTACCTCAGATTCTCATTTCTGTCACTGGGCTACCCTCTTGCTAGACACCTATCAACTATATCATCCGATCACAAGGCATGGTCTGACACGGGCGTCTAAGTCAGCGGTATCAGGCCGCTGCTACCCTTGTATAATTCGAGCAAGGCGATTCATTTCTACCCAGTTCGGGTTGCAGTGGCCATTCGAAGTATGATGCTCCTAGCCTAGCCCTTCCCTGCATAGCTTGATCCGAGCGGGTCGGCGAGCAGAACGCGCCGGAGGCAGAAGTCCTCTACGGAGTAGAAACACATCCTTTACCTGTGTGATCTACAACCAGCCTGATTACTCGATGGGATCAAGGCTAACAAGTTACAGGATAGATTTCTATGTCTGAGCTCAGCTGGATCTAGGCTTTAATCAGGAGCCAGCTGCACCTTGATGCTTCAAGATATAAGGTTCCGTCTACCGCTTTGCAAGGTCTCGTCTTGTTCATCTCATCATCAGTCTTTCTTTCCTGTTCACTCTCATTTCTTCATCAGTTCTGTGAACTTCCACTTCTGTACATTCTTTTGCTCTATTTTCTCAACCTAGGCCGGTCCTTTCAGTCGTTATCTGTATATCATATCTTCAGCTACTCGCTTTCTGATCGACATGATGAAGTACAAAACTGCAACGCTCCTCGTTGCCTTGCTTGGCCTGGCCACCGCAGCTCCTATGCCAAAGGCCAAAAACGTTTTCTCCATCCCAATAGCCATGCTTCACGGCCGTGAAGTTCCACAAGAACATTCCCACAACCGATTCCTCGACGGTGTCCGCGCCAACCTGGCCCTCAATAACCCGGCCGGTATCACAGATCCTGTCTTCGGTCTTCTCGGAGACGCAGCAGCTGCTGCTGGTGCCGGAACAATTACTAATTTGGCATGTCTCCACCAAGCTACTGCTGACCAAGCCTTCACCAACGCAAAGGCCGCCGGAAATGTCACTGGTCAAGCTGATGCTCTGATGTATGCCGCTCTCGAGAGAAACACTGGGAAGGTTGGTCTTGCAAGTGTTAGCTGCAATGAGACCGCCGTGAATCCAGAAATCCAAGCAGTTCAGCAACATCAGGATCCTGCTTCAGCAAATGCAGCATCCGTCAACAAAGCTATTGTTCTCTCACTCGCCAAACAGCTTGCATCTATTGGTGCTGATCCACAGGAAGCTCTCTTGTCAGGAACTTTCGCCCCCGGCTCAGTGAGTTCTTGTTCCTTACCTCGGGTAGCTTCCTGCTAATAATATTAGCTCTCTGACAATACTGGCAAAGGAAACACTTGTGACACTGCCGATGATGTCGAGGGTTGTATCTTTTCTCAGAATCTGTTGGTCAACGATGCCACTGCAGAAGAGATCAGCGCGGCGGTCGCTGGAATCTCTTCATCGTCCAGTACAACCTGTAGTTCAACAGCATCTGTTGGTGCTCAGGCTGCCAATGAAACTGCCATTCCCACCGAAACTGCTACTGCTACTCCCACTTCAAGTCAGCCAACTCCTTTCTTCATGTACGAATTTGGACACTAACATGTATTAGACAACGTTCAAACTTTCACTGGCACGCTTGGTGGTGCGGCCCCTCCAGTCATTAGCTCCGCTGGTGACCGCCCATTCTCCGTTAACGGTGATACCTTCGTGAATATTGGCGCAGCCCTTCAACGGTCTTGCTCTGTAAGTCAATTTGCTCTCTTTGGTAAATTATTTCTCTAACTTCTTCCAGATCCAAAACAATGCTTGCTCCGACGCAGCGAACTCCGGAGCATTGGCTGGAGGTGTCGCCCAGTGCCAAACTCAGGAGGCAGCTTGTAACGCGGCGGCCTCATTGTCCACGACGCAGGCGGCGGCTCCCTCTTCCACGACGCAGGCGGCGGCTCCCTCTTCCACGACGCAGGCGGCGGCTCCCTCTTCCACGACGCAGGCGGCGGCTCCCTCTTCCACGTTGCAGGCGGCGGCTCCCTCATCCACGGCGGGTGCTGCTCTCGATTTTGGCACTTGCACTGATCCAAGTATCGAATTTACGACTGGCCTTCCAGGAAGAGATACTGCTGCTTTCATCGCCAGCAATCAGGCTGACTTCAATCATGGTTCTGCTTTGAATATTGGTGTCATTGCTCAATTCATCTGCGGGCAACTTAGTTCCGCTTGCAAGGCTGGAGCTGATGCAATTTCCGCTTGTGCTACTGCCGAGCAAGCTGCGGGTAAGGAGTTCTCCCTCTCAGACCAAATTTAGCTTTAATTGACACGTATCAGCTTCTGCAACCGGCCAAGCTGCAGCGGATGCCTTCAATAGCGCCTTGGGGGTGACCGCCTCGAAGTTGAAAGCCAGAGCAAGCGCCAATGTTCAAACCTTCACTGGGACCCTCGGTGGCGCTGCTCCTGCTGTTATCCAGAGCACTGGCGATAGGCCATTCAGTGTTAACGGCTCTACCTTTATCAACAAGACTGCTGCTCTACAACGGTCCTGCTCAGTTCAGAATACTGCTTGCAGCAACGCTGCCAACTCAGGGACACTTCCTGGTACCACAGTCGCAGACTGTAATGCACAGGAGGTGGCGTGCAATGCTGCTGCTTCTTAAACCTACCCATAAGCAAGACGTGGAAGTAGAGTTGAAGAATTGGATAGTAGGTGAAGATGGTAGCATCTTTGCAGGATGAAACATAATGGCTCATCAGATTATGTGTTCGTTCTATGTATGAGCTATGAGCTCACGTCTTACGATCAAAGAGTGTTTATATATATCATATGGGAAACAATTTATCATTCATGTTTATGTTCATATCTAATTCTTAAAATAAGGAGCCTTTCGTAGAGTAGTAGTGTTGATCACCGGAAGTCCGATCAGCTCATTGGTCGATATACCGACCTGCACATAGGGGCAACGCGAACGCGAGGGTAAGCGGGGTCGAGGCCAAGCAGTTCAGTCTTCCTCTTACTGTATTTCTTATGCTATCGATGAATATAAATAACCTTATTGATATCCCATCACCTGGTCTCGTAAAACTCGCAGCATTCCTTTTTAGAAGGCATTGATTTTAGTTATTCATAGGCACTGCTGTCTCATTACCCTCCAGCCATCTACACTGCCGACTCGCAATCATGGCTGCAGTTCCCATCATTCTCTGCGGTAAATCGCCAATGATTGCAACAACCGTCAAAAACAATCTACTCCCTAAATATAAAGGTAGAGAGTGACTTTTACCCTCCACATCAAAGTTGCTCTCACTCATAACCTACCTACCTACAGTCATCCACGTGATCCTCACTCCAGAAGCAGGAGTATCCGACATCCCGCTCCTCCTCGAAGGCAAGACGCCGCCATCAAGTGATCCTGGGGACCTCGGCACGCGCGACTATTCCCAGCGCGCAGCGGCTGTCGTGACGGGTGGCGGCTACGACGATGCGGCGTTCCAGATCATGCGGGATGCGTGTAAGGGCAAGAGTAACATCCCGTGGCTGAGGCCGGATCTGAGTGTACCTACCCCTCCGCTAGGTCCGCTGTATGGGAAAGCTATGGTGGAGAGGGTGAAAGCGTGCTTGGATAGTTTGGCGGAAGAAGGAAAATTGGGCGAGGATAGTATTCGCTTCTTTTGAGGGAGTTCGGGGGCAGGACGTGAGGAGAATGTTGGTGCACAGGCGCCAATCCAAATAAATAATATGGAAAAGTAACAGACAGAGGGACATCTTCATCTTGAAAATGCACTATCCATGAGAGCGAGATACTCATCTGCTCGTTCAAAGTAGCATTGACTCCACTAGGTTCTGAGATCTGCGGAAACAGTGGTTACGATGTGGAGATATCTTTACTCATACACGGGATAAGGGAGATGAAAACATGAAGATATATCTGGGAAGCGGCGACTACATATACCTAGCGGTGACACCCCCGGGCTCTCTTTACACACACCCCGAGCCGAACATCCCGCCGAACTAGGAGTAATCCCTGCTTTAGAGACACACCAGCTAGATCCTAATCGCATTCTTTATCTTCAATCTTGCGCCAGCAATACCGTCAACCACATCTCAAGTCAAGTCAAGTCATGACAGCGTCCAACAGGGCAGAGCCGTCGGTCCTGACCATATATAGTAGCGAAGAAGAGGAGTCTCTTCTCCAAAATGGCGACCCTCGAAGATCTGCAAAGCGCCCTACAGCTGCTCCCTTATCACCGTTCTCTGCACCCATTTTCTATTTTCTGGCCATTCATTTCTTGCTTGCATTCTGCGAGATGATTCTCGTTGCTCCTCTTATCAAGCTCTTTGAAGAATCACTATGTCTTCGGCATTATTCATTTCCCCCGGGTGGTGTTCCAGAGAAGATGTGCAAGATCCCTGAAATTCAGCATCCTCTCGCAACAATCAGGGGATGGAAAGCGACGTTTGATACTATTCCAGGTACCCCATTCTTTCTAGATCCCCAACTCTTCTCTGATATGTGTCCAGTGCTACTGGTAGCTATTCCAATCGGAAAGTTGGGCGATCATTACGGACGTAGGAAAATCATGGCCTTATCATTATTCGGTGTTGCCGCTTCCCTCGTTGAGATTTTCATTGTTTGTATGTTGTCCACTTTTATCTTCTCGACTATGGGTTCCCAACTGATGAAATTGTAGGCGCCTTTCCTCGGGTTTGCCCGCTGCAATTGGTCTGGCTGTCTTCTGTCTTTCTTCTATGTGGCGGAGGCTTGAATGCGGCCTCAGCATTCATGTGGGCAATGGCTTCGGAGTCGATACCGCCAAGCAGAAACTTGTTTTAGCAGAAGGCAAGTTTTTCGCGTTTTCCTTGCGCTACCTTGACTGATCGATTACTCAAGGAGCCAAGGATTCTATTATATATTTTCTGCATTCTACGTCGCTGAGCTTGTGGCCTCCTTTCTTGCCTCAGTCACAATCGACATTTCCCCCTGGCTACCCCTCGGTATGGCTATGGGATCTGTTATCTTATGTCTGATTTTGCTTTGGCTCGTGCCGCGTCCAAAATCTAACGTTGAAAATGACGCGGCCAACCCATCAGAAACTCACAGCCACGGAAATATTATTTCCGAAAACTCAGACAAAAGCCCTGCGGTTGACTCTCTCGTCAGCGCACTTCGGAACACTAAATTTCTCCTCATTGTTCCCGTCTTCATTGTTGGTATTTTCAGATATACAACCCTCAATGTTCTGATACAATATGCATCCGTCCGTTTTGGTCTGAAGATTTCCACTGGCGCTATGTTCTACACCGAGACGGCTGTGGTCAACATATTCTTGTTCCTCTTCCTCGTCCCAACGTTAACTACCTACATTCGAGAGAAATACGATGTACGGCCTGAGAAAATAGATCTCTTCTTGGTCAGGGCTAGTGTATCTCTCATGTGCTGTGGTACTCTCGGAATTGGACTGGCCTCGTCAGGCAAGCTTCTCCCGATAGGTAGGCATCTAGCCTCAATCCTTGAATCCCCAGGACCAACATATGCTAACATTCCGAGAAGCCGTTTTCATATTTGCTGCTGGCTTTTCAAGTAGAGTCTCTGCTCTCTCCCTTGTTTCGTACTGGATATCGGACGATGCGAAAGCGACCATGTATGCTGCAATCACTGTCTTGGAGAGCTTAGGCCACTGCATTGGAGACCCGACCATGCAACAGATCCTGGCTGCATCTCTGCGCTTGCCTCCGTTCTGGCAAGCTTTACCATTCTTCTTCGCTTCTGTACGTACATCTGAGCGGTGAGGACCAGCACTCGTTAATAGTTTACAGGGCCTTTACTTTCTAGCAGGAATATCTACGAGTTTTGTACGGACGGTCAAGACTTAGCGCCTCGAGCACCACGATATTGAATAATCACTTGTTACTGGGGTACCGTCTTGTAACTCTCACATGCTCAGCAAAGTGTTATCAATCAGCGACGCCGTCCAGCCTCCTTTCTTGCCCTTCGAACTCGCTGCGCCCTGATAGCATTCAAAGGATTGAACATTGATTCATTTTCTATAGTCTTTCCAAGAGTTATTCAGGCAGCAAGCTATAATTTGACTGAAAGAATCTTGGATTACCCAATTTTCAGCACAGCCATCTAGACAATTACAACCGTATGGGAGGAAGCAAGTACGGTCCAAGTAATGACTTGCTTTCACAGGAATAATATAGCACAATTCGGGAATCCATAGCAGGAACTTCAGATCATGGGGAGTACTGGATAGGGCTCTTGGCTTTTATTACATGAACGTGGAGGAGCTTGATGGAATGGAGGCGGGTTAGGGGTGGACAGCAGGCTTCACTTGTTTTATCAAGGGCGCTTTGAAAGCCTGCATCTTCCTGGGTAGATCTTGGTATGGCAGATGGGATTATAGACATGTATTGTGAAAGAGATACAGCTAAAGAGGACCAGTTAGAGAGCAGTTACATACCTCATCTTACCTACCTACATACACACTTACTAAATCATCATGAAGAACCCCTTCCTTAGCTATACGACTTATAACACAATGTCACATCAAATCCTTTCACATACACGACTGACAAATTCCAAAACCTCTCCTATAATAAAAAGAATTGTATTATTTCCACGACACCATATGATATCCATCTAGATTCATCAACTTCCTTACCCCATTCCCCCCCTCGTAGTCCAGCTACGACTCAATTTCCCCCATCTCTAGGATCCCTCAATTCCAATTCCGGAACACTATCCCACTCCCAGCCATCCATCCTAAGAATCGCTTCTGTAGTTAGGGAGCCCCGAGCGCGATTCGAGAGACGGACGCGAAACACAGGGGGTGCAGGTTCTATTCTTGGGCTTCCGAAGCGGTAGATCACTTGTCTAGTTCTGGTGGAAGGCGCTTCGTTGACTTCCTCTTCGGGTGCGGAAGAGGAGGATTGGGGATTTGAGAATTGCGACGGAGCTGGGGATGATGGGGCTTCTTCTTCCTCTTCGCTCTCGCTTTGTTGGTGTGGTTGTTGTCTTTCAGAAACAGAGAATATGTCGCCGAAGCTGGCGCGTAGCGCAAATAGTTCTGGGAGCTCGTATGGGATTTCATGGATCTCTTGCTCGGAATCTGTCATCCCTTCTACCACCGCTGAGGCCGGGTTGATATTTTCCTCGTCTGGGATGACTGGCACTTCCTGGGCGACTGGGGCCTCTTCGTCATTTTGTGATACAGGGCCGTTGGACTGTAGGATGTCATGCGGCGAGGAGGCGGAAAGCTCGCAGACCACACTAGGGGTGGTGAGTCTTGGGACTTCTCTTGCCGAAGTTGATGGTATGCTTATCTCGTCAAGTTCCATCGGAGCACCTGATAGAACTGTTAATTCCCGACTGTCAACGCGTGCACATTGTGCGCTCTCTGGACTGCTGGGAGTCTCTTCTAAGGGGTGCTCTCTATTCAGTGGCCTCGCATCTGAAACTTGATCCGCCAGCGGATGCTCGTGATTTTGTTGCTGCAGCTGCTTTTGAATTGAATCAATTTTTGTTACTTGATTCTCATATAGCAATCTCCAATGATCTGCATACTTTCGCTGCTGACTAGCTTCAGCCCTATAAGCGATAACTTCATCACTCTTTTCCCGACAAGCTGATTGCAAAGCCTCAATTGCCTCCTTAAACTTCAGCTCTTGCATTTTCAACTTTTCCTCTGCGTTCTGGAGCCGAACTACAGTTTCTGTCTCGTCTTTATTCTCGATATGATCAGCTCTTTCCCCTTCCCGTTGAAGGTCGGTTAGCCTTCTTTCAAGCCTGCAGACCTTTTTGTGTTCGATAATGTATGCGTTATGCCAGCTATCACTTACTGTGAGATTTCTTGATCTCGAGTTTCTGATATCGGGAGCCAGTGGCGGAGGAGTAGGGGGCTGGTTGGAGTTAAAGTGTGGTTCAGTGAGCTCTGAATCAGGTGTCAGGATGACCTCTAAACCGGGAGGATGGCTCCTGGGTTGAAGTGGTGCATCCCGAATTGCGGGGTCCTCTCCATCGCGATTTTTCAAAAACGTGCTTTGTCGATCAGTCTCTTGGGAGAGATGGGGCAGTCGTTCAAGCGCTTTTGGCGAACCGTTCCCGTGATTAGGGGTCAAGTGAACCGGATTTGAAGGCTCAGAAATGACCAAGCCCTTCGAGGTGCTTCTCGACGTCGCCTTGCCTCTTAAACAACTCCAAGCAAATATGTTCCATGATAGATGACGTACCTCCCTGGGTTTCTTTCTTTGGCTTGCTCGAATTTCTGGGGTCTGTTGCTTGCCTAACTTCGGCGGCAGAGCTCCAGATTCGAGAACAGGATATTGGTGATTCATCTGGATGGGTGGAAGTTTGGATCTCGCCTGCGAGATCGCCACATCTTTGGACCTAGACACTGTGACTGACAGCGAGTTGGACCCTTGAATGCGCCTTATAGTCTTTGGGTTCCCCAGTGGAGGCTGTGGAGCTGGGTGATCTACACCGCTAAGTTGGTTCCTAGCACCTGACATCGTGAAGGCCATTTTGAATGGAGATGAAGATAATAATGGAGCGACGTAAAGCGGAAGAGATAAAAGCGAGTATGGGAGAGTATCTACCGTTTAACCAACGGGAAAGTATTTATGGGGATCGGGGATGGTGCATTTCGAGTCGCTAAATATTGTTCATCCTAGAATTCTTTGATGATAAAGAAGGGCAAGCGATGCTATAATTTTGTTCCAAACAATACCATTATTTGCGGAGATTTCCCTTTATAGCAAAGTACAGAACAAAGAGACAACAATTCCGGGAACCATATCCCTTGTTGAATCACTCCATCAACAAAAACTCTAGATATTAGTGATGTCTGATTTTGAGTTAGTTCATTATAGCAAAGTGTGTATAGCAAGCAAGACCAGTGGATAAAGGCTGCGAATCAATAGTAGCCATCCCTATTCGAGAACATGTTGCCTGTAGAAGAGGGTCCCAATGCGGGGTTGGCTGGAAACCCAGACCCTGGCCGCTGTGCAACTGAGAAGATGTCAGCAATTAGCATTTGGAATGATTCATCCTTGTGGGGGGAGACCTCTCGATCTAATAACAGGCTTTGCATATCCGTTCGCGGCTGTCCCTGCCGGGTTACTGACTTTTAGTCCAGCACTCATACCGTAGCCAGCAAAACCCGACCCTGCAGGATTGTTGACGTTGAGGTTCGAAAGTGGTGGCCGACCAACAGGGCTTCTATGAGGCATCGGAGTTCCTGAAATGCCGTTTGGTTGAAGTTGGGCCAGGCCGATACGTGGTGTGGGGACATTTCCTAATGCTAGTCGCTGTCGATGGGTCGAAGGCGTTTGGATAGATTGGTTTTCTAAATGCTTCAGTTAGCTGCAACCAAAACGGTCGCTTTTCCATCATACGTACGTTGTACACTTTCCTGGCTGCGGAATCTACCCCAAGTACCATCGTCGTTCCTGGAATGGCCCGTATTTATCCTGCCAACGGGACTTGCATTGGAATGCTGCACACCAGCAGCTTGATAGAGAGGAGGCTGAGATGGCTGCTGGTTTTGGTCACTGAGTCTATCTATGAGTCGATTGGCAGTGACCGACGCTTGGATGGTATGGTCTACAGCATCAGAGGCAGCATTCTGTACTTGGCCAAGCATGGCCCGTCGTTTCAACTTATCATATAGTTCTTGTGTCTGCAATTGCTTTCTGCTCTTCTCTCGGAAAGCTTGTATGAGCTCGTCATTCTTTCGTCTGAGATTATCTTGGTCGATTTGCATGTCTATGCCAACCGTCAGTTTTGTATTTACCAATTTCACGATACGACCTACTTGACATCTTATTTCGCAAATTGGAAATCTCACCATTGGCATCATGAATGATTTTATCTAGCTGGGTGTTCAAAGTTGCGTATTTTTCGGTCAGGTTCTTGGCAAGGTACTCATGATAAACACTGTAAAGTGGTCAGTAAAGCATTCCTCAAGTCAAGGCGGGCCCAGCTGACATCTCTTGCGTGGTCTGATATGCCCAAAAGCCCAATGCCCTTCCCGCACACTCCATTATAACATTCGGACTCAGGCCGCTTAATACACTCGTCTTGTAATCTTCAGTAGGATTGAGGTTTGTGACGACGACATCATCTGGATTCGTGAGGTGCATGTCGCAGGCAGGGCAGATGGGTCGCAGGCCCTCACGCTGACCGGAAAGTTGGCAACTGTTGGAGCAATCAATGCAGAAGACGTGACTACAGGCCATTTAGCTAAAGCGATGAGGTGACGGGAGAGCCTGGAGAGGAGAAGTCGGCGGAACAGAATACCTGCAGGTTGTGACGACGGCATGGTCATTGAGCTCTTTGCGGCACTTCAATGAATTGCATCGCAATGTGTGCTCCATTGTAATGGTTGAGGCTTGTTGTGCTGTGCTGGATTGTGGATGTACTCTCAAGGCTTCCTTTGAATTGAGGTGAAGTCTATTCAGAGGAAACCAAGGCAAGATACAACCAGATATATCCTGGATAGGTTAGCGCAGATCAAATGTTATACTTCTTTAGGTAAAGTAGATACGTTAAATACACCCCACAGAAGCTCCTCGGATAAATGGAGCGAACCGTCCGGGGAACCTTGCCTAATCTGGGTATTTAAGCGGGAACCCTGCAACTTGTGGAGGGGAAGATGGAGAAGACTTGGGTGGGAAATTGGAAATAGATAATCAGAGCGACATATACACAAGATACGCAGTAACATCGTCTAACATCGTCACGATATAGTATAAATCCTGTGATGTGTGAGGTAGGTAGGTAGGTAGATCGTCCTGCAAATACCAATTGGCGCATAATATATCGATATCAAGCCTCGTGAGCCCCGCCATCGCCTCAGGGGAGCGCTGCAACTCCAAATACCGATGTCGAAATCAACAACACCACAACCACCAACACCAACATTTGACGTTTCCATACTCTTTTGCCTCCGCGCCCTCTGAAATACACAACCGGTCTCTACAGTTCTACACGCGGCGCATTCGAAGGCAGCGGGGCCCCCGAGGCTCCCTTCATGCGCCCCTCTGTGGACTCATCGAAGATGTTCCATACCTGTAAGGTCCATACAATCTTGCATTTTACCGTGGGTCTTGTACCGTATTATTGCTGACAGGTTTTTCTTCCCTCCCCTCTTAGTCCAGGCTGGAGGTCTTGCGCCGCGCCACACATTTGAAGAGTCGCGAGGGGCCTCCAAACACGGGCCGTCTAAGAGAATTACGACTCCTCACGCATGCGCGGAATGCAAACGTCGGAAAATTAGATGTGATGGTCGACAACCCTGTGGACAATGTCTAGGCTGCCGATCTCCTAAGCTATGCTATTATGATAAACACCGGGAAAGGGTCATCCCCTCGAGGAAGTATGGGCTTTAAATTCTTTCGGTCCGGATCTGGATTTATAGCACTCTAACGTACAGCCTTAGAACTCTGGATGCTCTCTCTCAATCTTTAGAGGAATGTCGCACAATCCTGAAGCGATTGTACCCCAATCGAGACACTCAGTCATTGCTCCCCCTATCCCGATACGAACTCATCTCTATCCTCGACCGCTCAGCTTCTGAAGTTGCCCCTTCACAGACCTCCCCAGCGAGCTTTGATACCTCGCCTGTCTCGCAAGAATTGCACTCTCCCATTGCGTCTATATCTGATGACGATCGAGGCCTGGCGAATCTCGAGCAGATACCGAGCCAAGACACAGAATGGGATGAGGAGCGGCGGAATCGAGAGCCAATCCCTGCGGAGGCTGATGATGTTAATGCGCTGTCATTGTCAGTAGACCGACAGTCATCCTATCTAGGAGCGACCTCAATCAAAGCCGCATTCCTTGTCATGCTTAAGATTGCGCCGACATTACGCACGTTTCTTGCACCTCCCAATACTGCGAGTAGCAAGCAGTTTAATGTCGGAAACAATAATCCAACGCCACGGCCTGGAGGATCCGTAAAGACCCTACTAGCAATTGCATGGTCTTCAGAGGGACAGACTCTTATAGATGCCTACTTCAACCGGGTTCAGATCTTGGTGCCTATGCTGGACGAACCATCTTTCAGGGCAGATTATTTGAGTGGACGACGGCAGGATGCGCCATGGCTAGCGCTGCTCAACATGGTATTTGCAATGGGTAGTATTGTAGCAAATAAATCGGATGACCACAACCACCTCGGTTTCTACAATCGAGCTAAAGACCATCTCGGGATTGATAACTTTGGAAGCGGTCGCCTTGAGACCTTGCAAGCTTTGACGCTAATGGGTGGGTATTATCTTCACTATATCAATCGTCCTAATATGGCAAATGCTATCTCCGGGGCTGCTTTACGGATGGCCTGTGCAATGGGCCTGCATAGAGAAAGCGTGTCTGACAAGAACGGCGGAAACCAGCTAGTCGTTGAGCAGCGGAGGAGAACCTGGTGGAGCTTGTTCTGTCTTGATACTTGGGCATCAACTACCTTAGGGCGACCTTCAATGGGAAGATGGGGACCGGCTATCACTATTCGTTCACCTAGTGGAACCCATGATCCGGTGCGTGTCTTGAAGATGTTATTTCACTTGCTTTGACTAAACTTCATAGAACGTGATCGGTCAACATACTGGAATCATTCCATTAATTGAAAATATCAAGTTTTGCAAAATAGCCACACAAATCCAGGACCTCCTCGCGCAGTCACCTCTGCTCCGCACCGAAGACCGTGACAACCTAGATGGACAACTCGTTGCATGGCAGGACAACCTCCCTTGGATTCTTCGATCCACAGAGCCTTGTCCAGAATCCATCTACACGGCCCGCTGCGTCATGAAATGGCGCTGTCAGAACCTACGCATTGTCCTGCACCGACCTGTCCTCCTGAATCTAGCATATCGCGGGAATCAAGGAGCCCCGACGCGAGAAGACCTGGCGGCAGTTAGCAAATGTCGAGCAATAGCCAAGCAGACCATTGAGGATATCGCGCGCGAATGGACGCCGAATCAGATGCTGGGCTGGAACGGGGTTTGGTTTCTGTACCAAGCGTCGATGATACCTCTTGTTAGCATTTTTTGGGAACCGTGGAACACCCAACGAATTCGGGAATGTCGATCGCAGATCGAGACTGTGCTGGAGGCATTCGAAGGTATGGCTGATTGGTCGTTGGCTGCGAGGCGGAGTAGAGAGGTTGTAAGCAAGATGTATGAGGCGAGTAAGCAACCACTGACACAACAAACGAGTCCCAAGTTGGGCTCCGTTATGCTGAGCGGCATTGACGGAACTAATGGCATGGAGAGTATGAATGACGGAAGTGTTATGGGTAGCCTTAATGGTGAAAATAGGCATCTGTTGCCAATGGAACCCCCGGAAATGCAACATGTGGGATCGGTCGGGGAAGATGGGATGGTATTACTCGACTATCAAAGTATCTGGGACTTTGACGGGATGCTATGGGGCAACCTACCAGATGGGTTGGACATGCCTTTTGACGGGATGCCGAATATGGAGTTTGAGGACACAGTGGGTATGTCCTATGGTGGGAGTTATATGGTATATCAATAATGCGGTCTTTAGGTTTTAAGCATAACATTCTCGGATTCCAATAGTGTTATTGGGTTTCTTTAAGATTTAGGATTGAGCGGTTAAAGGCATGGAATTTTATGATTAGGAATACCTTTGGATGATCTGGGATCACATTAAATACCCCCAGGTATAATCTATAATACAGTCTTGAACACCTTCTTACTTTTCATCTTCGTGGCGAGATCAGCCAAAGGCTGCTGCTCCCTTTCCACTACTCAAAACTCCTCACTCTTCTACTGCAGCGTCACTGGGTAAATATGGGGCATTTAAGTAGTTGTTGACGTCGGGGAGATATGGAGCTTGGGGATTGGAGATTGGCACTGGGATTTTTGAGACACCTGGTCTTTGAAATGGGCTTTCGAGCCGTTCCGGTTGGCAAAAGCGGGAGTTGAACTTGCAGGTATCTTGCAAGAGGCATTGCGTCGTTGAGATGAATTATAGTGAGGAAAGGAAAGGAAAAGCGGTATAAGCGCTGCTCTTTACACGGTGCGGGAGTAGTTGCGGTGGGGTTTCTAGCAACCTTTTGTTGTAAGTGTGAGATTTGAGAATACAGGCAAGACGATGGACGACATGCGGTATGATGTGAGGTGGTATGTATATTCATGTGATTTCTGTTGTGAAAAGGAGGGATACCCTTCTCAATACTTCATCTACTCGCGAAAGGTACTTTGTTGTCTGCAAGTAAAGAGTACGCAAATAGATAGGACTGGTGTGTCTGCTGGTTGTTCTCATATTATATTGTCTTAGTGGGATGGGAACAAGATCTACTTGCCCAGACAACCAGGATGAGTCTTGTCTTCTAAGTTTCGTATAGAGGGTCTGCGCCATAAGTTGCAAAGCAGAGGCAATCGATCATGCTATGAAAATCCAGCCCAACGCCGCCAATGCAGAACATTTTATCATCCTATGATCCGTACCCTTTAATTGTCATTCTCGTAATATTGACATCATATTCGAAGAACCTGTGTCCGGCTAGTGATGCCATCGAAGATGCAAGTGTTGTCGATCGGGATATATTGCTTGGTAATAATCTTGATCACTTCTTGAGAAGCCATGCCGCCGGTGAGTGCCGAGATATTATGCAGTTCTCCGCCATTTGCACGCGCTACTTCTTCAGCAACTTTGACGATGCGTGGGTTTGATGCGGCATCAGGGATGTCCTTGCTGATTATGGCAAGAATATCGGACGCACTGGCGGAAGGCACGTGAGAGGTCGCGTTCAAGGCCAGATATATTGGGAGGAGTGACAAAGGCATCATAGTTAAGGGGGCATTCTCATCGCTCTGGAACTCATTTTCTTTTGCTTGTGTTAGTAAATGTCAATAAAGCCAAGTCTCAGCAACTTACCTGCAATTGTTTGTATGCTGACTGGAGATGCATCTGCACCATGAATGAGCTTGATAAAAGCAGCATTTTTACAGAACGTCTCCACTTCTCCTATGTCTATCTCATTGCCATGAGGATGGGATCGGACGGTCTCAAGGACTTCTGCAACGTCTTGGCGGGCTTTTGCCTTATAAATATTCTGAAGTTGCACATAGACACTTGATTGGGCCTTCATGTCCGGGACCGAACCAGGTAAAGGAAGTTCATTATGTTTTTCGTAGAAGCGTTTAACAGCATCCGCTATAATCCAGAAGCTGGAACTTGATTCTGCCTAAGATTTTACGACACGGGTAAGTAGCGCATCTATCAAGAAGTAGTAACAAGTGCTTACATCGTCAGGTTTGTGGTCAAATACGGCCTTCACGGAAGATGGTATGCTGGGTACAGTTACTGTCTTCAATACCGCAGCAACAGCCTCATCGAAGTTCTCTTCGCCACCTTCGGGGTTGTCGGTCCGGGCCCCAGCAGAAACAAACTCTCTAAATGCCTTCTTATCCTGGTATGTGGTTGGATAATTCCCATGGGACTCTTTCCACCTCTTTAGATAGTACAGAAGCAATACAACATATGGGATGTGTCCGTGCTCAAGAGCACTGAGGTTTTCAATGTTGTCCGTAAGCTTTGCAGCAAAGTCTGATAGCTCAGGCCATGGGTTGAGAAGCCTGAGATCGGTTGTAGCTGTCGAATCCGGGTGTGTATCAACAATGGGAAAACTACCAGGTAGGATTATTCGGAAGTAGGAGTAGAAGCCAGCAGAATGAAGTGCAACCAAGGGGATCTTCTGCTGCCGGCTATATTCCTGCACAAGAGCAAGACTTCGAGGGTCAATCGGGAGCGAGTACATAATGAGGGTGTATTTTTGATCGACGGAGAGAAGATTCTCTAGTTCTTCGCCCTGCAAGGCACCATATGGTATAAGCTTTTGCTCCTATGCAGTGATTCTGGGACCATGCCTTCTGCTTTGGAAACCAATCGCCCTTGACATCAGGATTCAGCTCTTGTAAAAGCCTCACACAGCATTCTGCTCTTGATTGACCCAAGCTCTCTTCGTCCAGGAAGAAGTTGACTCCCAGGTCAGCTTCAGTGACGACGGAGCTGTCAGCGATAGTAAACTTTCCAATACCTGGATAGTCAGTTCCGACATGCAGATTTCGCTGACTTTGACCATACCTGGCAGAACGAGGTTCTTCAGGGTCTCAACGCCGACCGTGCCAGATCCAGAATTTAGCAGGAGAATATGCGCATCTTCAAGAGCTTGCTGTCCATTTGCAGCCCATAGCCGCAGCTGACGGTCGTATTTCTTTTCCTTGTCGGTAGGCCCATTGAGGAGAGGGGGTGTCTGGTCGGTGACTACTTCAGTCATTTTGACGTTTAGGGAGTTTGCATCCCTCTGAGAAGACTGAAAGGGTTGAGTAAACAGAGAGAGAGCAAAGCTCGCTCGTGTTGTAAGAAAAGGGCAAACGGAGGAGGATGATTCTGGCTGTGTAAGGTGAGGTGAGATGCAGCAGGAGGGTTGCGCCTTATCAGAGTTGTTATCTTAGCGTCAGGGTAAAGAGGCTGAACCTTAGTAAGCAGACACAAAAAGAGTGACCCCACCAAGGAATATCATGATGAGTCGAAATGTGATTCGAGTTCCTCTTTCCGTTTTCCTCGGCTTTCTCTTTATATGTCCCACAGAATTCCTCAAGCACTATTGCGTACCACTGCCACAAAGCATTGCAGTCCTGCCGCATTTTCCCTTGGCCTGAAAGCATCCTTCTTCTGCGAACCACTCAAGCCATCTCAGCCGGCTCAGCACCATCCTCAAGGGCTTGTTTCCCAACAGAGCCGCGCTGTTACCTCTCTCACAAAAGACGGAGCCCTTGGCAATCATCCTCGTCCAATGGCCTCCTCAAACGCCGCTGTCAATGCGGCGCCCGCACACCGGAATCTGTCTCCAATCGAAGCTTCGAAACGCAGGGCGGCATATAAAGCGGTAGAGGACCATTTTGATACATCATACAAATATATTGGCATTGGCTCTGGCAGCACTGTTGTCTATGTAGTTGAGGCAATTGTAGCCAAGGGCCGCGAGGTCACATCCAAAATGGCCTTCATACCCACCGGGGATCAATCGAAGCAACTGATCATTGAAGCAGGTCTTCCATTGGGGAGCATTGATGCTTTACCCCCAGTTGAAGAAATCCCCACGAAGATGGGCGCGGAGGATGCTCTTGACGTTGCCACTGGGCAACAGGATTTAGGACTAAAAGGAAAGCGCCAAAGTCTGGATGTCGCATTCGATGGTGCCGATGAGATCGACGAGGATCTGAATTGCATAAAGGGGGGTGGAGCATGTCTCTTCCAAGAGAAGCTGGTAGCAACATCGGCAAAGAAATTTATATGCGTTGCGGGTAAGGAACTTTGGCCAGTGAGAGTATGAGTCACGGGCTTAAGACGTATAGATTATCGCAAGCTTCAACCGCGTCTTCTTACATCGTGGCAAACCATTCCAATCGAAATCGCGCCCTTGGCAGCACCAACTATCAAGCGAATCTTGATCACTCTTGGCTCACCAGATCCCAAAATTCGTCAAGGGGGTAGTGCCAAGGCAGGGCCAGTCGTTACAGATAACGGCATGTGGATCATGGATGCTCCATTTCGTCCACTACTGATATCTGCTGATATCAAAGATGGCGTGAAAGGCGATGGAGAGGGTGGTGTCTGGGAGGTGCACCAATTAGGCAGAAGACTAAAGAGAATAGTAGGAGTTCTGGAAGTCGGCCTTTTCTACGGGAGAAATGGCATCCAGGTTGCCAACGCGGGCGAGGAAGGCGGTGGCCAGAAGCCCATTGCAGCTTATTTCGGCATGGAAAATGGCGAAGTTGAGGTTAGAGTAGCGAAGGAGGTTGAAGGTGTTAAGTCACGACCATAGTTGGACTCCGCATTGCAGTATGGGGGCAGAAGACATTCAAGGAGGTGTTTTGGGAACATCGGCAGAACAAAGTAACCTAGAAGTAACCTATAGATGACAGGCGACGAGAACATGCATCACAAGCGCACATGAAATATAATCAAACAGCCTATTATACATGTGACAAATCCACCTATCCAAATATCTTGTCGGTGAGTTCTTTGCAGCGTGTTTGGCATAGCCGCCAAAACCATCTATCTTTTGTGAGACCTAATCAACGGACTCATTCATGACTGTGAGCCTCGCTCATAGGCAAGTCGATGCTGCTCACTCTCCCATCGAGGGAGTCCAAGGCGCAGTCTCTCTTCGGGTGAGTACTCAGCGGACCATCTTCTGGTTGCTGGAGGGTATTCCTGATTTATCATTTGGCCATTATGTTGGACGTGATAGCCTTGTTCAGAAGCCTGGCTGGTAGCATCACCCCCGTGCTGGTAAGGCCGGCTTTCAATACCATGATTAGCAGTCCCAGTCCCAAGTTGTCCGTCTTCAGGTACCAGCTCATGCCCATAAGTTATGTCCAGGGCATAGTTATTATGTATCTGATTCATGGCATGTGATTCGGCGTGACGTTCGGGCACCTGGTTAGTCTCATCTGGAGACGTTGCCTTGGGTTGAATTCCATTTGTATGATTCCCATTCATATACTGGTAGCCGCGAGCCCCTAAGCGAGTCCTGTCGACAGGATTTTGATTCAAGGTGGCAGAACCCGGGTACGGGGTCCTACCAGGGCAACGAGCTTGGGTAGTGGATGCACCAGGATATGGTAGATTTGATTCAAAGTCGGGCTCATGAGCACTCTGACTAAGGATTACACTAGTTAGATGAACCTGGACAAGGTATGGCTATAACTACCTATACGCAGACCCATTCCGAGCCTCAGTCGAGGAGGCATTTGAGTTTGCTGGCATGATGGATAAGTCCGGGCCGTGAATGAGTAGGTGCTGGCACGCTGGTGCAATAAGCGTTGTATCGTGGAAAATATTATTCAAGAATATACGACAAGGATTTTCCGAGAAAGAGGCAAATGATGGGGAATGAATGATTTGATAAGAGTGAACAATGACTTATGGGCTTGGATGGATGCTGAAGTATGCCGCTCCTGGAAACCTGTCGAGGTCCGCAATGGCAATTGATAACAGGCAATGAGAGTAAAGGTCAGATTTATGTATTTCGCAGACAAGGAAGATGAAAAGAACGGGCAAGGTCTCAGTATACTTATACATGATATTTGCTTTTCCCATGAATGCGTAACGTTATCACCTAAGACGAGCTTCTGAAACGGAAACGCAGGACATTATTGAGGGGAGGTAGTAAAACCAAAAAAAGGTATTCAGAATACTAATTTGACAATGAACAGAAATTGTGGCGTGCAATGCGCTCGTGTCGAAGTCTCGCGTGGTGTCCAGTCAGCCCATCCTGCTGGCCGCCTGTCAGTTACAACCCAGCAGGTGTTCATCTGAAAATGCAAAAGGAATTATTCCAGAACCGGGGAAGAATAGGACCAGGTGGGTCGTAGCATAACCATGGTGCCTTGTATCCTGGCGTACAAGACTGGTGGGGGACTTCTTGAGGCCCTCGGAAGGGTAAAAAGGAAAAGCGAGAAAGGGGGTTCGGGGGCAAGCAGCACTCTCGTATGTCACTACCTAGGTAGTCCTTGAATTCAAAGCCACAGGTTACCAAGAAAGTTTTCTTAAATTTCTGAGATACTAAAGATAGGAGGCGCAGCTTTAGAACGACGACAGATGAATAGGGAGGATTGAAGTGTTCGAGAAGGCTTCATGATGCTGGTTCACTGCGGATGCTGCTGCCCTCGTGGCGTTTTGTACCAGGTAGACCTGGATTGAACATGAAACCAAAGAGCACGCGTCATCCATCAGCATCTCCCCCATTGCTGCGGGGAACATTCTCTTTGTGTTTGGATTTGAGTACAAAGTATATCATTACAATCCCTATCACTGAACCTTAAGATTGAGATCTTCAAGGATATTGTAACTTCACTGATCAATGAGGTGTGGGGTAACTGTGACCATGACCATACTCATGACCATGGTGTTATCATAATAACAATAGCTATTTCGAGAGCAAGGTGAGTAACATAGCACTGCAGCTGTTAAGGCGCGCCTGGTGGCACCGCCCTGGGCAACGAGGACTTTTGCATCCAGGACCACAGGCCAGAATTTCAGTGTCCCAGTATACTTGTGGGCTATGATTGTTCCTTGTAGGGCTTGCAGCACGCCACATTCTTTGATACCTCACACACGAAGTGTGAGAACTGACGAGGCACAACATGTGGAATACCTACTTAGGTACCTTGGAATAGCTGCAAGCTTCTAATGTGGTTCTGGTTGGCAATCTTTGAGGTTGTACTGCTGCATGAAAATTAGGCGTCGGGCTTCTATTTGTCAGGGAGTGCTGCGCAGAAGCCCCGGATATCTTCCGGTTTGTTTCACTGAGAGACAGTGTATTGATTCTGTATCCCCTAACTGAGAATTACGTGCACGACCGCCTCACTTGTTGACAGATGGTATCTCTTCGTATATTACCATGCCTGGTACCGTTTTAGTTCTGCACGAGATTGGACCAAGGATCGAGTTGAGCTCTGTATGTCACGTTGCGTTTGCGTGTTCAGTACGACTCGGACATCGGCCTCTTACAGGATCCTAGAAAGAATGCTGTTGTACACGATGTAGCAAATTTCCGAATGACAGATCGTTCGATTTGAACGAAACTTGTGGTCTCCCTCATCGAAAGCAGATCTTGCTCCAAATCTGACCGCTGGAATCCAGGATATACAAAAGATGGTTTGGACCACATAAACCTGAAACTAGGATCTTAGATCTTGCTAGGCAACCACTGGGGTTTTTTCTTTGCCGCGAATGCGTCAAGCCCAATCTTTATATTTGGCCCCTCGAACAGCAACTGATCATACCTGTCTGACGTTCGTTGTGTTGCTCTCTCAACACTGCCGGTCTCCCAAAAGCCGGATTCTGACTAGCTTCTCTTTCGCTTCCCCTTGAGCACATGTTTACACCTAATAGCCATGCTCGGCGATGCGGGGTTTAACCACTACCTAGGTACCTGGTCTACTTCGGATGTACCCCTGAGATACTCGGTACATATACGATGATGATCTACCCTTTGCGGGGTAGATACATACATATATTTGACATCTGCTGGGAGTCTGGAACGAACTTACCTACATAACAGAACCTGCCTCCATCATCCACAACAGCTCCAACCCTTCGAAAACCACCAAGCACTCACTCCCCATGGCTGAGGACCTTACAACAACACCTCCTTCATCAGAATCCTTCATCCTGAGCTACCCGGCTCGGTATGTGCTTCTGGCCACCATCAACCGCGAAGGTGCTATGAATTCGCTTCCGTCCTATGCTCATTGGGAAGCTGAAGCCCTATTTTCCTGGTTCGATAAGGAACCCAGTCTCCGGGTCGCAATCATTACTGGCGCTGGGACCAAGGCCTTTTGTGCGGGGCAGGACCTGATTGAGCAGCGAAAGTTCAGGGTATCACCGCCTCCAATGTCAGCCGCAAGGCATCCGCCCTCCGGCTTCTGTGGAATAAGCCGACGGACCGGAAAGAAGCCTATCATTGCCGCCGTCAATGGGTTTGCTCTTGGGGGTGGATTTGAGATTTGCTTGAATTGGTGATTTCTGGCTACAGATAGCATAGCTGCTCAATGACTGACGGGTTCAGTGATATGGTGGTAGCCTCGCCGACGGCATCTTTCGGATTGCCAGAAGCAACAGTTGGACTCTACGCCGCAGCTGGCGGGCTCCCCCGGATTGTCCGTAACTGTGGGCTCCAGATCGGTTCGGAGATCGCCATGACGGGACGCAGACTCTCTGCCAAGGAGGTGAGGACCTCCCCGGACGGGAGTGCTGGCCCCTTTCTGGCCTGATCAGGCGGTCACTGACTCTGGAATTATCTAGGCATTGGGTTTCCACCTGATCAATAAGATCTCAAAAAGCCCAGAATCCGTCATCTCTGAGAGCGTGGAACTGGCTCAGAAAATTGCAAGCCTTTCACCCGATGCAATTACTGTCACTAGACATGGGTAACATCATCCTCTCCTTACCTACTCCTTGCGCTTATACACCTTGTTCAAACCTTATTAACAATTGAATCCTAGGCTTCGGGAGGCTCTCAACACCGCCGGGTAATAGCAGGGGTGTCAGTATGTCCTTTCCTGGTATCTAAGATAGTCCCTATATTTTCAATTCTGCGAGTAAGTCGAGTGATTACTCCCTGTAGGATCCCATTAATTCCCAGATTCTTCTCTCAACTCCTTCGTAAATTCACTCCCGCTGCTAAATCAGCCCAACCTAACTCCCCGACATTCTCCCAAAATTCAATATCAAAGGGTGTGCCACTCGATCCCTACTTTCCCGCCCACAGTAACTGCACAGGCTTCAAATTCGCCCTCGCCCTTAGTGGTATCTTTGGAAGACACCACTTCATACTCTCCCTCTTCGGCTCCAACAGCTCCTCCACCCTCCTCTGCACATCCTCGCTCTCCACCCCCTCAGCACAGTACTTTGATCCACCATCTCGATATTCGCTACCTGGCTTCTGCCAAACACAAAACTCCTCGCCTTTCCCAGCACAGCGGCGACAACCCGGCGTAAATTCCCGACGCCTCGTCCGTGGGTTCTTTGAGGAGAAGGAGCAGCGCAGTCCTAAGATCGAGCATTGGAGACAGGGATCTCTGGTTGGTGTCTCGTTGCTTGCTATGTCTTGTTCTGGTGTTTCATTGTCGTAGGTGGGAGAGACTGGGGAAGTGGAGAGGCTTCGGGGACTGGTTACGCTTGATCGAGAGGAGAAGACGCTCTCGACTATCGATATTGGAGATGTGGAGTGGCGGGGTGGTATCCAGATGGTTAGCGCTCGTGGTGGCGTTGAGGTTCTTGCTGCTATTGTGGTTTTGATACTCGAGTCCGGGGCTATTGTCTCGATTGTTTCATTGGAACTCGAGTCCGGATCTATTGTCCTGATTGTTGTTGCTGCAACAATAGAAGGTGTGGTCTCCATTTTGTCCATCAATCTTATTGCGTAGTTGGAGTTGAGGATGTGGCTGAAGGAGAGCTTGAGGAAGTGAAGTTGATGTATAGTTGTGGAAATTCGAAGGCGGTTAAGGAAGAGATCGGAAGATTCGAGGGTAGGAGAAGTGATACTCGAATTCGAAGGTGAAAGAGCTCCATAGTTCATAGGGATTGTGTTTGGGAATGTTTGAGATAAGAAGGGGCACAATATCGTCGTCCTTTGGTATGAGACGAGATGTCTCGGAGGTATCAAGCAGCACAGGATTTCTTGCCTGCAATTATGTCCTTTGTCAAAACTATTTTAGAGAGATTATTTCATGCATTTGGATATGGATTGCAGGATATATAAGAGAAGTCAGAATAGCCTTGCAGTGTCAAATAGAGTTTATTGCAGCAAACAGCAAATGGGTATATAGACAGCCTGCCAATCCTTTCCGATGCAACAAATCTCATGCCATCCTATATCACATAGCAGGTACATATGTCTGCCTGCCGCCATCTACGCCAGTTCCCTTATCTCGTTTACAGCATCCCTGAGTGCCTTTGCCGTACTAAGTCGCGGCAACGTCTTCGCGGCAATATCGTGGATTCTTCTATCATTCCCATCTGATTCTTTTCTTGCGCGCTTCCTGACTGGAACCTCGTGCATCCACCGCACTCTAAAATAGGGATTTGTAGATATGGGTCCGAATTCGAATTCTTTCCCCATCAGAGGTACTGGGGCGGCAGACATCTGATCCACCGCCTCAAGATCTGGAGCGGACTGGGGCGTGGTTCTTGTCTCAATGGACATGCCAAACAAATCCTTTCCTTCCACTACCTTAATGTTGCTCGCTCCTCGACCCTTCAGAGTTGCAATGTTCCTCCCTGTAGTGGCAGGGTCTTTGACGGTTATAAATTGAGCGCCTGATTCGTTGAGATCTTCCAGGATACGCTTTCTCGTCGATGGCATTGTCGGGCGCAAGTGGCGATCTAAGCTAAAGTATGGGGATGCTGAAGCATCCAGAACTTTATACCGGCTTTTCACCACTGGCGGCTTCTTGAGCACCACACCAGGAAGGGCTTCGGTAACCTCATCGTTAATTTTGCGTTGCTTCCAGTCTTTGTTTATCCTCTCCACTGCTGCTTTCAAGGCTTCAGCTTCCCTCGGAGGTTTGGAGTACCATGAGTGCTCGAGAGCTTGATCGGCCGTCATCCGCAAATCTGGATCAATGACCAGAAGGCTGAGGATAAATCGCCGAGCTCGTTTGGGTATCTTCAACCACTGTGGTCTAGTACGGCGATGAACCATCCCCGAAACCCGGTCTTTGACCTCGTCTTGGCTCAATTCAGCTGGCTCATCACGCGGGATGACGGCTTCGCCAGTAAACAGGCACGCTGTGAGGACTCCAAGTGACCACAAATCTGCGGCTTTCTTATAGCCTAGGTTTGCTTCCTCAACAGCATCTACTTCCCTACAGCACATTAGCGAACTGGTCCAGATAGAATTATAGGCATGAACTTACGGAGCAATGTAGCCATAAGTACCTAATCTGGACATCATCCTGCCCGTTCGAGTGTTTACCTGGATGGCAAAGCCGAAATCTGTCAAGATAGCCCGCCCTCCAAAACGTGTGTCGCTCACAAGAACGTTTTCTGGTTTTATGTCACGATGAGCAATGTTTTTTGAATGCAAGAATTGGACGGCGAGGGCGACTTGTCGAGTGATAACACGACATTGATAATCATCGAGACGTCCGCCGTGAGATTGCATGTACGAGAATAAGTCACCTGCAGACGCCAGGTCTGTGAACATGTATCTTGACATGTTAACCTTTGCTAGTCAATGAGTGGAGGCAGTACTTACAACGCGTCGTGTGAACAGAAAGCTTTTCTAAGATTGATAATATTCGGCTACACAGGGTAAGATTGGAATTCGTAGAAGAGGTGCAACTTACGTGAGTGATTTTGGCAAGAATGTTGACCTCACGCATTGCCCTTTTTTTGTCTATGGCCATATCGAAATCAATGATTTTGCATGCCACCTGCTTCGCTGTGGATACCTCTCTTGCCAGATACACCTTGCCATATTTGCCGCAGCCAAGCTTTCTATCAGTGACGGCATAGCGTCTGTGGAAATGCTGAAAAGCGTGAGTGACAGTTGGGTGGGAAATGGGAAGATTTTCACACCTCTAGATCATCCAATTCTCTTTCGTCGCGAACGACTGGTTCGTGAATCTCTTGATGGAATCGGAATTTCCAGAATGGTTTGATCTCTATCAAGTCACCATCACAGAGGAGACGCCTTGTTCTTCCTCGGGAAATGTTGCCGACAATAACATCATTGATATATGTTCCATTGAGAGATTCCAAGTCCTCACAATAGACCAATGGAGGAATAGTAGCGCAAGTTTTCTCGTACACGATGGAGTAGATGCGAAAATGTTGCTTAGAAACTCTATCATCCGTGATAACCCAATTGCTGGGTTGCCATTAGCTATGGGCATAAGAAGAAGGAAAGAGCGTACCAGTTGCCGTCTCTGCCAATCAGAAGCTCCTGTTCGAGGTAGAGAGGAATGTCTGGTAGAGACCTAGTTAGGAGACAAGACAATGAGATAGAAGATCCCACCTACCTATCTTCTTGCCATCGGAGGATTCAAACTCGAAATTGGCAATGCTATCAGCAAAGCCATTCTCGGCCTCTGGCAACTGCGTCTCCTCAGACATCTCCACGCCGTGGAAGGAAGTATCAATTAGTGGGGTCGTGTTAGTAGACTTGGCGGAAACTATTAGTCGCTATAGTATAGCTGGTGTGTCTCCAGTAACAATGATGGGTACGGGGTACTGGCCACCCCGCTGAACTTGATTGATCGAAATGGCTGTGATGTTCTGGTGGTTGATTGGAGGGAAGTTATTTTTAATGTGCGGGTAGTATGCAAGGCGTAGTGGAAAATGGCAAGGCAGCGCCTCGGCTCTAGGTCACGTGAAAAACAAGTACACTACTCTCTTCAACGACTCGGCCTATTCTGTGCATCTCTTTCGGGACCTCTTCCTCTACGACGCGTTACTACAAAGGGCAATCAGATACCGCAACGGAACCATGTGTCCGAAATTGACATTAAACTACCTTAACCATCGTCCGAGATGGACGTTAAACTAGAGTCATTGTTGACTTGAAGGCAACTGGCAGAAGAAGGCGGTGACAAAACTTATCCGCTGTACCTCCGTATATCTAGCTACTACTAAGTCCAATTAAGGACTAGTTTCTCCACGTGACTATCTTCCACCCTTACCTAGGTAGGTATTTATCTTACGTAAGGTACCCACCTAGCTCTCATTGGGAAGGGCGCGCTTCGGTTCCAGGTCACATGAGAAACCCTACCCTACTGTGCGCTAAGAGTTAGCGGGGTTTGCAACACATCATTTGAGCTCCAGCTCGGTCCTCTCTCTTCTCTCCTACAACTTCATCCAAACGCTCATCTTCGATAAGTAAGTCCTTCCAATTTGCAGTTTGATTTGATTGCAGCTTTATCAGATGGTGCATCAATCAAATCGCAGTTTGTTCACAATCATTCGTCTCTGGCGTACCCAATCCCCCGGGTCACTTGGAGCACTACCAGACTTATATTCAATTCCATGACCTTCTTGCTGACTTATCTTCTTATAAACAGCATCAGTTAAGACAAGATGCGCGCGAAATGGCGTAAGAAGCGCGTTAGACGCCTCAAGAGAAAGCGCCGCAAGACTCGGGCTCGCTCGTAAGTGTCATCCGCTCGTCATTGCTGAATGGCCTCAATTTTGGCTGTTTTGGCATCAATTTTGACCATTTTCGCTAACTGAGCTCCTAGCAAATAAACAACTCGCAACAACTCGATCTCGGTCACCTTACCTACCAAATCACACCGTCATGACAACATAGCTTCTGAGTCTATGCCATCCCCCGCATCGACGCCTACGCCTTTTTCAGCATTCGGTTCACGAGTACGGATTAGCCCCACCATTCCGTCCATAGCGGCCGGTGTTCAAGGATAGAGTGGTCTTGATGACGCATAGAACTTGGCATTTGAAGGGATGATTGGAGGAAGCAAGATCGGTCAACGCATCGTCGAATTGTTCACGCGAGGGTTTATGAACGGAAGCGTTCGGAGGAAGGCTGCCTCAGATGCTAGACACCGTCGACTTCAATTGCTAAATGCTAAATAAAAAAGAAGTTCATGCTTCAAATAATGACCTTTTATTGTGACATGATCCGCTACTCTACCTGAATTGAAAGCAACTTGAACCCATCAACAAACGACCAAAATCTCAGAGGTAATGCGTTGCATATGCGATTGGCTTGAACCTAACTTCAGAATTGAATTGCTAGACATGCTCGATGCTTTGGATTCTAATAAAAGATGTAAAGGATTTTCGCGAAATACATGTTGAGAGCTCAATCTCCAGCCTTGTGCTTTGGCGAGGTCGGCGTAAAAAAAAGTTTGGCCGACCTACAACATTTCTTGAGGCAGAACTTCACAACCCAGAATTTTCCACTTTGCCTCACAATCTGTCCCATCCAAAATGGCAGACACAATTGACAAAGGAAAGAAACGCAAGAGGCGCACTGATGGGTCCTCGAAGCCCAGCAAAAAGGTTGCAATTGAAGAAGATAGAAAGATCAAAGTTTCTCTCCAAGATGGCGATAAATGGGCTCCCGTCATAGGTACGAACACGCTCCACGTACAGATTCGCTCAGCATATAGGCACCTTTTGTTGCTTCCAACTTGGGTCATATTCTAACTTCATACAGTTGCGCCAGGCACTTTCTCACTTCCAACCTCCATTCCCTTCCAGCCGTACACGAAGCCGCGCGAGGATGCGCCTCAACGACCTGGGAAAAGCGGAAGTATCGCAACAGAAGAACTCCTGCTTTATTCCTCCGCACACCCTAAACTTAATTACACCGCACGGGAAGAGGATTCCTTACAGAAGCATTATGTGGGCGTCTACGACCCGGCAACCGGGAAGCTGGAGATCATCGAGGCGCGTAGGATGGAGGTACGGGGGACTGTGAGGCAATTTCAGGTTCCAGAGAAAGGAGCCCAGCCTACTGTAAGGCTTGATCTACACATGGTTATTGTCATCGTACTAACAGCTCCACTTCAGACCGCGGGCGACCCTCGAAGTGGCGTCGGATTGGCATTCGGTACGAAGAAGTCACAGAAAGCTCTTGCTTCAACCACAGAGAATGCAATTGGTCCCAGCAAGTCTGAAAGATTGCGCGCCGATGGCAAGTCCCAGAAATTTGATGCAACGACCGCTGCTGTCATGGCTTCCATGGCCGATACTACGGCAGACATGGCAACAAAAGACGAGTTACAGGAGCAAGCAGACTCATCGAAACCACGACCAACCGCCAACCTGGAGGCAACAGAGGTCAGGGACGTTTACACAATCGATAGTCTCATTGGCGTGGAGATGATGAAACACATTCCGGTCATGGACTGGGAACAGTCTATCAAGGCGAAGAAGGAAATCATAGTCAACTCGAGATACGTAGCCCACCGAATACAGAGTGCGGGGTCAAATATCGAGAAGCTCAAGATTCTTCGATATATGCTACTTCTGATCGACTTCTTAAACATCGCCAAACCGGCTCGTGGTGGTGCGAGAGCTCTTCCAAAGAGAGACAGCATGAAGACAGCTATGGGCGGAATTCCCGAAGTGCTTGTTGAGGGCGTGAAGCGGAAGTTCGCAGATGGCGGGTTTATACCTAAGTTCAAGAGCGATCTGCTCATTACTCATCTCTGCGCGATGGCTTGTTTGGTGGACAATTATGAGGTGGACATGTTTGATTTGCAGGAGGATCTAAGGCTAGAGACCAAGGACATGGCGCAGTACTTTAGAGAAATTGGGGCAAAGGTTGGAGCTCTCTCTGAAGCCCAGAGGAAGGTCTTGAAGCTGGAGAAGGCGGCGGCGGCGCAACGCAGGGTTGCGAAGTTGAAGTTGCCTCTTGACTTCCCGAAAGTGGCATTTGGGAGAAGGGCTAGGTAGATTGAGACAGGTGGAATTGAACAGAATATTCTTTCTAAGACAGCACGAGGAGACAGACCTTGCTGAATGATCATGTGAGTTGGGGATAGCCAATGACTAGATACTGTGGCTCTCTCCGCACTTGTGAGTTTGGCTTCGTATAGCTTCGTCACTACCTACCTACTCGGTACACCGAAGTCGTATTTACCGCACAGTACACAGCTGGAAACCCTGCGCCACGGAAGGCCACGCCGACACTTTCCCTTTCCCTAGGATCCGTTGCCCGGTTCGTGCAGTGCAGTGGCTGGAAAACTGGGACGACACGAAGAAGAATGTGGCGCGGCCAGACAAGGCCTGAGACAGCCAATAATGCCGACTCGCGGTTGGACCCATCCGGGTCAAGTTTGGGCTGTTTGAGTGAAGGAGAGCCCTGTGGAGGCCGCTGCCAGCCAACCACAGGTACGGGCTCCGGAGTAAATTGGGGAACGTGGACGAAAGATAAGATGGCCGGGCATGAAACGAGGTCCCCTGGGCCCTGGCTGAGTGAAATGAAGCGATAACACGGAGCGCTCTATTGTCTCTATCAGCAGGGACTCAGGGACTCAGGGACTCAGGAGTATCTAGAAGAAGGCGAGGAAGGGAGTCAACGCATGGTGTATGTATCAATGAAGCGGCACATAACGTACCGAGACCGTTCGAAGAACCAAATCCAAAGTCGACACGATGGTCCGGAGTGCATCTCGTACGGAGTTGTGGTTGTAACTCGGGGAGTCAGCGCGAGCTCTGACTGGGTCAGGACCGGGCTGATGCCGCTGATCTGAGCCAGGGCCCTGCTTCCCTGCACAGGAAAAGCAATAAGAAATCCACTTTAAAGACTGTGACCTCCCCTCGCCCTCTCTCCCATCTCAGCACCCCAAAACCTACAAAAGAAAAGCAAAAAACCCGCTCGCTCAGTTCCTCGATCAACTTCACTCTCTCTCTCGCTTACTTTTAATCCTCATAATCAATACCCTTACGTCCAAGATGCCTGCTCAGGAAGTCAACCAACCCCAGACCCAGCAGATGGAGGTCCAGGCCCAGCAGCCAAGCCGTGTCAGCGCCGAGCAGCCTGTACGTGCCCCTTTTCTTGGCAGGCACCCGTCAACTCAGCTAATTTTCTTGTCCAGCGCGCTGTCGAGCAAATGACTGCCGAGCCCGTCTCCATGCGTGGCGGTGGAGAAGGTGAAGAGGTCTGCTGTGGCGTGTAAGTAGATCCTCTCATCCATCATCTTTATGCTTATTTTTACCCTGATTTTTATTTTCTTGGCTTTTTTCCCCCGTCCTCCTATCCTCTGCGAATAATGGCTCCCGGCTAACGAACGACGATAGCTGCGCCGGTCTCGCCTGCTTCGAGTGTCTTAACTGCTGCTGCTAAATGCCCACGCCCGGCTTGCGCTAATGGATTGGCTGGATACCCTGGGGAGACGAGCAATCCAACACGGCGCGGAGAGGATATGTTTTTGACAGAATGCGATAATGGGCGGGGGATGAGGGAGGAGCGAGAATCAATCAGCCCTGAGGGCACTGGTTCTGCACTGCTCAGGCGCGCGCGATGATGATATTTCCTGCCGTGGCTTTTACGAATTAAAGAAAATTTGCACTACGAGTCTAACGTCTGCTGCTTTTGCTGTGTTGCGGGAATGTGAGATCGAGTGATTGATTGCTTTGTTTTGCTTTTCTTTTGCCTCTTCTGGCATTGGAGATCTCTTTCCTCGTTTACTTGGGTCTTTAATTGACATTCCCCGTTTGTATGCATGTCATTGTTGATCCTTTTTCGACAACGCCCCGCACGACCCCTTATCATTCCACACTCACTTCTACCCCTCCAGACGCTACATATCACATCCAATCCCTAACCAAGCAAATACCCTCGGTCCATCATACTCCCAATCAAGCGATTCCGCCCTCCCATCAAAATTACGGAGTACAGCTACTCAGATCACAATTTGACCGAGCCGGAGTTAAGGTAAGCAACCTTGTTGGCAGCCGAGAACCAGCAACCCATCGTCCTCACCACGTTCCACGTAAGCCTCCACGTAGTTGGATTAGACGTCAGGCTCGGGGCTGCAGAACGTTTACCCGGATCTGTCACTCTAATTGCAATCTGCATTTCCTGCGATTATCGATATGAGAATTAAGCGTTCAGCAGCTCCGTTCTTCAAACCCCCCAGAGATAAACCGCCAACGCCTGAGAAATCTCCAAAAGTGCCATCTAAAGATATCATTGATTTCAAATCCTTCCATATACAGTATCAAGATCTGTACATCCGAAGCATTAGAGGATGGTCCAAACTGCCATCGGATCAAAATGTCCACAGCCACATGACCTCAACGTACAACCCGATTTCAACATCTTGCACCCCAGTGTATCTGCAGGTCCTCCCGCTTGGATAATAGCTTTCTACACAGACCCCAGGTTGGAATAAGATAGAAGGTAATATTCGAAGTTGCGGCCCACGAATCACTATCGCTCACGACGAAAACCATGTTTTGGTAAATGGGATCTATCATGACCTGGCACTCGGCTTTCACTTTGGCCTCCAGAGCTGCACCCCGGTCTGTAGATGCTGCCCGCAACTGATATGTAAATGCATCACGAGCTGAAACACTCTCCTTGAGGTTAGTTGAGATCCGGTAGTAGGTAAATGTGGCGTAGGTGCACTTGATGTTGAAGAAGACGAGGATGTCAAAGTCGAGCATCTCGGTGTGGAGAGCTCCGATGCACTTGAGGATGGTTCCTTGCTAGGAGATGAGGTCTTTCTAGAGGACCGTCCTTTGCTTGGTTCTATTTGTGGCTCGGGCTCAGTAACTTTTTTGGCGTAAAAAGAAAAAAAGGGGGGGGAAGCTTGAACAAAAGAGAATGCATGGAAGGTGAACCCTAGGCAGATTAGGGAACCCAAGTATGTGAATTGAGATATTTGGTGAACTAGGGGCATTCCATAGAGCCAGAGCTTGTTTTCCGCATTTTGGTCAACCAACAACGACTGGCAGAATTGTTCGCCGATGGCCTTTCCCAGTTGTGTTGTGTGCTCAACTGAAAATCCGGGTGGTGAGGTGGTGATTGATCTAGTAACCGCGAAAGTAGCATCATTGGTTGTAGTAGAAGCTTAAGGTACACGGGCGGTGTTGAGACAGTAGTGTAATGTGGCCGCGGAGAGCATGTTTGGCTGGGAGCGTGAGTTGTGGAGGCTTAGTTGAAGCTCTACCGGGTAGGCTAGTAGATCGGGTACAACCCGGACTATGAGAAGACGTTCGAGATACGCCACTTGTAGAAGGTCTGAAGTTTAAAATGACGACGCTCCTGGATAGAATTCCCAATGTGTTTGTTCCAAAACTCGTAGACGACGAGGGGGGCAAACTAGTTAAATCCAAGCTGGGGGCTGAAGCTCTGGTGACTGACGGTGTGAAGTTTCCTTGAATAATAGTCATGAACAGAATGCCGGATCGGTCAGTACCTATGCTCGTGAAGGAAAATGGAACTGGGGGCACATGGGAAGATTGATCGCCAACTGAAGCTGAAATAGGTGTAAGTAATGAGGTGTGCAGGGAGCTAGGGGTGATTGAAGTCACAACAGTGGTAAATAAATTTGTCAAAAGACACTAAAACTTCCTGATAGTAGTGCACACGAAGGAGCACAAGGAAACGCTTTTCAGTGATAGGACAAGAACTAAATGGCCATGCGATAACCTTAGCTCCAAACGTTTTGAGCTGACTACGATCAGTCTCAACGAAAGTCAATCGGAAATCCAAAGCCGCCTCAAGTCCACCAGAAGTTACCCCTCTTTCTGTACTTGATGACCCGATTCTTCTGAATGGCGGCAGTTCGAAAATGTGACTAACCCCTGGGAAGAAACTTGCATCCCTGGGCAGGAAGATTTGGTGCACCGCTTATTGATTGAGCAGAATGACGGTCTTTACAAGTTCACAGAAAACTGGAAGCCCACTCCTCCACTTGAAGGAGACCCAATGCCCATGATACCTGATTAACTTGTACCCTAGATTATGCATGATCGAAGAAGGAGCAGAATGCTTGGTAGACCGTTTCATTCTCTTGCCTGTTTTATGCTGAGCAGTTGCAGTGTTTCTGTGTAGAGCACTCGCAGCGAACAAACTGCTTGTTGTATCCTCTGTTTCTACTCGCAATTCTTAAACATCCGAAGCTGTCACACCGGCCATGTATCTCATCAAATAGAACTATTTGGAAATTAGGAATGGATACACAGGCGAAGTGTGACGTCGCCTGGGACAGAGCCGAGGTTGATGCTTGGAGGGAGGAACTCTGTCAGTTGGTAAGGAACGCTTCGAGCAATTGCCGATTCCATTGTGAAGCATCGCGGTTGCTCTCTCGAAGAGCTGTTTGCTCCCATCGGAGGCTATTTCAACGTCCGTCTCACAAAACTTCAAAGAGGGTAATTCGGCCTTTTGGTTAGAGCCAGTCCGGGAGAACGACAGTCAGGAGATCATCTCGCGTTAAGCCAGGCATTGAGCTCTGCGGTGACATTCTAGGAATGTTTTGAGGAACGGATGAATGGACCTGGGCCTAGGCCTAGGTCAGCCAGGTATTTTTGCATCATTCTGTGATGGAGAATGAATGGCACAGGCATCGAGTTTCCCGGTAATGTACCGCATTGCGGCGACTTCCTCTCGGACCTTTTCCCTAAAAGGAAACGCAGAATTGAGTCTGAGAAAGCGTATCCACAACAAGCGGGATGTCACAGACCCCCCCCCCCCAACAGACCCAACACCTCCAAGATTCCCCTTGCCCAGCTTCAACACCCGATCAGAACACTGCAGAGCTCCTGCAGATACACATCTCGCGCATCTGTCAACGCACCACAATGACGTTATAAATGTAGCCAAGGACTGTCGCCCCAGATATATCGCAGGGAACTTCTAATACTGGCCAATGAACCGCCTGGAAACGAAAGTCCGTACAGCAATGGGACAATGTCCAGCAGAAAGCATGTTCAATACCGATGTTTATCCAAGCGCTTCAAATTATTTTGGGACAGTTCCGGCTCGTGCATCGACTTCCTTGACGCCAAGAGCAATGTGGTTCGATTTATCAACTGGGAATTGGCATACGCGGCCCCAGCCGAACATACGTACAGTCCAAATTGGTGGCTTTCTTTGATAGAATGCCCGACTCCTGGACCGCCGACTAGTCAGCAACTTACAAGCCGCTTGGGTTGTTATCATCAGAAGCTCTCGACTTTCAAGCAAGACTTGGCGGCGAGAAGATAAAAATAGAGGTTTGTAACGCGGGGGCTAGAGCAGAGCAAGAGTCAAGACGAGGACGTGTGGCGCTCAAACTCCCATCAGTTTTCGAAATGGATCCTGGCATAGGTATTACCGGTAATCAAGACTACTTGAATTACCAGTATTTCCAAAGAAAATACCCTTTTCTGGAAGAGGTACACAAGCCTTGAGTCGCATGTGAAGTCCCAAGGTGTCGTCCACGATGCCTCCTATCCTTAACCGAACGATATCTATCGGTGACGTTGCAACTCCACCAATCAGAGATCAGACTTCCGCGATGACTGATGTCGGGGGGAATTTCAGTAAGCAAAGTCCCCCACCAACTGCGACACCAGTGCAGCAACTCGTTCATTTTCAACATGTAGCCTGCTCTCATTTCTCTTTTTTTTCTCAATGCGGTCTTCTTTCCTTGCGTGCCTCCTGATTCCTCTGCGTTGCACCCCGCCTCGAAGCCTAGCTCTCGCGCGCCAAGCTCCAGCACTCCATACGCTCCAGTATCCCGTCTGCAAAAGGACCTTCACTTGCGCCGCGGCAGCGAAGCAGGATTCCCGCACAATAATGACAGACGTCAGCCACCAAGAGCCCGCCGAGAGCGAGGCCCAGGGGAAGGACGCTGGGCGGCAGGCCGAGAAGGAGAAAGCGGAGGAGGCGCTCCCCAAGCTAAGCGCCGCGGATTTCCGAGTCTATAACTCGATGGCGGAACATATGGAGTACTTTGTAGGTCGCACAGCCAAATGCGGCGCTTCTGTTGGGGTTTCTTTTCTTGGAGATGTGAGGCTGACTCTGGCTGCGTGCGTCTCTCGATATAGCATAATCATTTCCGCCAATCGTGGACCCTCCTCTATAACGCCTGCGTGAACAATAAACGCCCCGCGAACCTGTCGCTCAGGCAGTTCCTATCAGTGGGCCTCCAGTTCTGCTCGCATCTGGCGACGCACCATGCGATTGAGGAACAGCATATTTTCCCTGTCCTAGCGACGAAGATGTCGGAGTTCAAGGCGGGGAAGAATGCAGCGGAGTTGTTGCGGCAGCATCACGAGATCCATAAGGGTATGGATGTCTTCGAGGACTATCTGAATAAGTGTCGGAGTGGAGAGACGGAGTTAGAACTCAAGGTCTTGAAGGAGAAGATGGACAGTTGGGGGGAGGTGCTGTGGACACATTTGGACCAGGAGGTGAAGACGCTTGCAGCGGAGAACATGAGGAAATACTGGAGTTTAGAGGAGATGAGACGGATGCCCATGTAGATGTGACGTGATATACGAGATTCTGACGGAATTTTGCTTCACTCAAATGCATCAAGACACCACATAAATAGAATAATGTTATTAAGTACCGTATGACTTTTGCTGCAGCACACTGTTCCTAGATGCGGGGCCATCTGCTAGTTAGAGCCCATGAGACGCATACATGGTCGTCGCAGACGTTGTGTGTAATTATACAGGAGGAAATAGAAGACTCCATCCCCCCTTCTAATAAATATGCATAGAGCGCTCGATGGTATATATGAGTAATGCAGATGAAATAACAAGAGATTCCGTAAGAAAAGTTCATTAGGTGTCGTAAATGATGTTCAAACCTCGTGTACCCAAACCTGGAAATCGTGTTAGCAGAACTCACAGATCCACGGACCGCCTGAGGATACTCACTTCCATCTTGCCCATGTCCAATCGTTCTTTTCTTGCGTTCGCTTTGACACTCATAAGAACCATTTCCAAATCATCCTGGTCTCCCAGGGTAATCATGTCGCCGTTGGGTTCATCATCTTCTCGAACCTTAATCTTGAAACGTTTCCGTATCTCAAACTTATCTCTTATCCGCTCAACAAGGTCCGAAAATTCGATCGCTGACCCGATCATAATATATCGGACGTCCTCAGCGTGAACCTTGACACGAATCCTACGAACCTCTGGCCGCCGTGACTGGCCGCGGGAGGAGGTAGATGCAGAGGTGGGGGTTGTACGCGTCCGTGGGGGAGGTCGCCTCGAGATCATTTCGAATTCGCCCTCGTCGAAGGGGCCGTCATCAGAATCGCTGGCGTACTCTTCTTCCTCTTCAATGTACTGAGCTTGACCCCTTTTGCTCTTGTTACCTCGTGGATTTTGGTGGTACATCTCGTAAAGCTCTCCCGGATACTCGTCATCTATCTCAACTTCCGAAGGTCTCCGGCGCGATGGTCGTGAGCGAGACTCACTTCTCATTAACATCTGTCTTCCTTGGGGTCCTCTGGGCTCGGATGCTGTTCGCTGAGTCCCAATACGAGCCTGTGCACTCTGGGGTGACCTTCTCTGTTCCCGGATCTCATAACGTCCAACAGGTCGGGCTTTGTCAATATCGAGCGTGGGTAGCACTGGTTTGGGACCATTTCGGACTGAAGCTCCCCGGCTCAACATAGTAGGAGCGCCTGATTTCTCGGACTCAGGAGGTGGAGTTGGGGGAAAGACGTTGCGGTTCAGCGGGGGTTCTGACTGCTGTCGTTTGCTCTGGAGACCAGGCTTCACAAGATTAGTGGCTGCAAAAGACAAGCTCTCCGCCGGTCGATCATCCTTGACCTCGAGTTTTGTGACCTGAAATGGTTAACACGTCGCATTTTAGGGTGGTATCAAAAGAACTCACATTCTTGAGCTCGGCGCCTGCAAAACCAGTGAAAGCATTTGATGCGTCCGAAGCCGCGACCAAACGTGCCTTGCCAAGGTAATCTTTCGTCTTCAGGTTCTTGACTTTTGCCTGGTTCGGTCGATATACGACACCAACAGGAATAGAGAAAACGGTGTAACCCTGCGATGCATTAGCCAGTGCAATTTATGTACTGTCTTCCAAATTCTACCTCAGCCTCCTCCCTAATTGCGTCATCAATGACATTGTGATCCTCGACGACCTTCTCCTTGACGGCGAATGAGAAATCTTGCATCCCAGCTTCCTTCTGTTGAAGATATATATAACACAGACCGCGGTTGAAAAGGACCTCGCAGGAATAAAGCTTAAACATAAGCCCCAGTTGGGCGTAATCGATCATGTTGTTTCCTCTCAGGTACAGAAGGGTATCGTTGAAATTTGCTAGTGCCTCCTCGAAGTCGCCAATAAGGAAATTCGAGACGCCTTGTTGAAAGTATGCTACTGCCAGATATTGATCTAACCGGATGGCTCGCTGATAGCATTCGACCTACACGTCGTTAGATCTTGGCCACATCTGGGAAGAATGAAGAGTACTGACGGCCTTCTCATGCTCTCCCAAGGTGGCATGAATAACACCACAATTGAATAGAATTTTTGACGTATCTGAGATATTATCAAACTCCTTTAACGCCTCGTCGAATTCGTTATTATCATAGTGGGCAAGTGCTGCCACCCACGTCTCGATTTCCTATTTCCGGGATAAGCAACCTCCTTCCCCAAACCTCCACACAGTACACGAGACTCACCTGCTTCAAAGACATTGTGCCAAAGACGTATGCGTAACCTCTCTATTCCTTCCTTCGCCAATCAACGCCGGTCGCCTCCTGAGCGACCAGCCGTTAACTGTGTGAAACTCGAGATAGTCCCGGAGCTGTCGTCCAAAATCCTTCGTAGAGGCCGTGGTTCGTTACTTCAGGCTGAGTATGTCCTGTTCTTCCAAAGCCAAGTTTTCAAAGGGTATCTATCGCAAAAATGTTCAAGCAAGGAGGCTGGTTTGTCGGTATCACTTGAGAAGAGATTAGACGATCAAGGCCGGAGCGGGGTACGTCCAAGGATTTTGAGGTGCAGAAGATGTTTTCGGTGATGATTAGCAAGAGCATAGAGGAATGCAAAAGTTTGGAAAGAATTGAGAGAAAGACCCCAGGAGGAGGGGGGGATGATAGAATGTAAGGTACGACGCACTGGCTAGCAGTGGGCAATGAGCGGGTGGAAGACGATGAGTTCAAAAGTTCAGCGCGTAACACACGATGGGGCTTGAGGAGCTGGGGGCCTTGTCCCTAGCTATAGTGGACACTTTCATGCATGCGAAGAAGACATCGGTTGGAAGGATGGAAGTTCTATAGTCGTATATGCCTCGCAGGTGTCCCCCGAGATGCGACGGCACGATGGTACGGCAGAAACGGTATGATCCTGCCATCATACAGACGGATATACGGAGTGCAATCTGGTCCAGACACAGTCAGAATGGGCCGCTGCGAGGCCTCCTGCTGCAGATTGACCGCAACTTGGGAGCAAGAATCCCGGCGTGCCACATGTGAGGCCTGGCGGGACTCGACGGGCAGCGATGCTGCGGTGCCTTTCAAGCAACGGGCGTTCCATGAGCGTCCTCTCGTCCTCGATTGGTTGGATGGCTGGCGGGGGGACCAGCGCTTCTGTCACGGGAACCGTTCCAGGGCGCGTAGAGAGTGCAGACTCGTCAAATCACATCGAATAATGGTGGTGAAGAGGCGCTATGGGCTTCACCCTATTATCCACAAGATGCGGCCAAGCAAGAACAATCATGACGATAATGATGATAATAATGATGATGATAATGATAATTCTTTCCGCGTAAAGTCTGTACGGAGGTCAGTCTAATTCGAGACCCCTCGCTAACCCCTCCCCTTCCCTTGGCCCATGCCACATCAGATCGCGTGAGCTTCAAGGGGCCCAGCAGCAGCAACGTCCATCGTACATACAAGGCACATCTCGGGAAAACAAGAGGCTAGAGCATACCAACTCCACGTTCAGGCAGGGCTCAATTGCCCTGGTGCATCTATCTTATCGGGTCACTTTTCTGACGATGCGCAGGAATCTTGGCATGTGTCAGGGAGCAGCTTCACCGGCGGATGGAGGCTGGACGAAACTCGCTTCCGCCTCAGTCTGTTTGAGCTTCGGCCGCACAAGTCCTGCTTGGAGGTCTGGAATCTCAGCATCCGGGGTATTGTTCTAACCTCAAACAGACCTCTGGTCTTGTGAGGCCTAAGCTGCCTCGTCCCAGCTTCTTGCATTACGGAGTAGGAGTACCGGTCTGATCATCATAACAGGGGCTTCTGCCCTCGTCTCTAATTACCCTTAACACTCAAGAAATCTCCATGGAGCTTCAATGCTATCGGCCTGGGTCTCCTCCTCAGTGAGCTTGCCACGGGCTTGCATTGCTCTGTTGTTTGGAACCCGGTCGATCTAGATATGATCTGATTCAATGCTTGTGGCTTGCTGGGTCGCGGGGGCGGTCAGGTAATTCTGGCGGATTCATCCGCAGAACACCCAGATTGAATTAACACACGTCTGTTAGAAACGGGGTTGTTAGAAACGCATGAGAGACAGCTGAACATTTGACAGCTACAGTACCATTGTAAGTTCACCTCACAATTGAATACCCTTATTCTCATCATCGTCTTCTTCGGAATGTCATCATTATCATCAGGCTATCCGGTAAGCCACATCCTCGTCAGAGTGACTGAGATCGTCTGATGTATAATCAGAGCATGCCCTTCTTCACCTCATCTTTTCTCTCCTCCCATAATGTCTTCCCTGAGCATGAGCATACGGTCTTGTCGTTATCCCAAACCCCTGCGCTCCTTGCAATCACACCAACAAGTGTGTTATCATCATTCTGCTCCGGCTTTGCCTCCCCTTCAATCTGTTTTGACACAACCATTCCTCTTCCTATTATTTCCCATATCTGTACTGGCTTGTCCAGGAACACACTTCCAGTACCATCGTTGCCCACTTGAACAGTTCCAAAGACTCCTTTGGGCTTGAGTGGACTGTCCTTGGGATCACTCCAAATACCACCGATGGAAGCAACACCTCGCGATATGTCTCCAGTCTGCCGTACTGAGGCCAAGTAGTTTCCAGGCGCGAGTCCACGAATCGTAAGGTCAATAAGTGTTATATTTGGAGCAACCTGAACCATACGAGCCAGACCTCTCACTTTTTCTGACACGGATTCGGAATGTGTCTCAAGAATGCAGACTGCTGCGTCTATTATTTCAATGCGATTAGTACTTGACTGTATGACGTGAAGATCCCTGGAACATACTATTTGAGCCTCCTGATCCTCTTAAAATGGCATCCCTTCCCGTAGCTTGGATTGAAGCTACTATTGCGGAAGGGGCCGCTGTGTTTCATCAGCACCTTGCTCCATGCCATCGTGGCGTTCCAGAAGAGTATGACGAACCTGTTCCTTCAACGGAGACAAGTTGATCTTTGAGATTTGCCTCGACCTTTTGAATGCCGTTGAGCTTGTATAAGGAACTAGACACGTCCTTGACACAACTCTCGCAGGTCATCGGCACCGCAAACAGCGTCTGAGGCAGGTCAGTCAGTGCAAGCGCAAATGCCGAGGGTAATGCATGATCCTTACCTGGAAAGGCGTCGTGATCGCCATATTGAAACCTTTGAGGGAGTTAGAACTTAGATAATGGGTATAGAAGTATGTGCTAGAACTTTAAGGCTCTCTCAAAGTGACTTGAATGAAGTCTTGAAGACCTGGAACCCCTCCGTGATGCAATATCATGGCCGTCGTGGGGCTCGTTAGGCTGGAGGTGCTTTGAAATCGCGGGAGCACTCTCGGCTGATGTTGCCAAACGCCGAGAAGCTAACCCGAATTGTCGTTCAAAAGTTCACGACTTCAAAGAACATCGCGACGACCACAGAAGACAGCAGCACCAACTCCGCAACTCGCCTGTCCCAGCTAATAATTCAATCGGCCTCAGGGCCACCTGGAAAAGATGTCTCAAACCAATGGATTAGTGAGCTCTCTCGAATTCCTTGCACCATCCTCGACTAACAAAGTGCCTCGAGACAAAACTTGCATACTCCCGAACATGGCACCACATCTCAGCCAGCACGCCGCATCACGCACTCTCCACAATCCGGCCTCTCCCGTCCCCTGATTCTAAAGAACTCAAACCACCCTCATTAGGGCGTCTCGCATCCCGAATCGCCGTCCTTCTCATGGGCAAACATAAACCCATCTGGGACCCATCCACCGACTGCGGCGACTATGTCGTTGTAACCAACTGCGCCGCTCTTCATACAACCGGCAAGAAACGATGGCAGAAGCTATACTACAGACATAACACGCGGCCCGGAAGCCTGAAATCGGTCACCATGGATGGATTGATGGACAAGCTGGGAGGCGCCGAAGTGTTGCGGAAAGCGGTCAGTGGCATGTTGCCCAAGAACAGATTGAGAGATGATAGGCTGGCGCGGTTGAAGGCTTTCGAGGGCGACGCACACCCGTATAAGGCGAACATTGTCAAGTTTAACGGGAAATCGAAGATTGCGGAGTGGCCGAAGGGGCAGACGAAGGCTGAGGAGGCGAGGTTATGAGCAGGAGAGGAATGATATGTGTATAATAGGGTATAAAATACTGGGTGCTTTAGGTGCAACTTTGGATGTATATCATAGCAGTCTCCCATGGGTCGCTGAACACGTTTGATGGTTTTCTATAGTGCCTGAACGGCGTCCGAAGAACGAAGACAGACTTCCCTCGAACATTTCTATATATTCTCTGCTGTCTGTTGAGCCATCCTGAGAGCGCTTTAGTTCAGGGGGGGGGTTACGCTTGCCTATTTCCGTAACATTAGCATCGTGTCTGGTCGACCTTTGGTAGCAAACTGCTCATAACATGGGTACGACTACATTTCCAAGATACAAAACTCTTGGTTACACGAAGTATCTGTTGTTGAGTGACAGATACTATTGAGAATGAGACATTGTACTGTTGTGCTTGTGGGTTTACTACTATACCTGAACGACACAAGCACAACAGCACATAGCAAAACTTGGAGAAGTACTTTTATTCTTAAGTATCGCTCAAATACGGTGTACAAATCTACCCGTCCCTCCCTACGCCAGCCATCACCATTCAAATGATACATTTGAACGGGAAAACTCCTACAAATCTTGCCTGCCTATGCCAAGTAAATGCGCCTCATAATTGTACAATATCCTATCAGTCAAAACCTGCTCATATTCCATGATCATTCAGAAAGTGTAGGGGAGGAGAGATTGGTGACACTTGGTTGCCTCTCTGTTCTACCTTCACTTCCACTGTCATCGTCGCTGCTCTCTTGGTTCTCATCACTGCTTTCTTCGTCTAGGACGATTTGCCTCATGACACTTTTGTCAAAGAGGTCAATAGCGAACCGTCGCATACCTAGGCGGAATTGATGGCATTCCAATAAGATCATTATTTTCTTGAAAAGTGATGCTTGTCTGAAGCCAGGGGCTTTCTTCGCTTTGATGTGCATCAGTTCGCTCATTGCTTTGTTCTTCAGGACTGTATTGCCCAGATCCATAACGAGCTCCAGAATACGTTGGTTGACTGCATCGTCGTCGGTCTTTGCTGCAGCTATGGCTGCTTTCTGCGTGTCGTCTAGACTGATATCGGAGACTTTCTCATGTTTCCATGGTTTGTACGAAAAGAATTTGCTCAGGTCTTGAGGGATGCAGAGACCAAGGGAAGTGCCCATGGTCGTCGTATTACTATCCCATCCATACTCTGACAGTATTTCAAGCCCGTGAATGCTACGGGAAATGAGCCCTAGCACAAAGAATGCTGTTCCTCGTAAACTCATTATTTCATGTGATTCAGCGATCTTGACAATGTTCTCAACCACATCGGATTCTTCAAGAAACGGTCCACCAAGTTCCATAGATCCGACATTGCCGACTGCCCACAAGCATCCTTTGACCTTCAGAATTAACTCAGGGTCGTCTGAAAGCATCCCGTACTCGCGAATCGTATTTGCAAATTCTTCAAAATGACCTTTGCTACGCAGAAGTTTGCAACCTTCTTTGGTCCTGGTCAACTCCCTATAGAAATGAGGAGGCACATGAGCGTCGCTGTCACCGTCGAATTCGAAGTTCTCTTCGTCGATGCTAAAACGACCTGACGACTCCTCTTGTGGTGACTCAACGAATGCCCGTGCAAGACTTGCCTCAATGACCCCGACGTAGGCATCATTGCGGCCCAAGAACCAGTCATCCATTTCATTACTGATATAATCCAACCCATCGAGGTAGTGGTATCCGATGGAAGTGGAAAGGAATCGAAGTAGCAAGGGAGCGCCAATCTCTCCGAGGTGATCCAAAGCCGGACGACATTCTACAATGTATTCGAGGTAACTCTTTCTGTTGCAAGCCTCCTCGAGGATCTTAATTGCGGTAGCACAGACTTCGACTTCAGGGTCGTATAATTGAGTCACGAGTAGTTGGATAGCCCACTTTGAGTCACCCACGCCTTGATTCACGGCTCCGTTTGGACGGGAGCGGCTGGAGTATCTTCTCAAAACATTCGTCGCGTGTATGCGAATCTCTTTCGATCCACCCGTGAGAGCTTTGGATAAAAGCACTCTTGGATGTCCCATAAGGCTATAGTCGAAATTCGACAGCAACAATTTGATAAGATCCGGACGCTGCTTCAGATCGATGATATGATACATCATGTTGATCATTCGCCACCGGTCAAGCATCTGCAGGCCTCTGGAATCACCGCTCAGAACTCCTATCATGTCAAAATATCCGCTGCAACAAGTCTCGGCAAGTCTCTCTTTTGAAAACATTGGGGATTGCGCTGTTAAACCACTGGTCTGGAAAGAATTAGCTTCATCGATCATCCCTGTGATGGAAAAGTATGTGAGCTTACGGGATCGCATTGTGCGAGACATTCGGCAATCTGTCGCAAGAGCTTGTTGTCTGCTAGATACCTGACTCCTTCTGGGGTCTGGAGGAGAGTATGTATGAGTGCACAGCCAACCTTGATATATTTCTGGCTTGTGCGGGAAATCCTAGTCTCCGCAAATTTGTACTTAAACGGTCGGTAAAAGCTCATGATCCTTTTGATGAATCTGGAGGCCTTAATGGCTTCGTCAAGGCGCTTGCCATTCAGCAACGGCCCCTCAATGATCTTCAGAATAATGTCCCACTTCCACTTCAACGGATTCCCACTTGACAGTACCTGGGTTTCGACTATCAACGCCCGAAACGTAGTTTCATCCAAGGCAAGAGTAAGATGCGGTTTGGGTTCAACCTCCAGGCTCGTTATGGTTAGGTTCTCGTCACTGTTGTTGCTGGAACTCGTTAATGCAGGTGTGTTGATGGGGGCCGATCGATACAATGTCCGGCTCACACTGCTAATTTGATAGACGGTTCCAGTGGCACCGAAACGCTCTTCACTACCAAAGTGTGAGGCCGCAGCGAACAGCTCCGGAAGGAGTTGAAGATCGCTACTCCATGTTGACGGTAGTAACCTGCTGGCGAGTTTAAGGACTTCCCCGATAAGCAATGTCGTTTTCCGTTTTAACATTGAGTTGTCTGCATCCCGGGTGACCTGTAATAACCCTGTCATCATGTCTGATGAGATCAGAACCGCTAACAACAATGCTGTGTAATGATCCACGAAGTTCTTCTCAGTGCTTTCTTCCTCAGTTGCTTGCCCTACACTTTTCGGGTGATTTGATTTGAGGGTTGCAAGACGCCCATATGTTGTCAACCGTCGGCCAGCTAAGAATGATGTGGCCCAAAACGGTGATTTGATTCGGAGAAGGCCATAAAGCAAATCAATAACTGTCTCTCGAATAGTAGAATTCGGTAGCATTAAGCAGGAGACCAGAGACCGGATGGCCCTGAAATTGTACATCGAGAGAGTCATCAGACCAGGCCAAGATTTCAGGGCGTAGGCTATAGACTTGGAGTTTTGTTTCAATATGCTCTCGTTAGCAAACAGAGAGTCTGTAAATGCCACGAAAAGCACTTCAAGCTCATATCCTGAGCGGAGATACTTCCTTCTCTGGGGTGCGTCCAGCAAGTAGAGAAAAGCTGCAGTTAGACTCTCCGATGCCGGGTAGGTTCCCTCTCCTAGAGCGTCTGCCAACGGTCTGAGTCCTCCCGACGCAACTATCAAGGCAGGGTCGCGGACCATGATCTCAGCAAGAGTTTCTATGCAAATAGCTCTCAGACGATCTTCAGGATGCTCGGCAACTGATACAATAGTCCTCACGACTGTTCTGGACACCTCATGTACGCCGCCCTTTACTTCGAGGAATGCACGCACGAACTTGAGTGCCTGTTCTCGCTCGACGTCTGCCTTTCTCTCCTTGATGAGGGAGCTATTGAACTGTTAACATAATTCTCTGGGTGAAGAAGAAGCACAACTTACAGTACTACTAGATAATCTGTATTTAACGCTCGAATCTTCTGCAACGAGCTTCTATCAGATATTGCGTATCTAGTCATCCGATATCCAGCAGCCACAACTTCTCGACTTTCGCTCAAAAGCATAACTTGCATTCGTAGGCCAAAAATCGACCAAACCAGATCATACTTCAGTGTGGGATGCCGTTTGAAAAGCTCCACGAGATTATTCGCGTGCCCGACGTAGTAGTCGGGCGTGAGGCCTTCAATTTCAAGAGCCTGGAGAATTTCTGCAAGAGCATATGTTGGTGATTCCGTGGGTTCATCAAAATCCGACCCAGTAGCACTCTTAGAAGCACTTTGAGGAGACCGCAGGCCACTGCTGCTCTGAAATAAACCATCCATTCGAGATCTAGTCGGAGTCGAAGGGAGCCTCGGTCTTTGTAGTTCTGATATCTTTCTCTTGAGCTCCTTGATCTTCTGGTTCGAAGAGTTGAGCTCTGCCTCCACCCTCTGCCGCTGCTCTTTCGTCTGTTTTGCCTTCTTGCTGTTCAATGCTTCTAACAGATTCTCGCTCCCTTCTTTTATCTTCATTTCTCGGTTCAGCGACTCCTTCAGTGTCGAGAGGAGATGACCAGATTCCCTGCCGTCTTCCCCCTCCATCCTGTCAAAATCTCTCAATTCTCTCAAAGAAACGTTTCCTTCCTGCCCAGATCCACTTCTTGGACCAGCCTGACTGCGCATATTGGAGCTGAAACTGCCTGGTGCGCCAGATGAAGTCAACGAGGAGCCGCGAGGGCCGAAAGGTATTGCATTGTTCGACACCGCTCGGGTGCCGGTACCGGGCCCCGTAGGTTGTAGTCCATCTCGATCCAAGCTCGTTCTCAAGATCGTATTATTGTACGGCGCAGACGACTGCGCGGGGTAGATTGACTTCTGAGTCGGCGTCGCAGACGAGCTCAGAGTGCTCGATGGCCCAACCATCTGTCCATCGACGAGGGAGCGTCAATGTCCTTCGTCCGGGGGTGGCATGTGTCTTGAGAGACTGGACAGAGGTTTAGGTCATCGAACACAACAGTCGAAACCTTTATGCGCATTCGAAGGGTGCAATCGTGGGGTTTGGGCGGGTGGTGGAGTATGCAGGCGACGTGGTGGAAGTCCCAATACCAAGGTGACCAGGCTAGTATCGGCACGCAATCGAGAGAATTTTCGGGTTTCGAGGGCGAAGCAGATGGCTTCGCAATAATCACTTTTCGGAATCGTTGGATTTGCGTTCTCGATGATTTTATGATATGCGCATCAGTGCTGGCCGTTTCAATGCTGGCTTGCTTCGTAGAAAGTGAAGCTGACAGATGTGCGCTTCAACACACGGACCCCTGATATGGCGCAGTACCTGTACCTACCTTACCTAAGGTAAGGTACTTATAAACGTCCTTGGAGCACTCTTAGAATTACACTTCTCTTGCACGGTTCTATCAAACGCCCATTGAACGGATAATTGATCTTTTTCTAACGATAGGGTGTGGAAGAAGAGAAATGAGGGCTCTGTACGTGGCTGAAGCCAACCTTACAAGAAAAGAGCGTGCAGGGCAGCAACTAACAGTGCACATCTGCCTACACAGTAGAGTATCAAAACTATATGGGCCAGAAAACTTTAATAGAGCTTGTTGAACTTTAAAATCCCTACTCTAGAGGGCTCTCAGGAATTCCAACGCGCTTTTATCGGGATTTCCGCGGGTTCGTCGGGGACTGGGTTATTCAACGATACGATATTAAGCTTGATCTATATCAAATGCCTTTCATCAGAAGCATGCCCCGCATTCACCCATGTCCCTGATGGAAAAATCCTTTAGAGAAAGTTCTTTGAGACGATCGAGATCGCAAGCTTAGTATCTACGTTGGCTAGTATCAGGAGTTGGATAGATTTCAGAACCATAGGGGCATAGACAAGGAATCTTATGCTCAGGTAAGGTTCGTTGAGGAATTCTATGCCTAAGTCGTTCCTCTATCATCCGAGATTCAATCTCTCCAGGACGACTGTCATGTCTTCTAGCATCGAGTTCATTCCAGTTATCTTTTGGTGAGTTCTATATTCCATCCCCGAACGTTGAACGCCAGGTCAGTGAGCTGTTTCGCAGGATCTGCAGCTTCCGCGGCAGCTGCCCTCAGGTTTCGCGACCATCTCGATGCTGCGAGGTAAAGATGAGATGAGGCTTTTGATAGTACAGCATATGTGGGCAGACTTACTGGTATGTCTGCAATAACAGGTTGAGAGGTCGAATCGACGGTGTCGATTTTGACAGATGGAGGAATCAAACTCAATGAAGAAGACAGGAAAAATCGAAGAGGTAGAAGATTGTGTATCTATCTTTTGTTGTCTCGGAGAAAAGTCGTGAATTAATTACTGCTATGATTTGACACAATGGATGGTCAACAGAAGTTTGCGAAAGAGGGGTACCATGATAGAAATACATTCATTGTCTTCGAGTCGTGCACATAGTGGACAAAGTCTTATCAACCATGTATTTATTCATCTTATACCTTATAAGAGGCTTTTCGTAAGCTCTGTGAACGCCTTAAGAGCAACGACAGCCCCATAACCAACCCAATGCAATAGCAACAACATTCTAAGCCCTGATTGCAGCGCCTAAAGCGCCACCAGAGAATTGGGTTCCTCCAGCTTGTCTCGGGGCGCTGGATCCTCCACGCCCGCCACCCCTGCCACCGCGCTGCCCTCCCCTATTTCCGCCTCGACCGCCTCTACCACCTTGTCGCTCGAAAGCATTCGCTGTGCCTTGTGTTCTCGTCTCCAGTGTTCGCTCGTTGCTCTCAATGAGACCACTTGCCTTGTCACTGAGAGTCAATGCCAAGCTTTGCAGTCTGCTCAACTCGACGCCCTTTCTGAAAATGATCGAGGAATTGACTTGATCCAGTGCAGCCATCAACTCCTCGTGGCTAATCATCTTGCTAACAATCGCAGCAACCTTTCGGTTGGATAACTCAAACATTGATGAGAGAGTAGCAACTGACAGCGTATCGTAATAGGGCGCGTAAGTGAAGAGATATGTTCGGAGACCTTCTTCCTGAATCTGTTCCGAAAGCATAGCCTTGATAGAATCGGGCTTTGCCATGAGCTCCCAGATTTTGATTGAATGGATGAACTCAGTTGCCTTCTTCCATTCGCCAGCTGCCAAGGCCTTCGACGCCTGCATGACATGATCTCTTGTGTTCTCCGGGGGGCCAGTGAAAATTTGGCGTTCATGATATTCTAGCATACGTCTATATGTCTTGCTGATGACTCGCTTCTTGATGTCGGGTGATGATCCGGTTTGGGCAAGGAGTGGAATTTCGAGAAGCATGCTGCAAGTGAGATAAACACACTCGAGTAGCTCTAAGTTGATGTGCATATGGAAAGGAAGTTGGCGTTGTCGTTCGAGTCGCTCCTGCTCTGGTGAGACCTGGTTGTATCGTTGGATCATCACGCCCTGAGCGAGCAATTCCTTTTGACGTCCGCTACCGCAAATTTCTTGCAAAGTGGTTTGAGCTTCATAGACAAGACCAGCCCGGAAAGCGCAAAGACCGACTTGTACAAGAGTGCGGTTGAACAGAATCTGACTGTGAACATCAAACGCATTGATGGTCTCTTGCAAATGAGACATGAGCATCATATCGCGAGCCTTGTAGTAGTTGTCGTGTAGGGCGAGGAAGTAAATTTGGCAGAGCATAGCCCGAGCTCGGATGATTCCTTCACTGTGGATGAAAAGATAGTTGCAAAGAACATTTACAAGAGTCGTGGCATCAGAACCCTGGTTACGTGGGGTAATTGTAGAATCAAGGTTTGTGGGGATCGACTTCCAGCAGTTTTCCTCAAGTATCTTGACCACCGCGGATGGCTGAAGATAATATTAGTATATTGATATAGATAAAAAGACGCCGGGTGCACTAACCTTGAAATAGACGTGTTCTAGTCTCCTCATGACAATGCGGTTAAGACCATCTTGTGGAATCTGCAAGCTGGTATCCTTAGAAAGTCCCTCAACGTACAACAAAGTGCGAACGATGTTGTTGTAAAGAACGCCCTCATCTGAGAGACGGTCGATATATTCTGCGGTGTGTGGATCAATGTGCTGAAGGGATCGGGTGAGCTCATCGTCAAGCCTCTCGGCATAAGAAACAATACTGCCAGGAATCTTGAACTTCTCGCCCGGAGTAATCGTAGGAGCCTTATCGTCATCCTCCCATTCTTCCGCAGTCTCGATCACGACCAGCTCTGGGTTGGACTCGAGGACTTGCAAGAGGGTGGCGAATTCTTGTTCGGCTGATTTCCATTGCTCTTGAGACATGAAAGTCTGGATTCCGGTGCTTAGGTCGAATCTTGTGGAAATGAGGGTCAGGAGCACTCGGACACGCTGGTATGGTGTTGTGGCAACCTCGTAGAGCTTCTCCATGATTTTGATCTGCTCCGTACGGTCCGTGTTCTTCTTTCCTCGAGATTCCATGATGATCCGCAGGTGCTTGAGAATGCTCTCGGGTGTAAATTGTAACGTGCGTCCACCTTTACCAACTGTCGAGAATCCTTCGTCGTTCTCATCCAGACCAGCAGTTGGTTCTCTGAATTCAGCCTTGGGCTTCTTGGTTGGCTTTTTTGGGATAACTTCCTCTTCTTCCGACTCCATGAAAGCATCCTTGTCAGCCTTGTATGCGTCAATCTCCTTTTGGTAGTCCTTGTTGTTCTTTTTGATGCGCTGTTTTACAGCGTTCAAACCGCGAGCATTCGTCGCATTCATCTTCCGTGTTGAAACTTTCTGCTTCGCAATAGTTTCATTCAGGAAGTCCTCCAACTCGGCGATAGCCTTGATATACACCTTCGGGGTATTGCCAGCTTGGACGAGCTTCACAACTTGTCGGTTGAGTTTGTCGAATTCTGAGCAATGAATGTCAGCCATAGCAAACATTATACTTTTCCCTTACAACGTACCTGTAGATATCGAGCCCCAGTCATTGATCTTCTGCCCATTTTCGATAGCTTTAACGGTGCTTTCCAACTCCTCCAGTCGTTTGTCTTTTGCACTCTTGACAATCTTGGCCCGGTCCTCGTCGCTGCTTTCCTCACTCTCAGAATCCCCACCTTTCATGAATCTGCTTGCACCACTCTGCTTAACACCATCTTCTTCATCACTAGAGGACTCATCCTCGTCCTCGTCTTCTTCTTCATCGGAATCTTCTTCGTCGGAGGCAGCCTTTTCCTCTTCCTCCTCCTCCTCAGAGTAAAGCTCTTCCTCGTCAGAAGAGCTGCTCTCGCTCGAGCTATCGCCGTGGAAGAATCGAGACATGCTGGTCAATAATCGGCGATACTGGAGGGGGTCGTCGCGCGGTGTTGATCAAGTCTTGATTGTGGACGTGTTTTTAAAAATACGTTGATCGTGCTTTGCGAATTATCGTCGAGGGGTCGATTTAAGCGAAGTCCTTAGGGTTTTTAAGTGGCGAAAGATCGAGAGACCAAGACTCTATAGATCTCATCTCTCTGTGATCTTTTGGAACAAAATTTGCTGGAGTAATTTGAATAATGAATAGGACAGAATACCTATTCATCAATTTAATGTTACGGTCAACGTTTGCTTGGTCTGACGAGTCACTGAGCCTAGTGGGTGTATTGCATCAACGATACATCCTAATTTCGAGGTAGGTACTGCGGCAGAGGAGCTCTGACATGAGATATAAGTAGTTGGATAGGTAGATAATGCCTGAAGCAGTATTATTATTTCCGTGTGGCTTTGTGATATTTTTGATATTTGTGATTATGTTAAAGCCATAGATCCTCTGATCCCCTCGATGTTTATCATAAGCTCAGTCTTGCATCTCTACTGACTATGAAAAGCTGAACTTTCCTATTATTTCCCGATACCCAATACTCGTAGATGATTCGATTTTCCTTGTTATCCCCAACGCCTTGCTGTAGGGCCTATATGCATATAAATATAACCAGTATTCCAAAAAGAGAAATTTCATATATGGTGGACCACGGATACTATGTCTCTCTTGTCAGCCAGTCTGCATGTTCGGTGACCCTCCAAGGCTTGATTCCTTGAGGCTTCTCTGCACGACTCTTCTTGGCTTGCTTTAGGATCTTATTGCTCTCCTCGTCCGTCATTAACCTTCGGAATTGTTGCACTTCTTGATTGGCAGTGTTTGGAGAGGCCGAGAATTCATGGAAAAGAGCTTCAGCTGTAACTCATGTTAACTACTATCGCGGGGAGTGGTCAAGGAGGCTCCATTCAGGAAAGATGTGAACGGGAATATTGCGTACGTGATGGCTGTTTAGTCGCCAGAGGCGCAAGGAGTTGTGGGATCGTGGTTCGCAAGGCGCGTAGCTATATTAACGGGTCAGTGACTATCGCTCTGATGGGATACATGTTGCTACCAGGACTAGTAACTTACCTGGATGTGCATTTCCTTGACAGTATTCAGCGCTCTCTCAATGCGCTCTTCGTCCCAGACATCTTCCCCAGCATTTGGTGCCGTCTGCTCGCCACTTTCGGGTCCGCGTTCACCAGTTGACAGTTCTGGGTCTTTCTGGATGACGGCCATTTCTCCAGAATCAGTATTACCTGCCCAGGCGCCGGATGGTCTCGTGGCTTTAAACAATGCGATGAGAGCTTCAAATAACGTGGGGTATTAGCGCCGATTGAGTAACCCTGGCTGATACGCTAGGCGCTCTTTGGTAATGCGAAGGGCAGTCGATATAAGAATATTCGGCTTCCCAGATCCTGTTTTGATGCGCAGATCAACTCCCAAAACCGCCCTAAGCCTCTGGGGGAAAGACCTTCTAATATACGAGTTTACCAAGAAGCACTTTAAAAGGCCTTCGAGGAAGTTCAAGCTTTTGCAGAACCCACCGGAGTCAAGGGATTTTGTTGAATAACCTACCTAGTTATTCATTGCCATCCTCATTGAGTCTTGCCCTAGCCCAGTGCCAACCCAGACCGGGTCATCTTCGGCTAGCCAGTGCGCTAAACACGCTAGCCGAGCCTGGATTGGATGCTGATATCTCTTGTAGAGTGAGATGAAGTAATGGTAGCTAGCAACAGTACCCCTCCTCCCTAATACAAGACAACTCAAATCCAACACGCACCTGCTCAACGCCTAGCTTCATTCCTCAAGATGGCGGGCTCTGGCATCAGTCAGTTTGGGGAGCCTGACAGTCCAAACAAAAACAACCTTTCCCCAATCGAATCGGATGCTGCTTTCCATGCGGAGCCTCTCAACAGCGCAAACGCGTTCAAGATCGAAGATCACGCGACCAAGACTGATCCATCGTTCATTCAGAACCAGATTTCTATCCAGAGAAGTCCCTCCAATGCTATCTCCCGGGCCCTCTCTACCAAATCAAATGGAAGCCCAACTCTCAGCCGTTCGGCAATCGCTGGCGCTGGCGTTCTTTCAGACAATAGCGAGCAGGAATGCCGCGGTCGTGGAGGCGACTCAGATGTCAACATGACTGAAGACACAAACAACTGTACTCTAAAAAAGTCATCGTCGACTTCCACAGATCGATCTGCTAAATCTACACGTTCCATGAAGTCAGTTCGTTCTGTCAATGCCGTTGGCAGTTATCCACTGGGTAGTCTTCGCGTTCACTCACCCTCCCCAACCCGATCGCCAGACATCGACAACCATGAATTTTTGAAATCCGGAGACGTGATTGTGATCCGTGATATTCCCCCAGGATCAATCATAGGATATGATACCAGGAGTTTCACTATCAAGGCTGGTGATAACTTTGAAGGCATCAAGGATATTCCACCCGGCGCGCATTTTGTATGGGGCGGTTCTGGTGCTGCTTCACTTCGTACCGGATTCTGGATCATGTCAGCAAAGAGAGCTTCTGACGAACTTGGAGAGGTTCATGTCAAGAGATGGAATAGCTACGATGAAACTCTGACCGAGGAAGTCAGTGCAGCGGAAATCAGGATTCAAAAAGCAAGTGTTCCTGAGATCTTCGACAAGCTTCAGACGTATACTATTAGCAACCCCACGAAATCGCAAAGCGTTCCCGGAATGACACAATTTGATGCAAAGGGTTCGAACATCTGGAATCACTTGACTTCGTCCATGAAAGGAGCTCTGCTAACTAAAATCACCGGCAAACCTTGGAACCATTGGCAAGTTTCCTCCACCCATGACTACCAGCCTGCAGTCGGACGCAGCGTAGCAGATGATCCTATGGGCTTTCGCCATGATGAAGTGCTTAAATTTGTCTTCCCTCGGGACGACAGAACCTTCTCTACGGATTCAATTGGGCGCGATCGTACAGAGCAGGCAATGGATTCGAGCTCTCATATCATGGCTGTCATCACGGGGAGTTGCACCTATGAAGATTCTGATGAGATTATCGGTGAATTACAATTCTGCTACATCACTGGGATGATTTTGGGCAATGTCGCGTGTATGGAGCAATGGGCTCACATAGTCAAGGCACTCTTCCGGGCTTTTCGTCTCGCTTTGGATTTACCTGTTTTCTTCCGCAAAGCTATCGAGGCAGTCCATGCTCAGCTCATCTATGACGAGGAAGGTCTTGAGGGTAGTATTCTTGACCACGACCCAAACCTTGCCGAGGATCTGAAGATGCTTCTCACTGTTTTCAAGAGCCGGTTGAATGAGATGCTGCTTGCTCAGGGTGTCAATCTTACCAACGAGCAAAATGCGGTTGGAAAAGCATTCGAGGAATTTGAATCTTGGCTGTGGAAGTGGGGATGGGACTTGCGAGGCAACTACGTTCGTTCTGGCAAGATCCAGCTGGAGGATGGAGAATTTGTTGATGCGGAGCTGACGGATTTCGAAGCTGAGGACGAACGAGGTAAGAATTCCCCAAAGAGTCCCCGAAAAGACTCAATCATTGACCTTCTTCAGGTGAGTACGCGCCGGTAATGGTGGACCTCGACGAAGAAGGGCACGAGAGAGGTCTTATTCGTCTGTAGATGGGCAGTCTAATCTGGTGTTGTGCTCTTAGGTCAAATGCAGGATAAGAGTCGTTCCCGACATGGTTCTCGCTCAGGTGGGAAAATGCGATGGAAGTTCTAGTCGACTTCTGTCAAGTTTTTTTTATCTTTTCAGCATTAAAGTTCTTCGCAAGTGCATCAAACACTATTCGACTCTTCATTTCAATTTTTCGACATAGGGGGGATTTCACTCTGTTTGGCTCTACGACTTAATGGGCCAGGATAAAGATCATAATGGCTTGATCATTGGCAGTTATGTGCGATGATTGTCATTTGGCTCCGGTTGGCAGATTGATTAGCAGGGTGTTCAGGAGGTCAATATGTGCATCTCAATGGCGTTTGAGCAAGGGACAGCAGTCACTGTGGTTATAAGGGCGTTGGGCGGCATAGCGTGGTCAATGGACGGATATGGGCCTAAAACAGCGATTCGAGATAATGTTTTAGAACGGGCGAAGACAGTCAAGACATCGCAACCGGGACGAATATCATTGCAAGGTTTTCTTTTTCTCTACTGCTGCGCTAAAAGCTGCCATGTGACAAGATGGGATAGATTGGAGACCAGGCGATTAATGCCGTCCTCCTCGTGATTGTCAACTTCACAGTGAAAACCAAGCCATATTCCATACCACGTAAATCTAGAGACGACGACCACGGCGACCTCCCTTGCGACGAGTAGAATCGGATGGTGTGGGGGTCACATCCTCGATTCTGCCAATCTTCATACCAGAACGGGCAAGAGCACGGAGGGCGGATTGAGCACCTGGACCTGGGGTCTTTGTGCCGTTACCTTTTCCAACTTGTTAGCACCTGAGTTATAATCTATGATGTGCAGGTGCCTTACCTCCAGTAGCACGGATCTTGATGTGGAGAGCGTTGATGCCCAGTTCCTTGCATCGAGTGGCGACATCCTGAGCAGCCAACATAGCAGCGTATGGGGACGACTCGTCACGGTCTGCCTTGACCTTCATACCACCGGTAACACGAGTGACGGTTTCGCGGCCACTGGAATCACCCAGAAAGTCAGCCTCTGTACCGTTCCACTTTCATTTTGCTATACAACTACTCCATATGAGTCTATTCATGGATATACGGACCTGAGATCGGTGACATGGACGAAAGTGTCGTTGAAAGATGCGAAGATACGGGCGACACCGAAGACGAGTTCACCTAAATGAGATCAGCCTTTTGCACAAATATCATGAAGCGGTATTTCGTACCATCTCTGGCTTGAGGGCCGAGAGAGATGTTCTCCTGGGCGGGACGGGTGGCTTTCTTTGGGGGCATTTTGGTCGATTGAACAAGAAACTTGTCGGGCAGCTTCTCTTGGGATTGGTGTCGCGGGAATCTCGAAGTCAAAAAGTTCGAGGAGGAGGTCTCAAAATTCGATTGTGCGGTCAGGACTGCGCTAACGCAGAAAGGGCATCGGCTGTTTTTGCTTAGCGCCTTTTGGGTGTTGCCGATAAGTATAATTTGATCCCGCTCCTTCGATTTTTTCTTCTGACCTCAGATATTCTATTACATCCTTTTCAATCCCATACAACAGCGCCTGCAATAGGGCTCCTTGATGGGAATTGACATTAGGGGATGTGATAATTGATATTTCAAGGTCTGCGAAGGGAAATTCCCGAAGATGGCGTCCAAGATTGCTGGAACCATGGACGGTTTCGTGATTGGAATCATAGGAATGGGCGACATGGGAAAGATGTACGCCCGGAGGCTCAGCGATGCAGGATGGAGGTGAGAGCACATTTGAATCTCTGCCGCTGAGCCAATGCAATCATGGTAAGATACCTCCTGTCCACCCAACCTCCCCTCTTCCCTATATCATGATGACTTGAGCGCATTTGGCTCGAGTATTGTCTTCAGCCGGCCTGAATGCCATTCTGGCACCAGGTTTGGCGGTTGGCTTTCCTTGATGAAAACCTCAGCTACCTTATTTTACTTCGTCTGAAAGCATAAGCCCCCCTCAGCTTTTCTTCAAAACATTTTGAATACCAGCTGCTAACATAAACCTCCTCAGGTTCAGTTCGGCCAGCCTTCAGAGGAACTCGCTGATCTTATGAGTCGCATCAGGGTCAACGCTTGCGATCAAGAAGAAAAATATGAGAGTCTTCGGCAGGAATTTGCAGATAGAGTAATTACCTTTGTACATAGCTAGCCCGCACCATGCGCTGAGAGATACATAGAAAAAAATCACAATATTCCCCAATGGACACCTCGTCTCGAGAGCAAGCGACTATATCATCTACAGTGTGGAGGCAGCATCCATTGATAAGGTGGTTTCACAATATGGTCCATGTATGGGCGAACGAAATGTCAGATGTCGTGGGAATTGCTGACAGTTCCTAGCAACAAAACAGAATGCTATCGTTGGAGGGCAAACGTCTTGCAAGGCTCCAGAGATAGCTGCATTTGAGAAACATCTTCCAGAAGATGTAGATATTGTCTCATGCCACTCCCTTCATGGTCCAAATGTTGATCCGCGAGGGCAGCCATTGGTGAGCAAGAAATCTCTCACAACCTACCATGCTAATGCAGATTTCCTTAGGTTCTCATCAAGCACAGAGCCTCTCAAGAAAATTTTGATAAAGTAGAACACGTCCTCTCCTGCCTGGGTTCCACACACGTCTACCTCTCTGCAGCAAAGCACGATCGAATCACCGCCGATACACAGGCCGTTACGCACGCTGCTTTCCTATCCATGGGCAAAGCCTGGCACGCAAATGCCCAATTCCCCTGGGAAATAGCCCGCTACGTGGGGGGCATCGAGAACGTGAAAATCAACCTCACTCTCCGTATCTATTCCCAGAAGTGGCACGTGTATGCCGGCTTAGCGATTCTAAACCCATATGCCAAAGAACAGATTAGACAGTACGCACAGAGCGTCACTGATCTGTATAAATTAATGCTTGGGGGTCACAGGGCCGAGTTGGAGGATAGAATTAAGAAAGCGGGGGCCTCTGTGTTTGGGACGCAGAAGTGGGAGGATGATTTATTACTCCAAGATGATGTTCTGGATCGGTTCTCGCTGGGCAAGAAACCAGAGACGCCTCTGCCGAATAATCATCTGAGTCTTCTGGCTATGGTTGACTGTTGGTCTCAATTGGGGATCGTTCCATATGATCATATGATCTGCTCTACTCCCCTCTTCCGACTATGGCTGGGCGTTACTGAATATCTGTTCCGCAAGCCGGCCTTGTTAGACGATGTTATTCGGATAGCGATTGAGGATATTAGTTTCAGGTCGGATGATCTAGAGTTCACGTTTGCGGCCAGGGGCTGGTCTGATTGTGTCACGTTTGGAGACTTCGAGTCTTATAGAGACCGGTTCCAGAGTACACAGAAGTTCTTTGAGAAGAGGTTTCCGGAAGCTACCAAGGTTGGGAATGAGATGATGAAGACCATCCTTGAGAACACAAAAAAATAGACGGTATACGCCTGCACTAGGTTAGGGAATTGGCGTTCTAGAGTTTATTGCAAAGGCGAAAATGAATCGCTCCATGGCCTTTCATAAATCGATTTCGTACCAACCAAACTTGATATTGTGAATCCTGTTGTAGGTATGGGCATGAGAAACCCAGGAGTTTCCAGTCCAACACCAGAGTCGTCCAGCGTTTCGGGAAAGAGCTTTGGCGGCGTGATCCATCATAATCCGAAGCCCAGTCTTTCTGCTGTTATCGAATTTCGCATGGCCGAGGTTATCCAGCTCCGTCACTGTTGAACACCATATATGTGCGGGGAAGAATTCTGCATTTCTGTGCTTAAAATTCTAAAACCAGCAAAGAGCATAGCCCATCCATTGCAAATGCAGCAGAAACCACTCTCCCAGACCCAAACCCCCAAGCATATCCATCCTAACGGTACGATTTTTGGTATCTGGCTCTTGCACCGGGACCTATCACGCAGATTAGCAAGATCCCAACCATCCTGAGAACGGCATTGCCCACCTCCAAACTTCTTAGGCTCGCATCGTCTGTTGTCGGCAACCAACAATGTTCGGTCGTACTGAACAAGTGCCTGCTTCAGGGTGTTCTTGCTGTGCTCATCGACAAACTTTTGGTAGTATGCGACGATTGACTTGGCGATGGCTTGACGGATGGCGTAGATTTGGGATGTGTGACCACCACCGGTGACTCGGACGCGGATATCGACGCCGGCGAACTTGTCGAGACCGACAATCAGGAGGGGCTCGTAGACCTTGAATCGCAAGATCTCGGGTTGGACGAGGTTGAGAGGCTTTCCGTTGACCTTGACAAGACCCTTACCAGCCTGTTCCCTTCTTGTCAGTATTTCATCCTCCGTGTATTATTGTCCCATAGTTCGTACCTTGCAGTGTGCGACGGCCGTAGCTGTTGATAATTTTGTCAGCATGCCATTTTCCATCGTGACCAGCATCTCAGCATACCTGTCTTCTTCTTGCCGAAGCATTGAACACTCTGGGTTGTCGATGCCATGGTTGCAATTGGCTTGGACAACGGTGTCTCGATTGAAGTGAAGTCGTTTTGATGTCGCTGGCGTTGTAATTCGTCGTCGTTCTTTGGGAATTTTTCGCGTAGGGTAAGAAAGTGTGCGAGCCCTTAAATGAGCGCTAGCCTAATTGGCACTAGTTGAACCGTGCTCTTATCGTACCTCCTAATCTCTCACGTGCATCCGATATTCAACATCAACGACAAGAATGTCCCGCAAAGGGGTAGGCCTTGCGGCCTTCGATCGTTCTCGAATAACATCTGCCCAGTATGCATCTCATGGGAACAATCTCCGGAGCTCTCACTCTACATCTCTCGCAACTCAACTCTCCGTATTCCGCTCCCTTCTCCAGCAGTTCGCTCAGACTCATGGGAAAGACATCCGCTCGAATCCAAGCTTCCGTGCTGAGTTCGCGAGGATGTGCGCTGCTATTGGGGTAGATCCTTTAGCAAGCAGCAGTGGTGCTTCAGGGAAAGACGGTGGAAGTTTCTGGTCACAGATGTTGGGTGGAAGTGTGAATGATTTCTATTTTGAACTGGCTGTCAAGGTTGTGGAGGTCTGCGGCGCCACGAGGGAAGAGAACGGGGGACTTATCGGTGTGAAGGAAGTTAGGGATAGGATTATGAGCACGAGAATTGAGGGAGGGGCGGAGATAACTGAGTAAGGCTTTCTTGTCATCTCTTGTTACAACAATTGCTCACACTTCTAGGGACGACATCCTCCGCGCAGTCAATACTCTCAAGCCCCTTGGATCATCCTACTCAACGCTCACAGTAGGAAATAAGCTATACATCCGCTCCATACCAAAAGAGCTCAACACAGATCAAAGTGCCGTGCTTGAAGCTGCACAGCTCCTAGGTTATGTTACTGTGTCGATGCTCATGGCAAATTTGCATTGGCCGAGAGCCAGGGCCAAGACGGCTATTGATGATCTTGTTTCTGAAAGTATGCTTTGGGTTGACAAGCAGTGCGACGAATGGGAGTATTGGAATCCAGGATTCATGCTCGAGGTGGAAGAAGATGCAAACGGGAGGTGAATGTGCTGAGGCATAACACATTATGACAATCATTTTTGCGGTGACCAAATCTATTTTCGAAGGAATTGGTACTCCAGGAAAGCTGCTGAAGACAGAACAAGACGGAACGGCTTTTCGGGCAGAAGGGGTAACTCCCGGTGGATGGAGATGCGGACATGCCGGCAGAACGTCCTGGAGATATATCTCTACCTCCAAGCTGCGAAGGTACAGCCTGAAGGCCTAGTACATGCATCTTCCCCTCCACCAGCTATTGTACTGGTTGATTCTGCAGGATTACTAGTAGATAGCACGCAAGGGTTCGTGTCTCCAAACTACAAGGACGTCAAGGACGTCAGGGACGTCACCGAAATCCAAAGGACCCGGTTCAAAATAAATACAGAGGCCGAGCGATTCCTGCACATCTACTACCTGGATCTAGTCGATTATAACATCAATTCCAGGAATTCAAATCAGCAAGTCCTTCTGGCTAGCCAGGGCAAAGGCTCAGGAGAAGCAGTGAGTCTAGATCGTGGTGGGGCAACTATGTTTTAAACGTGCAGAGAAGGCACTTGAGGAGAACCTAATGATCAAACGAAGTACCTCTCGGCGTAGACAAGCTCGCGCAACTGGTGCCGCTAATCCTCATACAAGGCCTACCTCATTCGATCCTTCTCATCACGCTCCGGCCACCCACCGTCCTACGAAGGCTAGGAGACGTCGACATCGATGACAGTGGCTCTCTACTCGTCCACACCAGCGATCCCTCGTCTGACTCGTCTTTTGTACCCTGAGAATCCGAGTCAGAGCAGGACAGAGATGATGACGCTACAGACACGGCCGCTCCAAGCATTTCATCCCTCGGGATATTCTGCGCTGGATATCATCACGAGGCCACGTCCGTGGACCAACGAGCCGGGCTGTCACATACAACATGTACCAGCCTAGGCTACCACCGGATCCTGACCGACCTAGACCATAACAACGTTCCAAACATCCTTATGCAGCACCATTTCTATCGTGGCGACAGAATCATCAGCTAAATTCCAGTAGACGTTTAAGAGAACTAATGACCCCTCCTGTCCGTCTGTCAATATCTGTCTAGGCTGTCGCTCTAATCGCCGCCTAAAGTGACTGTCGATGTGGACAGTGTTTGTGGCTTTGCTAGGAACCTCGCTGCCTTCCGGAAGGGGATGAGGTGATTCTCACACACCATCTTTAGCAACCAGATACGTGGGAGGGTCCATGTCGCTTGCCCATCCTATACGCTGGAGAGGAGGACAGACTTGTTCCTGTCGGGGAAATCCCACACCTACACGCCGGATACCTTGCGAGCTGGGATTATATTGAAGTCTACCTTCTATTCCCCCAGATCTATAAGACTTGGGAATACATCCGGGACCGTATTTCTAGTCCGACCGAGCATTAACAGCCGAACTCTACTCCACAGAGACGTTTCTTAACCAGCGTTTCATCCTTGAAGCGACGGACAGACGGGGGTACAGAACACGTACAACAACAGCGTCCACTTGACGATTTGTATTAACCCGTTCGTCGCCCTATATAGGCATTTCCATAGTGACCCCTTAGGGGCATTCAAAAGAATGAGAATACGACTACACTATAGGCATTCCCCAGAAATCGACGTCAATATCGAGGACGACATCTTGGCTTGAAGAGTGAAATTATTGAGAATGGGACAACCTTCAAGGCACGGAAGCAATAGGAATGGTAGCGGCAATGGCTGAAATTGAAGTTGCATGGACACGGTAAAAGTTCTTCTCGATTGAAGGTTGATGGTAACGCCATGTTTTATTTCTAACCAAGGATCATTTTGCCGTTATTTGCTGCTGAAGTTCGGCGTTAGCTTCTAAATTAGAAGCGTTCCGGCGTCGAAAGTGTGTCTGGAATAAGTCAGAGTCGGTCGTTTACTCAAGTGGGTGAGAAAATGTAGCCAAAGGAACAATCAAATCAGAGAGGTGATAACAGACCAAAATTCGAACATGCCACCACTCTTGGTGACTGCCTCACACGGTGCCGCTTTGCGCTATCCGCCGCATCCATTCTCGGAAAGCTTGCAGCCCCTTTGAAATCAAGATGACACATACCAAGCCGAACGCTATGAAAGAGCTAACGATGATAGCTATCACGATGTTTCGCGTCATTTTTTGCGATTGATCTGTTGAATGAGGGTTGTACGTTGGAAAGGTCGCTATTTTGGAGGCAGTGCGGTGTATCTAATGAGCATCAGCGACCTTTTATAGGCTTCCTTGCAGCAAGTGGTCTGGGTGATTCACGAGCTCTGCATACTACTTATCCTGGGTTCGAGAGTCGCATTTGATTATTGTAAGCCGAACTACTTCAGTGATTGATCAGAAATTGAACCCAGTGGTTCCTTGTCACAGTGGAAGGCATTTCTCATAATCCTTTTCCAATCCAGCTCATTCGATTAAGATATGTCATGATTTGCCGTTCTCGACTTGAAACTCTCAACGAAGATGCATATCTAAATTCGTCTGTACAAGTTGTGGCGTGTTGAACAGGCTTCAAGTGATAGCCAGTCACTCATGGTCCAACCTTAACAAAAATCAATTACATCTGCGAAATTGCAACTGCTTCATTCATTGGTCTATGTACAAGAGAGGCTCCGTCGCCTCGCCTCCGTTTCAAATCATCGCCGCCGCTCATAGCCCGGCGTCCTAGTCCTAGTCAACAGAGTCTCAGTTCAAAGGGATGGTACGAGGTGGAGCGAGCAGCGAAAAGCTGCAGAGGAGCGTGAAGATAAGCTGAAGCGTGAAAATAGAAGGGTTGAGTTTGAACATCGTCAACAGTGCCTCGAAGGAGGGCTGGATGGCGAGAACATATCCTACCTTCTAATAATATATAGCTCTCAATTGATCTTGTCGTTGTGACAGAGAATCCCTACTTTCATCTAATATCGACAACTCTTCAGATTCGCAACGGTATTAGCTATTTTCATTACTTCACCCTATCATTGACTTGTGTCGGGCTGGGTCAAATTGCGGGGATTCGATAGGTATGCCTCAGTCGCCTTCTCAAGAGTGTTCTGGGGAGCCAGGACCAGCGATCAGTAGCTGAACAAGACGAGCGTTCAAGGAAGGATGATGCTTCAGCTGCCATAGTGAATCTCTGATGGTGGATGTCTAATGGTAGATTGTAATTGAAGTATGTGAGACGGGTGGGTGCTGTCAAGGATTGCTTTGGCGTGGATATCAGATCAAAGATTGAAAACTAGGGATGTTGAAGGAGGAGGAAAAGGAAGAAAATGCCTGGCTTTTTACACAGCTTTCCTTTCAGCAGTAATGTCTTGTTGTTCCTATTTACCGGCCCCGGCTTCAATCATCCCTATTGTTGATTCTCGCAACTGAGTGGTAGCAGAAGATCAATAGTCGGATTATACTTAAATTGACATTCCATTGGTTGTATTTTTGTGCATCTTGTCTATATCCGAATGAGCAAGTCTCTGCCTTTCGCAGATGACGCTGGTTAGTAGACCAGGTAACCTCCATCTCACAACCATATTATCAATATTTTGAGAAATGGGGAAATGAATCTCTAGCAACACCGTCTAAGGTTAATTGGAAGTTTATTGTATCATCATGCACCCTATTACTGGAGGATTATTTGGAACTTCCCATCTTGCAGTATGAGGGGAGGTATTCAGCTAAGCGAGAAGCGAAAAGGGGGTTGTATTGTGCTCCTATTGTCTACACAGACGAAATTCACTTCTTTTGCAATCCTTTCGTCTCCTATTGTCTTTACCCTCGAATAACCCAAGTCTCCTTCAGTCATGGCATCTATCATTGTGCCAACGGACGATAGCAAACAATGCTCCCCTCTACCCAAATACATTCCTCTTCCTCCTCAGAACACACCTCAGAAAACCAAACGCCCCAATCCTCAAGAAACTCTCAAGTCCAGCTTCTGAATCCCATCACATTCACTACAACTACCACTTGACCATCCATTCTTCTACTCCAGTCAATCACGGCCCAGCATGTCCATCACTCGCCGGCAACTCGAAGCGCTCATGAACCAGCGCCTCACCCGGGCCGGTACGCGCAATCTCATTCATACCTGGCAGCACGTCGTCGGACACCCCCTGAACTACCACCAGCGCCTAACATTCCCGCACCCGGGACCGCGCCCCCGGCAAGCGCCGCCGCCGCCGCCGTTCTACTATCAGGGGGTCGCGAACCACGTGCGCTACGAGGACCTGCCGAGTATTGGTGAGCCGGCGATGGAACTCGTGGGCGAGGTGACGCATTATGAGAGCTGGAAGGGTGGGGATGTGTGGTATTTGACGTGGGAGGATGAGAAGGTTAGGCTTGGGGAGAGGAGGAGGGAGAAAGCGAAGAGGAAGAGGAATTGGGGTGTGTGTTTTCTTTTTGCTTCTGCTTGTATCTTTTTGTCTCTGTTCCCCTTTCTCTTCATTCATTTCTCTCTCTATCTGACCCCTATTCATACCCCATCTAGCGCAGACTCATCCCTTCTAACCGTTGCACAGGTGTAGCAGGGAAGAAGAAAAGGATTCACGCATGGAAGAACAGGAAGGGCGCACCGCTGGCACGGGATGCAAATGGGAGGTTTGTCTGCAAAGGACCTTCTTAATAGAGGGCTAGTTTTGGGAGTGAGACTGGGGGTTGAAAAGCCGGATACCCAGAGGTTGAATTTCGTGGTGTTTTCAAAATAGAAAGTTTCGTCGTTTCTGGATAGAGCTTGCGTGCTGGTTACGCGGGGATGGGAGTTAAATGCCTATACCAAACGGGGGGAGACTTTACAAGCAGAGACATTCTGGGGTTTCTGGTAGGTCTTGCGTGTTGGTTACGCGGGGATGGGAGTTGAAAGCTTGACGCCAAATGGGGGGAGGGTTTACAAGCAGAGACATTTTGAGATTTCTGGATAGGTCTTGCGTGCTGGCTACGTGAGAGTGAGAGTCGAAGACTTTGATATCAATTTTCTTCTTTTTTTGAGGAAAAGGGGGGGGGGGGATTTCGTGGGGCATTTTCGATGTTGATGAGATACCCTATCGTCCCCTGCCATAGGGCTATAGGGGGTATCGACGAGTTTTGAGACAGAAGAGCAGAAGGAGAAATCCCTGTTTTAGACAACGAGCACGAGGCGGGGGGAGTTTTCCGGGCTTGTGGTCCTCCGGAGCCAAATCTTGGAAGTGATTCTGGATCTAGGGATGGAAGTTCTTTACCCCAAAGTCTAATTTGTTTCATTTTGTTTCGCTTTTGACTCTCTTCTGGTTCATAGAGAGAGAGCACTTCGATGTGGATACTTCCGACTTCATTCCTCTGTCGTGAGATGGAAGGTTGACTGATCATCCCCAGAAGTCTTTGACACCCCCCGCATTCAATCAAGTTTACCCCCTAGCCCCCCTATCCCCCGCGCAGTATCTTAGACTGGTAATAGATACGACGCATCATGTCAATCATCTTATACATATCATGCATCCCCCTCATCCTTCCCCAGGTATAGCCATAAAGGTATAGGATCTTCCGCTCTCTTTTCCTGTTCTTCCTTGCTCCTCAACTCTCTCACCTACTCACTTACTCACACACATTCTCACTTACCCAACTCCTGCGCCTCTCAAGGTTCAATATCCTATCCCCTATCCTGTTGCGCACTGTCCTAGACAAGCATTCCAGACACCCATCAACTAGACTACGTCCATCACACAATACATACCGACTCTTTCATGTATCATGCACCGCAGACCTGCCCCAGATACCTCGGCCTGTCACTTTCCCATCAAACCCCCGCCCCCTGAAAGGGCTGAACCGCCCAAATTCTGACGCGCGGGATCCTTTCCTATCTTTGACATCCTGCTGTGCTCTACCAAGGCCACGATGCATGAAGCTCATGCAAATGGGAACTGTCATACGTCACCTTGAATATCGTATATTTCTACAGTATCAACTTGATAGATAGATGTCGGGGAGGTCGTTCCCAGTTTCTTTTGAATCCTCCCCGCGTTTGGAAAAGCTTCTGGCCCCTATCTTCACGCATCGTATCGTATCTTAGACAATCAGCAGCCACCTAAGGTAGGTACTGTGAGTAGGTAGGTATATATGTCAGACGATGCAATGCAGACATAGCATCACATCTCACACGCCCTCGGCCAAAGAACATGGTATTTCTCACCCGACCACCAAAATCCCATCCCCCATCCCCTATTCCCACGCCCGGATATAAGACAGCAGCAGCAGCATTGGCTCTATCAATGCCACATACATACATACATAAAATCCAATACATCCAAACTCAAAATCTCACAACTCATGCATAATAATAGCATGCATCATCAGCATAAACATTGCATATATGTTCTTCACCTCACTTCACCAAAACATAGGCACGAGATCACCTGCCCTTTCTTCTTGATCTCCCCCCCCCTTTCTCTTTTCTCGCTACTCCTTTACTTTCCGTTCTTGCTTGCTTATCCGATATCCGAATATTCGCGAGAATCGATAATACATACATCATGACATGACATGGACCTGATACACGGCAAGCAATCTAAGATGGCGCGAACAGGAGGGGCACAGATTTTGTGTCTAGATCTCGGTAGGTTAGGTAGGTAGGTAAGGGATGGAAGATAAATAGATAGATAGATAGATGGAAAAGCAATAGTTTTAACATTATTTTCTTTATTTCTTTCTTTCCCTCAGTAGGTAGGTAGATAGGTAGGTAGTTTTACCTTTTTACAATTCAATTCTCAAACCCATCTATCTATTTACCCACCCGTCCCTATACAATACAATACAACACAATACAATAACTCCACCAACCCTAATCCCAACCTCCAAATCTCAAACCAAACAAGGTCCAAATAAATCACCAATAAAGAAATCCAAATCCAAATCCAAATCTAAATCCAATAAATCCCATGTTTTACATTTCACATTTAAATTCAAATTCATAAGTGATAAAACCGAGCTGAAGACCCGAGAGATAGGAACCTAAGGTAAGCTCGGGATGCGAGGACGGGAAGGCGATAATAGATAGTCTGATACTATCGTACGAGAGAGAGACGGGGGAGCGAGTCATGCGAAGTACCTATCTAGATCGGGAGATGTGCGTGCGTGCGTGCGCGTATGCATTGCATACATACATACATACATGCATAGATGAGATTTGAGATTTGAGATATGAGATATGAGATTTGAGATCTCGTCGGGGCAATATAATAATTAGTTAGTTAGTTAGATTGATTAATGGCTAGCCATGGCTAGGTGGTTTAGTTGAACTACCTGGTTACTTAGTTTGGTTATTGGGAAATCTTGGGGGAGGAATTTATTCCGATGATGATGTTATGGCATGGGGATGGATGGATGCTCTCAGCTTGGATTCTGAACGCCTTCTACTCGTACACTCATTCCATTCATTGAGATAGGATGGATCTATCCATCCATCCATCCATCCATCCATCCAGAGTCTAGACAATAGTAAACACAATCCAATCCAATCTATCTATTACATTCACACATACACACCCCTCCCCCATCTCCAAAAAGACATACATACATGCATACATACATTCTACATCTCACCCAACCTAACCCAACCCAACCTACCTTATCTAGGTATTATACCTTAATGTACATCATACAACTAAGTTACATTATTTTCGACCCCTCGACGCGCAAGGATCTAAAAGGACCACGCAGCGCACCCGCACCGCACCACGGAGACTTTTAATATAATCCGCCCTGGCTGGGCTGGCTTCTTCGATCGATCGACAGAACTAAAAGTAATAATGCCCGTGTACCGCTACTATACTACTTGAGCTTTTAGACGGCTCTACCTTACTGTACAGTGAATGTATGTGTATTTGGTGGGTTTTCTGCGGTGCGGTTGGGTTGGTTTGGATAGGTATGTAGGTAGGAGGTGTAGGTAGGTAATTGAAAGTGGTTATGGATCAATAGGGATGGAAGATGGGTGGTTTGAGTGATTGATTGATTGATTGATAGCATCAGAGTTTAGCTGGCTGATTTGCTCCTCCTTCTTTCTTTCCTTCTCTATAACACAGTACAGTAGCAATAACAACATCCCCCATTTCCACCCCTACAAATACCTATAACATAACTCCCCAAGCAAAGCATGTTGTTAACAGAGTATCTAGTAAGCCGTACGTAAGGTAGATGATGAGGTAAGATGCTGATGATGCTGCTGATGATGCTGTACGTACAGTCAGCAAGGTAAAGAAAAGTAAAGTATCATCGAACCGGTGCCTGGGCCCGGCCGTGGCTTCGTAGCCTAAACCTTATGTTTGTTGGGTTCGCCGTACTGTACGACGCCGGGCTGGGGGGGATTTCTGACGGAGTAAAAAGTATATTATTTGGCCTGAACTAAATCCACTTGACTATTAACTAAATCCACTTGAGCCAGGGTATTTTCAGGAGTACACCTATTAACCGAGCCTCCCTCACCAAAATCATATACAGTATCCCTAATCCTCCGGAGGTCTGGCAGGAGCCCCTCTAACCCAAATCCTAACCGCTAACCCTAACCACTAACCCTAACCACTAACCCCTAACCGTGTAGAACAAAAAAGAAGGGGAGTTTAAACAAAGGGGGGAGAAGGGGGGGTTAGGGGGGGAAGGAGGGTTACTTTGTGATAGCAAGAAGTCAATTCTACACAGTTAAGCGAGTGATAGGTGTAGGTATCACAAGTGGATTTAGTTACTTGTCAAGTGGATTTAGTTCAGACCTATTATTTTCCTAGGTATGTACCGATGTACCTATGTATGTATGTACCTATATATGTACCTAGGAGAAGACAAGAAAAAGCTTGTTCTTTTCATGTGCCTCATTGATGATGATGAGGTATCTATAGCGTTTTCGAAGGTTATACCTTCATTTTATTCAGGTTATTTTCACATTCTTTTACAACGGTCAATTGTTTCATCGCAATATCCAGACTCCCCTCCAGTGGCTATCTGTACGAGGGTGCAGCCCAATTCCCCCCTGCCCTTGTCCACTGCTGCTTGCTCTGGAAAAGAAGAAGGGCAGACGGGGTGTCTAATTGGTCTTCTGCACCGTGCCAGGGATGATTTCTGTATGCGCAGGGGGGAGCAAGAGGAATGGGACGGAGTATACGGAGTACGAGGGTGAGCCTCGGTACTAAGCATGAGTGCTGATTTTTTTCTTTTTTTTTTTTCAGTACGGGGTGTTTACTGATCGGAGATTCTTTTGTTTTGGGGTTGAGTAGTTTGTGTTGAGCTTTGCAGCCGTGGATCTGGATCGTGAGAATGGGCCACTTCGAGAAGAGAGGTTCAGCTGGGCTGGTCCAACTCCAGCAAGACGAGACACGACACCGATCGCCCTAAGGCGGATCCAGATTTCCAGATTCTCGAGGGCCGCCATGGTTTGAGACTTGGGCTCGACTCCAGACTCCAACCGTACCTCGCAGACCGCCCGTATATGTACTGCGTAAGCACTCTGTCTGCGACTGCATTGCATGTACATGTACATGTACATGTACCTCCGTACCGTAAGGTAATGAATGTCTCTCTATCCTGCTCGCAGCCTTGCATGGCCCGGTCATCTGACCAGCTAACTTGCCCCCTGCCAGCCCAGGGCCCCCCGCTGCGCGCGTCCGCAAAAGTGAGTCGTCAAAGTCGTGCGGCTTGAGAGGCGGCGGCGGGCCAGAAGAGAGGCAGATCGGTCGTCCAGCGAATGAGCAGCGGCCGCCAGCGCTTCGATCTCCGCGGGGTCGGCCCAGCCTAAGTGGAAGAGGTGTAGACTTGTGTAGGGACAACGGCCAGCCCGGCTTTTCCCACGACGGCGCTCTTCCACTGACCGGCGCGGCGGGAGAGCTACTGCGGGTAAGAATAGGTAGATACTAGAAGGAGATGCTAAAAGCTCTAGAAGGGGGGGGACCGCGAGAGGTTACTTACAGTAGTCGGCACCGTCGACGGTTGACCCGACGGCAGCATCTTGCCAGGTCGGAGTAGGAGTAGTCTTGGGCGAAGCACCGACCCAGGGCGTCGGCGTGCCTTAGCTGAAATGTTATCTCGACTTCATGGGAGCTGGGAGCTGGGAGCTGGGAGGGAACTGGGAACTTCACGTCAGTCTGCGATGCGTGCTTCCTCCTGCCAGCTGCATGAGATCCAGAAGAACTCCTTCCCACGAGCGGATCCTCTTCGCCCCTCTTTCTCTCTCTCTCTCTCCCTCTCTCCTGTCTCTGCTCGTCCATTATTCATCACCATCCATCAGGCTTCCGCGTCCGGATATCCTTTTAACCGTGCCCGCGGGGCAGAAGCAGCCCACGCTCCCATCCTTGCGCACACTGGGTCTTGCACCGGACGGACGGTGTAGGTACGGAGCAATGCGGTCAAGTTGCCTTCCTGATGGGTCTTGCCGAGAAGAAAGGGGAAGAGAGGTCGCGGTAGAATCTTCATCTTCTTTGTCCGCGAGTCCCACTCGATATTTGTCCGTTCCAAGTATTCCATCCTGTGCCTTGGTGGGGCGGACGTCACGAGGCAGGAGGGGCGGAGGAGGAGGGAGGATCTGATCTGCGGGAGGAATAACCAGAATGATACTATGATACATAAAGTACGTATGTACGTATGAAGGGGAAGACGACAACCTATACAAGCTACCGGCAATTGCGAATAGGTACATAGGTACATAGGTACCATGGGAGGAGTCGGGAGAGCTATAACGTGACCAGAAAGAGGTTCTCCAAGGTCCGGGGATCAATCATGACGATGCTTCAGGCTTCAGCCCTCCCACAAGTTCACAACTTCCCAGACCACTAATCCTGTCACAAATGATCGTAGTAATGCTCCGAAGAACACGAAGATGCCCGTGACCCGTCCCACCATGCGGAGCAGAGAATTCCGCCGTGCTATGGTACGGACGTGAAGAAAGAGGGGCAGAGGGCGGAATCTCCCACTCGGCCTTCGTTCGGAGAGTGCGCAGCAGCCATTCCCAGGGGCGAAAGCGGGGTGAGTGAGGGTTTTTTTTTTTTCTTTCTCTGCCTCTGGCTTGCAGAGTTTTCTCCATTCTTATTCTTGTTTTTTTCTCTTTTTTTTTCAATTTTTTATTATTTTTATTTTCCATTTTTTCCACTTGGCATTCGTTTTCCTGGGGAGTGGGAGAGTAGCCAATCAGATGCGCCTCTCGATGCGGAACCGCAAAAGGACCCAGGGGCCAGGACTCGACGCTGTGCCCGGCTATGATCGCCACCGCGGTCGTCGGTGGATACGGCAAGCGGAGCATCATCTCTCTTTGTTGACCAAGGATACCAAGGTACCTACTGGCAACTGCTGTGCCCCTCGCTCTCGCCCGGGAAATAATAACATCATGGTCCATGATCGTGGTTCCCAGCCGCGGGCGCGCGGGCGTGCCTCGGGAAATCCATCATTGGCATTGTGCAGTGTATTGGCTATCATAATTATTGGTTTCATTATTATCTGCATATTTTACTGAGTGAGAATTAGACTTTATCCGTGGGTTATCCTCTCTTTATGCCCGATTTTATGCTGCTCATCCATGGTTCGCATCGCGTGAAGACATCCGATCGTCATTCCTCGCCGCCCTGACTCGCGGGAATGCGCCCATCGAACCATCCGAAGATCTCGACCGTGTGTTCAAACCCGAGCATCTGGAATCTCGTCATGACTTTTTTGCGTCGTCGTCAGTTTTTATTTTCTGTTTCCTCTTGTCACCGCCTCTGAATCTGATGTGTCAGATTTGCCCAGCAGATCCATCCAGATGAGAAACGAATTCACGATTGAGAGCTGCGTCACTTGGTCCGGGGGGGGGGGGGGTTGTTTCTTGTCTCGGGGGGCCCCGCTGATTGGACCAAACGGTGGGGGGGGGGGGTTGTTCGGAGAATGCTGATGTAAATGTGCATCAAATCAGAAGGAAAAAAGAGAAAGAGGGAAAGGAAAAAATGGCTCGTTATTCATTTCCACTCGTGACCCCCCGTTGTCTGCCAGGTCCAGGTCCGACTTCTTCCATCTAAGTGACGGCGATCCGAGCGAGATGAGATTGTGTGCGAAGGGGGAGCACTGGAGCAGGTTTATCAACAACCATCACCTACCTACCTTCTCGCGATGGCTTTCCTTGTTTGAAGACGGCAGGATTGCCGTGTCTTCTTCCCAGGGTCAGGGGAGAGATCAAGGGAAGTTTGATTGCAATAATATACTTGACTGGCCCATGGTCCATGGATGGATGATGATTTGAGTTTTCATATGCTTGCTTGCTTGCTTGCCCCCATCAATTTATTCTTGCCGTGCCAGAATCAACGGCCACGATGCGAGACAAGGTGCAGGGACTTCTTTCTTTCTGGACGGCAATTGACAATGAACAATGACATTCTCGTGCTCGCTCGCTCGCTCCCTTACCTTACCTTACAGCGTACTCCTTCAAATCTCTCAGCAAGAAATAAATGCCGATGCTCGGACAACGCCGTGACTACGGTGGTTCCTGGTGAGAATGACCTACCCTTCCTTCCTTCCTTCTCCCTACCTTACCTATCTACGCCGCACAAACAGGCCCGGGTACAGGGAAAAGCTTTTATTACGGAGGATGTCACTTTGTATGATGTATCGTATGATGCGAGGATCCATCCCAGGTATTCTATATTTCTTTTATAATTTTTTATAATTTATAATTTTGTACGTTTCACATGCGTTTGTTGTATTGTATTGTATTCTCATATATATCCAACTAACGCAGCCCAAACACGTGAACCGTGGGTTGTCTGTCGTCAAGCAGCCCCCCAGGGGATAAGGTATTCTTCCCTACTACTGCGTGCGTGCTATCCCGCAATCCACTACCTAACCTACCTTGCCTAACCTACCTAACAGCCTCTAAGCCCATCAATCAATCAATCTACCCCATAGTATAAGTAGTAGTCCGCTGTCGAACGGGCGCCGGTCGGCGTCGTCGACTTTGGCTATCTATCTATCTATCTATCATCCCATCACTACTGAGTCCTGACTGGCCTCTGTTCCTTATCTTAGCACTACTACTCACTTGAGCCTCGTCGATGCCTACTGCTGTACCTGCTTGAGAGCCCTGGGCCACCAAGCGCGCGGCTGCCTGCCTGCCTGCCACAGACAGACGCCCGCCGCCCGCACCACCTCTTCTTTCACCAAAGACTAACCAACACTACTGTACCTTCGACTACCCGACTAGAAGGACCGCTGTCTGTTCACGGGTCTGGTCTGTCCTCGCTCCAGCGATGATGATCGTAGATTCTGTAGTAGTAGTAGCTCCCGTCCATAGCTTCATCCCGTCGCTCTGGGTCAGCCTACCTACCGAACAAGCGTCCGTCGCTCGCCCGCACGGTTGTAGGTAAGGTAAGGTAGGATCCTTAGCTATAGCATAGGTAGTATAGTATAGTATAGCATCCCATCAATACTCGGTGTTCCCCCAGGTCGTTCGTTAATCCTCCTGCTATAGTATCGTCAACCCCGGGACGCTTCTGCAATTGATCTCTTCGTGCCCGCTGCACGTTGGCCGTTGCATTTCGCTTTATGCGTCGAGGGCGGGGGGGAAGGGGGGGACCGAGGCCTCCACATAAATGTGTCAAAATTTCACATATGCCTCGCTATATGCGATCTGCATGAGCCCCGCGGTCCTGTCCTGTTCATACATACATACATACATACATACACATTGTCATCATCTAGGTATCTGTGGCCATTGCATTCCTGTCTTTCTGCATCGTCCTGCCCTGTTGCAGCACGCCCGAGCAACCCCGACCTCGACGTCCTGTGCCTCGGAGGGGGAAACAGGATCTTGTCGCCAAGACAAATCTCACCCGTGATTTGACTGACACCTCGAGGCCGCGAAAAAAAGAAAGAGAGCCGAAAAAAAGAAAAAAAAAGTAAAAAAGTAAAAAGAAGAAAAGAAAGAGAAAAAGAGGGGAGTCAGTGTATAGGAATTATTAGATACGTCGTGCATAGCAAGAGAAGAAAAGAACGAAAGGGAGTGAAGATCAAGTGTCGTGTCAACTGTCAACTGTCAAGTGTCATCGCACCGTCAGCCCTCCCCATCGTTGGCGGCCGCCATCATCGCCATCGCGGCGCTAGACATCGACGTTAACGTTAACGGTTTAACCATACCTTAAGCCTTAACCACACCTTAACCAAGGCGAACTCAACACCATCCCACACCACCCGCACCACCAGGTCACGCACGCAGCACGCAGCACCCCGACACCCGCGGATAGTGAGCGGCCGTGCGTCACCCTCGAGGGATAGAGATTGGGCGGAGGCAGAGAAGCTCGCAGGCTACTCCGACCACCACCACCGCTACGACCACGGCCACGGCCACCACCACGACCAACTACCCACGAAAAACTCCCTACCCTCGACCACCCTCCACCCACCACCCACCACCCACCACCCGCTACTACTACCGCAGGTCCGCTGCCCTGGTAGACGACAGACCGGTGCCGTGGCACAAAGGCATCCACAAACGCTCCTCTAGGGCTCTAGTCTCGCGACCAGAGTCAGGAACCGAGTCGCGTTCTAATAATACTATCATCGGTGTCGTCTTGGCCCCCGGGGACGCGATCCAAGACAACCGCATCGGTGCATCGTGACCTCAAACGTCTGCCGGGACGAGACGAAACGAAACAACCTGCGCGCAATATTATTTATTGCTCGCGCTGCTATCTGGCATCTGGCACCTGCCAAATCACATCCATGGATCCCCTCGGATCGGATTTGGAATTCGTGCGCTGCTCCACTGCCCTCGCTCGTCACTCGCCACTCGTCACTCGAAGACGAGGAGAACCTCGGCGACTGCGCCTGCTCTCGACTCGCATCGTATCCGATGCCTCTCTTCTGCCATCGTATCCGATACCTCAGGAACCCACCCTTGGGAGGCGTCGAGTCGGGCCAATCAGCGCGCCCCGGCCGAGCGTTGATCTGGAGAGAGCCAGTCCAGCGGAGCGATCTGGCTGAGTGTCCGACCGAGCATCGAGATCTGAATGGCCATATGCGTCGGCTCGCAACTTCGCAGAACCTTCAGATTGAAGGGCACAAGGCCCAGCGGTCTCGAACTAGTCGGGGGTTCCCAGCATTCAAGGCCGGCCTGCCCACACAACCAACCCACCACAACACTCCTTGGCTACTACTTGGCCTGCGGTGAGCATCGTGAAGTATCGTGAACACCCTGAACCCCCCCATCCCGGCCATCGTGAACATCCCTGGGCCATCCTGACGTGATCTGCAACTGGCTGGCTGCCGCTATTTCACTTAGACCTTCCACTAAGAGCCCACTACAGGCGGATCCCAACCTCCAGGTCTCAAGGCGATCGGCAAAGCCAGGAAAGGCATGGCGCCACCCCCTCCCACTCCGCCAAAAGCCCCCCCAAGAACCCAAAAGCCCCAAAGCCAAAAACCCACAAAATTCCAAACATCGTGAGATCCACAGGGGGCCCGCTATTAAGTATTACATGCTCTGAATAGGTAATCCTCTTTTGCGCTCTTGTCTTGCCCTCTCGAACCCCGTTGTTGCCGTCGCCGCCGAAAGTCAAATCCCGAGAATCATCATCTCTCTCGTGCCCCCGTCTCCCCCTTCCCCGTTTATTCGCGTCTGACGCTCGAGTCGGGTGCGCTTTTGGGGCAGTCGTCATATTCAGCGCGGACAGGCTGAGTTATTCTTGCCTCTCCCCTCCTTCCCCTCCGAATATCGCCGCAGCGAGGAGGGGGGAGGTGGGCGGACAGACGACAGGCAATAAGTGATTGGATCATCGCCTCGCCCGCTCTCCGTACCCTGGATTGAAGAAGTACTCGGTACCGTCGCGAGGATCACCCACCGGCGGTGCCTGTCGGGCGAGGCGTGCCCCAGGTGTTCGGGCGCACAGAGAAGCAGCAGAATAATCTTATAAACTTCCGTGCGGTGAGTGGGCAACGCGAGCGGGCACTGGGGGGGGGGGGATACTGGGGGTGCTGGTGTCTGGGTCTCCTCTGGACTCAGGCTCTGGGAAAGGAAGACGAAGCGACCAAGGCCCGGTCGACCTGACATGCTAGCCTGGCGCTGCCCTAGATGCCCTGGACGCCGTCGATGCCCTAGATTCCTCATATCCTCGGCCACCACGAGTCGCACCCTTGTCGGCCTGACCATCGGCGTGGCCGCTATCCGCTTTGCGGCAAGAGAGCGCCGCGCAGCCCACAGGGCCCATACGAGGCTTACCGCATCGGGAGACTCGCAGACGGCAGGCCTTACATCAGCGGTCCGGCCATCTGCCACGCTAGCCGTATCGGGGGCCCAGGCGTCGATGGCAAGGCAGAGGGATACCGTGTACCGTGGACGGGATACAGGATACTACCACGTCTTGACTTGACTTCACTTCTGCCGCAGAAAAAAGAGGTCGAGGGTGCACCTGCAGGCAAGGCGGAAAAAAGAAAGAGAGAAAAAAAAAAAAAAAAAGAAAGAGGAAAGATACATGCGGGCTCTCCGTCCTCACCCGACCTAACCTCTCTAGGAACACGAGGGCCAAGCTTGCTGCTGACCTGATCTGACCTTGATCTAATCTGACCTTTGATATCTCTGGTCACTGTAATCTTTTCCCTCTCACTCCCGCGCTCTCTTCCCCCCTCCATCCCTTCTCTGTCTTCGTGCGGTGCCGGGGAAGGAAAGCCATACGTAGTACCTTGGCCGTTGTCTTTGATTGCCGTGTCTCGTCTCGTCTCTCGTCCAATGCGTGTGGCCCCTGCGCCGAGGACGACGCTCTAGCCTGCACCGTGGCATCACCGGCTACGTGATCGATCACGGCGCGCGCCTGGTCCAGCAGTGGTGGTGGTCGGTAGTGTCAGACATTAATTCATTCGCTGGGCGGCCGGTTCGTTGGGAGCCAGTGGGGTGGACCTTTCAGACAGACCGCAGCAGCGCAGACCGACCGTCGACCGCAGACCGCAGACCGCAGACCGCAGACCGCAGACCGCAGAACCGTGGGCCGTGGACGGCGCCCGTGGTTCTTCCTTCGACTGGGGCTAATCGCGTGGGTCATTGAGTACCCAGTACCCATGAAAAGTACCCATTGATGGCCCACGCCTCGATTGAAGCGTCTCGATTATCCGATTAGAGAGCTTTAGCAACGAAAAACAGCAAACGGCGCGGCGCATAAAATCCCTTAATTAGCGCAACAGCGGCGTAGCCACTACTACCTAATTTGTAGTAGTCGTTACTAGGGTGGGTTTCCTAGGCTTAATGTAGTAATATCAGAATCTGTTTTTTAAGAGCAGTACCTGTATAGCTAACTTACTACTAAATTAAAGATATACTCTTACGCTAATATAGATCGAACTGCCCTTAACAAGTAGATTCGGTACGGTATTACTATAGCTAGTATATACTACTATAGGCGTATTTAGCGCTGCCGCCGCCGCTACCGCCACTAGAGCTTTAGGGAGCGTAACCCTTAAACAAAGCCTACCTACCTATACCGCCGTAGGTTTCTGTATGATCTCGACAGTAAGGATAAGGCTAGAGCCATCCTTTAGTATCGTTTTACCGTACCTTAACTCTAACGGATCGCGCCCCTTCTTAAGCTCTATAAAGTCGAATATAAAAATAGAGTCAAGTGCCCCCCTAAGCTCGCTCTTACTATAGTATGTACCCGACTATCGTATCTAAACCGGTAGAACGTAATCGCGGATCACTTTAGTAAATCCCTAGCCTAGCTGTCTACCGTATTTAACGATACCTACGAGTTCTTAGCTCTTTAGTAGGGAGATATACTCTAGTAGCACCCTTAATTGACGTCGTATAGCCGGCTATAGGAGTTCGTAGAGTTAGTAGAGGCTATTAACGGTATTAGCGGTATATAGGGTATGATAGATAGCACCTTTAACCCTAATTGTAGGCCTAAGGAAGAAGAGAAACAGATAGCCTAGTATAACGGCAATAAACACGCTTATAAGATAGAATACTAAGCTATCGTTACTCCGGATGGCCTTATTTCTTCCTTATTCGGCCTATACTACAGTACTCTACCTGATTAGCACATGTATATAAGATCCGGCACTTAGGATCTTATTCGGCATGTAATAGCAGGTCGAACAGGAGATCAGGTTCTAAAGATCTATAGGGATAAGGCATACAAGTTAGCATATAGGACAGCGTGTCCCTTTAAGGACGTAAGAAGACGACGATACCTTCCTTATAAGGAGTAACGCTTTAATAAGGCTCTATCCTTAGTTCGGATCGCTATAGAGTAGTTGTTTAGCAAAACCTACTCCTTGTAGACGTATACAGCGTTTAGAAAGAGACTAAAATCAGGACTACAGCCTGTAGCGCTGTATTACTATACAGCCTATTTGTTAACAAACCTGTATACCTGTTTATAGTATAAGGATAAGCCTAGGCGATTCGGGGTATATCTACTAACAGTAGAGGCGTATTTGTGTGATTTAGTACTAGCTCCCTAGACAGTATAGAATCTATAGTGTTGTTGCCCCCTATAAGCGACTAAGTGTTATATTCTGTTAGGTACTCCTTAGTTTTTAAGTTTGTTTACCTTACAGGACACCTGTACACCTAATTTAAGTAGGTATTTGTCCTTATACACAATAACTATATAGATCTAGTAGAACAAAGAAGCTAAAAAAACCGAGCCTACTGCCTACCGCGTAGCTCTGTTAGGATAAGATTTATTATATCCTTAACACTACCTAACTCCTCTTCTACACCCCCTAGCTTATCTATCACTTGATCTATCTTAGTATTATTCGCTATAACGCTAGCCTCTACGCCGTCTAATCGCTCTCTAACCTCCTTAAATCACTTATCCTTAACATGCTAAACAGGCTTAACAGGCTTAACAGGCTCCTTATTACCGGTATTAACGTCCCTCTTAATACCTACCTTAAACAAGTCAACTAGCCTCTTAAAATCAGAGGCCTTATCTGCCTTAGCTCTCTGTTCCTTTATCCTTTGCTGTCTATAGCTAGGACAGTAGCTACCTTTAGGAGACTCGGTGTCGTTACGCTAAGATCGATCTAAGGAACACTAATCACGCCGAAAAGCGGGAATAGCTTTATTAATAGTACGCTTAGCACTTATCCGCCTTATCTAAGAGATCTTCTACGCCTCTAACTTAATAGTCTCACGCTCCCTATTACCCTTTACAGCCTGCCTTTACTTATCTAGGGCTTTAGCAGCCTCTATTATATCGATCTACTCCTTAATCGTAAAGCCCTTTAACGTCATAGGTTTGTACTCCCCTAATTCGGTAACACAGTTCTTATAATACTACTTGACAGCACTCTTTACTACCCTGTCTAACGTCTTGTGATCCTCGCTAGTTTTCTCCTTAAAGTCCTTTAAAACGCTCTTCTAAAAGGTCTTTGTAACGAACCTAGGCTTCCCTTACTAATCTACTCCTAGCTAAACAGCTATCCGAACACATATTAGAAGATCCTCTTCGCTAAGGCCCCTGTTGCCCTTACTAGAGGGTTCGTCGACTTCTTTAGGATCGCTATTATTAACGCTAATAATATCGACATCATCGTTATCCTTAAAGGGATCGTCAGAGCCTATATCAAGGGAGGTAGAGGCCTCTACTTTAGCTTTAGCTACTACCGCTTTAGCTAGTCTACGCCTCTACTAGCGAATAGTCTTACGCTTTTTGCGAGGTTTCGGCGTTATTAACTTCTAAACCCTCTTTCTAGCCCTTTTAGATACCTTCTCTACTAACTTCTTAGTACGAGCAGTCGAATCTACTATATTTATAGTCGTACAGGGCTACAGCGTTACAGGGGCCAGAGGAATCGAGGGAGAAGGGTCTAAAGAAGTAGTCGAATAGGGGATCGAAGGAGTAGTTAAAGAAAGAGTCGAATAAGGGCTTAGAGAAGGGATTAAAGAAATCAGTAGTAATACAGGCGGTAGGGAGAACGATTGTAGATGGTTCGACCGAATAACTAGCGTTACAGGAGGAGGGAATGCTAAGGGAGGTAACTCGAACATCGACTAAGCTTACGGCACCTGCGAAATAGAGGGGAACGGCAAGGGATCGCTATGTTAAGGGTACTAAGGGTACTATAGCTAGGACTAGGTAAGTAGCACATTTAGTTAGGGAAGCTGCTAATTGGCTAGTGTAGCCACGGATCCGGGGCTATATTAGAACCTATATTAATCGAACCTATATTGATCGATCGATCGATCGTTACTATATCCCTCTATATCGTCGCCGTGTTACTGTTAATATCGATATAAGCTCTATAGAGCTACTCTACAGAGCAAAAAAAGACTCTACAGGTGACGTTTAGGGATAATATCCCCTATCCCCTTTACAGGTCTAGCTAACGGTTAACAGTAGGGCGCTAAGCCTAATTAGGAGGTGTTGTTTGCTGTTATAAGATAATAACAAGCTGTTCTCCTACAACAGCTTTCGGCCTAAAGGGGTTTAGCGTAAAAGAGGCCCCCCGGCTAGTCCAAACAGGGCTCCCTGTCTAGCTACAGCGCCGTTATAGCGCCAAAAGTGGCGCTATACTAAGTTCGGACTGTTTTGCGCTGTTTTTCTCTGCTGTTTTTCGTTGCTGAAGCTCTCTATTGTTCATTATCGCGCGCTGCCCTGCCCCTCCCTGGCTGCTTCGTCGTGGCCCCCGGTTCGCTGCCCTGTTGAGCCTGGCGCGGCCGGGTCGTGCCCTGGGATTATTACCTAGGTGGCATAAATTAGGCCCGAGGTGGCATAATCCGGGCCCCAGGTTGGAATAATTATTACCTGATTACCTGGGTGGAAGGATGAGGACGGATTAGTGGGATTAGTGCCGTATAGTAGACTCGTGATTTATTCTTATTCTTATTACGCTCCTGCCTCCCGCCTCCTGGCCGCGGCGCTCTTTTTTTTTGCTCCTTACCCGATTGTGCGAGTGTTCGATTGACGATTGACGATTGACGGCCCTCGTGCTCGATTATTCCCTACTATTCCCCACCCGTAATAATTTCATTCTTCTTCTCCTCCACTGCCCGCTCTTGAGAGAGAGAGAAGAGAAGAGAAGAGAGAAGAGAAAAGGCTCTGGTTCTGTTCTTCTGCTTCTCTGGTTCCCGTCTCTCGTCTCTCGCCTCTCGTCTCTTTTTGCCGCACACACATATACACACACACCCCCCCGCTATCTGCACGCCTCCGCCGCCGCCGCCGCCGCCGCCGCCCTTGCCCGCCCTGCCCACCGCCGACTAAGGTATACTCGAACCCTCGCTCGCCCTCCCCCCCCAAAACCCCCCCAAAAAGAAGCCCTCGCTCGCCCGACCCCCCTGTGCAGGCTAGAGCAACGCCGGCCGAACCGCTTCTGCCCAGGACACAGAACATCCCTTCCCTGACCTTACCTTAGCACCTCCAGTCGCCCAGCACTGATTCACTGAACTACTGACGACCGACTGAGGTACGGTGCAGCTCTCCACGCTACGCTCCGAACATCAACAAGGTTGACAAGAGGCTCGCAGCTACGTACCGCATCATCCACCATCCACACGGTGATCCCATCCCGTCCCATCCATCGTCGTCCCCGATCACATCCCTCTCCGCTACTCTGTCCCGCTACACGCACCATCCACTCCACCACCGCCACAGCATCAACAGCTTCAACCCTCTGACGCTACCACAACAACAACAACTACCACAACCACCACAACGACGCGTCGGCCTCTCTTCTATCTATCTCTTCTCCCCTTGGTCGTGGTTGTCGTCGTCGTCGTCGTCGTCGCCCCCCCCCTTGACCCCTCCCCTCCGTCCCTGTTAGTCCAATTCTTCCTCCCGCCGCCGACGACCTCTTAGCAAATCCTCGACAAGAACAACTATCTTCTCCCTCCCCAATTCTTCTCCCCCCCACCCCACCAACCCGCGCGGATAGCTGCTAGTAGTATGTCCTTGGCCTCTCCTTCTCAGCCGTCCCGCAACAACAGCTCATCCTTACTTTCAAGCTCCGCAGCAGAAGCTCATCCTCCTCCTCCTCCACAACCACAACCTCAGACGCGTCGCTCGCCCGACCTCACCGACGAAGCGACCGCGAGCACGCTTCTCGGCGCCCTCTCCTCCCCAGCGCGCCCCTCTATGGACAGAGGTGCTCCCGAATACTCGCAGTCAGGTTTGCCCACACCATATCCACACGCGTTCACCAGCGCCCAGTCTGAAGAGTCTCCCGCAGATCCCGCGTCTGCTGCGCAATACACGCCCCAGCAGGAAGTGCGAGCCAACAACTACCCTCCCGCCGCGACGCCCACCTCTGAGTACGGTGTTTACCCGGCCTCGGCGCGTTCGGGCTCTTTTCCAGAACACATCCAGCGCCAGTACCACCCCGCGAGCAACCCCAGCGGGAGCAGTGGTGGAGCAATGGCTCAATCAACAAGTCCGTCCATGCCTCCTCCTCCTCCTCCTCCTCACCAAGATCCCCGTGCGAACCATCGCACCCCTCAAAGCAAGTCTGACCCGGATGTTCCTATAGATCCTTCAATCGCCGCCTCGAGTCCGACCTATCCCGCGCACAGCGGCCAATACTCCCCGTACCCTCCGCAGCAAGAGATGCAACACCCTTACCAAGCCCACGGCGGCGGCGCCATGTACACCCAGCCCCGACCGGATTGGGCGGGCTATGCCACTCACCCTCAGCACGGGATGCCAGGCTACGCGGTGACCGGCGCCCAAACCCCAACCTCTGCCGCTCCCGCCGGAGCGCGTCCAGGCCAAGTAGGTTATCCCGTCGCTACTCATCCAGCACATCTACATCAGGTAAATTCCGCGCGCCCGCACTGCGAACTGCAAATTGTTGTACCCCGGCGCGTCCCTGCGAGGGCGCGTCCGGCTTTTTTTTATTCTTCCTATAGATATCTTGCGGATCCAGCGACGCGTCGAATCAAGTCGTCCTGAGAAGTCTCTCAGCACACCAGATACCAATCTACCCCCCGCGTCCTTTCCTTGCACTTTGAAGATTTGTTGACCTCTAACAGCCCTACCCTTTACCGCAACAGGTTTATTCCTTTGTTCCCATCCCCGGCGCCCAGCAACACAAGCGACCCCGACGACGGTATGAGGAGATCGAGCGGATGTACAAGTGTGGGTGGAACGGGTGCGAGAAGGCATATGGCACACTGAACCACCTCAACGCCCATGTCACGATGCAGTCGCACGGGCAGAAGCGGACGCCAGAAGGTACGTACCGGATGTTTTGCGCGTGATTTTTTTTGAAGACGGTGCCCCGATCCTAGTCAGCCTCGCGATGTGATGATTTTCGTTTGGCGCTGGAGCTAGTTGTGGCCGGGACTGGGGATAACCTCAATCCCGTTGGAACTAGCATGGGTCTACCACAACCGCGGGACTCTCGTGTGTAACCAACAGCTCGCTAACGTGTGCCGCCGTGCCAAACAGAGTTCAAGGAGATCCGAAAGGAGTGGAAAGCTCGCAAGAAGGAGGAGGAGAACCAACGGAAGGCCGAAGAGGAGCGCGCGCGCGCTGCCGCTGTGCCCGCCGATGGCCAGAACCCCGCCGATGGGGCCGCCGCGCCCGGCTACCAACAGCCTGGCCGGTCCGTCCAACTCCCGCCCATCGGCTACCAACCCGGCGCGCAGGTCCCTGGCCAGTACCAGGCCCCGTCGAGTGGTGTGCAGCAGTTGCAGGAGTACGGCAACAACCATCTTCAATATTCTGGCTACCCAGCTTCGCCGTACGGCGCTCCCAACCAGATGTACAGTCAACGTCAATTACACCCTCACTTTAGTGTCCCGCCCAGGATGAAAGCTGACTTGCGCTGCAGATAACGGTGGCCCGGCCCCCAAGTATGAACACTAGACTTAGCATTGTTCTTCCCCGATCGGCATCGTCACAAGAGTCCCCCCCCAAAACTTCGGTCACCTTCGGAACCCGTCGGGGGATCCCCTGACCGCTTAATAGTTCCTTACGGCTTGCGCACTTGTATCATATGGGCCGCTGATTGCATTTACTTCGGTGTCCATTCATATGATTTTCCTCCGCTATTAGACGCCCCCCTCGATCCCGGTTCGGCAACGAAAACGATTCGCATGGCTTAATGACTACGTTCCGCGTTCTCTCCTTTCTTGTCGGGGGATGGGTTGGTTGGTTGCATTATACGGCTTTTACGTGGCGTCGTTCGGGACTTTTTTCCGGCTTTCAAGGTCTTCTCTTCTATGACGGACCGCTGGACCGTGTGTCGTCTGGTTCATGCCGAGCGCGCACCTTGAGGCTTCTAGGCTTCGAACAAACTCTTTTTTCTTCTTCGTTATCGATCAATCAATTGTGTCTGTCTGTCGTCTTGTGATGTTGTGTGTGTGGATTCTCTCTCCTTTTCTTCTCACTGTTGCGAAAAATTAAAAAATCATCATCTGGCCGCATAACGGATGCGTTGGTACCATTCCAGGAGCGGGAGCGGAGGCAAGATGGGAATTTGGGAAGCATGGAGGGAAGCGAAGGGAGGAATGATTGCTGAAGGCCGTCGTAGCGTTTGCGTTTGTCGTCTACCTTGGCTTTTTGCGTGTCTACATCATCCCGAGAATATAAAAAAAAAGGAAATCAAAAACAAAAGCCCGTCTGCCAGTTGGGGAAGTGTGATGAAATCGAATCATGTTGTGTGCCGTCCATGTATAAGTAGTGAGTGGAAAGTGGAAAGAGGGAGAGGGATGATGAGAGACAGACGATGCAGCAAAAATGCTAATGAAACTAATGATGAACTGGCAGGTTAAGGGGTTAAGGGTTTATAAAAACCGGATTGGTATGGTATGGTATGGTATGGTAGGGCAAGGCATGCATGATGGATAGATGCGTATATATATTATACATTAAAACATAACATAACCATCAATCCCCATTCCATACCTACGAAATTTGTTTTCATGGATCAGCTCTTGAGAGGACTAAGTAAGAGGACGGGGAAGTAGTCAAATCATGGATAGATAGAAAGGAGGGAGGGATTGTGAATATTGCTTGCTTGCTTGCTTGCTTGTTGATAAGGGAAGTATCTACTTGGTTATTATATATGTGTGTGTGTGTTGGGGGGATGAGAGGTGGATAGGGGGAGGGATGGAGATGGATGGAGAGGTGGATAGGGAGGAAGACAATTTAAATACCCAATCTATCATATAAACAGAACAGAGAAGTGAAGTCTATCTATACAATCTCATCTCATCTCATCTCATCTCATCTCACCTTCCCTATCCTACTACTTATACTAGAAGCACGAGAGGGAAAAAGGAAGGAAAGAGAAAATATTCATATCTTAAGTCTTAAGTCTTAATCCTATCTTCAAGTTCTTATCCTATGCTACCTATCCTATCCTATCATATTCCTATTCCTATTCTTAGCTCGTTCCTATCAAGAACCAAACCAACCAAACCATCCATCCAATTCATTTCATTTCATTCCATACAAGGGCTTCCGAATCCAGAGCTTGTCTGGAAAAAAAAAAGGGACACATACATCATCTATAGAGACATTGAATGAAGAAGAAGAGTCGCGGACCTGGATGAAGCCATGATTGTTTTTTTTAATATCTTCCTTTAGATGTGAGAGAAAAGAGTTGTTGTGATTTTTCTTTACTTTTAGGGGAGGGGGGGAGGAGCTGGCTAGGCCTGCCAGCCGCCTGCCGCTTGCCTGCCTTGCCTGCCTGCCTGCCTGCCTGCCTTTCCTTCCTGCATTCCTGCCTTTCCTTCATTCCTTATCCGTTCAAGACCATGACCGACCTGTGCGCCGCCGCCGCCTTATGTAATATTTTTTGGGGGTATGCTTGTGAGGGTGTGGTGGATAGATGGGGGTGCGAGAGGGAGATAGATTGTGAGGGGGAGGCGAAGTTAGACGCCTGTGATGACCACTTCGGGGCACGTCTTCTCGGCGATGGTCTTGCAGGGGGTGCCTTCGGTCGGGTCGTCGATCGTGCTGACGCTGGTGCTTGGGAGACTGCTGCTCTGAGGGCTGTTCTGTCCGTTCGTGAGCATCGGCGTCGCGGCGCTGGAGTTGATCTCGATCGGCATCGTCTGCGTTGTTGGCGCAGTCACCGACGATGGCGTTGTGTATGGTTGTGGACCCGTGAAGATCAGTTTCTCAATCGCGGCGATCTGCTTGCCGTAGTTGTATTTCTTCAGAGAGACGAGTTGAGGTTTCATGTCTTCCACGAAGGCTTCGCGTTCAGCACCCTTGAGTTGGGCAAGAAGTTTCTCTATTTCGTGTTAGATGCGATGCTACAAGGGGACAGGTGGTCTTACGAATCACGTAGTTGCCGTATTGATCCTTCATCATGAGTTGCAGAGGACTTGATCCGTCACTGTGCAGAGCCGTCAATTGTGCCACGATTGCCTTCCTTTGCTCGTCGGTCCCGAATTGAATGCTCTTCTCAACAACATTCGATGCAAACTTATGCTTCGATAGCGTCAATAACTGAGCCGTGACGAGCTTGATGACCTTCGCACGATCCTCTGGCTTTCCGTGTTGGATGACATGCTGCGTGACGTAGTTCCCGTACTGATCTGTGATCAACATAGGAGCACACTGATGCAATTCTTCGAGGACCGCCGCTTGGTCGTGCGGTTTACAATACTCCAGTATCCGCTGGATAACCCGACAGCCGTAAGGATGTGTCGCCAGAATGTGTACCTGGCCCTTGAAGGCTTCGATGATGAATTGGATATGCTCTGATTGAACTCGCTCGATGGCTTTCTGGACGACGTGGTTCCCATTCTGATCCTTGACGCACTTGAGAATATCTGCCTGGAGTTCCTCAACGAGCTCTGCTTGCTGATCTGCGAGGACGTGCTCGAGGGCCTGAGACTGTTAGTAAGAGAAGATGTGATTCTGAGACCGGTCGCCTACCTTTTGAACAACCCTGCATCCATACATCTGCACCGACAACTCCATTACGTGATTCTTCATCTGCTCAGCCAGCACCCGCTTCTGGACCTGATTTCCGTGCTCGAATAACTTTTGAATGACATAGTTACCAAAGACATCAGTCATCAGTTGAAGTGCGTTTGGCTGGATCTCGCGGAAGACCTGCTCTTTTTCATCGCTGTTTGCTGTTTCCAGCTTTTGTTGGATGAACCGTGATCCGTGCTGATCGCCACTGAATTCCACCACATGATGATAGATATCCTGCGTGGATATTAGCGTTGCACTTAGTGTGGATATCGAGATCTTACCTTCAACTCGTATCGTTTGTTTGATTTCGAGTTGGAACGGAACTCTTCTAGCAAGACACTTCGCACACCGACCCCAACATCTTGATCCTTGGATGGTCGGGTTGGGATGATCTGGGCCTGTGGGTATGCGTGCAGGGCGATAGGATAGCCATATGGCACTGCCCCTTGTCGAAAGGGTGGAGCATACTCGTACGCAGGGGGTGGATATTGCCCTTGGAAAGGGTGATTGTAGAGGAATTGGGTTTGAGGATAATGGGCATTCTGTAGTCGTCGATCCAACTCGCTGGGCCCTTGTGGAATTCGAGGTCCTCTTGAACCTGGTCTATAGATCTGGTCTGACCCTACAGGAGTCCCCGTGGCGGAGTAATATTTGGGGCTGTTTACTCCACGACGGTAATCGCTCCCTGCAGGTGAGACAGAGGCCCGTTCTGAGAAACGATGCCCTTTGCTGAAGTATGGCTGATCCGCGAAAGCCTGGCCTGAATAAGTCTCATAATTCTGTGATCCCTTGGGGTTGCTTGATGTGTCATTCCACATGGCCGATCCACCATTAGCTTGATAATTGTGTGTGTAATTCGGATGATTTGGAGAGTAGGAGGTGCCGAGGTTGCTGTTTGCCTGAGAGGCATTCGTGGGCTCACCGTCGCTACCAAATCCAAGAGCCCCAAACTTTTCTCTCAACTCGACTTCTGTTTGGTTCAGATCTGTGAATCTTGAGCCGTTGGCCTGGGAAGGGAAGGCCCCTGCCCCTGAAAGGTTGGAGAATGATTGGCGATGCGAATGGATCGAATTGTTTGGCGTGTGACCAATAGAACCAAAGGCTTGATTATTATTCCCAAATGCCAATCCACTTCCATTCAGACCGGAATCAGATGCCCTGGATGGAGGCATGCTACTGTCTCTTGAAGAGCCGTTACCAATTCCTAGGAAGCCTGTGTTCTGAGGGCCCATCTGGTCTGCTCTAAAGGGTCGGGAGGAGATGTCCATGTCGAAAGAATTATCCGTATTAGAGGGGAACTGCCCCGAGTTCTCCTTATCATCGTTGAAACCAAATGAAGACCTGCGCGAGAACTTGAAGCTCCCAGAAGAGGGATCGAGGCTGCTCTTGTGTTGCGACCTGTTGAAGCCTGCCCCTTGTCCAATAGCTGGTCTTGACTGAGTGTATGAATTCTGGATCTCTAGAAGACTCTGCGTTGCGGTGGATGGCATGTTCGTACGGACATGGTGGGCAGGAGGCGTGCTGCCACTGTGCGAAGATTGGAGGGTAGGAGAGGTCGTGTCTGGGGGGTTCCACGGCGCATTTGCGCGAGCACCCCAAGGGTCGGCCTCTGACGACGCGGCCAGGGCTCCTGATCCGCTGGGCCCACCAGGAAACTCATCATTGCCCGCCGCTGTGTTCACATCAGTGACTGCACGAGACTCGGCGCCCCTTGCAGACATACCACGAGATCGTGATGCGTCTCTCTTTGTGTTCGCAAACCCGCTGCCGATGGGATTGCCTCCCCAGATCCCACTTGAGGACTGCCAAGCGCCTCCATTACCAAATGTCTGTCCAATAGTCGATGTTTGTGGGGTTCTGTCGTCGTGGGTATGCCTGCTGGGGGCCGAGTTGAAATCTCCAAATTTAGTTGTCCGCGCCTGGAGAAAAGTGGTCAGTGGGGTGTAATGATGATGACGGAGGATTCTCTGACACTTACTGCACCTGTCATGGGAGCCGTGGGCCTGTTGCTGGTGGTAGAAGACATTACTGCGCCTGCGAGTATTTTCTAGGGTATAGGTGAAAGGTCGAGGAGAGAGGGGTCCGAAATATGTGTGAGAGCCAAAAAAAAGGTCCGAGGCTGTATTACTGTAACGAAAGAAAGAGCCTTTCCTCTGCGTATTTGACAAGTTGGAGTAGAATCTATGTATGTGACTGTGTTGGTTCGCAGGTGTCAGCATGGACGCGGCAAGGCTGATCGCCCAGTTTGTTGGTCCCAGGCGGGAGCTGACAAGGCACCACAACTCACCAGTGGAGAGGATGGAGATATGTAACGGTCGAGTACGGTGAAGGCTCATTTACAAGAGAAGGGCTGGCGGAGGAGGTCGGGAGGTGTCGAGCATCGAGGGAGGGTGAGGGGGGCAAAGGGGGAGGAGGGGAGGTAGTTGAACTGTTGAAGGGTTGAAGGTAAGGTAAGGTAAGGTAGGGCAAAGAAAAGGTCGCGCGACACAACCCCTTCGTTTGTCATATGCAACGTCAAAGTAGGCGCGGCTTTGCTGTAAAGAGGTAGGCACCCGCGCAGGAGGAGCCCGAGAGCGACGTATATTTGAGCGGCAATTCGCCTCTGGTCAACCCTTTGTGCGTTGCCTTTGCTTTCGGGTCGAGTCGCCGCTATCTCGAATGAAGGGGATGGCTCTGGCGCGGGCGATGCGACGGCGACGCAAGGGAGAAGAGCCCAGGAACGCAGTTGATTGTTGCGGGCGGGTGGTCCTGGCGTGGAGGGACGAGAAGAATAGTATGGGAAGGCGGGCAGGCTATCGACGGTTCCACCGCAGACGAAGATCAATGATGGGCGACAAAGAATGGACGGGACTTTGTACTGTAGTATTCGTATAGTGCGTGGCACTGTGCTTTAGACTTTGAAAGGGGGGGGGTTGTAGATATGTCGATCCCTCGATCCCTCAAAGCTGAAGCTAGAAGCGCGAGGAGAGAGAGGCAGAGGGAGAGGAGGAAGAATGCCGACGCGGGGACAAGTGTTGCGTTTGCAAACACGGGGTCCGCATTATTCTTAATTCGTGTGGCTTTGTATGGGGGGGATATGGGGATGGGGATGGAGACGGTTATGGATATGTATGGCTAGGAGTCGGAAATATGGGGTTGAACGCCGTACAAGTCTGCGGTCACTACACTACCTACGAAGAACAATTCTTTGAGAATCCACGAGATGGATCGATTATCTGGAATTGCCGTTCTTGTGCCTTCTACGGCTTCTATCGCTTCTGAACTCGGGCTCTTGGGTCTAACAGAATGGTTTCCGGCCGGACTGAGAGACGGTGTTCTTCTAGTAGTTGACCCTGGCTCCAACAACTGGCCTTTGAAACCAGCCTTACGGAGCGGGCACTACGGTAGTATTCTGATATTTTTATAGGGCCTACCTAAATCTACACACCCTGCTCACTAATTTTACACGCTATACCCCTTTTATATAGTCCTGCTATATCTCGCGCGTACGTTTATCACACCTGCGTTATAGTATAGAGTACCTACCTTATAACCTTATAATTAATTCTTAAAAAATAAGGAGAAAGAAAAAGGGGTATCCTTACCTACTTTTGATTAACCTAAGATCTGTATAAGATACTAGATAAATAAGCATAGAGGTTACCCTAAGATATAGAGAAGAAAAGTTAGTACCTAAGCTCACGTGACTATCCTCGCTTACCTGACTTAGTTAGCTACCTCTATACAGGAATATATAGGCCTAAAAAGAAGGCATTATTATCCTTTAAAACTACTCTTCTATACCTAGATAGTAGGTAAAGGTAAGTACAGGTGATTAGGAATGTCTTTGATTTTTAAGCCTTAAAATGTGTTAAAGTAAGGCAATATAAAGATACGCTCTTATAGAGCTCACTACCTACCTAGGTAGGTGTACGTATAATAGATGTGTGTGCGTAACTATAGCGAGCCTACCGAAATAGGCGTAGCGTGTAAAATTAGTGAGCAGGGTGTGTAGATTTAGGTAGGCCCTTTTTATATCTTTATATGTCGGAGGCAACTCGAATCGACTTTGCCAGCGTCTATTTCACTCCTCCTCTTAGCTCTCTGTTTACCCTGAATTCTCTCTCCCTTGTGCTCACCTTTTGCTCTTTGCTTTTTGCTTTTTGCTGTTTTACTTTTTTACTTTTTTACTGTTTTGCCTTTTTCCCTTCTCTCTTATCTTTTCCCCTTTTCTCTCAAATTTAAGTTTAATTACTTTGCTTTCCGTTGCATGAGTTCTGCACATCTGTTTTGGGTCGCGCCTATGCGTTCAACGTGTCCTGTAAGCCTCATGCGGATCTCAACCTCTCAACAAGAGGAACAAACACTCTACTCGGTCTGCTCTCTCCTCGCCTAGGCACGCACCATTCCTGAGTCCTATCCAGCGTCCGGTCAGAAAGTGGCAGACTGTTTCATCTAGGGGCGTGTATCCTGACGCCATCTCCTGCGCAGGCAATCGCCCGGACGATGCAACTCGCAGCCTGCTGAGCTTCATTTCGCGACGCCCTGCCGCTCCCCAAGAGCAAAGGAGCAATCACCGGTACACGGCCGTGCTCTGCCCAGAGAAGAGATCAGCCGGCGCACACAGTGCAGTGCTCCTTCACCTCCTACGCGCTAGTGCTGCTCGAGGTCAAGGTTGGCGGGTTGGTGCGTGGAGCCATTGGGACAGAATTACACGGCGCATCGTGGCACTCTGCGCATGAAAATCAATCATTCTTTTTTCCTCGACGACCCAACCACACCCACTGCTGGCAGCGGCTGGGCGAGCCCGCAACGTGATGCGCGCCCGGGAGCCTCATAAAGCGCAGCAAGGTCAAGGATATGCTCGGTGGGCGAGATATGTTTCCCTCTAGAGGGCGACGAGGGCTGTTACTCCTTCTGACGGCTTCATCGCTTTCCTGCATATCGCGAGACTGGCTACTATGTCGGGATACCACGCCTTTCCACATGCCTCTTGCTCTGATCTTCTGTGCTCCCAGCCAGCGAAATCTCGTCCCACTCCGTTGGCATCCTGGCATCCTGGCGCGTGTCCCGCCCTGGCGATGCTCAGCGGATCGATAGTTGATCTGCAACGCCGTTGATGGCTGCGAGGAAAGCAAAGGGAGGCAGAAGTACGAGATACGGTGGTGGTTGACCAGACCGTCCTAGATGCTCTAGAACCTTTGGTAACCTCAAATCGAACCATGAATTTCGACAAGTCGGAAGACATACCTTGGACATGCATCCGCGTAATATATCCAGGTGGGCCAGCTCCATTGCTTCTTCTCACCGCCGTTTGCTTTTACCTCTACGTCGATGGCGACCTAACTGGTACGATGCCCGGAGTGACGCAGGTCAGAGAATCCAAATACTTCAAATTCCTGACTTCTCGGCGATTGAGAGCTCGGTGAAACATGTCTGCGGCTTACCGGGTGAATCACATGACTGGTCGAAGGTTTGAAATGATACTATAGCAACTGGTAGAGAATACAATTAGTATTGTACAGCATTTAATCCCGCTGGTCCTACCAGTGTAACCTCTATCAGTATCCTCCCGGTGGGATGCCAGCGAGAATGGGAAGCGATGCCTAGACTGGAAAGCCCTGACAACCGTATTATACGTCCTCTCCAAAGGAGAACAGGGTCCTATATATATCCAACTCACCGTCTTCAACAGACCGTCGTGAGTTCCGCACTGAAAATTTGACCGATGAGGTCCTTTCTCGCCATTTCTTACCATGATGCCTCCAGTCACCCACCAGTAGACACCTCTTACACAACGTGAGCAGAAGCGCATTGCCGTCAGCAGAGTGCTACACGCCTGGCTAGATCTAGGTAAGGCACATCCTACAACCAGGCCCATGCACATAGCAAACCAATGCGCTCGGAGACATATAACTGTTCACGGTTCTAGGAAAGGGGGAGTCACCCACGACATGCCTTCATCTCTGCGCGCCCTAGCAGTCCTCTCCCTCCCAGTTTGGATCGCAGAAACGGCCCTCCCCGCGACGATGGCGTACATCAGGGAATTGAGGGGTACGGATCTACCGTAGTAGACGGATAAGGGGGGGCTGTAGAACGAAACTCGAAGACTCTGAAGAAGTCGACAAACATCTCAGTTCTGGCAATGCTGGAGGGGATCCCAAACTGCTCTCTGACCACCCCGCCTCTTTCCTGGTTCAAGAGATCCACGGAAATTCAAAGGCGGCCGGCAGGTGCGTCAAACACTTGCTACCCAACCACAGCGCCTGTTGATGGATCACGCGGCTCTGGACCCCGAGACGCGGGGGTACTCTGACCGAGGGTGGTCTTCTCCCTTCGCAGGGGTGGGAGGAGGATTGACAAGGAGAAGCCGCCGTAGCACATGGCAATTGCGGGTCAAAGTCAGGAACGGGACTGAAGAAGATTCACATAGAGCAGCTACTTAGCATTGCTCATCCCAATTCTCCTATCCACCTAGATAACCCACGCCGTAGAATCCAGCTCTGCCAGAAATCACCGAACGCGGGGCGTAAGATGTGGGCGATTGGTTCTGTACGTCGATGCCGCCCTCGAAACAGTTCCCAACCGCCATCTCTGACAGGAACAATAAGAATAAAGAACAGAACGTAGGTAGACTCGGAAACGAGAGATGACGGAGTAGTCGGCGTGGACGCCTCAGGGGTACAGGGAGCAGGGGCCCTCGTGGATCAGGCACGAAACGAGGCCGGGTTAATAAAAGTTGGCTCTTGCAAGTACAGTAAGAATCAAAAAGTCAGAGCCAAGAAATATCAAGATGCGTGTGAATGAATCTTGTAGTGGATGGGAGCGAGGGAAATAATAATGGAGTATGTGAGAATAGTCTCACTGATAGATAAAGCAACGTCGTTCTGGTAATACCCCCCTTGTGCCCCGTCGTTGAGGCTCTGCATCTCTTCCTTGAAAAGTACCAAGGGCCTGGATACCAATTCCCATACTTCGGGCTCGTTGGAAAGCCGCCGATCGATAGATAGACATTTAGATAACAGCCTTGTAATCGCAGCGAGTCCTCAGACACGCCCTACGGCCAAGGCTTCTCAGAAACGCCAGGCGGCATCTTGTTGCGCCTCTGAGCCGCAACGCGCTTCAGAAGAACCTATTGTTGAATCCTTCGAGGCGCTGCGGCTTGCTATTTCAGGAGATGGGGTTGTTGGTGCTTATATCAAGGTGCTGCGCGCATGTGGGTGGTAGAGGATAGTTTCCTATATATACTGTTGATTGACGGGAGACGGAGATTGCAAATGAGTGTGATATGGCATGGATATATTATGTGGTGAGATGAGATGAATGTATGTGGAATACCTACAGTACACAGCTCGAACCCGGACTGCGACATTATCCCTTCCGACACGCTAAGCGAGCAAAACATCCAGAGGAGACAACAAACAGTCCATCAGGCTATGGACGGCAGAAGAAGCATTATCAACAACATTGTCAAGACCAGCAACACCTTTCACAAACATCATCAGCGAGAGGAGGGCGACAGAAGAGAACAAACACAGGATACAACGCTCATTTCCCGGTAGTTGACCCTCAGCCAATGAGGAGTGGCGGGCTGCCCCATCGTTGACGACCCAGAACGCCCTGGACACGCTGCGCGCCATTGCCCGTCTGCCACGGCCACTCATAACACAGTTCAACCTCCAGCCCCCCGGCACAGTCCCACTCCGCCAATTCAGCGCGAACTACTGTACTGTACCTTACACACGGCTCAGGTCCCCTTTTCCTGTCTTCACCCCGTCTTCTCTCTTCATCTTCATCTTTATCTTCACAGACGAACGATATCCCCTCCCTCTCTCTCCTTCGGGACCTCTACATTCATTCCATAGGTATCAGCTTCACTCTTTCAGCTGATCACCGTCCATTCATTCCTTCGGAATCCAAGACGAATCCCACGAATCCACAGCAATAAGCCATCTATCTACCTTCGAAAAAACCCATCCTTCGCGCCAATCTTACAGCCTGTCTTCCTCTCATGGATACAGTCTCACAACTTGTCGCAAGAGGCAGTGCCCTTATCGTCCGTGACGACTCGCGCACCATGTCTACCACAGTCATTGATCTGCTTATCGCCCTCCTCGTTCTCCTCTTCGTTTCTATGCTCCTGGTCGGAGCCCTCTACACTGTCCGCCGAATCCGTAAGCGCAGAGCGATTGCCCGCCAACAGCTGCCTCTCTACAATGAGAAAGACAACTCTTCCAGCCATCGCCTGACCATCACCACGGCGCCCTATGGCCGCGGCTCCAGGATCTACGTGTACGATGAGAAGTCCGCCATCCCCGAGAGCCCGACCTCCCCTCTATCCCCTGACAACGTCCCTGAGATCCGCATCACTTTCCCTGATGAGCAGGACGAGTCTGGACGACGGAAGAGCGGCCGCGTGGTCGTAGTCCGTGTCGGCGAGACAGGAGTTGGGCTTGAGCCGCTGAATGAGGATGAGGAGCTCCCGGCTTACGAGAAGGAGGGCGGCGGCCGCTTCCACTCAATTGACATGGAGCGTATTGGCGGTCTTAAGGAGAAGTCCACCTGGTCGTGATTCTCATGATCTTCTCTTACTGCGCCATCCCACATCCTCTTCTTCGACCCTCTCCAATCTCGATTTCTTCTCTGGTGCTGGCCACTTGCATATCCTTCAGCGTCTGCCTGTGCTGTAACGACCACCCGAACACATTGCAGTCTGCTATGTACAGTCCAGCCCGCTCACACTTATACCCGCACACACCTCGCAACCTCTACCTCTCCGCACCTCTTCGACCGTAACATTCTGTTTGGCGCCTCGACACTGGTATTTGCATTTCTCGAGGGAACTAGGAGTTTTCGTACTTTTGTTGATATTTCTGATGATGACCTTTTCCTACCCTCTCTTCTGTGCTTTTTCTCTCTCGGACAGGAGTCACAACCCCTAAGGGCAGAACAAGCAAGCACACCTTCACGACGGACGGCAAGAGGCGAAAAAACAAAAGAAAGGGTTTCACGTTTTTTCTTCTTCTTTGGCGGCGGCAACAAATACCACGTTACGTTACAAATCGCATTACATTACATTACATCACGGACAACGGCCAGAGAGAGAACCAGCGGCATCAGCAGCAGCTAGCTCTAGCTCCCTTCTTCTCCCCCTTCTTGTACATATCAACCAACCACACAACAACGCACACACACATGAGAGAAAACCCACCCCCCACATTCATCCAATCCTTTGGATCAAGATCCTGGATCTAGAACCCTGGGACTGGGAGGAGTCTTTTCTCTCTCTTTTCCTGTTTGTGGAGGGAGAAGAGCGCATGTTGTTCTGTTCAGGGAGCCCTGCCTTTCTTGTAATTAATTAATGTCTTTTACGTAATTCCCCCAATCTTGCTGGGTTTTTTGCCTGCCCTGCCTTGCCTTGCCTTCTTGCCTTTGCCCTCCTTGCCTTGCTCGTTTGTTTGCATAGAAATCTTCTTCTCTTCCTTCCTGTACAAGTAGTAGCCAGCCACTAGCTACCATCGCACCCCTGAATGAGAAATGAGAAATGAGAATTTTCTATCTATCACTGCATTGAATCAAAAATCAAAAATCAAACTCAACATCTCCCTCCCTACCTACACCTATGTGTAAAATACAGAAAGTAGATCTTCTCGCCCAACTCAAAACACACAGAAGGTTCTAGATCCCGATCCAAAATATTGGGAGGGTGTGTGGCTAGGTAGTTGGGAATTGAATCTGTACCTTGAAAAGAAAGAAAGAAAAAAAGAGAGGATCTTAAGAGACTATTTACTATACTAGGGACTTTTAAAAAAAGGTAGATGGCGGGGAGATCTATACCCAGAGGGAAAAAAAGGAAGGAAAAGAAGAGAAAAGAAAAGCAAGCACAGGGCGGGGACTAGGGAGACAGCAAACAATCCTTTTGTCAGGGTTAGTAGGGGGTCAAGGCGTAAACAAAGAATTATGTGGATGGAGCATAGGGCGAACGTAATGAGAGACTCTCTGGATTTTATCTCATTTATGATGATTGGGACTACTAGCTAAGATAGGTAAGCATGTAGCTAAGATACACATGTAGTGATAGATAACCACCATTGATATCAAAGCCTGAGTGAGCATCAAGAGATCAGTGAAGGGATGCACACGGTATAAGTGTAAACCTATGAGAGCAATCTATATAGCCGTCGGGCTGGCGTGGTAGCCGCGCGCGTGTCTAAAATAACAACCATCTCCGTGAAAGCAAACCAAAGCAATTTTTGCGCAAGGAAAAGATTACAAGAGGTGCACGAGAAAAGAGCGAGCAAATCAAGGCAATCTACCCTCCCCAAACCTCCGACCAATAACGCCTAAACGACCTGTATTGTACGCATGTGATTCGTCAAAGTCGACGACTTTCAAGTGTTACCGAGAATCAATGATGCATCGAGATGTGGCTTCTTGAAAGTCACTCGAAAATGATTCAACATCTACCAACGTCGGTTGCTCCCGAGGGGCGCCGCGTTAGAAGAGGTGAAACCTCCTACCAACGTCCTTTGTTAGTCCCATCAGCTGATGGAACGGGGGGGGTCAAAAAACAGCAGGGTTGAACTCACCTCCACCACCTCGTCCGCCACGGCCGCCACGCCATCCACCACCGTATCGGCCACCACCACCGCCGCCGCCATATCTGGCCATCTCGGCAAGTCGGGGATCAATCTGCTGCTTTGCCTCAGTGAGGACTGACACTAGATCACGAGCCTGCTTTTGATCTGTAATAACGTTAGAAGAAATCCGATATGAGGAATGGGAGAGAGATCTTACTGTCAGTGGTGAAAAGGGTAATGGCAGTTCCCTTTGCCCCAGCACGACCCGTACGACCAATACGATGGATATAATCCTCCGAGTTGTTCGGGTAGTCATAGTTCAACACGTGAGTAATGTTGCGGACATCTTCATTGATGGGTTAGCAAGAACAGAAAAAAGTGTATAGCAACGTTCCAGTGCGGCTAGTAAGAAGCTGCATTTAAATGCGTCCGATACTCTCTCGGCTTAACTGTTCATTGCGAGTTTAATGCCAGGGTAAGTGATCCACACATCCAGGTCCTCTGGTTTGGGGGTCTTGGAGACAGCTTGATCAAGTCAAGAGATGCCAATTCCATATCTTGTACCAGGGGAAGTACTTTGAGTTTAGAATTAAGAGCGTAGCACGAAACATGCTGCACCACAGATCCAAGACACCCTACGAGAGAGAACCAGAAGACACGAAAGGACCCGGGCAAAATAACGCAATCTAGAAAACGCCTGAGCGTTGAGAGTAAAGTACTACTGTATAGGCGTCTGGGCGTTGCTGTGGGGGGGAGGGGGGTTTCAATCATACCGATACCACGAGAAGCCACATCAGTGGCAACCATGATGGGGCTCTTGCCAGTCTTAAACTCATTCAGAACCCAATCACGCTCATTTTGTTGCTTGTCTCCGTGAATAGCTGGTCATCATTAGCAAGGATTCAGATGCAGAGAGGGTATATAGACTTACATAGCGCAGGCCATCCGTCCTGTCTAAGGAAGCGTGTGATATCGTCAGCGACACGCTTAGTTCCTGTGAAAATCAAGATCTTGTTGTCCTTGTCTTCCATAATCTTTTCAAGATGTTTCGTCATCCGGTCGCGCTTCTCAAACTCGGAAACGACCTCCACGATTTGAGTAATTCTGTGGTTAGCAGACAGCTCCATGGAACCAATGTTGACCTGAATGAAATCGTGCAGATAATCGGACGCAAGAGCGCGAACTTCCTTTGGCCATGTAGCGGACCACATGCAAGTCTGTCTGTCCGGGCGGATTTGGCCGAGGATCTTACGAATTTGGGGCTCGAAACCCATGTCCAACATGCGATCGGCCTCGTCAAGAACGAGGTAAGTAACACGACGAAGGTTGGTCTTTCCAGATTCGATCATATCAATGAGACGACCTGGAGTGGCAATGCAGACCTCCACTCCCTTTGCGAGGTCACGAATTTGACCACCCTTGGGAACACCACCGTAAACACAGGTGTTGCGGATGCGCGAAGACTTGCCAAACTTGCTGATTTCCTGCTGGATCTGTACAGCCAACTCTCGAGTAGGGGCAAGGATCAAGACAATGGGGCCATCGCCTGGAGCAAGGAGAGGTTGGGCATTGATGTGGACAATAGCAGGAAGACAGTAGGTCAAGGTCTTTCCGGAACCAGTTTCGGCAATACCCACAACGTCACGTCCAGACAGAGCCATGGGCCAACCTTGAGACTGGATAGCAGTGGGTGCTGGGAAACCTTGTGCCTTGACTTCGCTCATAACGTAGGCGGGGAAACCGGCTTCATCGAAGGTCTCAACTGGACGTGGGACATCGCGACCCTGGACAGACATTTGGTGTTCAGCTCGGAACTTTGCGACATCGGCTTCGGAGCGAGCGGTGACCACAGGGTCCTCCTTATAGAAGGACTTTTCGAACTTTGGAAGGCTTGAGAGGTCTGAAAATACTGTTAGTAACTTGAGCGTTGTTAGGACCTTTGCGATGACTTACCCCAGTTCTGTTTCTGAAGACCGGCGCCGAGGTTGGACATGCGGTCGCCACCACCACCGCCGCCGTATCCTCCACCTCCGTAACCACCACCACCTCCTCCGCTGTAACCATTTACATTGGACGAGCCTCCATAGCCGCCGCCATTTGAATAACCACCAGATCTAGGTCTTTAAAGAAGTTAGCATCTGCCTGCAGGATTGATGAGAGGAAAAGGAGTGATGCTGTCTTGCGTTGGAAGATAGTCGCGCTGAGATCACAAGTGATCCACAGCCTGACCATCTAACAAGCAAACAACGAATGCGTCCAACTTCACAACAATATCTAAAACCTTAGGTTGTCATACCCATGATTGTAGCCACTGGAGTAGTTATCGCGACTGTTGTAGGAGTTATAAGATGAGCCGTACCCACTGCCGCCTCGCGAGCCACCGTAACCGCCACCGCCGTAGGACATGTTGACGTTCTGATTTTTGATTGAAAAGAGTGGATAATGGTGAGTGAGATCGTGATATTAGAATCAACGATTTGACGCGGCGCAAATAGCTTTTCAAGAAGGATAAGAAGAAACCTGGTAATCAGGAATCGTGATGGGAGTTGAGTTGAGAAGAACTTCGCGAAAGATTGCGCGGTTCTTAAAAAAAAAAAAACAGAAGCCACTACCTAGGTACGGCTAGTCGATTTCCCTACGTTGCCTTAAGGTATTTCTTGGCGAGTCACGTGGGCTCGCTTGCCACTGCATGGGGTACATGTCTTAGGTAAGCAGAATCCTCACCGTCGTCTTCTGATGAATCCGCAGTGCTACATACAGCCTTCTTATTTCTCACCTTCCCGAGTACAGGTCTACCCATTCAATTTCCTAAGGTACCTATAGCTAGCTATTGTTGCTCCTCTGATTCTGATCATAGACGTATTTCAATTGTCATAAAAATATATGGATCTCCTAGTATCTGCTCTGAGCCGACGAGTCAACCTTCGGAATTCCTTGGCCCTTCTGCAAGGTTTCTCTACGGGCTTCCAAAGATAACAGTCGAGCATCCTTTTGTTGACGTTCGCGATCTAGAACAGAAACTAAGGCCTTACCGCAAGATCTTCTCCAATATAAATAGGAAAACCAGTTTCTCATATTTCTAGACCTTTCAGACAATGCAACCTTAGAAGATTCTGGATGAATCGTCTTCAATCAGCCACTTTCGGATCCCTTATGATCACTCAACAAGAACACATCAAAATGATCCCTGAACTGATTGAGATAGTAAAAGCCGATTTTGAGAACCTTGTCGACCTGAAGATCGTCCGGATGGACCAGACTGACAACATGAGGACCTATGGCACCTATACCAAAAGGTCAAGATGCTTCAGAGAGACCAACAACTTCTCCAACGGCATTATCGTTTGATCCATCAGTCCTAAAAGTTGACCTTTCAGGAGCTGTCAATAAACTAGTGTCTGATGCCAGAAGACGGCTCGAGGCTCCCGGTTCTTAGGTTCGAATTGCAGTTACCATCAAAATCCATCGATCAACCTTCATCATTGTTGTTCAGATATGGGAGAGAGCTGCTCCAACACCCTCTCTCGAATCACTCGGAAGTATAGTGAGTGAAGCCAATGAGAGTGAAGCCGCTCTTAGTGATGGTGAGGCCGTTTAGAAGTCATAAAATGATTCCATTGGTTCATTTAACTAGCCATTTTGCTCTGCACAATGCCCTTATTCTATGCATTTCCAGCTCCCATGTTCCAAAATCCTGTCTCCATCTTCAAACAGGTTAGTATCAACATAACTCGTCTCCAAGAGAAATCCTACCTTGGTTGCGTGAATGAATATTTGCACCAATTCTTCTATCCGGCTCGGAGACTGCAAAACTGCGTGTTTCTCCAGTAAAGCTTGAGAATGTCAGACAAGACTACCTGGGTAACACAGGGGACAACTCACCCGTTCCTATTCGCACCGCCTCAGCGTAATCATCGTCAACATAATTCTCGATCCATTTCCAATATAGGTTACCGTCTCGTCTTGTTTTCGGGTCGGCATGAAGCCGCTTGGCAATTGCACCATAGCCGATCAGACAGGGTGCGAGGGCGACTTGCAGAGCAAACCAGTCCTGGGACTGCCCGATGTCAAGAACATATCTACACCCGATCAGCCGATATACTTGCATATTAGGCCTATGAGAAAGTCTCACCGTGTGTATGCAGTACATGCTGAGTTATTGTTAGCTGTGTTTGCTACAAAGGAATGAGTCCTTACCCTGGCTCTCCTCCGTGGCCTCCATTTCCTCCTTGGTCACGCCGAACCCCTTACAATACTCGATATGCAAGCCCATTTCGTGTTGTATGTGAGCTACAATGTTGGCAGCCTTACAATAAGGTAAGTCGTTGTCAACCTCGAGAGTCTTTCCTAGCTTACCGCAACAGCATCTTCTATCGTTTTTGCCTTATAGGCAGCCAAGGCATTTGCCCTCGAGAATTGGATCTGGCAGCATCAGAATTGGCCAGAATCAAAGCCAGGAATCCTACTTACCAAGAATAGGTAATCTTGCATGAGGTAGTTCTTGAAGGACTGTACCGGCAAGCTCCCATCAGCGAGTCCAGCAACGAAATCGTGTTCGGTATATCCCCGCCAACTCTTGAGGACATCTTGCCTTTCCAGTACGTACTCAAGGAAATGACCCCTGGTTATGCAAGATCAGTAAAATATTGACCAAGAGTCTCGGGATGATGACTCACGGAGCGAATGGTAAGGTATAGGTTGAGTGGAAATGGTTAATTGGGCCATTTCCGTGACCTAGATCCGAGGAAGTCTTGATACCTGCCTCGACGTATCTACACGCCATCTTCACAGCCTGTACCATGTCCAGCCCATTCGCAAGATTTGATGCAATCGCGGCTAATGTTGTCAGTGTGAATTTGTGCCTAGAGAAAGGCCAACTTACATGCCAACGAACATCCAGTCCCATGGGTATTCTTCGATTCCTGATAACCTGTCTCTATTCTCGTTACTTGGCCTTCTCCGTAAAGAATATCGACCACAAGCTCTCTCTCTGCAGCTGTGCTTGAAACAGTGCCGTCTCTCTTGAGCGGGAGATGGCCCCCTTTCACCAGAACATACTTGGGACCGAGTGACTGCACAGCCTTGGCTACGTCTATTAGATCCTCGACATTCTCGGGCTCACGAACGGGTTTGCCGGCATTAGAAAGAAGCAGCGTCGCTTCCGGGACATTTGGCGTGAGGATCGTAGTCATTGGGAGGAGATGCTCTCTCAGTCCGCGAACGGCATCTTCAGGCAGCAATTGAAAACCACTGGTTGATACCATGACCTATGCTTGTCAAGATGAATCCGTGACGCTCTCTAAATGTACACATACTGGGTCAACTACTGTAGTGGTCACATGGTGGTGTTGAAGAGCATTCGCCACCACTTCGATGGTCTTCGAAGAAGCTAACATGCCTTGAAACAGTCAGAACTCATTTAAGAGCGTACAGTATTCGCTGATCGAGATAGAATACAGAAGGAAAGGTGGTACCAGTCTTGACCACATCCACGCCAATGTCACTGATGCATGCATCGATCAATTTCCGAACAAATTCGGGCGGAGTCTGATGGATATCAACAACTCCAAGAGTGTTCTGGGCAGTCAAGGCCGTGGTAGCGGTCATGGCGTAGCAGCCATGTGCCGCAACCACTTTCTGATCTGCTTCCAGACCCCTATGCACGCCCATGTCAGCCCGCCCCTGCGTTGGAGGGTATGAATATCATCGAAAAAACGCTGATATTCGGGAGAATACCCACGCTCCGCCTGAGCTGTCAGAACCAGCTATGATCAAAACTCTTCCCTTGCCCATCGTACACTTCGAGGTTCAAAAACGATAGAAAAAGCCTGAAAACCCTTCGATAGTTGGAGAACCGCAAATTCGCGATATTATGTAAGCTCTGAGGCATTCTATTTAAGGCAACGAAAGTTCCCGCTTCACGAGCGTTTAACCTGCAACCGTGGAGTAGACACAGCAATGGCCCTAAAACCTCAGAATCTAACATTCTCTCCAAATATCCATTCCATAATACCATACCTACCTAACCTAGTTTGTGCAGCTTATAGTATAACACTATAATCACGCATATTAATCCCTTGTCAATACCCCCTTCCTTCATCTCGCAATATTATAAAATCTACATACATATCGTAGGTCTACTACAGCAAAGTCCACCGATTGAAATCCCTGAGTTCTTAAAACCAAGAAGCAAAACCTGCTATAAGAAATAAAGTTAAAACATTCCGCTACATGGCGTATTCCTTCCTTCATATTTCCGGCAGTTTTCCTACTACTTACTCATCTCTTTGACTGACCGCGCTTATCCTCATAGCTTTCTTTATGGTATCTGGGCCTAGGCTAGGAGTTTGGGATTGGGATTGGGATTGGGATTGGGATTGGGATCGGGATTGGGAGGAGAGGATGGTTTATATATACCTATATACTGATAGTAAAGGGCTTTTCCTGAGGGGGGGCAGAAGGGAAGCAGTAGTCTAGACGGGGAGGAGGCCAGCACTGGAGAATGTCTTGCAACAGAACAAGCCTAACTGTGCTCCTAAATGAGCAGACAGCCAAGGCATGGACTACTGCCCGGATCTCATATTCGCACATCATGAGTGGGGGCGAGCAAGGTTATGGAATCAGTTTTGCTGTAGCTGGCTGGCTGATTGACTGAAAGAATTAAATGTTTGTACAATGGGTCCTCCCTCCCTAACGACGATAGTATTTCTTTGCTATCCAGTCCACACAGCCCACTGTTGGCGACCAGTTCTCGCTGTGTGGATGAACTCATCTAACGTCCCTCCCAACCCCGCCACCATTTCTCAGAAAATTAACAACACCAGCCAGCTAAACCATCAGAAACGAAATGCATCATATCATACGATCCTAGACCCTTGGTCACAGAGGAGTGACAGGCCCGATCGTTAAAATGTGTCAACGCACGCAAAAATGCAACGCAATACTCATAGACCCGCGCAAGCTAGCAAGCTCGGACCAAAGAAAAAGAAGAGTATTGACACAAAAAGCTTTTAGTCGTCGATCCTCGCCGGTCAGATAGTGCCGGTAAGAATCAAATCCATGAGCCAAAGGAAATAGCGCAAATCGCAACAACAACAAAAGCAACCGGGCTTCCTGCACACCACCCATAATGCGCAGGAAATGATGAAAACGGATCTGGTGGACGGAATGTAGTCTATGGGCCGAATATGAGGTATCATGGAAACAGAAGGAGGGACTTTTAAGACACGTTATAGAAAAGGCTCCGCCGCAAATGCAAGATTAGTCCGCCGGTCTATGCAGAGATATTAGGATGCTCCAGAAACACTTTTGTGTATATCATCGGATTTTCATGGCTCGCTCTCCTTATCCTCAGCCTTTCCCGCGGTTGCAGGAGTGGCCTTTGTCAATTCGGGAGAGTTAGATGTTGAAGGCGGAGAGGCCGGAGTTTCTGTTTCTCCAGATCCTAATCCAGCTAATAGACTGTAGGTAAATGATTAGCATTGAGATTACACAAATTGATTGTGCGAACATACCTAAACGCGTTCGCAGAAGTGGCTGACTCCTTCTCCTTTTGTGGAGGTGTGCCAGTCCTCGACGAAGCTCCTGAATCCTCACCCGTTCTGCTCAATGCGCCACCAGGTCCCATCTTACGACCACTGTTGCTTCGAGAAGAGAACAGCGAAGTTGGACCAAACGACAGTGGTTGACTCGATTGTCTCGAAGCACCCTTATTGGTCAGACGACGGAGATCATCCATACCAACAGTGTTCTTGGAGTAGTCGACGGGAGGCTGAGAGCCATATTGATTCGAGAAATTCCTTGAATCACCGCGGCCAATTTGCATACGTCCACCGCCACCACGTTGATTGCCCCGAGCAGTCTCAGCAGCTTTCTGGGCCGCAGCTGCTTCAGCCTATCATGATATTAGCAAAATCCTGTCTAGACGAAGATATTGGAGACGTACCTCAGCTCTGATTTCCTCAAGCGTTTTCGGACCCTTGTTAGCCTCCTTTGATTGCCAGTTCTTCTTCCGGAGATCAACGATATCCATGAGCATGAATCTCAAACGGCTTGGCAGTTCGGGGGTGTCGATCATTGTCTGGATGCGGGTAAAGTAGACGTCCATCATTGGCTTACCCTTTTCGGTACTGTCCAGGTTGCCACCGATAGTCTTGAGCAGCTTGGTCAACGATTCAATCTCGGCCTCGTCAGGAATACCGGTGTAGTCGACCAGCTTCTTCACACACTCGTGCATGATACGCTCCGTAAGCATGCTGAGCTTGTATAGCTCACCGATGAACTGAACGAGACCAAGACCGCGTCGCTTGGCAGCAGCAGCGATATAGTACTCGTCTGAGAGCATAGCAGCTTCCTCCGTCTTCTCCTCGCCACGTTCACCCTCAGGCTTCTCTGGCAAGTCGATCTTCCAGCCACGCTCGAACTCTTCTTGACATCTGTTGAGGAGATACTTGCGGAAGAGGTTTCCACCAGAGACGACGTTTCCATTCTTGTCCAGGATGCTCTCGTCCTTGATGTCGGGGCTCATGGTCTCCAACATGCGCTTGCAGAACTTCGCATACATAGAAGCCCAGTGAGCTTCATCTGTAGCCTTCTCGAAAGTGAGCTGAATGACTTGTCGAAGAGTGCGGCCATCGGCTTCATCCTTGGACTGTGCGGCAATTGCGAGAATTTGGTCGGCAATCTTGTCAAACTTCTCAGGAGTCATCTTATTCAATGCAGCCTTCACTTTTCGCTGGACCATATCAGGGTCCATGTGACCACCGGGACCAGGACCGGCAGCACCGGTTGCCGACTGGTTAGCACCAACACTCCGTGGCTTCCAACCATTGGCAGAGACCTGAATGGGCTTGAGTTCCATGCCAGCTGTAAGAGGCATCGTCTTTGCAGCTTGCGCTTCTGCCTTGGCGTTGCTGGGTTGGTAGCTGTCGCGCTTGCTGTTGCCGCGTTGCGATCTGCTTTGCTGGCGTGGTGAATGTGGCATGGAGTTCATAGCAGAGCTCGAAGGAGTACGTGTCATCGGGTTACCACCAGGGAAAGCTCCACCAGGACGATTGAAAGAAGCCATGGGGTTGATTGCAGGTCGTGACATGGAACCGCTGGACATGGCGAAGCGCTCTGCCGAAGTTGTTCCAGGCGGGAGAGTCTTTCCGCCGGCACCAACAGCACCGAAAGAGCCCATCGCAAAAGCTCCTGGAGGGTTTCGGTTCGAACCTTGTCTGGGGCCCATGCTAGAAGACTGTCTCGTAGAGGCTGAGCGTGCTGAACCTCCATCGCCATCTCCAATCAGATTCTTCACCTGCTCGGCAAACTCCAACGATGGCTTCTCAGTGAATACCTTTTGGAATTGAAGCAGGAACTCCTTGTCATACTTGAAGCTCTGGCCTTTGGCCTTGACAGCGGAATTGAGTGCGGGGTTAGGTGAGCTGATGTTAGGCGGGTAGATTGAGGGATCGATGACAGTGAGGAAGCGAGCCGATTTGAGGGATTGCAGTGCCGCGCTGGGTTGAGGTGGCTCCACAGGCTTGGTGGTCAGAGGCGCGAGGTTAAGCGCTGCAGGCTTTCCACGCTTTTCTGTTGTAGAGACCTTGGGGGGTGGCGGGCCCATGGAACCATCAGAAGCTGGTGTTGAGGCTCCGCTGTCCGTAGACAGGGTAAGGTTGGAGAGCTTGGAGGCAAGGGTGCTTGGGGTCGTAGGTGCATTCTTGTCGTCAGAGGTGGGCTCCTTGCTTTCAGCCTTGACCTCCTTCTTGACGTCGGCGCCGGACTCGGGCTTATCACCGCCTTGAGCCTTTGCCTCTGCCTCAGCTCGCTTACGCTCACGTTCATCTTCCAGGCGCTCCATCTCGCGCTCCTGCTCCCGAAGTTTGCGATCATTCTCTTCGGCGTCGGCCTTTCTCCTCTCTTCTTTCTCCTTCTCAGCTGCAGCCTTCTCAGCTGCGCGTTTTGCAAGAAGTTCAGCTTCCTTTCTCTCCCGTTCAGCCTCGGCCTCTTCCATCTCGCGAATCTGGCGTTCAAGTTCTTCTTCCTCTTCCTGCTTAGCCTTCTCTGCAGCAGCTTTTGCGTCCGCCTCTTCTTTGGCCTTGGCTTCTTCCTTTGCCTTCTCTTCCTCCTTCAATTTTGCCTCGGCCGCCTCCTTCGCAGCCTCGTCAGCCTTGGCAGCCGACTCAGTGGCCCCGGCAGCTGCCTTGACCTTCTCCATGATCTCGAGTCGAACCTGCTCCTGGGTCTTGACAGCAGCGCTATCACTGCGAGCATGTTGAGGAGTGGCTGACTTAGACGCAGGCGTAGGGGTTGAGGCAATCACAGGTGGAGTTCTAGTGCGATCTCGGGGGGCAGGGGAAGGAGGGGCCTTCAGGCTCTCGACGTCCAGGGCACCACCATCTGGTCTCTTAATAGGAATCGCGGCATTTCGTCGAGATGGTCTCGAAAAGGCTGTAGATGCAGAGTCGGCTTTTGGCGTCGGTGTGTGGGCATGAGAGACGGGTGTCATCGAAGGAGTCTGAGGTTGGCCCATGCTTGAAGCTGGTCGTTGATCTGAGACCTGGGAGGAATTTCGGGACATCGGTTGTGCCTGCGGTGCGTACTGTCCAGGCACATACGCGTTCGGCTGCTGGTATCCCGGTTGTGGGGATTGCGGGGGGCCGTTCATATATTGCATCTGGGGATACATGAATGGGGCTGCTTGCATGGGCATGCCCATACGGTCAGTATACCCCTGGGGAGGGAATCCGTAGTTCTGTTGCTGTCTCATTGTCAGAAACTGATCAAAACCACCACCTTCTGGCGAGATATCCATCTTCAAAATCTGCGAAACATCCATCCTAGGGAAACCAACGACAGGAGGAGAGAAAGGAGGGATAGGAAATGGAGGGGGAAGAGGGGGGTAATCTGAATCATCAGTAATACTAGGTCGACTTCCTGAGGATCCCGGTGGCATGGATGCATTCTGCTGGGGTTGCGGTGAATGTCCAGGCTCCGTGGAAACCGGTACGACGCTAGGCTTCTTTTCTTTGATACTTCCATGCCCTGACGGCATTGGCTTATTAGATGTGAAACTGTGAGCAAAGAGCTCTTTTGGCTGCTCTGATGATTGCTGGCTGGGCGAGGACTGCTCGTTTTTGCGCCAGTTCTTGAGCTTGCGGCCTTTGATCGGTTTGGAAGATTCTGAGAGATTTTGTGAAGAAGGGGGGTGATTTACTTGTGGGCCCTGCATGTGCGGAGCATAGTAGTTGTTAAACTGCTGTGGGGTCTGCATTGGTATAGCTTGGTTCATGTTTGGTGTGCCTGGCATCGAGTTCGCCATGGCGGGGCTGCGAGCAGCTTGGTGTGGCGAGTTTGGGAACTGGGGATTCATTGGTCGACCCTGGCCCTGAAATGGCGGAGCCATGCCACCACGACCTTGATTAGGTTGGTTTCTGAACGGTGGCGCTGTAGGAGGGTATCCCATCTGTTGCTGGTACTGAGGGTTGAAACCTCGACCTCGACCGCCTTGTGGGGCAAGGCCGCCACGACCCTGAGCACCTGGGCCTTGGTTGCTCATATCGCTTTGTGTAGACTGCGAAGATTCTCGACGAAGATGTCCGGCTTGATTGCCGGGAGCCAGTGGACCTTGAGATGTAGAAGCTTGTCGCATGTGACGCTATCGAACACGCATAATTAGTAAAAAGCTGGCGTGCCAAGAGTGAATCAAAAAACTTACATCGCCATCGCCACCGAGACTGCCAAATGTAACACCGTTTCCTTGCTGTGACAACCCAGATGGAGGCCTTCCACCGCTTGCAGATGGCTGTGGGATAGGAGAGGGAGACTGTGCTGGGGAGGTCACTCTGGGATTGCTTGGGATCGGGATCGGGGCCGAAGCAGAAGGCTGCGCGACCTGGGGAGTGCTATGGGAGGCAGCAGGGGAGCCCGTGATAGATCCAAACTGGATGCCACCCTTTGAACCACCCACTGGACCTCCATTTGGGATATAACCACTAGGGCCCGTCGCGCTTATCGTGACAGAACTCTTCCGGCTGTGATCGTTGGAGCCCCCATTAGATGCAGAACTGCTGTGGGCAATGGCAGGTGCAGAAACTGCCGGTACAGCAGGAGAGATCGGAGCTCTGCCATTTACTGGCGAGACAGATGATGACTTTCCATGGTGCTGTACCGGCGCAGAACCTCCGACAGCCACGGCGGGAGAGGGAGTCGAGGAGCCCGTCGCGATCGGGGGCGACGAGACAGCCTTCTTCGCGGTAGAAGCGTACGACTGGGTCGATTGCGACGCGCTGGTGGAGTTGGAGGCCTGGCTGGGGATCTGGGATGGTTGGGAGACTGAAGTCATAGGGTGAACTATTTTTTTTTCCTGCTTGGGCGTTCGTGGTGTGATGGGGGTTTGATGTGGATGACGTATCGCGACAGAGATATTATTTCCTTCGCAGAAGGGCGACCTGATGTCAAACCGGGTCTATGCTATGGAGGAGCAGACGTGACGGTTGATGGACGGGAGAGGAGGTGGTTGAGTTGGTCGAAGTTAATCGCTTCCCTCGTGAGAAAGACAGCCTGACGGCGCTCGTCTTTTTTTTTTCCCGGGGGGTGGATGAAGGAGCGTACTGCGCACCGCAATCGTCAAAGGGCGAGCGTGCGAGGGGGATTATGTCGCAAGTACTGAGGGTATCAAAGACTATTCCTGCCGCGATGGATCTTCTACAGAATAGAAGAGATCGCCGGAGTAGTGGGAAGGGGGGATGTGTTGGTGTGGTGTTGTTTTCTGATGGAAGTTCAGATGGGTTGCAGGAGGCAGATCGAGGAAAATAATAATAAGCTGGCGAGGGTTCGGCCTGGGGCCTGTCGCGTACTGTCGCTTAGTCCGGAAGAAGGAAGAGAGGGAAGGCGGCGCGTATGCTGGAGAAGGAGGGAGCAATCTTTTTTTGGCTGATGTTTTACTTTGTGTGCAAAGAGAGAGAGTATCTATCTATCTTCCTTCCTTTTGTTTTTTCCTTTTCCTTTTCCTTTCTTTCTTTATGGGTGTTTGATGGGGGCCCGCTCTCCTATCTTACAGAGCGAGTCCCCTTGCACGCGTTCTCCTGCCCTCACCAAGGAGCGCGGTTGTGCCGTCAACAGAGAGCAGAGGGGCTAAGGCAGGGCTATCCAGAGAACCCCGAGCATACACACAGTAAGGTACTGTACTGTACTGTACCAGGCAATACTTTCAAGCACAGCACTCACGCAACTCGATTATTGATATCACTCACCGTGCTTTTGCCACGGGTAAAGACTGGCTTGACGGCAAACACACGTATACCCAACTGACACACACAGACGGAGTTAAGAGCCTTCTATTCCCTCCAGTAACCTATCCCGATCTTCCCTGCCCAGAGATTGATTAATGCTCGTTCTTTGCCTCTGTTTGTTTGCTAATTCTCCCCCTCTTTGACAGAATCACGGTCCAGCCGTCAGCACATCTCTTCTCCTCCGCGGAAAGCCTTCTGAAAGGAAATACTTATATATAGCCCTCTCTCTCCCACCGTGCTTTTGACGCGGACCCTCCAAACATTCCACAGCAATCCGTGGCCCGTGGGAGGAGTGTAGGGGTTGACCCCTTGTTGTACTCCACTCCGTATTCCGTACTCCGCACACAGTAACAACACAGCAACCTGATGCCTATTCTCACCATGGCCTCCAGTCTTTCTTGCCAACACAGGGGAGAAAGGAGAGAGGGAGTTCAGCTCGGGGAGCGGGCTTCAGGAGAATCGTGAGGCGAAATCCGACTTCCCTCGCCCCTTCTGGAAACCCAGCGAGTCAGGTATCAACGTCCGTCCAGCTTTCTTCATCTAACCTCGATCCCCTCACATCCAATAATCCCCCATATGCAGAGCAGCCGAGAGAAGAATCTTCAAGCCTGAAGCCCCACGTTACTTGGCCGCCGTCGCCCTGGCAGCGCCGGAGCCTGGAACTTGTCTCCGTCCCAGCCGTGACATACGCCCGAGAGACCAGTCCTCGACTACCTACTCTGTAGGATCGAGCGGTAATGCCCGCGGGGCCACAAAGTCCAAACTCCTTTTCTTCACCCCGTCAAGGAAAAGAAGAAGCGATGACTTCAGGGGACCAATCAGACATTCTATACATTGCTGACACCAACGCACACACATATTATTGTTTTACAGTACATGCGCAAGAGAGAAAAGAAAACAACGAAAAAAAAGAAAAACGCAAAAAAAGGGACCGGCGGAGGTACATACATAAGGATAAGCCACGGGCCGCAGCAAACGCTCTGAGCCTCTCTGGCCGATTCTGACTCGCCCTGTGCGGCCCGTACATGCCATGCCACGCCTTGCCTACTCGGTCCGCCCATGCGCCGTGCCACACAGCCAATGCCATGCATCTGCAATGCATCCCGATAGTCGCAGGACAAGACCAGACATATTTCTCAATGCGTGACATCGCATCGTCGCATGCAGTGTGACGACAAGAACAAGGCCCATCCATGATCAATCATCATCTGCAGCAGAAGGGGGGTTTTCAAAAAAAAGAACCATCACAGATTCACACTGTACGAAGTTAGAAAATCCCCATAAAAAATTCCAAAAAGTTATTCAAAGCAAGCCCCAGTTCCTGCAAGTTGCAACGTCCCGTGCATTGCTTCCCCATCACAGAGGACCCTGCGAGCATATACATACAGAGGTATACATAGGAAAATATTCCCCCGGTCCAGGAAAGGTTCTATTGACTTGTTGCCTAATCACTCACCCCTTTCTTGGAATCTGACATATCATATATATAAATACATCTTCGCCTGGGTACCTACCTACCTATATTCTGATCTACCTCGAGACACTATCCAGTATGGAATCACGTGATCTCGATACACATCTCCCTAGGTAAGGTAAGGTAGGTATGGAAAAGGTACCTCAGGTAAGGAAGGGGGTATCTCGGGGTATACTTACCCCTTATCTGATGTGCCTTGCTAGGTAGGTACGAAGTATATTGCTTCCAGGTTTCTCGACCTAAGACACCTTACCATCCTAAGGGAGGGGCTGAGCTAGCAACCTTACCTTACCTTACCTTACTTCCTGGTTCGAGTATACATACATATATATGGTCATTAGGTGTAGTTGCGGACTTTCTCGGTGGGGGCTGAGAGGAAAACAGGATCCCGCTCGGGAGTATGATGCAATGTAAGGGGCACCGTCGAAGAATGAAGATGCTTGAAAATCATATCTTGATCTTCATTCAAAGGTCATGGTGGTGGTCATTGCTGCGATAAGCGGGAAACATATTGTGATATATACAATGAACCCAACCTCAAGTCTCGCAAAGTTACGATATCGTGAGGACCATAATGCATGCCTATGTTGTTCCATCCAAATCACACCTACCCCTAACCAACCGCCTGTTATCCTACAATGCAAAAAGCCTGCGACCGCATATAGCGCTGTTGTAACAAAAGAACTGGCCCCACCATATGCCCCCTTTTCGAAAAAAAATTCTATCTCGTCAACTGCTGCTTTGAACATCCCTCGTGTTCCCGCAATAAATGATAAACACGCTGAGCAATAGCACTAAAAAACTGACGCCGGATAGTCATAAGACCGTACAGTTGGAGCCGGAGCCCCTAGATGATTTGTTAGTTGCGCAGCCTATGCCAAGACCAACACTTACACTCTTTTCCTTCACGGCGAGAGTGGTGGAGAGGGAGAAGCATACCATCTCTGCGCCTCGAGCTCGGCTGCCCAAACCACACACATTTTTAACCGCTCCCGGACGCTCGAGGTCGAGAGCATTTTATACTTTTCCGCATCAGAGGTGGGAATTACACTTGCAAACCACCAGGGGAACAGTGCAGGGTCGTCGGGGCATTCGCCATAGGCATGGACCACGTTTCGCTGCAGCCATGATGCGCTGTTATCCTGCATCCTCTGCACGAAACGTACCCCGATATCCATCAGCTCTTTTGTTGGTATTGAGTTGAGCTCCTGGAGGGAAGGTAGATCTCCAGATTCTCTTGAAGGGCTCTGACGTGGAGGGGTATCGTAGCCCTCTGCGGAGAAATTTCCTGCAATGGATGATGTTTCGGCCGCCTCGAGAGCTTCTTCCTCTGTGACGCTGACATCATCAATTCTCTCTATCTTGCCAACAGTATAGCCATCAAGTACACCATGTCTGACAACCCGAAATCTAGAGACTCCAACGGTCTCGAGGAGGCTTCGACCATCCGGCATAAGCTGCATGTTGACGATGTGGAGTAAGGTCCCAAGTTCATAGAATGGGACCCTTCCCAACTCTCCTTGAGGCTCACGGCTTGGATTATACAGCAGCATGCCGAATTTTCGGTCACCGCTCTCGATAGCTCGTCGAATCATCAATCGATATCTAGGCTCGAAAACATGCAGGAAGGTTGGCGTGCAAGGGAAGGAGAGTGTGCAGATAAATAGCGGTGTATCTAATTCAGTAACATCGTGCATGTCACTCAATCTCATAGATTCTAGTCGCAAATCAAGAGCCTCATGGCAGAGACTAGAAATCAGTTTTGTAAGGAGCGCATTAGAAGAAGCTTGCTGAGCGCTGACTCCTGGTGGGATTTCCATCCGCCGTCGGCATAGCGGGCAAAGATTCGAGTGATCGAGGACGCGGTGGAGGCATTGTCGGCAGAGTGTATGGCCACAATTCGTGGTCAGAGGATCCAGAAACACATCGTAGCAAACTTGACAATCCATCTCAGACCTTGCGGATTCTTTCAAGTGTTCGAACACTTTGGTATCCAGCTCTTCAGTTTCATTCGAAGAACCCATTGCCGGGTACATAACCTCGGAATCGTATGCAAGTTCTCCCATCTCCGCCATGGTATAAGTTGCCAAGAGTCGTCCACCGGGGAGAAGTCGAGTCCGTACCAGATCATCATGCAGAGAAGATATCCCCGCGATTGCCCACCGGTCCACCTCTTGAACCTGCGACAGAACTATGGATGCCTCAGTAGTGCCCCGACATTTTTCCATCACCGTTTTTACAATATCCAAGACCTTATTGAGCACCACATCCACACTGTAATCCCCCACCGCATGTTCCTTCCCGCAGGTTTTGAACGGACATGCGAAGCCTTGTAATCTATTCGCCGTCGCGGGATAAGAAATATTTGTGCGGTAATGCAGTTCGGGGATGCATGTCTTGCACAATGTGTTTCCACACGGCAAGGTGACCGGTTCTCGCAGCGGGTAGGAGCATTGGGGGCATTGGACTAATCTCACGATCTGCCTGGCATTCTTGGAAGCATCGAGAGTGGCATCCGACGAAATGCTCTTGGGAGTGGGAGGATCCGAGGGCGTGGCAATGGGAGGGAGAGAGATATTGTCGAGGGAAGGAGAGGACATGAAAGGCGCTCCGTCCAGCGAGTGCCGTTGGACTGTAATGTACTTCGTGGGCTTGTAACGCGGTATCGGCGCAGCGCTGTGGGATCTTCCAATGTTCGCAGTCTTCCCAGAAGACGGCCGGAATACGATACAGCTGTAATGGTCCCTTTCCTACACAGGATATTCAGAGTGGATTTCGCAGAGGCGCTGTCGTCGTAATATGCAGTCGCAAGAAGAAGGTCGTATGCGCAAAGAAAGGAATCAAACAAGAGAGGAAATGAGAATGAAACCGTCCATGCACCCACAGCGAGATCTCTGGATACCAGCTGGATTCCCGTCGATGAGAGAGACGGATGTATATATGGCGTTACCGAGTAGGCAAATATGACCGACAGGGAGGTGGGATGTTAATGGGCTTATGAAAGGAGGTGTGAGGATCATCGCCAGGAGTCTGGGAAGTCGACAATTATTCCAGACGCTGGTGGTGGGGCAGCGAAGCCGCGCTACCACCGGACCGAGATTCCGTTCTTCTAGAAGATAGAGAAGATAAGGTGAGAAAATCCCCAGGCCGGGCCCTTGAGGCTTGCGAAGTGGCTAGGGGTTAGTGGCGCGTGGCTAGTGGTGGCTAGTGGCTAGTGGCAAGGTTATCGTCGGCTCGCTTGGTTCTCTGCTGGCCTTGAACCGTGAGGCTATCTTTAACGGTCAACGACGGGGCAGTTCCTGTCCTCTGAAGGCTCAACACCGTCGACGCTATTACCTTTCCCTTCCTCAAAACCCGCTTCTCTAAGACATCCCAGATGGAATGCTTCAAGTGTGGCTAAAAGAGGTAGTTGCAATTCAGATGGATTGGAGTTCAAGCTTTGTTTTTATTTGGGCTTTACTGACTCATTTGCTGGTCTTCTCTCTTCAATCGATCAATGAATAGCTTCAATTTTTAAACTTTCACACGCTTAACGATCAAGGATCGATAACCTGACATAAAATCACTTATTTAGGTGGGCTGATTGATGCACGGCAGACATTCATATGCGGGCGGCTTGGTTGTGTAGTCATGTAGACACTTGACTCCAATCGGGTAAGTTATTCGTTGACTTGATCATCCCATTGCCTTGTAAAGATTCTTCTATGCCCTTCACCCTCTCTTCAATCGAGTAACGAATAAGGGACATAATCACAGCTTTACGGGCACTGGTGCCACACATTCGAATAGATACACGTCGTCCCGCCAAGTCCAGCCCATGCTTCAACATTGTAGCCATTTCGCTATCGACAGTTCTAAGCTTCTCCTTCAATTTCTACCTACCTTACTGTAAGGTGGAGGATACAAAATCTGGTTGTGGCGGTGCAGTCCTGAGCTAGGCACTGTACCTATTCCGTACTACTCTGCCTGGTCTGCGACGCTTGATCTTGGCCTTGACTATTCATGGAAAGGGTCACAAGCCTAAGGGCCACAAACCTGAGTTTCTAGAATCTCTTTTTGCACTACCTGTACCTTACCTTGCCTACGGTAGTACGGTACGGTTAGGTTGGGCCAGGGATTGGTGCGTCACGACTCACGGCTCACGTGCAAAGAGAGTTCATGAAAGTTTTAATTGCAAAGAATGCATCTACGGAGGTAGATGCCTTCATCTATCTGTGTTCCGCCCCCAGTGTGCTGCATTACGCCTCAAATGAAGGAGGAAATCAAAAGCATTATGACCTCTCTGGATCAATATGGCCGACACTGTGAATCCAGCCATCCAGCCATCCAGCCATCCATCCCCGCTTCCTTGGCTGCATTATTTCCGTAAGCAAATGAAGAAGAAAATGAAAGACTTATGATACATCTTGATCAATGTTATGGTCGTTGAGGACAATGCTATTGACTCCCCAGCCACCGGGCAATCCCGTCCCTCGATAGGGATCAACAATAGTGCCCCAACATCCCAGAGCAGCAGACTGCAACCTTTATGCAGGCTTTAGTGATTGGAAGCGGAACCACGTTTTGCCTTCTTGCCCTTGGCTTTAGTTTTCTCCCGAGCCATGGCATCAGCTATCCGCTGTTTGATTTCGTCTTGTCGTTTAATGCGCGTCTCAAGGGCTTTGGTGAAGCTGTTCAGCTTTCTCCTATCCTTGTCATCCTCATTATGGACGTCAAGCTTCCAAATATGCAAGACGTGCCTCGCGCCATCGGCTTCTGGATTTTTGCGATAAAATTCCAAGACTAATCCTCGCGCCACACAAGTATCCAAGGCCGAAACGTCCTCCCAACACTCTTGTCCAGGATCATTGTACGTCGGTGCAGACTTGACTAGAAATTGGACTCCGTAGATGCTCTCCTCGCTCTGTCTTGAAGAAGATATCTGAAAGATATGCCAAGCTAGATCTCCACTGAGCGAATATTTGGGTACAACTCTCGGAGGGAGTATCCCATCAGGATCCACCATTTCGAAATTGCGTTTCTGTTGACGCGTGCGAGTAGCAACTATGCCTGGCTGCCTATCCTCACCGAGTCTACCTTCGCCGATGATGTCTAGTTTCGCAGTTCGTTGTGCATCCCTGAGCGACTTCACTGAAGGTAAGTTTCTTTCCAGCCTCGACTCTTCTTGGAGGACAGGCAATATGGCGTCTTTCCAGGGTTTTTGATCCACAAGGTTAGGTGGGAGAGTAAGGGAGATGCTTCGTAAGCCTCGAGCGGCTTCCAGGAGCTCCTTATAACCCGCCATCTTTTGGAAATCTGATGGCTTGTTGGAGATTGTCTCGGGAAAGATATCAAGCTGGAGGTCTTGGAGACCTTTGCAAGCGTTGAGAAGTGTGAACGCCCGAACCACATCTGGTCCTCCATCGTGAAACCGAGTGGTACCAAATGGCAAGACGCATTGGATCGATCGGATCGCTGAGAGACGGCTTGGAGTTATCGCAACGAGGTATGTAATGACGTGCTCGGGATATCTGAAACTAAAAACGTTGCTCTTATAAAATATATGAGACGTGACGACCTCATCGTAGATTTGGTGACAAGTTCTCGATAATTCAACCACAGCAAGCGGTACAAGGCATTGGCTGCCGCTATCGCTCTGGAGTTGTGACCAGTAAAACTTATTAGATCGAGGTTTTATCTGTGATGGCATGATGGGATCGGAGTGTGTAACGGCATAGCCGTAGATTCTCTGCTTTACTTCCATGGGTAGATTGAGGAGACCACTTGTTTTGTTGATCTTTGTATTGTCAGCTTTGCTAGTGTGCCAAAACAGGGGAGAAATCTAAATACCTCTGTAGCCACATTACGGATCTGGGCGGTCGTCTTGTCTGCATTGATGTTTTTAGTATTCTAGAGGTCAGGTTAGCTTAATCGCCAAGGGCATGTGAATTATCGAGAGCGTTTGAATTATCAAGGAAGTGTAAATCGGCAAGGAGGTGTAGATGACCAAGGGCATGTGATCATCAGGGAGGTGTCATCAACAAGGTGTAAATTGTCAAAAAGGTTTGAATCGTCAAGGAGATGTGAATCGTCAAGGAGATGTGAATCGTCAAGGAGATGTGAATCGTCAAGGAGATGTGAATCGTCAAGGAGATGTGAATCGTTAAGAGAACAAGAGAATCACATACCTTTCTAGTACTCTTTGCCATCTTTACGACAAAGAAGATCTGTGTAAGAAAGGACTCTGCAAAGAATCACACGAAGATGTATGCGAAGAGAGTTAGACGTGTGCGAATAGGCTGTGGATTCGTAGATCTGAACTCAGATGTTTTGAGAGAAAGTTGTTCGTCAAGAGGGTTATTGTTAGTAGGTAACGGACTGTGCGAAGAGGTATGTGAAGAAGATCAAAGAATCGGTCGAAGAACTAGGCAAAGGGCTGTGTAAAGGACTGGACAAAGGACTAGACGAAGGACTGGACGAAGGACTGGACGAAGGAGCCACAGGTTCCTAATATTTCTAGTGAATTTGTTGATAGAGGACAAAGATCTGTACGAGCAGATATGCTTTGTGTAGGACATGCTTGCCTAGTTTTCTCACTTTCAATCTTAAAGAAAATCAAAGCTTACAGGCATTCTTGTTTACAGATCTAGAAGATACACAAGATTACAGATTCACAGGCACGCTTTCTAAGATCTAAGAAATCTTAGCTTTATCTTGTCAGACCTTGCTGTAGAAAGACTTTCTCTAACACAACAGCTCCTCTAGTAGTTTGTAAACAGAGTTATTTTGTATAATTTGTATACAAACTATGAGTTCAGCCCTGAGTTTGTGAAGATCGAGTCTACCTAGAGACTCATTTTCCTTCAGAGTTTCTGTACACAGAACAACATAACTACGCCCCTACTCCCGGGGAGGTTTATGCTAGAAACTAAAAATCGAGGCAACAAACAGAAAAATATACACTATGCGAATTTGTTTACAGGGTGCCTGAGAGACTGAGAGTCTGAGAGTAATTGAGGACATATAAAGGACATGGGAGAACAAGTGCCTCTAAACCAGAGAGATGTTTCTTTGAGTCTTCTGCATTCAAAGAATAACCTTTTCCTAGAGCTCCCTTGGACTCAGCCTACAGCGTGATAAGTCTCGAAGACAATTAATTTTATGCTAATCGTTGTCAAACTACTTCCAACAGCAACGAGCAACAGATAAGAGGATTCTGCTAATAGGCTCAGCAATATCCAGGCTCTGCCAAGAAGTTTCAACGTTGGCAGGATCCGCGGTGTGTATATCGCAACATGAGATGTAGTTCAGATGATGGAGGCTCATACCTAGCCGCAAATATTAGGTAGGTAGGGTGAACGAAAACCACCAGTTGTGAATTCTACAGTATTATTATGTAATCATCTAGGGGTCTAACCAAACCTTCCTGGACCCCCTTTTCCATGCGTGGGGTTGGTTGACTTTGATTCTCTCTATTGCTCATATTATCGAACATCTCCTTAAAGGTAGTTTTGATGTCTTGGACTTGGAGTATCTCAATTATCATTGAGGGTTCAATTATTATTCAGTAGCTAGTGCTGCTCCTCTCCCTCCCACTTCTCATTTGGTGGCCGCTCTTGGCTCTCCGGCTTGTTAATTCTCTCAGCCTTGCGCTGACCAAACTCGACTCCTGGAGCGATATACCGTCCGATGATCCGATCAGCGCGCGGGGCATACGGAGTGTTTACAGTAGTAGGTCGTGATTCGTGTGGGACATCCCCAACTCTTATCAGTTCACCTCCAGAGAATGGGTCGCCTTCCTATCGCCCATCTCCGTTCCTTCATATCGTCAAATCTCCGGGGGCTGCGTCTTCGCCGCGGCTTATCAAGTCCTCCCCGCAACAGCCGTGCCGTTGGACAGGGGATAGCTACTCTATCATTGCTACTTGTTCCTGGCTTGATAGGAAAGGCATCCGTCATTAAGGTGGGATAGGCACAGGCCGATAGAGCCGTTTATATATTCTTCTGCTTCCCATCTTTGCTGGTTATTTCTTTTTGCCAAATTCCAAAGACTTAATTATACAGCACTCACTATCAAAATGACTACTCCTTACCCCCTTCCTCCCGACGCTGACAAGGTCCCTGAGTTCCAATGGCGTGAGAAATATGACTTTCCCAGAGATCTAGTGGGCTATGGAGAGCAATCCTTCAACCCACAATGGCCCGGTGGAGCTAAGATTGCTGTTTCCTTTGTGATCAACTATGAAGAGGTGTGTTCTGTCATGAGGATCAAGATCTATCTTGCTAACATGAACAGGGCGCTGAGCATACTGTTCTGAACGGAGACTTGCACTCGGAGACACATATATGGGAGGCACCCGGTGGTACTCCCGCGGTTCAGGAGCGAGCTGTGAACGTCGAATCTGAATACGACTATGGATCTCGAGCCGGTGTTTGGCGTTTGTTCCGCCTTTTCAACAAATACAACTACAAATACACTCTCTACGCAGTGGGGAAGGCCATTGAGGATAACCCTGCCGTCGGCATCTCCTCAGTAAAGAATGGGCACGATGTTGCCGCACACGCTTACCGCTGGGTAGACTACGCAGGCATGCCGCCTGAGAAGGAGAAGGAGTACATCAAAAAGGTATGTAGAACGTCTCTGATATCTGTACCCCAATCCTGTGCAAATTGCTGATGTTATCCCTAAAGGAGATCGAGTCACTTACCAAGACCTGTGGTGCGCCGCCAAAGGGATGGTACTATGGGAGACTATCCAGCAGATCGCATGCCCTGGTTTGGGAAGTTTTCAAGGAGATGGGAATCCCATTAGTGTGGGAATCCGACTCTTATGCGGACGACCTACCATATTGGATTGATGTCCCAGCTGAAAAGGATGAGGAAAAGCCACAGGGAATGCTCATGGTTCCTTACTCCTTTGGTATGCCTCACTCACCTTGTTCTTGGATATATCTGACACATTTTAGACTGCAACGACTATAAATTCAATGTCCCAACCGGTTTCAGCTCCCCAACCGACTTCTACGATCATGTCAAAAATGCATTTGACGTCTTGTATGAAGAAGGTTGCGAAGGGTCTCCTAAGATGATGACCATTGCCCTCCACTGCCGTGTTCTTGGCAAGCCAGGCCGTTTCATGGCCCTCAAGAAGATCGTCGAGTACATTGCGTCTAAGGAGGGTGTGTGGGTTGCAACCCGAACCCAGATTGCGGAACATTTCAGAGAGAAATTCCCGTATCAGCCAGGATACTTGGCACCTGGTGTGAAGAGAGCGGAGGCACCGAGGATGATGAACGCTTGGCCCGAGCATAAGCCTGTCCCAGTCTAGATCACTAAATTGTTTTTTATTCACGAGCAGATGTTAATAACGATCTCATGAATTCATTCTTAGCTTATTCTACTACAGTCTATAATTTGTATTTACTCTCATAATTCGTGGTCAGTCACCTGCAGCTTGCAAAATTTATCCCTACTACCCCTTTCACACCCCTTTGGACACGGATAGCTGTGATTAAACTGCCATGAAAAATACGGGTCCGTCTCATTTGCCAAAACATCCGCGATCAGAACCGTCTCCCCCGGCAATTTGGTCGACTCTGCAAACACTTCCTGGGACGGTATTGAGATCTGGCCGAAGCCCCTGTTGATGAGTGTCTCGATACTGGTGCCATAGATACATTCTGCGAAGCCCGACCAGCGTATTGCAGAGGCACACTGGGGAAGAATGAGCAAGCATCCCGAGCGGGGGAGGTGGGGAGCGTACCATTGGACAAGGCTCTGCGGTTGTGTATAGGCTCAATTGCGAGTAGGCTTTCAAAGCCTCCGAAGGACTCAACCTATACAGACCATCCAGGTCCGTAAGGACCTTGGAGCAATTCTCAATCGTCGCCATCTCACCTACACAATCATCAATTGGCATTCTTCACCCCAGGCTCTACGAATTCGCTGACCGTGTAGAGTAGGATTTCCAACATGCGCTGCCTGATTCACACCCATGCAGACCAGTTTTCCCTTGGGATCAGATGTGTCGGTGTGGTTCACGACCACCGACCCGAATGCTGCGAATGGACATGGGGAGTCGAGTTCTGCCAGTGCGGAAATGGCCCGGCGCATCCAATACACTCGAGTCTCGTACGGGATCGCATCTGAAGAGTGGGGAGTGGCACTGATTTGTCCATCGCCGTTTCCGTGAGTGGTGTGGATCAAAGCCAGAAGGACGAGAGCGAGAATCGACAACGGATAGAGCATTTTGAGCGTACGAGGGACATGCGTAGATGAGGTGAGGGTATGAGATTCGGAAGAATTATATTGGAGAAATTCTTTTCATTCAAACATGGGGAAGGAATATTCTGTTCGTCTCTCCCCGCATTGAATTAGCAACGTTAAGATGTCACTGTTATCGCTTCGATAAGACAGCCTCGTTCGTTTTCAGCCTTGCCAGCTCCACTTCATTATTCATAATTTCATAATGTTCATAATGTTCATAATGTTCATAATGTTCATAATGTTCATAATGTTCATAATGTTCATAATGTTCATAATGTTCATAATTTCATAATTTCATCCCACCCACAAGAACCCCCAGTTACCACCAAGTAGCGCACCCACTCTTGAGCTTTGTCTCGGTCCAAGGCGCTTCCGATGTTTTCCCGAACATTATACTGTATCAACAGATTGCTGGGTTCTTGGACGATAAGGAGAGCTTATCGACTCTCTCAGACCTCGGTCTGTCTTGTGAATCTTGTGAGAACTATGAGCTCTCTGGGTCTGATATCGACTTATCAAGCTTTCATCTAATAATAATAATTATTGGAAGGTTAGGAATTTGCCTCGTTGCTGGTGAAATCCCGACTTTCCGGATATCAGCTAGCAGGGCCCATCATTTTGTATTATCAAAGGTTTTTTTATTTGTGGGGTTCTCTTTGTTTGTGTCCTGGCGACTCTAGGCTCTGTCCTTTCTGTACACCCGTTTCTGCCATTCTTTTCCATATACCTTGTCAAATACATTCAGATAATGGCTACCGATGTCCCATCCGCCGAAGCAGCCCTTCCCGGCAATGGGGTTGCTGCCAAAGAAGATGCTCCCAGAGGGGCCTCCTCAGCCCTCTTCACCCCGCTCACCATTGGCAATGGCAAGATCACACTCTCTCACCGTATTGTCCTCGCCCCTCTGACCCGCAACCGCGGTGTCCCTCTAAATCCTAACCCTACTCCCGAGTCCCCAAATCGCATCTGGTACCCCGATTCCCTGGTGAAAGAGTACTACCTCCAGCGCACCACCCCCGGCGGCCTCCTCATTACCGAAGGACTCCCCCCCTCTATAGAGGGTAATGGCATGCCCGGCGTCCCCGGTCTCTTCTGCGAAGAGCAAAAGAAAGGATGGAAAGAGATCGTTGAGGCCGTGCACGCAAAAGGAGGATACATCTACGCGCAGCTCTGGAACTCGGGCCGAGCGTCGATACCGCACCATACTGGTCTCCCGACGGTCAGTTCAAGTGCGACGCCCTATGAAGGTGATGAGGTGTATTCGCATCCGCCTCCTGGAACGAGTACGAGTGTCAAGTATAGCGACTTCCCACCTACGGAGTTGAGCGTTGAAGGTATCAAGAAACAGATCGCAGATTATGTCGCCTCGGCGAAGATGGCCGTTGAGGAGTGTGGGTTTGATGGCGTGGAAGTGCATGGAGGGAACGGATATTTACCCGAACAGTTCTTGGCCAGCAATATCAACAAACGCACCGATGACTATGGAGGAAGTCCAGAGAAGAGATGTAGATTTGTGTTGGAGTTGATGGATGCGTTGGCACGGGCTGTGGGAGACGACAGGTTGGCGATTAGGTTGAGTCCATTTGGATTGTTTAACCAGAATAGAAGCGACCAGAGGCTTGAGACGTGGGGCCATTTGTGTAGGGAGCTGAAGAGGAAGCATAGCTTGAGTTATGTGCATTTTATTGAACCGAGATATGAGCAGCTACACAGCCTCGAGGTGAAGAATAAGTGTAAGTGACCGTCCCTGGGTCGAATATTGAGCTTGGCTAATTAGACACTGCAGTTTTGCAGTCTTGGGGTATGCTAGATATCGATCTCAAGGTCTTCAGAGAGATCTTTGGAGAGACTCCTTTCTTTTCTGCAGGAGGCTGGAACGATAAGAATTGCTGGGGCGTGGTGGAAGAAAAAACCTATGATGCACTTGCTGTCGGCAGACTATTCCTGAGCAACCCGGATTTTGTCGCGAGGTAAGTCTTTATGATTCAAAACGCAAAGCATCCAATAGTGATAACAGCATTGCAGGCTCAAAAACGGTCTTCCATTGAATGCCTATGATCGATCACGATTTTATGGCCCTTTCGCAGACCGAGAGGTTGGTTACACCGATTACCCCACCTACGAGGAGGTTCAAAAGTCTGTCAAAACATAGAACAGAACCATCTGAAGGAACGTTCTGTTTTGATGTCCATGCTAAAGCGCCATCGTGCAAGGGCCTTCTGACCCACTTCTGGTTTTGTGTTGTACAAGTATAAAATGCTACCGGGGGCATATCCATTTCATTTCGTCGAATCACTTTCCACTGCTTTGGTCTCTGCAGCGGGCAGATGATCCTCTGCTGGTGCTGCCGTTTCTTCTTCCGTCTTCATAGTAGCTTCTAATAACTCGGAACGAGCCGAAACAACCTCATTCGGTGCTGCCTCTGCTACCTCTGCTGCTGGTGCATCGCCATCGGCCATTTCGACCTCCGTATTTGTCACCTCTAAAGACTCCTTCGGTTCCTCCGTTGGTGTTGATCTCGGAGGTTCATCCTTATCATCATCACCGAATATGTACTTCTCAAGATTCTTATAGGTAGTCTCGAGATCGTCATTGACGAACGTTTTGTCATAGAATCCTTCCAACTTCGCATGCTCAACCTCCTTCTTAGCGGTGTCGAGTCTTGCTTGGATGTTTTCGTCCGGGTCAGATCCTCTTTGCCGTAATCGCTGTTCAAGCTCTGAGAGATTTGGGGGAGCAAGGAAAATAAAGCGCGCTGCGTATCCCAGGTCTTTAAGTTGTTCAATTCCCTTGAGTGATTGTTAGAGAAATAGCAAATGGAATAGGAATGGTCGAGCTTACGTGCATGTCCATCTCCATGATGGGTACCTTGCCCTGGGCTATGATATCCTCTACGACCTTTCGGCTTGTCCCGTAATTGCTACCATTATAAGTATTGTATTCCAAAAAACCATCCCCGTCACGAAGAACATCAAATTGTTCCTTAGAGACGAAGAAATAGTGCTCGCCATGAACCTCTCCTTCCCGAGGCGCGCGGGTTGTATGAGAAACCTTTCTGCCGAAGACCTTGGTATGTCTGTCCATAAGCATCTTAATCAGAGTTCCCTTGCCAACTCCGCTTGGACCTGAGATAACAACTGGGCGGCGATCTTCAGGAAATACACGTCCATCGGCATCCTGGGATTCATCCTCACCATTAGTGGTTACTTCAGGCTTGACAACATCATCTTGGAAGATTTCGTCAATCTTATCAGAGCGCTCGATCTTATCAAAAGCAACCAACTTGCTTGTGCTGGCGATTCGCAAAACTCTCCAGCTCTTGCTTGCCTTAGACTCGATGGCGGCGTTCTTCGATTCCTCATCTCTAGCCATATCGATGTCCATGTCATCTAATTCGATTTTACTCTTGAAGCTTTTGATTGAGGGGATCCGATATCGCGCAGGGTCCTTCAATTTCTCTAATACATCTCGATCGTCACTTTCGGAGAGGAATTTGAGGTCTAACGATCCTAAAGGTGTCGGACGAAGTCGCTTGTTAGTAGTGGCTTTGCGTGCTGAAGCTTTTGCGGCGACGTATTCTTCCGGGGAGACAGCAGGTCTTGTAATGGATGGACAATTCTCTATTTTCCAGCGAACCCAGTTCTTGTCTCTTGAAAGAACAGTCTCGACTACCCGGTAGAAGAACGCCCCTTCGACCCCTTGCTTTAAGTATTCTGCGATTGAGCGTTTCATGTCAAGCGCCCACGTTGTCTATTGCTGATTAGCAAAAATAGCACAAGAAATATGCGGCGGGAGATCCATTGATATGGCAGAAACGTGTATAGGAGAATATCAAAATACGGAGTACTTACATCATCTTCACTGAGGAATTGGTCCGCATACATAACAGACTTGTTGGGGTTATCCGGCAATTTAGCTTTGGAAAGCTTCTCTTTCGCTTTGGCGCTTAGAGAGAGGAGGAAATCCAAGACAATCAGGACTTGAACTAAAATGTTCCTCCGGAATGAAAGATCACTGATCTAATCGTGGGCATTAGTAAAGAATAAATCAGAGGAATCTGAGTACGTTATACCTCAAGTTCGAATAGGTCCCTACTAGTAAGATACTTCGGATTGAATGCATTTGCTAGGTCGTCGTCCCCTTGGCTTCTCTTCCGTTTTGTGCCCCTTTTGCCGTCTTCTGTAACCTTCACAGGGCGACCAACCATCTCCGTTTGAACAGTTTTGAACATAGCCATCGTGGCTTCAAGTCCAGCCTTAAATCCGGAGAAGTTTGTTGGATCGAACAACTTTTTCGGTTGGTTGAAGCTTCCCTGCAAGGACCAGAATATTGGATATAATTCATCAACGCTCAAAGGTGCTTCAGTTTTAGAGAAAGTGACCCCCTTAACACTCGAATCCTCAGGTTTGCCCGCAGTACCGTTTGGAGTGGACTTTGACTTTAAGTTAGGATCTGAATCCACATCCATTCTTTCAGAATCCGACTCCTTGGAGGGTAATTCATCAAATGTGGTGACATTCTCAGTATGGTATTCGCCTCGAAGATTGACAGAGCTTCTGTCACCTAATGGGAAGCTCTGAAACATAAATATGAAGACTCGCCCGCAGAATGCGGTGTCCTCGGCTCGTGAAAGTCGCCGAAGCAATTCATTACAGCTCCGTAGAATGACCAGATTCTTCTGGCTGAAATGCTTCGCGGTAATCCTCTGCCTTCTTGACTCTAAATAGTCAAAAATCCTTCGACAACCGGAGATCGTCTGACTGTCCAAGAGCTCCTCGACTAACCAGAACAAGAGGGCAGAATCGCATTGTTCGTCATCGGAGAGAAAGGATGTGATATCTAGTAGATTCCACATTTGAACAAAATACGGCGTATCAATCGTCGTGCAGGCCTATCGATCGTCAGATGGAATTTCGCATGAGCGGGTCGATGAGAGGCTCACCAGTAAGTTGTTGAACTTGTCTCGAATAGCAATATCGATGACTGCATGGCTCTGCTTCCTCGACTCTAGGGTCTTCGCAGACGAGAAGAATGTTGACTCCACCCGCTCGAGAATATCTTGAAAGTCTGGCTTGATTAAAGGCGGTTCCACCGTATTCGTCTGCTTGACCTGCTCAGCTCTCACCAACAGTTCATTCAGAAGCTCCCCAAACGCATCCACTGCTTGCACCTCATGGCCAGCCATGATAGCGGTCAGGCGCCGGTTCGATCTCAACTCGAGACTTTAAATCCGGCTTTGGCGCTGTTGAGGTCGTCACTGTAGCAGAAACTGGTCCTTGTCTGGCGTCCTTGGAGATGGAAGTAAAGATTCGCGACACAACCTACAGCTCCGGCTATTTTTGGGCGTCTCTTCTTTTAGCGGAATCCAGGTGTGGTTGTAGACAATTATGTACGTATTGTCCGTATTCACTCAAGCTATATCGCACCGTTACCAGGGCCTTAATTGCATGAAAAGCATATAATAGTAAGGCTGAGATATGTTTAAGTTTGCCAATATTCAAGTCTTCCAAGATTTCAAGGCCATTTCATTGTCCTTTTGAGCTAGTATATAGGCCTGGGTCTTCCTTTGAGGGTCGCGCTTTATCAAATTCCCGAACCTCGTTAAAAACACGACTGATGTCGCGAAATTATTTCGAGGCACGCCGCGCCTGTTCAAGACGCAACAGCAACGATGGCGCCAAGAACGAGAGGGAATCAAGAGCCTCAGCGCGAGATAGACGATGAGAGGCCGACAGTCGCAGATTTACAGGGCGAAACACCATTTGCGCAACTTGCGAAAGAGCATTGGCTCAAGGCATCAAAGAAGGGAGCCAAGGTCAAAGTCAAGCCAGACGTCTTGAAATCTGAAATATGGGATGTGCTGGAACAGGAGAATTTCGCGTTCAAGTCACTTCTAATTCTGGAGAACCTGCGGATTCTAGAGAAGTACATTGACATGCTCTACTTGGTTATGCTTTGCTAATAGCTCTTATAGCTACCTTTGGCCAGGATACTCCGAGGATTCGTCCAATTTTCACGTCCTTCTTATCGTTTTGATCACGAATGTTAAAACACGGGAACATCTTCCAACATGGGGTGAGCACCCAGGCGCTATGGTAAATGACTTGCGCTGACAATATAGACATATTTACGGACAACCCTGCGGAATTCTCTACTCTTTTTCGCCGAATCCTCTCGATGACGCTGGATACTACATTATCTGCGACCATTCGAACCCATCTCCTTACCTTCATAATCAGTTCCTTTCAATCGTTGGATAGTGGTATAGTAAGGAAGGAGTGCGCTCCTTTGGTTTCGATTTCCATATGGCATAATCTCTCCAGCGACAAGAAGCGGGAGCAGAAGCTTGGCCAGAGCATTCAATTGAGGAAGGCTTGGAGAGCGGCAGGCAAGCGGTATGATGCCGCTGATGATTTGACTAAGCCTCGACTCCGTTTTGAAAGGTCTTGGCTGTTTACTCTTATTCTTGATTTCTTCAACCAGCTTTACAATGAGAAGGGCAAATCAGGTACGTATTGCATTGTAATAGAAAGGATCCAGCTGACTTGAACTGCAGAGAATATAAGATATTGCGAACGTTTCATCGAATTTTTGGCAGACCTTCAAAGTCAGTTGCCGACAAGAAGATACGTTAATACTCTCCTACAGGACTTACACACCCTTTCGGCTATCCGAATGTCTCCTGTCTTCAATGACGAGGATAATGGTCTCTTAAGGGACCTCTATGCACTCCTTAAGCACTATACTTATTTCTCAATCGACGATCACACTGGCATTCAACATAGCAGCACAGAAGCATATGAACGACACTGTGCAACACTTGCCACGTTACAACGTACAGCCCTCAAGCATTTCAAGGAGAAATTGACAATCTTGGCGTTATCAAACTATGCATCCATTGATAAACGTTCAGAGCTTGAAGGTCATTTGGAAACCCTCACAGATGCTGAAATTAGTGAGCTTTGTAGCTTGCTGGATTTGCGCACGTCATATCCAGCCTCGACGAAAGTCGTGGCAGATCGTCAATTTCTGACCGAGGTTTTGTTGTCAACGCATGAGAAGCGCAAGACGTTTCAAGAGACTGCACGTGATCTCAGCATCCTCCCCACGGAGCTCACATTGTTTGAGCCGGCATTGTTAAGAAATGATAGCTATGATGGTTCACAACCATTGGCTATTCCCAAGCTGAACTTACAGTATCTTGCAGTCGGAGACTTCCTATGGAGATCCTTCATCCTTCATCGCTGCGAATCGTTTTACGAGATTCGAAAGGACGTTGAGGATACCATAAAACGTATGCGGCCAATAGCCGGCCGTGCGGGTCAGACTGTCTTTGAAGGTGTATCCAAGATGGCATTGCCAATCACTAGTCTATCGTAAGTTTCTCATCGACGCACTTCATCAACACTGCTAACTTTAGATAAGTATATTGGAAACAGTTCCACCTCTCGTTGGAGATGACAAACCTGCAGCAGTTCGAGCCGAGATCGTGCTTGATGTTAGCCGTATGGCAGATAACATTCGACGTGAATGGGACTCCCTCCGGCCAGACGACGTAGTGTTCTTACTGGCCGTTCAGGCTAGTGATGACACAAAAATGATCACAAATGGCAGCACGACTCCTTCTGATGCAGAAAGGCTAGGCTTGAGATACCTGCGTGCTGCTGAAATCATTCAAGTTCAGGATGATAAGGGGCGCTCACTAAGGGACCAAGACGGCCATGCCAATGGGTACGGCCGCCCAAGGACGCGCAGATTGCAAGTCAAGCTAGATGCAGCTATGTTCAGAGATGATATGAACCGGGTAGCTAGTGGAAAGCCTGACATCTACGAGAGTATGAACGTCATCATCCGCAGAAGAGCCCGAGAGAACAACTTCAAACCGATTCTAGAATCAATCCGGAGTTTGACATTGTCAGATGTACCACTAGCTTCATGGCTTCACGAAGTGTTCCTAGGCTATGGTGACCCAGCTGGAGCTACCTATACGCACCTCGCAAATCAAATCGAGAAGATCGATTATCGGGATACGTTCCTGGACTGGCAGCATCTGATTGAGAGCTTACCGGGCAGAACAGTGGAACCGAGTGACGATGCAAATGGCAGCTTCGGGCCACCGTACGTATTACAATCGGTTTCGAAGCCTATTGAAGTTGCCCCAGCAAAGCCTTCAAAGAAACGGCGGCGTGATGCCGAGCCAACACCGCAGGTCCAACCGCAATCAATTCAAGTATCTACCTACAAGCCTCCAAGCACAGGACCATACAAAACGGACGCCCCGAAACTGAACCATGTCAGATTCACACCGAAACAAATTGAGGCCATTATATCTGGAACTCAGCCTGGGCTTACAGTAATTGTCGGACCTCCTGGGACGGGAAAGACCGATGTTGCAACACAAATTATTAACAATCTTTACCACAACTTCCCCAATCAGCGAACCCTCCTCATCGCACATAGTAATCAAGCGCTCAATCAACTCTTCCAGAAGATAGTGGCTTTGGATATCGATGAGCGCCATCTACTACGATTAGGCCATGGTGAGGAAGAACTAGACACAGAAGCCAATTTTAGCAAACATGGCAGAGTGGAATCTTTCCTTGAAAATCGAGATGGATATCTGAGAGAAGTTGATCGCCTTGCAGCAAATTTTAATGCTCCTGGTGCACATGGTAGTTCTGCAGAGACGGCAGGGTATTTCAACTCTGTCTACGTCGAACCCGCCTGGAAGAGATTCCATGAATTCTCAAAGTTACCAGAGGCCACTGCCGAACAGATCGTGGAAGCCTTTCCCTTCCACCAATATTTCGCCAATGCGCCTCAGCCTCTCTTCCCACCCAACGCTAGCAAGGACACCGTTCTTGATATTGCAAATGGTTGTTACCATCACGTCGCGAAGATTTTCACGGAGCTGGCGGATATTCGACCATTTGAGATACTACGACGTGATCGCGATAAAGCAAACTACCTCCTTACCAATGAAGCCCGAATCATTGCCATGACATCCACACATGCGGCAATGAGAAGGCGGGAAATAGCATCACTCGGCTTCCACTATGACAATGTTATCATGGAAGAGGCAGCTCAGATTACTGAAATTGAGAACTTCATCCCTCTTGCATTGCAAAACCCAAGGAACGGCAAGATGCCATTGCAACGCGTGGTTCTCTGTGGTGACCACTTCCAAAATTCGCCCGTTATACAAAACCTAGCTTTCCGCCAGTACGCCAACCTTGAGCAATCGCTATTTTCTCGTCTTGTCCGTCTTGGTGTTCCCACAATCCATCTTGATCAACAAGGTCGTGCTCGTCCCTCAATTGCAACTCTTTACTCTTGGCGTTACCAGAATTTAGGAGACTTGCCCCTCTTGTCCGACCTGCCCGAATTCCAGACTGCAAATGCCGGCTTCAAATACGATTACCAGTTCATCCAAGTACCCGATTATAAGGGTAAGGGAGAGTCAGAGCCTACACCGCATTTCATACAGAATTTAGGAGAAGCCGAGTATGCCGTTGCTATATACCAATACATGCGCCTCCTTGGCTACCCGGCATCGAAAATCACAATACTCGCTACCTATGCCGGCCAACGCGCTCTGATCAAAGATGTGCTCGCTCATAGGTGTTCCAAGAATCCTCTCTTTGGTCTTCCTAAGATTGTCGCCACTGTTGACAAATACCAGGGTGAACAGAATGACTGTGGGTCCTCTCTTCCTCCATTTTCAAATATATATTGACGTAAATCTAGATGTGATTCTCTCACTAACCCGTACCTCTCGCGTCGGCTATCTACGCGATATTAGGCGTCTCACGGTTGCATTATCCAGAGCTCGTCTAGGACTATATGTACTCGGACGGCGAGAAGTTTTTGAGTCTTGTTTCGAACTGCGTCAAGCTTTTGAAGTCCTTCTGAAGAGACCGGACAAGTTAATGCTCGTTACGGGAGAGCTGTGGCCCAGCAAACGAGTATTGAAGGAGGAAGAAGGCAAAGATGTGCCTGGGCAGACTCAGATGGAAAGTGTGGAACATCTGGGGCAGTATGTCTACGAAATGACGAATGCTAAAGTACAGCAATTGAGGGCGGAGAGGGGTCTGCCGGAAACCGAACTGGTGGTGCCTGTACAGGATGCGGATACGGAGCTTGTGGCTGTTGACGAGGAAGACGACGACCTTCAGGAGGAATTAGAAGAGGGGTTCGAAGCCGAAGAGAATTAACGAATGAATGCTTGGGAACAATCACATGGCTTGGCGTTTGTAGGATAGTTTGTGGGCATACCCTAAGAGGTGTATATGTAGTGTATAAATTTTCTGGCACCTTGCTAAGTCTTGCCTTATCAAGATTCGTGCCCCAACCCACTTCTTTCCTTTCCTCCCGAACATAGTCTTCTTGTCCATTGCAACTTGCAAGAACCAAGTATAAAGGCCTGTCAAAGTCTCCAGCGGGAAGATTAGCAGGGTTTGATAGGCTCAGCTAACTCGAAAACACTGTTATTGAAACGAGTAATTCATTACAAAAGAATAAAATGAGAAATAGAGCAAAATAAGATACGTTCTTGACTTTGGGACAATATATGATAGCTAATTGCACAACAGTCTCTCTATTTCATTAACAGCAATACTTCAATTCTCTAAATCCACTAATTACATTCCAAGGAAAGGCTGTATCAGGTACTTCGAAAGTCTCCGGCGAAGTTGTATGAAGATGAGGTTAGTCTAGGGCCCCGGGACGAACCGAACCCCCTACTTCAACAAATAATAATGATAATTTGCCAAGATCCCACGATCTACATTCCAAAGAGGGATCAGAATAGACACAAAAGAGATCTGCATTAGAAGTGCCTCTTAACCAGAAGGTCAAGCCCAAATTATGCCTGAGGCATAGACATGCTGGTAGTGGATCTATCAGTTGGCCGGGGAAATGTTGACATCGTGTCCTGCGTCCTCGATCCTGAACCAGGTGAAGAGAAACCACCTGGAAGTTCCTACCTTGAGACTTGCCTGTGTACTGAATGGACTCCAGGCCTAATCATGGGTCACTCCTTCCCCAAGATCGATCCAATTGAAATTCATATTCTATAATATGATCCGCAGACGGCACCGGAAATCTATTGCAGATTTGGCTTCAAAGCATTAACAGATATAAACTGCCAAAGATGACTGGTGCTGGACATAATCTGTTTCGGCGCTGCGTACATCGTGCAGCTTCATCCTCATTCTCTTTCCCTCTATCTTCAAAGTCACTACACGTGAAGCCAAAGGTTCTTTTAGTCTCTTTTTCTGGCAAAACAACAACTCCCTGGCCTGTGATGCAATCACCATCCAATGACCGTAAGTTCGCCTTGAAGGATATAGCTAGCATTCTTCTAGAACTATCTCACTGGGTCACTGACGAGCATTATTAGCCCTCTATCCGTACGCATATACCAGTGGCAGATGGCTGCATCGCGACAAGGAACAGCGTACCTCAAGGTACATCGACTTCAACTTCGACAGACTATGTAACAAGGTATTAGCCCTGTGCCCTGAGGCAACCCATATCATCAGCTACGAGAAGGAAGAAGGGGGCTACAATAAAGTCTTTATATTCCTTCTAGACAATGGAAAACGAATTGTGGCACGGTTGCCTACTCGAGTTGCAGGCCCCTCCTCATTGACCACAAATTCCGAGGTCGCAACCATCACATATAGTGGGTCTTATATCTTGTCATTGAACCTCTCAGTCTAATTATTGACCTTGGTTATATTCTTATAGTAAAGGCTCGTACCACGATTCCTGTGCCTGACATTCTCGATTGGTCAGATGATTCTACCAACCCAATTGGAAGCGAATACATCATCATGCAACATGCCCAGGGCGTCCCGTTAAGAGAGCGCTGGCCTACGATGTCTGGAAGTCAGTATACTAAATGTGTCCAATCGATTTGTATGACAATGAAGCAACTGGCGACACTCGAATTTCCAGCTTATGGAAGCCTCTACTTTGCCAACGCTCCAATCGATTCTGCTTCGAAGATGGATTTTGTGGAAGGGTTCTGCATTGGACCTCACTGTGGGACTACTTATTGGGATTGCAAAGATGGTCAAACGCTTTCTGCACCCCATACAGGCCCGTGTATGTTGCCAGGACTCTTGAGATATTTCCTGATAACAAACGTCTAATGGGAAATTTACAGGGTCTGACCTTTCAGCTTATGCCTCTGGTCTTATTGACAATGGATACTCTCGACTTCCGGTCCCTGGCACTGAGAGCTCACGGCCGTCCTACTTTGGTACGGTCGAGGAGCACCAAAATTTGCTACGTTCAGCAAAGGAGGTGATGCGATGTCTAGCATTAGAACCGCACATCCGTAACGCCGCGGCCCCAACTTTGCTTCATGCAGATTTACACGCAAGAAACATATATGTTTCAAATGACGATCCCACAAAGGTTACTTGTCTCATCGACTGGCAATCAAGCTCTATCGAGCCAGCATTCATCTATGCACATGAGGTGCCAGACTTCGCAACCCCTCCCCACTCTTCATATTCCGAGGAATCGGAGGAGGAAACTCCCAGCCAAGTACCGAGCATGACTGAACAAGAAAAGAAACTTGAGAAAGTAGCTCGATTTTGTAGCCAGGCTTATGACATCTGCACGAAGGCATTCATTCCAAAATTGCGTGTAGCAAGATCGGTCGACCAACCCCTCGTACGGCCCTTCCAGTACTGCAATACGTCCTGGAGAGACAGTGCTCCAGCAGTCAGGCAAGAGTTTCTTGATCTAGCTAACCAATGGGAGAAGCTAGGCTTAACAGGTCGCTGCCCGTACAACCCTACCGCGGAGGAGCTTAGATTGCACCAGAAGGAATACAAGTCATTCCAACATGTGCAGGATCTGAAGCTGATGCTGATGGATTTGCTACACACCGACTCAGACGGTTGGGTACCCACCGAGCGCTGGGAAGAGGTAAGACATGCTCATAAAGAGGTGTTTGATATGGCGATAGAAACTGCTAGAGATGGCGAAGATGAGACCGAAGATGACCATCTGAGCGAGGAAGATGTAAGAGAACTATGGCCCTTTGATGGCCACAAGTGTAATTAGCGTCACGGCTAGGAAGGCACTGTATTCCCAAGTACAATATTGATTTGCTTCTGCGGTCTAGACCCGGCGTCATGTCAAGTGTTTTCACGATAGTATTAGTTTCAAGAGCACAAATGTAAAGAAAGGCCCATAGGCTTTCCACATAGATACTTGCGGAATTTTGAATTAACGTCTGAAGCAATCGTTGAATAATGAAAGGGGGTGTCTATGCTGGTTTTCAAGACTTTCGTAAAGACTGAAGTCTGACGGAAATGAAAAGGATGAAATGGGACAGCTACCACCACGAAAAAACTGGGACCCCGGAAGTCTAGAAGCTGTCATCCACCGGGTGCGTTCCGGCTCTCGAGCCACATAACGCCCGCTCGGCAGGTGTGGATCCTGGCGGCGACTGAGGGGCAACGCACGCGCGGGAGAGAACTGGAGCAGATATCATAAGATTCACAGTTGTTCTAGGGAAGAATAAGGATAGGCGTGGTAATAACTGCAGCCAATCTGAAGCAGTACCAGTTGGCCGGCCACGCGAAACTCGTGCGGGTTAATGCGACGTTATTACGGAGTATATGTGTGGCTGGTGTGGCGGCCCATTGTTCTGGTCGACGCACGAGCAGCCGGGCAGTGAGACTGTGAGGGTCACTAGGACAGGGGGTGTGTGATATTATTGCCCGCGCCTCGAGAGGAGACTCGAGCCGACGAGCGAGCGTTTGAGATGGTGGGCCCGAAGATAGACAAGGACAAGGGCGACGGAAAGACTGATAAAGAGGATCCAGGCACCCCTCAATCTCGCGGATATGTAGCCAGGTCCGTCTAGCCAGATGTGATGACTTCCACATGCCCGCTGTGTCGGTACGTACTAAGGTACTTGGCCAGAGTCATGAACATTGCATCAACGGCAGAGTAATCCCCAGCAAAACCTAGCTATTATGCATTTGGGCGTTTGAGGATTGTCAGGCTCAGGAGCGATACGAAGTAATCGAATGCACGAAGTGGGTACGGAAGGATCTCTTCCGAGTTCCAACTGGATGACAGCAAAAGACGTGACAGGAGATGGTAAATGGGGGACCCGGGGAGGTCACTACCCGTACTATAGTGGAGAGCAACTCAGTCCACAGACTCCATCTTGAGGGTGACAGCTAGGCCCAGTGACTGACTGGTAGCCGCTCGCTCCGTTGCGGGTACTGTAGATCTCATTGTGTGAATGGCATGCATAGCAACTCGAGGAAGCCAACACCATACATGCGGGCGGAAAAAGAACTCCAATTGCAAGGCGACAGTGCTCTGAAGAGGAGAGAAGAGTCTTGATGGCAGAGAGCAGAACGTGAGGGTGATTGATGCAAGTTACGGCAGGAGCCGCGGCTGGGTGCCTTTAGGCGTCTGATGGCGTCCGAGTATAAATTATAGCCTCACATTCCAGGTTGACACTGATTTCGAAGCGAGCTCCATGCTTTCAAGGGAGGCTCTCGTACCTGGCAGGTCCTGGCTATCTATATCCATTCACATGTTCTCACACACACCACCAAACATGTTGCTCGCAATGCCCTGGGGCAGAGCAAGATCTAAGCACCACGCAAGGGTCTACCAAAAAGCAAAGCGGCTCATGGTCATGATTCGTCTCGACGGCGCTGCAGAATCTGAGCGGCTACCCACAGGGCCACAGCCCGCCTCGATATTGCCTTGCCAGTCCCATTCCAAGGTACCGAGCTCACCTGGTCCGTCTGATCATTGAGAAGAAATCTTCAAAATTGTGACCATACCTGTGCCCAGTCTGTCTCAGCCTTACCAACGGATCACTAATTAGTTGTACGAAAGAATTCCAGTCACCGAGAGGTTGGAGAGTACTTGTTGCACTTACGCTCTAGAACAGGAGTGGTCTTTGCTAAGAGATGACAATGAAGAGCTACCCTTTTCGCTGCCGCACATGTCGTGCAGACTAATGCACTCCCAGGTAGACAGCTAACTTTTCAGCCCCTCTCGAAATGGATTCTTTGAGCCACAATCTCTGCATTAGATGGTGGAAAATAGCAGATCTACCGAGCTTTTGGCAATGTCTCTCCCAACAACCCCAGCATTGAGCAGCGGTAAGTTATCCATTCGCAAACGAATAAAACAAATATGCCGCCATCAAGTGGCCCTGAAAACAGCAAAAGGGAAGGGAAAGCTAGGAGAAAGGGAGGGAGAAAAGGCATTGTGCCAATCGACGAAAATCGACTAGTTGCGTCGAGCTTTTTCGCCGCATTCCCAAGTACGACTTGCGACTCGTACTTGGTACGTACCCGGAGTCACACTGTCACACATAGCACGGCAACTTGCTGCTCAAGTACACGGGGGTCCCGTCCCGGCGGACCGCCTGGGGGGGAGCCAAACAGGAGACGCAGGATAGATGCCTTGAGCCTTCTCCCGTGAGACAGTGGCCGGAGGGATGTTGGGTTTCCGGGAAATACAAAGGCATACAACACCTGTCGTAGATTCTTCTTTTCCGGGTTCATGGCCGTGGCGAGATGACAGGGCGTGAGGTACGTGCCCGGACGCACAGACATTTGCAGGCAAAGCCATGTTGGTGAAGTTGGCAGTGCGGACGTACCCCGTCCTGCAGACTGCAACGAAGAAGAATAGGAGCGGAGCACCTGATCCGATTCCGACAAGAGAACCGCAGGTATCACCGACCTCACCCATAACGCCCTATGCCTCCTCCGTGGGCTTGGAGATCCCTTTATTTACCTCTGGGCACTTGGGCGCACCGAAGAATGGGATGCCGGGTTACTCAAACAGCTTGCGGAGCGGCACACCTCTCTCCCCGGCCAAGAGCCTGCGCCATAATTTAATGACCGAGAAGCGCCTCAAGACCGGGGCACCTGTCCGGTGTTATCAACTACTTTGACAGCTGGTCTCGACCGGCATTCCTGAACAGATCCCGGCCGTCCTGAAACGACTGGCTGACTTCGGCTTGCAAACCCTACCCGCGGCCCCGCCCGCTCGAGGGAGGAAAAAAAGGACCGCTTCTAGCCTTTCCACCCGCCATTGCTGCAAGTCTGCAAGCTCTAGTCTCCTACCCCGTCAGACTAAGAGTTTGGCTACGGAGATAGAATGCCTTTCTTGTTGTGTGATATGCACTGTTCTGCATCATCAGAACATCTTCGAAGTGGCCTTCCTCCCTCATATTTTCACGAGCGACATAGACTTTGATAGGTCAAGATTCTAGGAGTGCTCGAGTCTACCTACAAAGCTGCGGGGATCAGCCATTGACCCAGCTTGCCAAGTCAGGGTCTTCTCCATGTCGTGTAAGCATTGCTTGCATCCCTCCTGTGGAGTCCCTCCCTATATTTCATTGGGTTGTCGATTCTCATCAACCAGTTATGGCAACGGTTATGCGTTGGCCCGCAAAATCAACCCACCCTCGATCTCCCCGCTTGCTCCCCTGTTTTACTCGCTTTGCCCTCTATCTGGCTTGGTTGGGACTCCATACACCTCGCGAACTGCAAAGGCCTGTTCGTTCTCACCTGTTTTCTGTTGGTCCACTGTTGCTGCTTCATCTGAGTATCGGATGATTGCGTCGGCATTAGGTCCCTATATCCCAGTCACACAGTAAGATACCCAGCATCCTGCAAAGCTCTCGATATAGTACTATCCAGCATTGCAGCTTCCTCGCCATTTGTCCATCTACACCACAGCCACAAGGCCATCCTATTCGGCACTAGCCGTTAAGCCGAAGGCTCACAGTAGCTATTAGTTTGCTCTGTAGCTAATCCTTCTTTTCATTTCGACTGTTCTCAACCTTTGGGACTCGTTCGAGCTACTCTCATCTATCATTTTGACCGTGCGTAGCTTGTCACTCTGACCTGAAGCTCCACAAGCTAAATTCTAGCCGCAACCGTGCAGTCCCTGTACTCGTCTTCCTCGGCATCGAGAATTCTCCGCCTGTGGATAGAGAGTCTAACCACTTACTAATGGTCCTCCTGTCCTATACTTCCCTAGGTAGAAAAGGTTGACGACTACAGCGCGCTTGTCGGGCCCGTTGATCTTGTTATGGTGATCATATTCCTAGGATCATATCAAGGACCCTCAATCTTGCAGCTTATCCTCCGTCGCTCATCGACTGAACAAGGAGAGCAGGGCAATAAACCCGGTGCGACTTCGTAGTATCCTCAGCTTTCTAGAACTGGACGCAGCACATCATAGAGCCAACAGGCAATTCGTCATTCATTTGGACGACACAGGACGGTCACTACAACGGCTCACGCTACTGCGCATACTTGGTATACTGTTACTTTGTTTTCACACTTGAGCGTGAAGTTCCACTTTCGAATGTCTCGCAACAATCTGGGGAAGCATATACACGTTCTGAAGCACGCCCAAGCTCATAAGGTCTCGCAGTGTGACCGATACCGAGAATTGGGCAACTAGGAATCTTACCTGTTGAAGGTTGATTCACAGTTCCAAAGCGCCTCTTTCCACTCCCCGGACAGTGTAGGAGGGGCCTTCCACCATATCCGACTTCTTTCTCGACAGGCTGGCCGAAATATTTCACAACCGACAAAGTATAAGCCTGTTTTCAATAGGCCATATGTTTTCTTCTGGTCGATGACCAGTCTCTGTCCTTAGTGGCCCTCACTTTCGTTCATTCCACGGCTTCATACGAGTCCTTCGCTCTCCTCCATCTCGACGCTACATCAAGGCCCGCGCCAGTCGGAAGATAGGACTAGCTTTCAAAATTCCTTGCACCAGAAGAAAATACAACTCTCAATGCTTGTCACACGGCAATGTGATATTGGACGGAACACTTGGTCTCCTAGCAAGCTCGAGGCCATCTATCAAAACGCCGCGTCCTCACGCATGTCGAACTTCGGGCCACCGCCAACGCAGCCGGACTGGCGAGAACAGTATTCTTCGTTTCCTCTTCCTGGGGAGACTGGTTTAGTCCAGCCTCCATTTGAGCAACCAACAAGCTTGAATGTATTTGATGGCAACCAGAGCCAGCAACAAGTCAATGGAGCGCCCCAATTAGAACAACGGCATAGTCTCGGTCCTATACGAAAAGATCCACAACCCCCGGCTATCATTGAACAGCCAGATTCTGTACCAATTGACGGTGGTAACCAGTTAAACAATTCAATACGCAATGCATCCTTGGCCTCCATAGAGTCAACAGCACTTTCTCTGGATTCTCTCGGATCGAGTCCACTCAGTTCTACATCTGCTGCACCCCCTCAACAAGGAACAATAGCGAACAACAAAGGAATAGAAAGCAATGTCGAGCCTAAAGACGAGGAGGATGATGAGGAGGGTGATGATGAAATGGTCGATTCAGGAGAAGGGGGTACCGCGCCGCAGACTGCGGCAGAACGTCAAGCAGAACGCAGGAAGATGAAGCGTTTCCGGTATGATTTCCCTAACACTACTTATTAGCCTTGTGTACTCTAAGACTGATAATTGCCCAGCCTCACACACCAACAAACTCGATTTTTAATGAGCGAATTCGCAAAACAGGCGCATCCTGATGCCGCACACAGAGAACGACTCTCTCGGGAAATCCCAGGCCTAAGCCCTAGGCAAGTCCAGGTTTGGTTTCAAAACCGGTGAGTGAACCGATTCTCAATGTTCGAATAATATCGTTGACTGATTCTAGGCGTGCAAAAACAAAGCGTCTTACAGCGGATGACCGGGAACGTATAATCAAAATGAGGGCTGTACCAGATGGTTTCGACAATGTTCAGGCTTTACACTCACCTTACGGAGCCGTTCACGGCATTGGCGCTACTATGCAGTCGCCGGTTGATTTTGTTCCCCAATACACGGACCATATGATGCGCCCTTTGATAGTTGACACCATGCGAAGGAACGAACAGGAGGAGCACATTTCACCAACTGGTCTCAGCCCGGCATTTGGACACGTTGGGTTCTCTCCAGGGGGACCAATGGGCTCTTCTGACGTACATTCTTCACCTTTGGCATTGAATTCAACAGATCGCTACTACCCAAGTCACCTCTCCAACCCAAGGAGTGCTGGACCCCGGAGCTCAAACCCATTTGATCGACAAAATAGCTATCAGACTCTTTCTCATTCTCGGCAGCATGCTCGGCCGTTACAACCCTTACAAATCCGAGATACTATGCAGAGGTCGCGATCTGAATCAATCCAGTCTCCTTTAAGGTCAAGTATGTCTTGGAAAGGAGAAACCCTAGGCTACGCTCATTACCAAACGGGACAGCCTAGTCCGCAATTGAGTAAACAACCACAGTCTGCCTATCAGCCTGACCAAAGTGGTACCACTACTGTCATTGTAAACCAGAACGACGGCAACACGTACTCAAGTTCGTCTTAAGTTCCCAAAATCATTCAGACCCCTGATGAGGATTACGCCGGCTAACTTCTCACATAGATGCGAATGTTCAGGGCTCACCCACACACATGACATATTCTCCAGCACAAGGTCCCTCTGCCTTGCAGCAATCCTCACCATCTGCAATGTCTAGGCTCAGAAACTCCTCATCAGAATTCCCTTCAGGTCTTGATCTCAGGAACCAGTATCGAATATTTCCGCCTCAACATAATTCATCACATGGTGTACCGCCAACACCAAGAAGTGGGTCATTTTCTAGCACTTTTGCTGATGGCTATGCCTGTACGCCATTAACGGTGCCTGTTGGCTACTCACTACCACGAACTCCAGTCGATGGCGGGCAAGAGTCTAGAGACGTCAACATTCCACAGTTGGGGGCACCGATGGCGCCACCGCAAGATTTTCAAAATATTTATACTTCGACTCTCAGTCCTGCGAGGGTACAACAAGGAGATAGAGATTTCGGTAATCGAGGGCAGAATATCCAGGATCCCGCAAGCCAAGGACGAGTTCATCCAGGAGATCAGCAACAGCAGCAAGCGCGGAATAATGAGGACGTATCCTACCTACGGCCGATTGAGTACGAGTCAGGACAAGAACGAAGAAGGAGTTTTGCAATGCCGGGGACCTTTGAACATCCTTAGACATCATCTGGGCAACGGGAGGAATATTCAACGAGATTTGAGAGGGCTACGAAAGACTTCGACGATATGCACGACTTCCTTTCTAAAGATGATTTTAATGCCGGCGATGCCATTCTTCAAACGAGCCATCATAATATTACGATATCGCTAATCTCTAATCCCCGGACGTTGAGATATCTTCCTTGCTTTCCCTTTCTCACAGCTCTTAGCTGTTTCCCCAAAATAATTGCGTTTTAATACTCCGACTTGTACCGTATCGCTTCGAGATAGAATAAAGAAGAAAGTGACCATAGAAGAGAGCGGCGAAGCTTCAGGCTTGTGCCTTTGCTCAATGATCTATGTGCACGCAACTTTGCTTCAAACGAGCGTAGAGAAATTCTTCACTTGTATATATTATAAAGTATTTACTCGTCGTTAGCTTGGACTAGTTCAACAGCTAGGCCTGTATCATATTTCGAATTGAGATATACCGAACACCTAGGCAACTTTGGGGATAAGGGCTTAAGAAATCAGGGCGTGAATAATATGACAGCTTGGATGCACCTTGAAACTCGAAGTTTGTTGGCGAGAATGGCAACGACAGAATTTACATATATATTTCTTGAGCAACCTAAATTGGCTAATAGTCATAAAATCTGTGGTCTGTTAGTGTATACACCTTCTCTCACAAAGGGAAAACTTACCCCTTTCCACTCTTCTTTCCTAGCCATCCAGCATCAACCATCTTTCCGAGTAGTATGCTAGGCCTGTACTTCGAATCTCCGGTCTCTTCATACAACACCTTCATAATTGCTAAACACGTATCAATGCCAATGAAGTCGGCCAACTGCAGAGGGCCCATGGGTACATTTGTCCCATTCTTCATGATCGCATCGATATCGTCTCTCTCACCTACACCAGTTTCTAAGCAAATGATTGCCTCGTTGATATAAGGCATCAAAATCCGGTTTGCTAGGAAGCCAGGAGAATCAGCAGACTTCGATGGGATCTTGCCCATTGCTTTACAGAACGCCAGCGCTGTGTCAATAGTCTCTTGGCTTGTTTGCAGGCCCGTGATAATTTCGACGCCTTTCTGGACGGGCACCGGATTCATGAAATGTGTAGATATGACACGGGACGAGGCGGAGGTGTCCTTTGGATCTGTGGTGGTCGCTGCTGCGATACGAGTTATGGAGATTGAAGAGGTATTGGTGGCGAGAATGGCATGGGGAGGGCAGATTTGCGCAAGAGAGCGGAAGATGTCGAATTTCAGAGATGGGATCTCAGGCACAGCCTCGATCACGAAGTCGACATCTGACAGTGAGTCCATCGTCGTAGTCGGCCCAAGGAGGGATCGTATCTTGTCAGATTGCTCTTGCGTGATGCGCTCTTTCGAGACATCCTTGGCCAACAGTTTGTCTGCAGAGGGGCAGATGTCAGCTCATGCACCGTCCTGGGTGATGGCAACACATGTTACCTGCAAACTTGAGGCCCTTGTCAATTGAGGCCTGATTCGTGTCCACAAGAGTCACCGGGACTCCAGCTTTCTGTGCGGCCACCAGTGCGATCCCCAATCCCTGAGGTTCGTTAGCCGCGGTAAAGTAAATGAGGAGATATTCAGAATTACCATTTGCCCAGCACCGATGACGCCTAGACGTTTAACCTCCTGCGCAGCGGCGATTGGGCTTGAACTGAAACATCTTGAGTGCCTCGCCGTTTGAATAAGTTGCCTTCGAACAATAGGAGTAATCATTTTGTGCGAGTAATGTGATGTGCGAAAGGATAAAGCGGTTGTGGAGAAGCTCGATAATGGAAAGGTGAGCCCGTGGAGAGATTCCCCGGCATATAAGCTTATTCTGCCCCTCGGCTTAACCAGGCCGCCCTCGGCCCGCCCATATGCGCTTAGCAGCGACGCGGCTTTGCAGGGATGCGCGTCGACGCGTGGGTTAGGAAACGGCGTGTAAAGAGCTTCAGCAACCATGCAAAGTCTGACCACACAATTCTTTGACTGCCAACCAACAAAATGGAATTAGGAGATGGCAGGAGAGATGTCGTGGATCCCCAGGTTCGCGCATATGTATCGAGTCTTGTCACAGCGGTAAGTCGACCACACTTGAACGCTCTACTATCTATTGCGATTGTGCTGACGCGTTTGTAGCTTGGAGGAAGCGGTGCGGATGAAGATGGCCGATACGTGCTTGGAGACGATGCTCTGGCATGCCTTCGAGACTTGAAGAAATGGTTGAAACTATACGATGAGAAGGCCAATCGACTGGATGTAGCACGGTGTCTGGCAGAATCCAATCTGGTGGGAGGGGACTTACTTCAGATTCTGGCAGCTTGGCCAGAGAATGCGACGGACGACAGACTGAAGTCAAAAATCGCCTTGGCATGTTTGGAGCTCCTAGTGCCTCTGACATGGCCACTCGAAAAAAACCCCAACCAGATGACCGTCAACCACCACAGACATATTCCGTTCCTGGAGATTGCCCAACTGGGATACAAGTGTTCGATTATCAATTTCGATGGAGCACGGATACTGCATACGGCGGTCAGGTGTGCCTTACCATCTATGGCACAGCCGTTGGGAGATCGGAGTACGCGCGATGAGGGCATTATCAAACTTGTGCTCTACTTTCTGCGGAACATTGCAATGATCGCCCCGCCTTCGAATGTGAAATATGAGGGTGACGAGGCCGAGATATCCAGATCTGCGACTATTGATGCTTTTGATTATCAAGATATCTTTCACTTGTTACTCACTGTCTCTTCTACCATGGGCGAAGATTTCAATACTCAGGACGTTGTGGTTATGGAGGTTTTGTTTCATCTCATAAAAGGAGTGGATATTGAAAAGTTGTTTATGGACGACGAGAAAGCGGGCAACGCCAAGATCGACGAACTTGTGAAGCTGCGAAATAAAGAAGCAGCTATGCTGAGAAGCTATCAAAGCAACGCGCCGACAAGACATAATCGATTTGGCACCATGGTCTGGCTCCAACGAGAGAACGCCAAGATGACCACTATTTCGGGACAAGGTGCGTTAACTGACAGTGCCAGAGGGCTGGCCAAGATGGACAGTACGAAAAAATACAAACCACCTCGTCGCGCTTTAAAGGGAGACAATGGCCCCTTGGACTTTGATACGCCGGCTCCATTGACCATGCAGGCGAACAAACACCTTCGCGCATTTGTCGAGGATTTCCTGGATGCAGGCTTCAATCCGCTTTTTAATCATATACGCAAAGCTATCGATCGAGAAGCGGAGCGTATTCTCGAATACCACCCACGGCAATTTTTCTATCTTGTAGCATGGTTCCTTGAGGCGGAACGCATGAGGAGGAAGAGCAAGAAGCCACAAAAAGGGAAGAAACCAGCTGTTCCTGAAGATATTGACAGCTTTGCGCTCATTGCAAGCGTCTTAAATCAGGAGATGTTCATTACCCTGAACAGAGCTATGAACACGTCGTTTGAAAATAAGTCGTGGCAAGATCTAAGCGCTGCTATGAAATGCTTCACCCAGATCCTTCTTACTGTCCAGGAGATGTCTGAATCCCCGCTCGAAGATGATCAGGATATCGCTGAAAATATCCTCAATCGGATCTTTTACGAGGAAGAAACCCATGATAGGGTAGCGAACATCACGCGAACCTACAAGGACCAAGGATTCGGTTATCTGGATTCCTGTACTGAGCTCGCTCACAACTACCTGCGGATATTAGAACAGTACTCGAAGCAGAATGTGGACTTGCAAGTGAGATCACGACGAAGAGTAAGGCGCAAGAAGAAGGCCGCCAAAAAGGCTGGAGAAGACGATGGTAACGACGATATCGACGATTCAGATGGAGAAGATGAAGCACGAGCAGAAAAGACAACTAGTGAACGGAAGTTTGATTTCAAACGGTTCTCGGCAAGGTTTCTATCACAAGGATGCATCGACACGTTCGTCACATTCACGGGCTACTATAATGACTTGAAGCCTTCACAGTTAAAGAGGTCTCATAGATTCTTTTACAGAGTTGCTTTCAAGCAGGAAATGAGTGTGATGCTTTTCAGGGTCGACATAATCGCACTTCTGTACAAGATGATCAAGGGCCCTGAGGGGCTGGACCCTTCATCTAGCCACTTCAAGGAATGGGATGAATTAGTCCGACAACTACTGAAAAAATGTACTCGGAAGATGCAAGAGCGTCCGGAGCTTGTCGTCGAGATGCTTTTCTCGAAGACCAATGGTACAGCGCACTATCTGGAGTATGGGTATGAGAAGCAGACAGTGACAACAAAGCCAAGGGCTGCGGCTGAGCTGGAGGTGAAACCAGGTATGGAGTGGGAAGAACAGATCGGTGTTGTCGTGGGTGCAATGTTGGACCGGAACGAAGGGGAGCACCTACAATGGCTAAAATCACAACTTGCATCAGCAGAGAGTGAACGCCGGAGCTGGGAGGCGGCAAACCAGGCGCTGCCTTCCGTCGAGAAAGATCCGTTCGGGGAACCTGATGCGACGCCAGCTGCGGAGTCGACCGAGATGCCGAAACCTCCTTCAATCTGTATGTATTGTTCTCCTCGAGGCACCTTTATTTTACTAACTTGAGAAGTGGTCAAAGCGGATGATGAGGCCAGGAAGCTCGCCATGTTCAAGAACGGTTATCTTCGGCTTTTGATGACTCTTATTGGATTTCAACGCGTCGGCGCCCAGGATGATCCCGACACTTCTTGGATTGTGCCATCGACAATATCTGCCGATCAGCTCAAACAAGCGCTCGACCTGATCGCGAAGTCTGAATTTAGCCCACCAGTTTTTGATGATGGAAAAGAAGCTGGGGACTTTATTAGAAGGAAATCTGCAGGCACAACTGCTCGCAAGAGAGCGGTGTTTGATGATGAAGACGATGGGATCGATGACGACGAAGAGGAAGAACCTCTTTTCCCTGCTGGTGGCCCTACTTCTCGGAAGAAGGACGCTTTGGAGACACTCAAAAAGACTCGGCGAAGGAGGAGGAGGGAAGGTAGCGAAGACAATGGCCCCACAGAAGAGCAACTCAAAGCACGTGCGGCTGCCCGAAGAGAAAGAGAACTTGAAAAGCAACGCAAAATTAAAAGCGAACTATTTGTTCATGATAGCGATGATGAGACTGACGAAGAAAGAGATCGGATCTTCTTCGAGCAGGAAGAAAAGCTTAGACAGCAGTCCAAAATTAACATTATGAAGGAGTTGCTGAATGTTGGAAAGGAGAAAGAAAAAGAGAAACAGAAACAGAAACAGATCAGGAAGAGGCTGTCGAGCGCCATATCTACAGATAGCGATGACGAAATCACAGGCGCAAGCATCCGTTCTTCATCGGCTGCCAGGGACAATGTCCTTGCTGAATCTGATGATAAAGAAACAGATACGCCAATGTCAAGTCCACACCAGAAATCATCGCAGCCAAAGCGGCGGAAACTCTCCAGTGGTGATGGGTCAGCATCGCCTGAACAATCACTTGCTGGAAAAGACCAAGCTGGAAAAGACCAAGCTGGAAAAGCTATGTCAGATGATGAGGACGAGGAGGTGATGCCGGTTGTCAGACCGGTCAGACAAAGAACTAGAGCAGGGTTCATTGTCGACAGCAGTGATGAAGAATAGATGGTTCTGCTTTGGGACGGAGTATTGGATATCATGTGGCGTTAGGATAACGAGAACAGGCTTGATGATGGTCAACGAGTCTGGATGTTAAGGTAGTCAAGGATTACTCTCAAGGCTCCCCGAGCTTCGGCTTTCGCAAATGTTAATACACTCATAGATCTTAACATGTACTTCGATTTTATACTGATGGCAAGCCTTTTCATTTCCATTCCGACGGTATCCTTTGTAGGTTGTTTGGCGGTTCTCATTGGATGCTTCCAAAGCACAGGGTGCTAGACGTACTACCGCAAGCAAGGCTCATCCTCAGCCGCGCGCTAGAAAGGCCCTTAGGTAAGCGAGACCCCAGCAACCTCGAGCATTCTCCTCTCAATCTACTTCATTCCAGGCTTGCACTGAGACATTCAAGCGCAATGACCATCTCATAGCGACAATCTGCTCATTCCCAATTGGAACGAAATGGCGGACGCCAACATCAATCACCAGGACGCTCGAGCGTACTGGCAAAGCATCGACGCTGATGTGAATGGAATGCTAGGTGGCTTTCCTTACGTCTCGAAAGTCGATCTCCAAGGCTCGAAGAACTTCCTGGCTAAGCTTGGGGTCGGGGGGAAGGGCAAGAAGAAAGTGGAGAGAGCGGTTGATTGCGGTGCAGGGTAAGCTGGATTTCATCTCTTGGGTCACGTGCCTTCATCAAAAGGATACTCAATCCAAGCTATTTTGGGCATCACAACACACCGTTTATATCAATTATTTTGTGGCTCTGACTAGCATGTATACTGATCAAGAAGCAGAATTGGACGGATCACCGAAGGTCTTCTTCTGAGTGTTGCGGAGACAGTTGATATTGTCGAGCCAATTGCCAAGTTCTCGGACGTCTTGAAGGGCAAACAAGGCATCGGAGAGATTTTCAACGTGGGACTGGAAGAGTGGTCGCCGGATTGGAACGAAAACCTGAGATATGATCTGATCTGGAACCAATGGTGTTTAGGTCACCTGACTGACGCCCAACTAGTCGCATATCTAAAGAAATGCGCAAAAGTTGTGAGGGAGGAGGGCTGGATTATAGTGAAAGAGAACCTGAGTACAAGCGGGCAAGATGATTTTGATGAGGTTGATAGCAGTGTTACCAGGTATATAAACCCTCTTCTCCTGACTATGGAGTAGCGAAGTTGGCTGAAACATTCACAGAACGGACGAGAAATTACGACATATCTTTGAGGAGGCAGGATTGAAAGTCAAGAAGATGGAAATTCAGAAAGGGCTTCCATCCGAGCTGCTCCCGGTCAAGATTTACGCATTGAAGCCGGAAACCCCGCATTGAAAGGGTTGTTACGAGGACTTTCCGGTAATATGCTACCAGGAGGAGGATTTATGATGTTCCAATGACCTACAGAACAAGGCTAGCATAGATGCTTGGTCTTCTCTATTATGATATAGTTATCCATTATAACGAGGCTACTTGAATGACTTTTTTGTATGATAGATTCGTATGAGAAACAGCCTTCTGTGCTGACATTTGCCATATTCTGTGATGTTGCATTTGCTTGTTTGTCTGATGCAACCTAGCTAATCGCGAGAGACAGATTCAGACACTCTAAGGAATTGCGGCTTCCGACCAACAGGAAACTACCTAAGGAACAGACAAGTCTTTGATCGGCGAGCATCTAGTTAGTGAGGAACACTGGACGCATGAGTGGGGTCATTTTCAGGCTTCATGGCTTGTGGGGATGCGGGTGCTTTAGCTATTAATGGCGGAATAGAGGTATGTTCTAAAGAGATCAAAACTATCTATGAAATGAAAGGTACTGACTGAAATTTATCCTAGCATAAGACTTGGTGATCATGTCTCTTCCTGTGTGTAGCAATCGAGTTGAACCCGTGACATATGCCTATAGGCATCAAAATTTATCACTGTCGACCCACATATAACTGGTAGTCCAGGACACGCTCGCCCCCAGTGATTTCATGACCCCCTCGCTGGGTGTGTTCCCAGCCTTAACATCAGCGTGAACCCACCCACTCTTCCCATCATAGCCCATATCTTTGAATTCCCCTCTACTCAGTCTTGCCAGTAACTCCTTGGCGACATATGATGCGAAGCCTTTACCCCTATATTCAGGCAGCACGTACAATGTTGCGATACTGCCATCGATAGCAACGTAACACCACGCCACTAAAGTTCCCTCCTGGTTCAGCAATCCCACGTTTGGGAGGATAAGGTAAGTAGAAGGCAGACGCTTGATCGTGGAAGTGGCGAGCACAATATCAAGTTGGTCTTCGGGAACACGTGCCACTGTGAAGCCTTCAGGTAGCGGCTTGCTCTCTGCTGAATTGGACACTGCGGAAGTAGATACATTCCACGCATTCCACTCAGTGATGTAGGGCATGGCATTTCTGGACTCGGCAATCTTCCTTAGAGACGAGCCAATGGTTTCGTGGAGACAGGCGAAGCGGAGAATAGGGGAGAATGGCCACCCAGGTGCTTCTGGGATAGTGACTCCTTTGAGAAAGAGGATTGCTGATGTAAGATGGGATGTGAGTGCATCTTGTTGGGATTGAGACAGCGGGGAAGGGCTCGTGATTATGGGGTTGAAGATCCAGATTTGGGATTCCTCGTGTCGGGATCTATCGGCAAAGAGGATTGTGTATACTCCTGTGGCAGAGGATGGAGATTCAGAGGATGGAGGTGGAAAGGTTGCGGCAAAGAGACAATGTCTTGATGGTGTATTGTGTGGTGCCTGAAGCCGATTGTAAATGGGGTTGGAGAAAGGAAGATGGGGGTGTAGGAGTGGAAGGAAGGTTTGTATAGCGGTCGATTGGTCGTGGACATAGAATTTGGGACCAGTTTCCTCCATGACTGGTTTATTGATCGAGAATATGCGGTTGGAATCCTCTGCTGTGAAGGAATGAAATGCTCGCCTTGTGCAAAATCCTAAGAACGGGGGTCTCTGATTCAAACGACCCAAATGACTAGATGAAAGCCTTGACACTTGCAGGATGAACAAACAAGACGATATTTATTATCAGACATCAAACTACAAGGAAGAAAATTGCAGACGTGAAGTTGATTCTGACTCACTGAACGATGTCCTGTGCCGCATAGTCTTCATCAATCGGCTAATCCCCCCTGAACAGAAAAGCCAAAGCGAGTCGAGCTTGAGGCCAAAAGTTTATAGCCTTACCCGGGTGGCTCTAGTGGATCACCTCCCACCTCATCACCATGCTGCACGATCCAAGGTACCTTATCTTACCTCGTGTGTAGAGCTTTATGAACAGACTCGCCACAATATTCTACAATGCAATAACACTATCTATGCTTAATCACGATCAATCTCTGTGATGGAAAGTCATTCCACCAAAACCCGAGGCCTTTTAGCAGGGGCACGGCTGTGCAGACCATGCCACCACAAGTCCACAGAAATGCATAACCACCATTTCCATCTCTCCCTCTCTTTACAGGTTGACCTGATTTCATTGGTTCAGTCACGCCTCCAACTGATGTTGAGTCTGCCTTGTGCTTCGCTGGCTCCAACATTCAGTTATAATGCAATCATACAAGAAAGGATGCGCCTTCGATCCTACTCCCAATGCTATGTTCCTTCGCTCCTCTTCAAGTGCGCAGTACAAAGAGGACGAAATCCCCAGTGGGAATCGTTCATCCAACACTTTACTTTAATTTTATAATATTGAAACTCATCCTGAGCTCTTCGCCACGATGAGATCCTCCTCCTCCTTCCTATGCATTGCTCTCACCCTCTTTGCTACAGCACAATGTGTCGTGGTTCCCAAGGCACATGTTGTTCATGAAAAGCGTGCCGTTACACCCTCACGATGGGTCAAGCGTGAGAGGCTGTCTCCTGCTGTTATTCTTCCCATGAGGATCGGGCTGAAGCAGAAAAACCTACATCGGGGCTATGACCTCTTGATGGATGTGTTAGTTATGCATCCCTTCTCGCCTCCCTAAGTATTCTTGTTACGACCTACAAGCTAAGCCCAATGATAGCTCACATCCAGATTCCGTCAATTATGCCAAGCATTGGACTTCGCATGAAGTCATAGAAATGTTCTCCCCTGACCAGAAGTCCGTCGACAGTGTGAGGCAGTGGTTGGCGGATTTTGGTATCGACAACACTCGTATCATACATTCCGATAACAAGGGTTGGCTGGCGTTTGATGCTACCACGGATGAGGTTGAAGATTTGCTTCATACCGAGTATCACCTGTATGAGCACGAATCTGGCCATGTGACGCCTGCTTGCGAGAGGTATGAAATCTTTTTTCCAGAGGCCCATATCCAAAGAGATGATAGTATATGTGCTTACATTAGAATAGCTATCACGTTCCAGGCTATATCCAAGAGCATATTGACTATATTACTCCCGGAATCAAACTATTTGCACCCACAAAGAGCCCTCTGGAGAGGCGCAGCTTTGATGTTGTTTCTTTTCAGAGTAGCAAGGGATCTGGCCGTTCTCTCAAGAAGCGTGTACCCCAGTCACTTGCAAATTGCGACGTCGCCGTTACACCTGCATGTATCAGAGCTCTGTATGGTCAGTACTTACTAATTAACTTGCCCCGTTCTGCTGCTGAAACTTCTTGCGAGCCAAAACCCCAACTCTTCAATCTTTTGTAGAAATGAATTTCTGCTCTAACCTGTTAACAGGAATCCCAGAAACTCCAGAATACCCAGATGGTGAGCCGCGCTACGACAACTCGCTGGGGATCTTCGAGGCGGGTGAAGAATACGCTCAAAGGGATCTCGATCTCTTCTTTGCCAATTTCACCCCAAATATACCACAAGGCACTGCTCCAATTCCAGCTCTTATTGACGGCTCCATAGCTTCAACAGATGTGGCACACGCTGACGGCGAGCCTGAATTGGATTTCGAAATAGCGTACCCTCTCATCTACCCCCAGACTATCACAGTATTTCAAGCTCCAGGCTTCAATAATATGTTAGATGCTATAGACGGAGTAAGTAGCCGGCGTCACCAAGGGGTTTTGGAATAAGGTGCTAATGTATCCATAGTCTTATTGTAATTATACTGCCTTTGGAGAGACCGGTGACGATCGTAAGAACCCAATTCTATCAGGATTAACATGATTGCTGACGACTTTTAGCGGTTCAAGATGGCTATACACCTAATGGTCAACACCAATGTGGACTTTATACAGCAAGCTCCTTCACCAAAGCCATAAGCTCGAAACTCACTAACAGCTTTGAATAGCCAACTAATGTAATTTCGATCTCGTACAGCGGCCAGGAAGCAGATCTTCCTCCAAGCTATCAGGAGCGGCAGTGCATGGAGTGAGAATATCTCATCTATACGTATGCATCCCATCCATCTGACACCTTCATTATAGATTCATGAAACTCGGCCTCCAAGGTATCTCGGTGATTTTCTCCTCCGGAGACAACGGCGTCGCAGGCCATCCTGGCGACGACAGCGACAACGGCTGCCTAGGAGATAATGGCTCCATCTTTTCTCCCAGCTGGCCCAACAATTGTCCCTACGTGACGAGTGTAGGTGCTACTCAAATCGACCCCGGCTCTACAGTCTACGACCCCGAAAGCGCAGCTTACGATGCCAACTATAACTTTACCTCTGGCGGCGGCTTCAGCAACATCTACACGCAACCTACGTACCAGCAGGAAGCCGTGGCTGCCTACCTCAAACAGTACCCGCCTTCTTCCCCTTCTTATGACGGCATCGCGAATTTTGGCCAGGATGGCGGAGTCTATAACCGTCTCGGTCGGGGGTAAGCCTTCTAAAGCCCATTCATTCCCTCTCTTCCTCCATCTATCTCTCCATAATACCTAACACATCCCCCAGCTATCCAGACATCTCCGCCACCGGCCGCTCCCTGGCCATCTTCACCCAAGGGAACCTCACACTCCTCGACGGCACCTCGGCCAGCGCGCCCCTCTTCGCATCCCTCATCACGCGCATCAACGAGCAGCGTCTCAACCACGGGAAAGCACCACTTGGCTTCTTGAACCCGGCCATGTATGCATATCCCCAGATGTTTAACGATGTCGTGAAGGGCGGGAATCAGGGCTGTGGTGCTGGGTTCGAGACTGCGAGGGGCTGGGATCCTGTTACTGGGTTGGGTATGTGTTTCTCTCTCCTCTCTCTCCCCCCCCCCCCCCC